ATCCCCCCATAATCACCATTTTGAGATGTTTCCCTGTTCCCTCATATGTATTTTCCCCAATTATTCATTATCTAGTATGAAACACTTGCTTTCAGCCACTGAATCCAATACGACACTAATGTCACTCATTGAATTTCTTCTTTTTCTTCCTCTTCTTTCGAATTTTATTTTTTTTTTTGGGAAAAAGGTTCCCATTGTCCCCACTTTCAACGAGAGAAAGAACTTTACGTTAAAAATTTTTTTAGGTTATGTTTGTAATTTATAAAAGTACTTGCAGAGAATTAATTTTTAATACAAAAAGTTTAAGTCTCTATTACATTGGCAAAAAATCCAACAAAAACTAATTTTGATTTTACCTAATGAAAAAGAAACTTTTTATCAAGGTAAAACTATTATTAAATCTAACCTAAAATTTGTTTCGAAGTAAGCTCCCTTCTTTCGTGGAGCGTTACATAGTTTTTAATAATCTACGAATTACCGACAGGTGTTTTATAGCTATAGGTGTATAATAATAATAATGATAATAATATAAATTTTTAAATATGCGAAAATTGAAGGATTTTTTTTTTTTTTTTGTTAAAAATTGGAAATATATATAGGAGTCATTGCAGATGATCGATTGCTTTGCACCATCCCCCCATATTATACAAGCTCTGCATCGTTAGAAAATCACCTCGGAATATATAGAGTGCTTTCCTAACGACTCTCTATTCAGACAAGCTGTTACTATACGAAATCACCGTTTTGTCTCGCAATGCCTCTTGGCAAAGCACAGTGTCTTTTAATGGAAATCACTTTAAATATGCTTCAAAAGGTTTGACTCGACTTTTTCTTTTTTTTTTTTTCAAGAAAAAAAAGAACATAAAATAACGTACTATTTTCCTATTTATTGTCAAAATGTTTGGAATTATATTTTCAATATAAAATTAATTACAAATAATTTAATTTTATAAATTATAATAATTGAACATATAAAATTTATTTATATTGAATTTATAAATTATTTTAATTTAAATCAATGACAGGATAGGTACATTAAAATTCTATTAAACTATTCAAAAAAAAAAAACGAATATTCTTAGTTTTTAATATTTTAAAAGAATTTAAATTTTTTAAAAATAATTTTAATAAATATATCCTGTCATTGATTTATTATAATAATAATTTAATTTAATTAATATAAAGTATAACAATTAAAAATATGTAATTTGAATTTATTTTTAATGAACACTGTTTTATTATTAATAATATAATTATTATTTAATCAGACAGAGTACTTTATTTGTAACTTTAAAGTAAAATACTCTTTTTCTCTTGGTTTATAAATTATAAATGAGAGGCCTACAATGTAGAGCGTTTGAATGGCGAATTCTAAAAATATTCAGAACATCAGCACAGCAGTAACCTTCCTCGGTTGACAGCCCTTATGAAAAATTGATGCCAAAGCAGAAGCTCCGCGTACATTTCCTACTTTATTATTAACGTCAATCCGTGTAATAATCTCCACTAGATGTATATATCTATATATATATATGTATACGTGTAAGTTTTATTACACAACTGTAATATTGTCAGAGAGGGAAGATATTAATAAAAATCCTTCAATTTTTAATTTAAAAAAATTGTTAACTCTTATGTAAGCTTTATTATTATTTATGTGTACTATTGGAAGGCGATAAATCTTAAAATTTTATGGTTATGCTTTCTGATTTTCAAAAATCTATTAAATTTTATCCCTACGGAACTATGAAACTATTATAGTGACCTTACTTATCGACAGTAGTATTAGGAAAGTTCTACTATATTGCCTGTCGATAAGTAAAAAATCTAATTAAAAAACAGAACAAGTAGTAAATTTACTTACCGACAGTGTTATACTAAGCATAGATCTACTATATCGACTGTCGGTAATTCAGAAATCTATTTTTGAAAAATAGAACTTATCAATAGTAGTATTAAGCATAATTCTGTTTCGCCTGACGGTAATTCAGAAATCTATTTAAAAAATAATATAAGTAGCGATCTAACTTACCGACAGTAGTACTAATATAGTTCTACTATTTCGCCTGTCGGTAATTGAGAAATCTATTTAAAAAATAAAACAAATAGCGAACTTACTTATCGACAGCAGTAAACTAAACATAGATCTACTATTTCGACACATAGTAAGAAGTAACAATAAAAGAGTAGAGTAACTTATCAACTGTATTACTAATCATAGATCTATTATTTCGTCTGTCGGTAAAACAGATTCATATTTTTAAAAAATAAATAGCTAAGTTACCGACAGTAGTACTAATAAAGTTATACTTATTCGTCTGTCGGTAAAACAGATTTGTATTTTAAAAAAATAAATAGCAAATTTACTTAGTAGTACTACTTACTTTACTTTACTTTACATTTACTTAGAATCTACTATTTCGTCTGTTGGTAAAACAGTTTCATATTTTTAAAAAATAAATAGCAAACTTACCGACAGTAGTACTAATAAAGTTATACTTTTTCGTCTGTCGGTAAAACAGATTTGTATTTAAAAAAAAATAAATAGCAAATTTACTTAGTAGTACTGATCATAGATCTACTATTTCGCCTGTCGGTAAAACAGATTTCTATTCTTAAAAATACAATTTATATAAAATTTACCTATCAATACTAGGCATAGATCTACTATTTCGACTGTCGGTAAAACAGAAACCACTTTTAAAATTTTTCCTAAAATACGAAAACAAACAGTAAAGCCATTTAATTTAGACATTAAATAATATAATTACATAAAAAAATCTTTTTAATATCTATTAAAGTATGCTAGTAAAAAAGAGGGAAATTTTTTTACGATACATATATGTACGTATATATATATAAAACAGAATAGTCGATTACGCGATGATAACATCTGTATCAAGTTTAGTATACTCTTTTTTTTCGATGTCCCTCGCGTTAAAGCAATCTTAAATCGATGAAAAGAGTCTTTTGAAAAGTAAGTGCATTATGTATAGATCAAAAGGATTCGCAGTGGAGAAAAGGGTCTTTTGTGGGAAAAGATATAGGAAAGGGTCGCGTCGTCGTTGTCAGTCGGTTCTCCAAAGGCATCTTTAATATGAACTCGCACTCTCGATGCACTCGACTGCTGGGCTATTGATTCTTTTGGCCCGACACAGTTAACTGTCTGTGTTGCCCTCCCTTCCTCCTTAAACCTTTGCCACCCTCATCCTAACTCTCACCCTTCTCAAGCCATACTCACCTCACGTGAGATTCCATCAGGTTTTTTTTACTCTCACGCGCGCCCTCTCTCTCTCTCTCTCTCTCTTGAGAAAGAGAGAGGTTAATGATCGTTATTATCGTCATCCTTCAAGTCCTGAATCGAAAGGACGGATGCTTCTTCGATATATGTATACTATATATATATATATATTCATCCCCTTATATTCATTCGAGGCAAAGAGTGGTTCGATGGATCGGAAATAAGTCGCGTGACTCTGCCTTTTTTTGTCACTTTTTTCTACATATATATATACGTGTGTGGCCTCTGGCACATTTGAGAAAATCAAGCAGGGTGAAGATAATGATGTGTGCGAAAAAAAGGGAAAAGTCTCCTAATCTAGCAACTGTAATGATTGTCGACATTATATAAACATGAAATAAAGTAGTTTATCATTTTTTTTTGCGAGGGTTACTTCTTTTTTGTCTTTTTTTTTGCTTTTTATTGGATATTATGATTGATTGTAGAGATGCTACTTTCCCTTTTATAATTTTGATGTACTTACAAAACAATTATTTTTAAAAAATCGTATTTTTCGAGGGGTTTTCATTTATCCGTTAATTTTCTCGAATACCGTAGGTAATTATTTTAAAATTTTTAATAGCATTCGATTATTTGAGGTCTAAGAGAAGTGCCACAACTATTTTTTTCCCGAAATTTGAAAAAAAATTTGGTAGAATTTGACATTACCGACTGTCGGTAATGTTTTGTTGAAACATTCGATTCTTTAAAAAAGAAATTGTAGCTAATTGAAGTTTGATAATTCACTTTCTAGTATTCGATATGCTTATGAGAAAACAATTGAGCTGCCGGATCAAAGAAGGGCAACCATTTGAATCACATTATAGTTATGTGCCCTTCTTTTATCCGGCAGCTCAATTTAGACTGTTTTAAGAAAAAAAGAATTGGAATTAAAGGAGAGTAAAGTGTTTTTATTTAATAGCATTCAGTTATTTGAGGTCTAACAAAAATGCCACAACTATTTTTCCTCCCAAAACTGAAAAAAAATTCGGTAGAATTTGACATTACCGACCGTCGGTAATGTTTTGTTAAAACATTCGATTCTTAAAAAAAGAAATTGTAGCTAACTGAAAGTTAATTAATCACTTTCTAGTTTTCGATCTATGAAAAAATAATTTAAACTGTTTTTAAGGAAAAAAATTGAAATAAAAATGAGTAAAATATTTTTATTTAATAGCACTTCGTTATTTGAGGTCTAACAGAAATGCCACAACTATTTTTTTCCCGAAATTTAAAAAAAAATCGGTAGAATTTGACATTACCGACTGTCGGTAGTGTTTTACCGTCTGTCGGTATATTATTTTAAATTTTAAATTTTAAAATTAAATTTAAAAAATCGTGGAACCTAACAAAAAACAGTGTTTAATTATTCCTAACAGAGTTACCGATCGAGTACTCTGTAGATAACACTATACAAATTACTCGATCGATAATAAAAAAAAATCTTGTTTAACTTCTTTCTAAAAATAAATTTTTTTTTCTCTCTGCCTTTTTTTTAAACAAAACCGCGCGCGCATTGAAATTGGAAATATGGCGCGCGCTTTTACCACCCCTTCTCCTTTTTGGCTTTGCCACCATTCTCTCTCTCACCCTCCCTCCCCCCGCATCATCATCATCATCTTCTCCACCACCACCCCCCCCCTCTGTGTTTGATTCCAACAGTTCGCTACCCCTTCGTCTAACGATCGGCTGTCGGAAACTGCCGAAGGCACGGGAAACGAGCCGAGGGCGAATACACACGGTTCGCCAACTCTTAATTCGGGACGTCGCGACGTCGTGAACGTCCTTTCGACGACTGGATCGCGCGCGCCATCGTCTCTCCCTCTATAAATTCTCCACCTTCACCTTCACCCCCCAAACATCCCCCTATATTTTTCAAATAAATAAATAAAATAATAAAATAAAAAAAAATAGACAAAAAAAAAATTACCAAATGTCAGAAAATAATTTAACGTGCTTTATCTCAATTTACAAAATCTCAGGACATTGACATCCTTCCCTGTCTCTCTCTCTCATTTCTATTCTGGTAAAAAGTTGTTTTCTCTAAAAAAAAAAAAAAATTCGATTTGAAAGAATTTTTAATTTTTTGGTTCCGCCCGGACGAATTTTTTTTTTTTTTTATATATATGCCCAGCCGGAAGTGTATTCGCGAGTTTAGTTCCAAGTTTCCTTCTCTTCACGCACGCGAGAGTCGACTCCCAGGACCGCGTCGACTCCTTCCTTCAGGAATCGTTGTTTAAGTAAAACGGGATATATATATATACGCATATTTTGTCTACTACCCTTATACATATAGTATGGAAATACCTTGATCGATTTTTTACAAAAAAAAAAAAAAAAGAAATTTGTCCAATTTTTTTCATTTTCTTATTTTTTGGAGAAAATCTAAGTTTTAGTGGTGAAAATAATAAAAAATAATAATTATTCGACACGAGCTCTTTTCCAAATGAAGGGTAAAGGACCTTTGAACCGTGGCGTGAAAACGAGCATGGAGGAAGAACGGGATTTTGTGTGAAAGTGCCCTCGACCAACAACGAAGTGATATGGTGGTTCATGAACCGAATCCCGGCATTTAATGAACATGCGAGTAAGGAGGATTATTTATTTTGTGCCCTGGGGTTAAAGAAAAAAGTTTTTTTGTGCCCCCCCCTTTTCTATGTATATATGTAATATTCTTTTATCTCGCCCGGGAATTTTTGAGGTTGAAATTATTATTATTATTACTACTACTACTACTATTATTATTATTATTATTATTATTACTATTTCTATTATTTTTATTATTATTTTATTATTATTTTATTATTATTATTATTATTATTATTATTATAATTATTATTATTGTTATTATTATATCGATGATATAAAAATTACGTTGGTGAAAAAAAGGTTTTTTTTTTGCTTGAAGATAATTTGTAAAAATGGAAAATTTTTTCTTCTATTTAAAAATATTTTAATACATTATTTACACTGCAAATATATACAAAAATAAAAAAAAAGATATTTTGTTTCAGAGCTAAATTAATAAATATTATTTTGTTTTCAAAACTAAATTATTATTGGATTACAATAAATTTTATATTAATTTGGATTTAAATAAATTTTTTTCTTTTATAGATTTGGATTAAAATAAATAAATATATTTAATTCGATTGAGATAAATTTTATTTGGTTTAAATATATATAAATTCTTTTTTCAATTTGAATAAAAATTTTATATTAACTTGAATTTTAAAAATAAATTTTATTGGCTTGAAATAAATTTTAGATTAATTTTCATTTTTAAACTCAGACAAATATAGTATATATATATATAATTGTTTCCGAACCTACTAATTTATTTATTTGTTGCAAAAATGTATATATTCTTTTTTCCTTTAAATAAAAAATTTATTTGAGCCAAAGAAAAATTTATTTATAAATAAAATTTTTATTTATGTCAAATAAATAAATTAGTAAATTCTGAGAGATAAATATACGTTTATTTAATGTAAATATAATTTATTTGGTTCAAATAAATATATTTATTCGATTCATGAATCATTAGTAATAATATCACGTTAATTAAATATATCTAATTCAAAGTAAATAATATTAATATATTATAATAATTGTAATAATATATTATAATTATATATAATAAGAATAAAAATTAAGGGAAATAGTAAAAATAATAAAGAAAACCTTAAGAATTTATAGAAATGAAAAAATATGTTAAAATCGACGAAATCGTGCGCAATACAATCAGAGAATAAAAATAATGAAATTAGCGTTTTTAGAAAGCAAGTGACAAAATTTATATTCTTTGAATGAAAATTTTTACAAGTCGGTTAAAATTAAATCTTTGTAATTTTTTTTTTTTTTTTTTTTAAGCTACCCTAACAATGTCTAAAGAGGTTTTCTCTCTTCCCTCGAGACGTTTCAATTATTAAAATTTCTCTTTCTCTCCCTCGCTCTCACTGCCTGACCGTACGCGACATTCTCTACTTGCCAGTCACTTTTAGCGCCACGCCACTTCTTTGCTTTTAGTTAAAATTTCATTCCTCAAAGCGCGCAAAATCGCTAAACGTACGTACATCACCTAAAATCTAATGGATCTTGCGGCCTAATAAATTCTTAACGAATTTCAAAACAAAAAAAAAAGAAAACAAAAAGAAAAGTAAAAAAATAAATCCCCTCAAATTGACGCTAATTTAATTCTCAAAAGAAAAAAGAATGCAAAAAAGTTCGGTTTTTGGGTAAGAATTTATTAAATTAAAAAAAAAAATATTTTAAAGATAAATTTAATAAGATAATTTATTTTTTTATTTATGTTAATGGATTTACAAAAAAGATGACCTTTTACTAAAAAAAAAAAATAAATAAAAATAAAAACTAAATATACTCTTTAAATTTGAATTGGTAAAAATGTTTACTAATTTGAATTAGTGACTCACTTTTTGCTTTTGAATTAGTAAAATTTTACTAATTATTAGTATCTTTTACTAACAATTAGTAAAATTTAACTAATTCCAAAACAAAATGTGAGTCACTAATTTCAATTAGTAAACATTTTTACTAATTCAGATTTAGAGAGTAAGAGAACAAAATATAATTATAATATTAATAAAACAAATAAAAATAAAAATAATATTTTAAATGAAAAAGTATTTCTTTTTGCTTTTAATTGTTTATATTTTTATTTTATTTTATTTTATTTTACTAAAAGTTTAAATTTATTTATAATAAAGAAATAATATTGTTAATAAACAAATAAAAATAAAAATAATAATACTAAATAATATTTTAAATGAAAAAAAATATTTCTTTTTGCTTTTAATTGTTTATCTTTTTGTTTTATATAATTTTACCAAAAGTTTAAATTTATTTATAATAAAGAAATAATATTTTTAATTTTAAATCAGACAAATTTAAAAAAAATGTCTAAACTGATTCAGTACACCGCATATAAATAATAAAGATAGTGAAAAATTATATAAATGTAGGGACATTTTTTTTTGCATTCTTTTTTTTTCCTTTTTTTGAATAAGTGAGGAATTTATTTTTTCCCTGCCCACGGAAGTTATTTTTTCGAAAAGTTTTGAATGTGCTTTTTATCAGTATAAAGTCACGTTTCAGTGCTTGACGCTTGTATATATATATATATATATATATATATATATATATATATATATATATATATATATATATATATATATATATATATACACGAGAGGCAAATATATAAATGGGGAGAAAGCTCAAGTTTCTCCTCCGGTGAGAAATTAGTGAATTAAATCATTCATGAAACACGAAAGAACTTTGATTTGAAAAATAAAGTACTCCATTTATAAAAAAAAATAAAAATAAAAAATTTCTTTTTATATATAAATGGAACGTGTACAATTTTTTATGTGCTTGTTTTTTAAAAAATTATTTTCCATAATCGATGCTTATATTTTATTTTAACTTTTATAATTGAAACTCGAAAACTTATATTTATATGGAACAATATTCGAAAGCTTTATTATATTCATATAATAGTTTTTCATTATTTCATTTTTAATTATTATTTCAACTTGTTTTTTTATTACTTCGTGTTTTTTTCCACTGTTTATTATTTAACACAGCATTTCACTTTATTTTTTTTTCTGTTTTATCGGATTTTTTTGTTACATGATTTTTTTTTCATTATTTCTATTATCAAATCATTTTTTCATTTTTCTTTTCTATACCTTTTTTTCAATTATATATTTTATTATTTTTTTATTATTTTTAATTCACTTACTTTTTTTTTTATTGTTTAATATAAACGAAATAATATATGGACATGATGAAAAAATAAATTTGAACATTTAATTTAAAAATTAATTTGAAAATTAATTAAAAAAAAAAAAAGAAAATATCGTTTAATTAACAAAAAAAAAAAGAAACTAATATAGTAAAAAATATTGAAAAAAAGTCGCTTTTTTAATGGAAAAAAAAGTGATGTAACAAAAAAGACGTCAACTGACATTTTATATACCACTGTGTATAAATATTTTAATCTTCGAAATTCGTTTTTCTGTATTAAACATATAAATCATATCAACATTGACATATTGCAGAATTATTATTTGGCGTAAAATCAATCAGGCATGAAATATTGATCAACTTTTTCAGACATAAGTAACCAAAAAAAAAAAAAAAAAAAAAAGATTTAAAAGATTCAAAAGACTTTTGATTTTTCCGACACATCAGTATTTGCGTTTCAATTTTATAATTTTCTTTTTTTGAAATTAAAATTAAATTGCATTTAAATCAAAATTAAAAGTTCTTATACATACACAGAAAATTAAAAGGCATTAAAATAAGCTACAACGCTTATTATTTTAATCCAATTTTGCTTATTTTAATACCAAAATGGATTAAAATAAGAAAAATTGGATTAAAATAATAAGCGTTCCAACTTATTTTTATGCCTTTTAATTTTCTGTGTAGGAAACGATTCAGGTAACATAATCTATTAATGTTTTTAGGTTATATATTATACCTAAATCGTTTCGTATGTAAAAAAAAACTTTTAATTTTGATTTAAATGCAATTTCTAATTTTGTTTAAAATTTTCCAAATAAAATTATTTAATATTTTACCAGAGGATTTTCAAAATTTAATTAAAAAAAATTTTTTTTTTCAAAATCCTTGCTTTCATATAGATATATAAATACATCGATAGCAAATAAAAATATATTAAAAAGATTCAAAAGAATTTTTGGAAACTATTTACGCGCGTGTCTCTGTTATACTTTTTTTTACGAGATTTATTTATCTCGTCTCTTTTTTTTCCGTGAACGTTATTTTAAATAATTTATATATATATATATATATATATATATATATATGTATATTTTTTTTTTCGATATATATATATCGAAAAACCATAAAAATAACAGATTCAAATTATATTTCCGCGAAAGTATTGCAACAGATGCGAAAAAAAATGCCAGAGATGCAATTTGACACCGCTTTTTTCACCGCAATATTTTTTTTAATTGCAAACGCGTACAAAAGATGAAAGAATATTGTGTATATGAAAATGAGGCTTTTTTTTCATTTCACTTTTTTTTGTCACAAAAAAAAATATATAGTAATAATGTGTGGTGTTTTTGGATTTTCTCTCTCTCTCTCTTTTTCTTTCTCTATCTCAGCAATTTGATGACACATGACTCATAAATGAAATAACAGGGGGAAAAAAATCTTTTGGAAACTTAAGAGAGAGAGAGAAAAAAATAAATAAAAAAGAAAAGGAAAATAATTTTGGACGACAAAAAAAATTAAATCATATAATAAAAGAAAAATTTATGTATACTTAATTCAAATAATCGTTTATACTTGACTATATTATATCAAAATTAATATTTCCTTGCAGCAAATAATTTTTCAAAAAATTATTTGGCGATGCAAGTAATTATTTATTTAATAATAAAGTATAAACGATTATTTTCATATAAATTTTTTTTTTGCAGTTTTAATTAAATTTAAATTATACCTTACATATATATATATATAGAGAGAGAAAGATTTTATGTGAATAATTTCAAGGGAAAACGAGAGGAAACGAAAGCGTGGAATGACAATAAGATTTAAGATCAAAGTAGCGAAGGATCGCGACGAGCGAAGAATAGGTTGGCTCATGTTATGTGCGAACTGGATTTGAACCTTCAAGTCGGCCCCAGGAGAAGAGGATTTCGATCTGGAATGGCATTTGGAACACTGACAGTGTTTGCAGTGAGACTCGTCCTCAGCGCTTATATACTTGCTGTGGCCGTTTATGTCAACGCCACCGGCAACTGGGACAAGGACGACGACCTAGGTTCGATAAACTTCAATTATTATTATTATTATTTTTATTATTATTATTATCATTATTGTGGTTCTTGTATCTGGTATTCTTATATCTTTTTTATATTTGCCCCCCTGACCCCTGGTGGGAAAAGGATGTATTTAACCTAAGATTGAGGTTATGTTCGGTTTTTTTACTACGACCTTCGATTTTGAGGTTATGCCTCCTAATCTGCGATTTTCAATGTTAAGTTCTCTTTTCAACCTAAAAAGCACCTAAATTTGGAGGTTGTTCTCATTCCGTTGTGGGAATATAATCTAAAATAACCTAAATTTTGAGGTTATGTTACCTTCTTAACTTATATTTTAATAGGTTATAAAGTATAAGAGATATTCCAAAGTGAGAATATTTCTTACTTTAATACGTATATAATTTAGAATAATTCTTTAATATTGGTATTTATACTTTAAAACTAGAATATAATAAAATATTATTTTTTCTTATTCAATTGAAGAAAAAAAATTGTTTGTTTTTTCTTAAATATTAAAAATAATTCTTTTGTAGTTTAATATATGATAATATATACATATATAAGAATTGATTCGCTTAGTCTGACCAAAGAGATACCTTTTCCACTGACAGGCTCCCCTTTATCATGTCTGACCACAATGGGTCTTTTCTACTTATTGTTATGGAATAGTAGAAATATCATTTTTAAAACAGCTTATAACATCTTTCTCTCGAATGTATAAAAGCAAAGTAGATGAAAAAGGGGAAGTAAAAAATAATAATTATTCTAGTCTCTAATTTACATATAGCTCCCTTGTGGAAAAAATTTCTTGGTAAACTACAATCAAGATAGTAACTGTATAGTAAACGTCTCGTGTAACTGATCACGTAAAGTTGTACAGATACTGTCTTAAAATCTTTAATCACTGTATAAACGTCATTAACTCTTTTTTATTGAAAAACCTTCAGTCTAGTAAAACTATTCTAATTCTATTCTAAAACTATTCTGAACCTTTTCTAAAACTATTTTAAATCTATTCTCAAACAATTCTAAAACTATTTTAAAACTATTCTAAAACTATTCTAAAACTATTTTAAATCTATTCTCAACCTATTCTAAAACTATACTAAACCTATTCTTTCACTACCATCTTTCTAACCTTTCTAACTAATCTAAAAACACTACATAGTTTCCATATAGTTAAAGTATTTAGAAACTTTCACATTTGTAGCGTTACATTCCTGCCTAGTTTCGGTATAGTTCAGCTATACACTAACTATAAATAAAATAGTTTAACTGTATAAAGAAACATCAAATATTTTCATACCGAATGGGTCACGAATAGTACACTTTTAAAAAATTTTACTTAACCAATTTTTATTCTACTATCTTAACTAACGATTCTTATTTAAAAAAATAAAAAAGCTACCTCATCAAAAATTTTGACATTCGATTTTCTTTTTTTTCTTTAAAATAAAGTTGTAACATGTCATATATAGAGAGATATGAATTGGAAAAAAAACACGATGAAAAACAAGGAAATTTTTCGAGAAACAAGTTGTTTCGTGAGCGCATAGAAGTTTGCGAGAAAGTTTTTTTTTTTCTTCCTAGAGAGAAAATCGACGAATCGTAATCCCAAATAAGACGAAGCGGGGGCGTCTGATCATAACTTTCCTAATCTCCTGAAAGGCAATATTTCTTTAGCGTCTCGACATGCTCGTCGGTTACTACTTATATTATACTTGGCCCTCGTCGAGTCTCTCTCTCTCTCGTATGTGTTATATATAGTAGTGGTATCATTTAGATTATACATTGAGGAAAAGGGGATATATTTATATGTGTGTGTGTGTAGAAATGCTTCGAGTAACTTGCAACGATAAGTATGACTAAACAGTCTGCTCATGACATTCCCAAACCCCTAATATTACTGAAACTTGATATTTGCTCCCTACCTCTCTTTCTCTCTGATTTCTGAAACTGAATTTCGGGTATGTATGCGTCTATGAATCGTTCGCGACGTTATTCACTACTAACTCGCTTTCTCTCTCTCCCTCTCTCTCTATTCACGGCCTCTGATTTCTCAGCGTTTATTCGACTAATGAAAGCCCCTAATCGCAATTGCGCTCGATTTCCAGTCGTAAATTTAATCCACCAAGGAGGCCTCTCGCAACCACAATTTACTTTTGCCACAAAAGAATCTTTAATACTGCCTTTTATATATCTATATATAAATATATATATATATCCCTCTTTTTATATCCCGCCGAAAGAAAATACAATTAAATGTGGTTTATATATTTTTTTTAGTACCCGATTGTAAAATCATTAATTACACACACACACTAATTAATTGCACAGTTTAAGAAACTGTTCATAATTAATATTTGTGAAAAAAAAATATTTATTGGAAAATAATACTAAATTTTCCATATTTGAATGTGCTGAAGTTATAAATTAAATTTTTATTATTTTTAAATTGTGTATGCGCATATTTTTATTTTTCTCTGATAATGGTTATTTAGTAAAAAAAATTTCAAATTTATTTTAAATAACACGAATTGTTAAATATAATATATAGGGCATTGTACATGAAGCGGACAACCTCGATTTTGATTTATTTTTCAATATTTTAAATATTACATTTTTATTAAAAGTTTATTAAATCAAGAAAAGAATGGTGTCGATTTTTTAGTAAATTTAATGAATTTTTAATAAAATTGTAATATTTAAAAGTAATAATTTAAAAAAAAACCAAGATCGGGGTTGTCCGCTTCACGTAGAATGCCCCATATATAAACTTTTTTAATATTTCATATTAAAGATTCATTTACATATATATATTCATATATATAAATCGTATAAAAAAACATAAAATTTAAATGAATTCAATTATTAGAATTTTTATTTAATTTTCATTTAACTTGAGAATTTAAATAATATATATTATCTTTTTTATTATGCTACAATATTAAATTAAAATAATATTTATAAAATATACTCTAGTTGAATTTTTATTAACTTTTTTTTTGCAAGAAAGTTTTATTTAACGTAAATTAAATCAGAGATGATTAGTTAATCATTTTTTATGATTAATCGATTATGTTTAATAATTAATATTCCCTATATATATATATATATATGGGTGTCTAAAAATTGATATTTTAAAAATAATAATGTATAATAAGTCATCATTATAATAATATAATTATTCATTTTTCTGTAACTATTAATATTACTCGTTCTATTTTAAAATTATTGAGAATTTGTCCACTCATTTAAAATAACCTCAGATACTTTTAATTTTCTTCAACTGATATTTAAATAATGTTATATACCGTAACTTGTTTTTATACTTAGGTTATGTTGTATTATTTTTACCTTTCACGGATACAATTTTTTATAATTTTAATCCCTATATTTTTTTAAATATAACCTAAATGGAAAAAACAAGTTACGGTACTTTAGTTTTAAACCGCAGTACTGCTATTATTATTATTATTATATATTATATATTGCAAAATATTAAAAGTTCTTTATCAACTTTTTAAGTGTAAATTAAGAATAAATTATCTTTTACAGTCTCTTCAACGGAAGTGAATGCAGTACTTGGACAAACAGCATCTTTGCCTTGTGACATTGAACCGTCCACGCGAGAAGATCGCGTTTACATGGTGCTATGGTTTCGCGAGGATGCAGTCAGGCCGATTTACAGGTAAATCGCTTATCGGTTTTTCATAAAGCTCATATTGTATATAATCCAATATACATATATATATCTAGTTTTACTAATATATAGCTTCCCAACCCCGAAACGTTACACGCTAGATTTCTTTACAGAAACGAGATAACAATTTTAATATTTCTTCTAAATATAAACACAAAATAAAAAAAAATTATTAGAATTTTAAAAATTTACGAATTTTTTTCATACTTTTTAAAATCTAAAGTTAAGAACATAAATTATTTTAAGATATTTGAATATATTATTTAAAATAGAAATTTTTTTTTGATACCCCATATAAATAGAAAATAAAAAAAAAAAGTGAAACAAAAAAAAAGAAGGGCGTCTGGAGACGAAAAAAAATTACCCATTTTCTGTGTTGAACTTAAACAAATAATTTTCACGTAAAAAGGGACTTAAGAGGTGCCAAACAACGGGGAGAATTACTTGCACGCTTTTCTTCTCGACGTGAAGAGCTTCTGTATGAGTTATGAAAGCCTTGCCTCGTCTTGAGGTTTTTTTTTCTAGTGGGAAATTGCTTTTTCCTTTTGATAGGCTTCCTGCGTAAAAATGCGACTTACGTGGCCCAACGAAAAGAGAAAAGTTCTTCTCATTACGTTCACTCCCTTTTTCGTTCAGCAAACCCTCTTTTTTTTCTCTATACACTTTCTCTTCCTCTCTCTCTCTCTCTCTATTTTTCTCTTCTCCCGCTCTTTTTCACGACACTCTCTTGGCTTTTCCTAGCTCACTTTGAGATTTTTCCAATGTGTATATGTTCATGTGTTTCACATATATATATATACATACACCGAAAAAGAGCTTAAAGTCCCTACCAGTTGAATGTCTACTTCTTTGATATTCAGAGCAAATGTAATCGTGTTTTGTATAGTGACTAAACGCGTTCCCGTCAAGTCAACGCGCGCGACGACTGACGTCAGTTATATTGCATTCTGAGGAAAAATCAGTCGATCTCTCTAAATCGCATATTTCCGTTGTATAAAGACGTCGTTATAGGGTTCAGAAAGACGAGGGAACAAAAAAAATACAGATATTTTTAATGGAATGCGTTTCTTTCGTGTACGCGAGCTTTAGGGACATTGTTATGTGTTATGATTTATTCCTTTTATGAAAAATAATGACATTGTTCTTTGATAAATATGATTGATGATATATATTTAAGGGGTGGTTTTGACATTTCTCGACTGTTTTCATTATTTGAAAATTCGAATCAACAGACCGTATTATGTTGATTCCACTTGTTATTGTAAAAAAAAATTGATGAAAGAAAAATTACATTTATACGTTGAAAGAATTTTTTTTATGTTCACTTATTACAATTTTTGAAAAGAATTTTATTTCGTTGGGAGATAAACTATTTAGATGATTGTGTCAAAAGTGTTTAATAAATGATGTTTCTTAAATTAATGTACTTAGTAATGTTACTTTAGATGTTTTCGTTCAGAATTCGAATCTTGGTATTAATTTTTTTTAAATTATAAATTTGATTAATAATTCAAAGTTTTAATTTTCTTCTATTGATATTTAAATAATGTTTGCAGATACTGATATTTTACCTTCAGAGGTAAGAGGCAATAGTTATCAAATTTTGCCTTCAGCAATGAGGCAATAATAGTTAAATTGCCTCAAATACTTTTAATTTTCTTCAACTGATATTTAAATAATGTTATATACTCTGCCGTGCAAAACTAATATACTGTAACTTGTCTTTACATTTAGGTTATGTTTCTTCTTTTAAAAAAGAAATTAAAATTATAAAAAAGATTTGAATTTGATAGAAATAATTATTTCTACCTTCCATGGATAAGATTTTTCATAATTTTAATCCCTGTATTTGTTTAAAAAGAAACATAACCTAAATTAAAAAAAAGGTTACGGTATTTCAGTATTGAACCGCAGTACTGCTATTTGACCTTTGGTGATAAGAGATCTGTAACAAAAAAAAACACACTAAAATGAAATAAAATTGATAAAAAATTTTTTAATTTACATAAAAGCTCGTCGAGTAGTATCACATTTCTTTTGATTTATCTTTCAAATTGACAAGACCTTCGATTTCGTTTGATTTTCGTTTTCAATTTACCTCTCTGCATATCAGGCTTGGACTCTCAATTCATTGCTAACACCCTATATATTTACCTTAGTGTTCCACCTTTTTCTTCCCCTCTATGATTTCTATGTTTTTCGTCCCTCTTTTTTTTTTTATTTATTTTTCTTTTCTTACTTCCAATTTTCTCTCTTGTTGATCACAATCTTCTTCTTTATAAGACGGGCCCCTCCTTCTATAACCATATAACAATATTGATTTATTTATATTATGCTACTCTAATGAAAATTTTCGCTAAAAAATATTTATCTGGATAAATAATTTTTTTAAAATAGATTTTTCTTAGGATATATAATATTTATCTATAATTATTAGTAATGAAATATTTAACTATAATTATGAGTAATAAAATATTTTACAATAATTTATTTGAAATAATTTTCAAAATAGATTCCATCTCTGGTGTATAATAATATATTAAAAAATGAAAATTATTTAATTTGCTTGCATAGAAATTGTCAGTTATTTTATACTTTATGGGACAAAAGAGTGAGAGTTTATATATATGTGTATACATTTTTCCTATGCATATATAATAGAAAAAATACTTTCTTTTTTTTTGTTGCACCACTCAACTCTAACAATTGTATTTTTCTATGAAAAGAATTCATAATTTTACTTTTGGTAGTCGCAAAAAAAAATATAAATTCTACAATTTTTAAAATCTATGGAAGTATAAAATTTAAAGTAATCTTAAATTAAAATTATTTTTAAACAAGAAGTATTTGTTAAAATTTTGAGAATTAAAAAGTAGCGAATGTAAATTCTATATCAGAAGCAGATAAAATGTATCTGAAATTATTTTTTTTCTAATATTGATTTTTATTATTATAGGAAAATATATTGTAAACTGAGCAGATGCTGTGAGCAATTATTAATACAGTCTAAAATAAATTTCTTGATTCAATCTATACATATATAGAGGGAAATATTCAGTTTCTTGATAAATAACAGTTATTATTTTAGCTTTATTGAATAATAGAATAATATTTGAAATGCAAGCAGGCGCAATATTCGATTGTATATAGAAGAATAGATACTTTCGAGTGGCGCTTGCGATTAGGAAAACAGTATAAATGCAAAAGGTAACTTTATATATATAGCATATTATAGTTTTGTCGAATGTCAATGTAGGGAAATATATGTATATAGTAATTGAAGGTCGTTAACAATGATAAATAGTACCAAGTTAAACAAAAGTAGTTACCTGTCTGATACACCAACAATCAATAAGAAAGTAGGATCTTGCACACCGCAGCAATATAGAGAAGAAGATAAATACCTATACCCCCCGACAGTTACAATTCTTTGACCTTTTGTTAACAACGATCAATGGATTTCTACTCGCGGGCGAGCTTTCAGGTCATGACCTAAAAGTACAGCTGTATGTTTTCCGAAAAAAAATTCAAGTTTCATTGAAAAAAAAAAAAAAAAAAAAACAGTAGCAACTCTCGGACACTCTATATGTTACTCCCCCTTGAAAAGGAACATAGACACTACAGAATTTTTTTTTTTCTCGAACAATAGAAATGGACTTTTTCAAACTGACAAATACACTAGGATAGTTTTTCTACTCTTTACTTTCTTTCTTTTTTTGTTCTATTTGTCTATATATATATATATAGTATACAACGGTGATAAACAGAAGTGCTTTTTTTAAAATGAAAAATCACTTCAAGAGCGCGGGGAAATTTTCATTGCAATCTTATAGAAAACAAATCGTAAAAGTAGATATGTTTTTGTTATTTAATTTTTTAAAAATATTTTTTATTATGAAGTAAAACTGGTTAGTTTTTTGTACAAAAAAAATATTAATAATTATCGAAGTTATAAAGAATTATTTTTCAAGTTCTTAAAAAAAAGTGATTTTCTACGGATATGATAAATCGAGACAGAATCATCTGAAATAAGGAAATTAGTAGAAATTTTTATTAATTTTTAGTAAAATATTACTATTTAATTTAGTAATCATTTTTTTTTACTAAAGTTTTAGTAAAAACGTAACTAAAAATTAGTAGAAATTTTCACTAATTCTATAATTTTTTTTCTTATTCTACTATTTTTTTGATATTTTAAGTTCATTGACTTTGAAAATGTCATTTTTGAGATAAACGCGTTTAAATTTTTCAATAAGAAAAACCTAACCTAAACCTTCTCGGGTTTGGTCACTTCCAGTAGAAAAACTATTTTTGCATTAGAACCGACCAATCAAAAACTTGTGTTCGGTAAAGATGCCAACGAGTGTCGCGAAATGCAACTGCGCTTGCGCCTACTGTAACTCTCTCATTGGTAGAAAAAGGCGCGCTTATTTAAAATGTTCTAATTTAAGAAATAGTTTAGAAAAACAATAAAAAAATTTTATACTAAAAATTTTAATCTTTATTTTATGTTTAGTTATATTTTTTAATTAAAATTAATTTTTATCAAATTATTTTGAAATCAATTTGCAGTAGAAATAATTTTACGGAAATTTTTTTCTGTAAAAATTAACTTTTAAATTAAACTAAGTTAATTAACTAATTATTATGAGAATTTTTTAAATTTATAAATAATAATAAATTAATTAAATAATAATAATAATAATATTAATAATAATAAACATACGCTTATTTTGTTAATAGTTTTAAAATTATTGGCACTTAATAATTTCAAAATAATTGACAAAAATTAATTTTGATTAAAGAATAAAAAATTAATTTTTATTAATTATTTTGACATTATTATTAAGTGAAAATAATTTTAAAACTATTAAAAAAGCAAGCGTATGTTTATTTATTATTGATAAATTTATTAATATTCATTAATTTAAAAAATTTCCGTAATATTTAATTAGTTAATTAACTTATTTTAATTTAAAAATTAATTTTTACAGAAAAAAAGTTAGAAAAATTATTCTTATTGGAAAATTAATTTCAATATAATTGATAAAAATTAATTTTTATTACAAAAACATAATTAAACATTAAAAAAACAATAAATTAATTACTTAAAAATTGTTTTTATTGTTTTATAAACATTTTTTATATTTTAGCATTTTAAATAAACGCGCCTTTTTCTACCAATGAGAGACTAACAGTAGCGCAAGCGCAATTGCGTTTCGCAACAATCGGCATCTTTAGTGACCGCACCATGACACAAAAAAAATGTCACATTTTTTTTTTAGAGGTTATATACTGAAACCGGGATTAAATATTAAAATCTCGTTCGTTTGAATAATTTCTCTACACTTAACACTTTTTAATTATTTGCAAATAAACTATTAATTGTCAAGTATAATTACCTTCTTCCGGAAATGTAATAAAATTACTTTAAAAACCACTTTTTTTTTACCGATTATAAAACGCGATAAAAACAAACGCTTCTTCTTTTTTCTGAAACAGCAGTACCAACTGTACTTTTTTTTCCAAAAAAAAAAAAAAAAAACATCGAATTTATAACCGACGATAAACAATTCTGATTGGCTGGAACAAAAGAAACAGTTTTTTTCTCATTCCTTTTCTATCTCGAATCAAATCACCGTATAATCTTCAATTGAAAGTTGGTCCAATAAATGCAAAAGTAGATCAATTTCTTTTTCCCCTCTCTCTCTCTCTCACTCTTTATAACAGATCGCGGATATAACGATATTTGAGTCTCTCTTTGAAAAAAGTTTTTTAAGACTTTTATATAATCCCCCCTTGCCCCCGCGTGCGCGTACTTTGAAAAAGTGAAAAAGGCGCGCAGAGAAGATCGAGAAGTTTTTCTTCTCTTTATAATATATATAGATATAGATATACTTTGACCATAAAACGCAACGATTTTCTTTTGCAGCTTCGACGTACGTGGAAGAGCTTTCAATAAAGCTCTCAACTGGTCGGAAAACAATGACGTGAAATCCAGAGCTTACTTCGTAACAGTGACGAAGCCAGCTACTCTTTCACTGGAAACTGTTCGACTCGATGACGAGGGCATTTACCGATGTCGGGTGGACTTTAAAAACTCTCCGACTCGAAACTTCCAAGTGAATCTCACAGTGATCGGTAAGAAAATAAAAAAAAAAACTTATACTCTATATAATATCTTTCTTTGTACGTTCTTGTTTTCCTTTTTTGCTACTTTTTTCTCAATTTTTTTTTTAGTTAATTTATAGAAATTAGAAATTAGAAATTTGAGGTTAGGTTGACTGTTATATAATACAGGGGCGTAGCAAACGATGTGACAAGAGGGCGAAACGATTTTATCGAATTTTAGGTTATGTTACACTTAAATCGTTATTCGCAGAAATTTTTATTTATAAATATAAAATTACATAATTTATTATTATTATTTGGCAATTAAAAATCGCATCGATATAAAAAAAAATCGTTAACTTTTTTTCACATTATTTATTATTATTATTAAATAATAAATTGATATAAAAGTAAATAGTAAATTATTATTATTATTATTATTATTTCTTTTTTTGCTACTTTTTTCTCAATTTTTTTTTAGTTAATTTGTATAGAAATTAGAAATTGAAATTTGAGGTTAGGTTGACTGTTATATAATACAGGGGCGTAGCAAACAATGGGACAAGAGGGCGAAACGATTTTATCGAATTTTAGGTTATGTTACACCTAAATCGTTATTCGCAGAAATTTTTATTTATAAATATAAAATTAAATAATTTATTATTATTATTTGACAATTAAAGATCGGATCGATACAAAAAAAATCGTTTACTTTTTTTCACATTATTTATTATTATTATTAAATAATAAATTAATATAAAAGTAAATAGTACATTATTATTATTATTATTAATTATTATTAGTAAATAATATAAATTAATAAAACATGAAAATTTCTGTGAAATTTTTTTTCTTTTTTTTTTTACATTGAAAATGCGAAAATGTGATTTTTTTCCGATATATTTTTTTTTCGCTTTAATAGGAATTTTTATTATATTAAAATTAACATTCGGCACATGATGCGGATGTAAAATTATTTCTATATATATATATATACATACACATTCAAATATCTGTTGGAATAAGGATTATTTTAAAAACTTTTTATACTTCAAAAGCTGTGGCTTAATTGAATTCAAGCCTTTTTCCAATCCAAGAGTCCTTACAACTTTTTTCTGAGGGAAATTCTACTTTTTAGGGGTCTTTACTCTCATCCTTTTTTTTTTTTATTATTAAAAATAATAAACGAAAAAGTTTTTTACTTTTATTTTTTTCTATAATAGTACTCTGATTATTTTTAATAATTTTTTTTTTCATACTAATTTTATTAATAAAACATTGTGTTTTTTTTTTAATTTCTTTTGCAACGAAAGAAAAAAATTTAATTCACAATTTTTATAACGGAAAGGGATTAGGAAAAAAATACTTTAAAAAAAAAAAATTTAATTTAGTTCGCATAAAAAAAAATTAAAATCCCATTGAATAATTTTTAAATTGATAAAAAATCTTCTTTTGAAGATCTAATCATGCTATATTATCTATTAAAAAAACGAAAAAAATAATTAAATAATTAAAAATATTTTTTCGAATTAAAAAAGAAATTATTTTATATATTTTAGATATTAGAATTATTTTAAGAATTAAATTTAAAAAAAATTATGATAAAATTGAAATATTTCATGTACTAATCTTTCAAATCAGAGATGTTTGCGTGTAAATATGGAATTTTTCAAAAATGAAATTATTATAATTTAGAAACATATTTTTTAGTTTCTTCTTCTTTTTACTGAAATTTTAATATAAATATAGTTTTTCATGAGAGATAAATATATACATATTATTTAAAAAAAAAAAAAAAAAAAAATACTATACAATCTACAAAGAATTTTTTTTTTTCCCCCATAAAAGAGAAAAAAATATATAAAAAATTATTTCTCTTGAGAAGAAAAATACATTAATTAAAAAAAAATTCTATAGAGAAAAAAGTATTTATAAAAAAAAGAAAAATAACTCAATTAATTAAGGTATTTTTGCATTATTTTTATTTTATCTTTATTACAAAAAGATTTTAGAAAAATTCTTTTTGTTACATAATTAGGAAAATTATAATACTACAAAGGAAATATAAAAATTGTTGGGCGAAAATAATATGTAAAAATATACATTTTTTTCTTCTACAAACGAAAAAAATATTAAATTTGTTAATTTTTTTTTGTTCCTAGAAAAATATTAAAATGTAAATTGTAGAAAACTAATAAAAATTCAAAGCAGTTGAAAAGTTAATTAATTATTTAAAAAAATTTTTTTTTTATTTTCTAATTTTTATTATTTCAAAAGTAATTGGAGTTTTTTTTTTTTTATTGTTTGCCTTTTATTTTGCGGAAAAGATTAATTAGAGCTGTCGCGTATCGAAATAGATCCAATTAAAGATTACTTGAGATTTCCTTTCTTCTTTTTTTTTTTACAAAAGATAAACTTTAATTACTTGATGTAATTCTCTTTTCAGTTCCTCCACGTGAGTTGTTAATTTTCGACAGTTCAGGAGCCGAGGTGGAAAATGTCGTTGGACCCTATCGAGTTGGGGTTGAGTTTAGCTTATCTTGTCAAGTTAAAGGAGGTAAGATAAGATACAAAACCATTATAATTAAATTTCCAAGAAAATTACACCTTTATCTCATTTTATTATCGTCGCCTCGTACATAAATCCAATTTTAGTTTTCGAGAAATATTCTTGCCGCAAAATATATTATGTGTGTATTTGCAAAAAACCTCTATTTTGTGATTTACTGTGAAAATGATGAAAAAAAAGTAATTATTTAATTACAAATTTCTTATTTCATTTCTTTTATTAAATTAAATAATAAAACTAATTTTTTTTACGTATTATTTGAAATTTTGAATATTTTAAATTTTTTTACTAAATTAAATAATTTCTTATTTCATTTTTCTTATTAAATTAAATAATAAATTAATTTTTTACGAATTAGATGAAATTTTGAATATTTCAATTTTTTTACTAAATTAAATAATTTCTTATTTAATTTTCTTATTCAATTAAATAACAAAATTAATTTTTTAACGTTTTAATTGAATTTTGAATATTTCAATTTATTATATTTAATTTTTTTACTAAATTAAATAATTTATTATATTTTTTATCTGTATTAATAGAAGTGGAAATATTTAAATTTCTTATTTAAATTTTGTTTCATTAAATTCAATAATCAATTTATTATTTATTTTATTGTATTAATTGAATTGTGAATATATAAATTATTATTTTTTATTAAATTAAATAATTTATTATTTTTAATTAATTAAAATGTTAATATTTAAATTTCTTTCTTATTATTTTTTTTTTAAATTAAATTAATTAGTAAATTTATTATTTTTGCTTCCTCGTGGAGGAGGAAGCAAATTTTTTTTTGCTGATCGTAAAGAGGAAGCAAAATATTCATGTAATGAACATCTAAATTTCCAACTTGTTTTTATTTTGTATTAATTAAAAATTGAATATTTTTAAGCAAAACAAAAAAGGAATTAATAATTATTATTAATTTATTCTATTGGAGGAACTTTGGAAAAATTATAATTTTTATGTAGCAGAAATATTTAAATAAATTTTCATTTTAAATATAGTCCAAAATAGATGAAAATTAAGAAAGATTTTTTTTTCGTGAAATTAACAAAATTTACCAGAATAAATCCTATGAAAGTTGATTGGAACGAATTTTCCTTTTTTTTACCTATTAATTTGTTTTTTTAAATTATTTCCAAAGATTTTTTAAATTATTTCCAAATTGGCTTCAAATCATTTTCAAATTAATTTTATAAATTGATCCATATCACAAATTAGTCACAAAATTAATCGCAACATTAAATTAATATTCAAATATATTCACAAACTTTATTAATTGATAGTATTTTTAAAAATTAGAAAAATTGTCACGTCTATTATTATCAATTATTTCACTTTATAGAATGAAAAAATGATTTTTGTTTATTAATCTCTAAGCAAAAATTTGTTGCCAACCAAAAAAATGAACTTAAATCTTGAAATCTTCATATTTCTTCGACTCGAACGAAATAATATAAAATTTTAAAAAAAAGAAGGGATTTACATAGATTATTTATTATTAAAAAAAAAAAATTGTGTCTTTATCACGAATTTTCTGTAAAATCATTGAAATAAATCAGACGAGAATAAACGACTAGAAAATTTAAAAAGAAATTAAAAATGGATGAAAATAAATAATTAATGTGACAAAATCAAATTTGTATATTTATAAATTTGTCAGTTATCAATTTTACAACTAATTATTTTCAATCATTGAAACGTGGTTGCGAAAAAAATGTAATTTATTTCTTGAAAATTAAATTATTTTTATTTTTTTTTTTTTTTCGTTTTTTCTAAAGGAAAACCAACACCAGTGGTCACGTGGCTTGTCAATGGAACCGAAACAATGGGACTATTGCAAAAATTAGGAGCAACTATCGTGGTCAATGAACTGACAGTATCTCAACTAAAAAGGGAGCACCTAAATACAACGTACAAATGTAGGGCCACTAACACGAATTTGATGACTCCCTTGGAAAAGAACGTCCTTTTAGACGTATACTGTGAGTATATCTAGAAGCTTTTCATATTGCGAGAGCTCAAAGAAAGTTTCTCTCTCAGCGTAAAATAAAAAAAAAAAAAAAGAAAAACAAAACAAAAAGGAAAAAAAAAGAATAAAAAGCTTTACACCGTTTTCCTATAGCTCGACTTTTCTTAAATAGCCCCGCGAGAGTCAGGTCCAGACCTTTATTCAACGAGCGACTTTTCATTTTTTTTTTTTTGTATAACACATTTCAGTCTTTCTCTCTCTCTCTCTCACTCTCCTGCTCTCAGATATGTGTCAACGAAATTCAAGAGATGCAAGCAAGATTATTTCACTTTGCAAGATTTTTATCGCTCGTTTTATAATTTTCTCCTGTACGTGACGAGATCAACCTTTTTTTTTTTTTTTCTTTTTTAACCCCGCACTAAGAAAATTGCTTCAAGCAGCAAATTATCTTATCGTGATTTCCCAGTGACTAAAAAAAAAAAAGAGAGAAGTTTCTTTTTTTTTTTCTTGTCGTTCTTTAATTCTTCTACATTTACAAATTTTCTTGGGGTGTTTTTTTCTTGATTTTTTTTTTTTTTTTTTTTTTTTGGAGGGGGTTTCAAGGATATTTTATAGTAGTAGATTTTATTTTGGTTTCACTCTCTTTTCACGGAATTTGAATTTTGGACGCGATTTTGTAAAACGTGGGAATAATGATTTTTTTTATCAAAAAGTCGAGGATTATGGAAAATTTGTATTTACTTTTCCCCGATTTTTTGGGAATTCGAATTAAATTCCAGTTTTTTTTTTTTTTTTATATTATTTTGTAGTTGAAAAATATTTTTTTGTTTTGATATTTTCGTAGAGTTGAAAAATATATATTTTTCAATTTTTTTTTTATTTCTTATAACTGAAAAGTATTTTTAAATTCCATATATAGTTTTTGTATTTTTTTTATAATTGCAGTAATAATTTATAATTAATTAAATAATTTACAATTTTGTAAAAATGAAATGTATTTTTCAATATTTTATAGTTTCTTGAGATGGAACAATTTATTTTTAAATTTTATATAATTTTTTTTTAAATTGCAGTAATAATTTATAATTTCTTGAAAATGAAACGTATTTTTCAATATACTATTTTTTAATTTCTTGAAATGGAATATTTTCTTTTTAAATTTTATATAATTCTTTTTTTGGAATTTAAAGATAATTGTAAATTTTTAATAACCTTAGAACAAAAAAACTTATCAATTTTTGTAAATTTTTCTTTGGATTTAAAAGGTATTATCACTTTTTTCATTTTTCTATAAAATTGGAAAATATCAATTTTTTTTTTCTTTCTCTTGAAGTTACAAAATAACAATTTTCTATTTTTTTCTTTGGAATTGAAAAATATTTAATAAATATAAATAAAAAAGAAAAAAAAATACTTAACAAAATAAATTAAAGGAAATCTTAAAAAAATATAAATCAATTTTCTTTCCTTTTTGTAAATAGAAAAAATTTTTCCAATTTTTGAATAATTTTTCCCTTTGTAAATAAATATTTATTTTGAAAATATTGATTATTTGATTTTCAATTATTATATATAATAATAAAATGCTTGGTCTGTCCTTCTGTCCTTTAAAGTTGTATATTGATTCAAAAATTGTATACAAATACAAAAAATTTATGATGAGAAAAAAGATGCGCCAGGAAATTTCGTACAAGATAGTAATTTGAAAAAATTTATTTTTAAAAATTAATTTTTAAGGTACCAGGGGCCAACGATTACCTATTAAATATTAATTATAGAAACACAGGTCTCGAATCAATTTAAAGAAACAAAAAAAGTCGTTTTAGTCGATTTATATTCCAAAAAAAATGGATTTTTTTTTTATTTTGACAAAAATATTTTATAGATTTTTAAATAAAAAATTTTTTTTTAAATAATAATCCTTTTCGAAGGGTTAAAGTTGAAATTTTTAGAAATAATTAAATTTCAAAAGATATTGTTAATTTTCAAACAATTATTAAATTTTACAGAACTAAAAATAATTTATCAAACAATTTTTGGAAAACATTTTTTAAATTTAATTGAATTTTCAAAGATTTAAAATTGAGATTTTTGAAATTAATTGAAACTTAAAGTGTTTTGTAATTAAAATTTTAGATGATTTCACTAAAAATTTATTAGAAAATGCGGACAAAATAAAATAATTTGAAAATCATTTTTAATTAAAAAATTGTTTCAGATAGTTGAAATTTCAAAGAATATTATTAAAATAGTTAAAAATAATTGAATTTTCTTAGAGTTATAATTGAAATTATTAAATTTCAAAAAAAAAAATTTTCGATGGAAAATTTTAGAAATAATTAAATTTTAGATGCTTTTAAATTCAAATTATTGAAAATTCAATTAATTTTGAATTCAAATTTTTGAGAATAATGAAATTTTATTTGATTTTAAATTTGTTAAATAATTGAATTTCAGTTCATTTTGAATTGAAAATTTTGGGAAATAATTGAATTTGAATTAGAAATTTTTGATAATAATTTAATTTAAGTTTATTATTGATTGAAAATTTGGATAATTAATTTTGAATAGAAATTTTAGAAAATAACTGAATTTTATTTCATTTTTAAATTGAAAACTTGGTAAATAATTAAATTTTAAATTAAAAATTTTTGATAATTATTGGATTTTTAATTGATTTTGAATTAAAATTTCGGGTAATAATTGAATTTTAGTTTATTTTGAATTGAAATTTTTAAAAAATAATTCAATTTTATTGTGATATTTTTTTTTTTAATTATAAACAGTTGTTAAATTTCATAAAAATTTTAATTGAAAAATAATTTTGATATAATTGAATTTGTGATGTATTTCATTAAAATTGAATTTTAATTCAAAATTTTCAAAATAAATAAATTTCCATTGAAATTTTTGAAAATAATTCAATTTTCATTGAAAATTTTTAAAATAAATGAAATTTAATTGAAATTTTTGAAAATAATTAATTTTAATTAATTCAGTATTTAAAATTTTGAAAATAATTGAATTTTAATTAATTTGGAATTGAAAATTTTCAAAACAAATGAATTTTAATTCAAAATTTTCAAAATAAATAAATTTCCATTGAAATTTTTGAAAATAATTCAATTTTAATTGTTTTTGAATTGAAAATTTTTAGAAATAATTGAATTTCAAAAAATTTTAGATGGAAAATTGTAGAAATAATTAAATTTTTGAAGCTTTCAAATTGAAATTTTCGAAAATAATTGAATTTTAATTGAAATTTTGGATAATAATTTAATTTAAGTTCATTTTTGATTGAAAATTTGGATAATTAATTTTTGAATAGAAATTTTAGAAAATAATTGAATTTTATTTCATTTTAAATTGAAAACTTGGTAAATAATTAAATTTTAAATTGAAAATTTTCGATAATTATTGGATTTCTAATTGATTTTGAATTAAAATTTCGGGTAATAAATGAATTTTAGTTTATTTTGAATTGAAATTTTTAAAAAATAATTCAATTTTATTGTGATATTTTTTTTATTAAATTATAAACAATTGTTAAATTTCAGAAAAATTTTAATTAAAAAACAATTTTGATATAATTGAATTTGTGATGTATTTCATTAAAATTATTAAAAATAATTAATTTAGTTAAGAATCATTTTAGTTCAAAATTTGTTAAATAATTGAATTGAAGAAGATCTGAAGAAGATCTACATTTTATACTAAAAAAAATGTATTATTTACATTTTTTTTCAAATATAAAAAAAAATGTCGCATTTTATTAAAATAAGTCGATAAAAGTCGTATTTTTGAAAAAAGTCGGAAAAAGTCGTATAATTCGAGGCCTGTATAATTTTCATTATTATCATTTAATATGTAATAATATTCTAATAAATTAAATTATTTTTGATAATATTAATCTTTAATTTCTTTATAACAAACAATTAAATACTCAATTTGGCGCGCGTTTAATTTTGCTAGTTTTTTATATATAAAAGAATGAAAATTTATTTTTTTTTTGTATAAAACTCATTCATGTTTGCTTTGATTTTAAGTGAAACCAATTTCGGTGGAAATACTAACGAAGCCCTTGATCTTGGAAGCAGAGAAGGATTACTCGATTTCCTGTAAATGTATTGGTTCTCATCCTCGAGCAAAAATTTCCTGGCTTGATAAAAATGGAACCTCGTTTAAAAGTGGCAAGGTAAGATTTTTTTTTCCCCTTTTTTTTCTTTTTTCTTTCTCTAAAACTAAATTTATTTGTCGGGTATTAGTTACTTTTTATTGTCAAACGTCTCTATATATATATATATGTATATACTGTAGGTAGTAAATGGTGAAGACTCGAAGTCTGTTTTAAGTACTTTGATCTTTTCTCCGATTCCTGAGGATCATGGGGATATTCTCAAGTGTCGAGGGGAAAATCCAGAATTGGCCGGAGCATATCTCGATGACCAATTTCCCCTCAATGTTGTCTGTAAGCAATTTTTTTCCCTCTCTTTATAATTCTACATTTTTAGAAACGAAAAAAAAAAAATACTTTTTTCTTATTTTGAAAAAAATGTGTTAAAATTGAAAAATTTTTGAAATTTTATTTTTAATTTATATTTTATTTATATTTTATTAAATTAATTCGAATTTATTAAAAAATAATAGAAATTAAAATTTATTTTAAAAAAATAAAGTAATTAGAATTTATTAAAAACAAAATATAATTAAATTACCATTAAAAATTTGGAAAAAGAAAATTAAAAAAAATTTATTATTTTTAGTTCCTCCAAAAGTTCAATTACATTTGGGAAGTACATTGAATGCAGAAAATATAAAAGAAGGCGACGACGTCTATTTCGAGTGTAAAGTCCGAGCAAATCCGGAACATCACAAAATAACATGGAAACACAATGTAAGTAATATTTTAATTATTTTTTTTTTTTTTTCAAGAACATATTCGAAAAAATTCGAAAATTTATTTTTTTTTTTGCTTTCAACAATATTTTAGTTTGTTAACAATTTATAATTGCAAATTAATTAATCACTTTTAGTCAAAATACAACAAAAAAAAAATTTTTTATTATATTAGTTTGAAATTATATAGTTTTTTATATTATTAATTTAGTTTACAATTTTTTTTTTTAATTATTATTTATTATCATCACGTTAATTTAAAAATATTTTTTTTTATTACATAAATTTTTGAAATAAAAAAAAAGTAACGTTGATTGACAAATTGTGTTTTTTTTTGAGAAAGCAATTTATTTTCTTTTTCGTCGAAAAACGCTGAATTTGATTGTTAGCGAAGAGTTGTAAGGGCTTTTTTCATGTCTGTTAACGATGAATAAGAAATTTCATATTTCTTTATTTTTTTTTTATTTTTTTTTCCATTTTTCATCCTCCCTTTTTGCCCGTGAAAAGGGAGTCGTCCTCGCTCAGAACTACTCGGCTGGAATAATAATGAGCACTCAAAGTTTGGTTCTGCAAAGCATTGGACGGGACAACGCCGGAAATTATACCTGTCTTGCGAGCAACGATAGGGGAGAAACTTCCAGTTCTGCTGTATCTTTACGAGTCCAATGTGAGTTCAATTTCCAATTATTAATCATTCACTTTAATTAATTTCTATCGTTTTGATTCAGTAACTGGAGAGAGAGAGAGAGAAACGAGACTTGTTATTTTTTTTATGTTTTTAATTCATCTTTTTTTTTTTTTAATTTTGTTAATATAATAATGGGAATAATGATTTTTTATCAAAAAGTCGAGGATTATGGAAAAATTTTATGTACTTTTTTCCGATTTTTTGGGAATTCGAATTAAATTCCAGTTTTTTTGTTTTTTATAATTATTTTGTAGTTGAAAAATATTTTTTTGTTTTGATAATTTCGTAGAGTTGAGAAATATATATTTTTCAATTTTTTTTTTTTATTTCTCATAACTGAAAAGTATTTTTAAATTCCATATATTTTTTGTATTTTTTTTTATAATTGCAGTAATAATTTATAATTAATTAAATAATTTACAATTTTGTAAAAATGAAATGTATTTTTCAATATTTTATAGTCTCTTGAGATGGAACAATTTATTTTTAAATTTTATATAATTTTTCTTGAAATTGCAGTAATAATTTATAATTGTTTAAATTATTTATAATTTCTTGAAAATGAAACGTATTTTTCAATATATTTTTTAATTTCTTGAAATGGAATATTTTCTTTTTAAATTTTATATAATTTTTTTTTTTGGAATTTACAGATAATTGTAAATTTTTAATAACCTTAGAATAAAAAAAAAACTTATCAATTTTTGTAAATTTTTTTTTGGATTTAAAAAGTATTATCACTTTTTTCATTTTTCTATAAAATTGGAAAATATCAATTTTTTTTTTCTTTCTTTTGAAGTTACAAAATAACAATTTTTTTCTTTGGAATTGAAAAATTCCAATCAATTTTTTCTTTGGAATTGAAAAATATTTAATAAATATAAATAAAAAAGAGAAAAAAAAATACTTAACAAAATAAATTAAATGAAATCTTAAAAAAATATATATATTAATTTTCTTTCCTTTTTGTAAATAGAAAAAATTCTACCAATTTTTGAATAATTTTTCCCTTTGTAAATAAATATATATTTTGAAAATATTGATTATTTGATTTTCAATTATTATATATAATAATAAAATGCTTGGTCTGTCCTTCTCTTCTTTAAAGTTGTATATTGATTCAAAAATTGTATACAAATACAAAAAATTTATGATGAGAAAAAAGATGCGACAGGAAATTTCGTACAAGATAGTAATTTGAAAAAAATTTATTAATTTTATTATTAATTAATTATTATAATTAATTATTTATTAATTAATTTCTATCGTTTTGATTCAGTAACTGGAGAGAGAGAGAGAGAGAGAGAGAAACGAGACTTGTTATTTTTTTTATGTTTTTAATTCATCTTTTTTTTTTTTTAATTTTGTTAATATTTTTTTAATTTCCTTAGAATTTAAAAAGTATTTGTGTTTCTTTTCTTTTTTTTCGCAAAATTTATTTAGAATTTTGTTAATTTTTTTTTTTTAATTTCCATAGAATTTAAAAAGTATTTGTGTATTTCTTTTCTTTTTTTTCGCAAAATTTATTTAGAATTTTTTTTTTCTGTTGCTTTAAAATATAAATTGATTTGAGAAAAAAAAATTGTTTTTCTTTTTAATAGATGCGCCTGTTTGTAAGGCAAAAGAGGTGACAATAATTGGCGCATCATTGGAGGAATCAGTGAAAGTACGCTGTGAAGTTGATGCTGATCCTGCGGACGTTGATTTTCTATGGGAATTTAATAATAGTGGAGAAAATTTTGAGGGAGCTTCAGCAAAATTCGATGGCAATAATGGAACAATGAGTGAATTAATTTATACACCAATATCAGATAGGGATTATGGACCCTTGACTTGTTGGGGCAGAAATCCCATTGGAAAACAAGAAGCTCCATGCATTTATCAAATTATTCCCGCAGGTATGTGATCGATAGAAAAAAAAAATTTCCCTTTACGCAATCGCGAGAAAAATTTTCCCCTTTTTTTGTGCCATTAATTTCAAATTATTGAATTTTTTTTTTTTTTTTAAATATTTAAATTTAATATTTATAAATGTAATAAATTTAAGGGAATATTTATATATATTTTTTTTTCGCTTTTCTTTTCAGTAAAACCGAGTCAGTTGAGTAATTGTACAATAAAAGCGGCTCTGAATTTAAGCTCGGAAATTTTGGAAGTGGAATGTGTTCCGGGCTATGATGGTGGCATTAGACAAGAGTTTAAGCTTGAGGCGTTTGAGGTTTCAAGTGGGAAAATGCGATTAAACGCCTCGAGCATTTCTATGGAAATACCAATTTTTCGAATAGCCGTCGCTGATCTTTTACCCGCTACGCATTTTTATTTACGGGTTTTTGCAATCAATGCAAAGGGCAAAAGTGATCCGACAATGCTTGAAGATATTTTACTTCGAGATTCCGAGAAGAATCAAGGTATGTAATTTCTTTTTTTTATTTATTATTAATTTTTTTTCCTTTTATAAAAATTATTATCAGATAATAAATAAATTATTGTACAAAAATTTATTTATTATATATATTTATTATTTATTATATAATATTATTTATTTATATTTATTTATTATACAATAATTTATTTATTCATTTATTTAAAAAATCAGTGGATGGTCACTTAAATTTGAAAATAAAATTCAAGACTTTTTCATGGATTTGGGAAAAAAAAAAAAATTGCAAACAACCAAAATGTTGGGAATAATTTTTAAAATATTGCAAAAATTATTGAAAATTGAAAAGAAACAATTTTTTTTGTCAAATTTTGATTTTTTCAAACAAAAAAAAATTTTTATTTATCAAATTAGACTAAAAAACGTAGCAAAATTTTTAGTAAATTTTTTAATTGAAACGAAAATAATTTCAGTCTTAAAACTAGGAAAAATTAAAAAATTAAGGCTAATTTACCTTTTTTTAAAAAAAAAAAGCTTAATTAAAATTCATTTCGTTATCCCGAGTTTTAAAATTCTATGGCCATACACTGATAAATAATAATTTTTTTGTTATTTTTATAAATAATTTTCATTCTTATGTGAATTTAAAATTCATTTATTTTAATTAATAATTTTTTCTTTATTCTGTAAAGAATTTTCTGTTTTTATTTTTGAATTTGCTTAAATTTTAAAAAATTTTATGTCTTCCTTTCATATATATATATGTATTATTATATTTTAATTGAAAAATTTTAATTACATTTAATTTAAATTTGTTTTTGAAGAATTTTAATTAAATTATTAAATATGAATATTGAGTTGTTGAAAAAACAATATTTTTTTCTCTTAATTATGATTAATTAAAATATTTCTTATTGAGATATTTAAAAATTAATATTTATGTATTTGTACATAAAAAGCTGTTATAAATATTAATTTATCAAAAGCAGATTATTAACGGGTTTTTTTAATCATTGAAAAAAAAAAATTGCAAACAATCAAAATATTGGAAATAGTTTTTAAATTATTGCGAATTATTGAAAATTGAAAAAAACAATTTTTTTTGTCAAATTTTGATTTTTTCAAACAAAAAAAAATTTTTATTTATCAAATTAGACTAAAAAAACCTAGCAAAATTTTTAGTAAATTTTTTAATTGAAACGAAAATCAAAATTTCAGTCTTAAAACTAGGAAAAATTAAAAAATTAAGGTAAATAAATTTTTAGAGGCAAGAAATAAGAAGTTGTTTTTTTTTCATAAAAATCGAAATTTTATTATTTACTATTTCGATTTCATGTCATTTTGTTCGTAGAATTGACAATTATTATTTTTTTGTTATTTAGTAATTTATTATTATTATTATTATTATTTTTATTATTATTACTATTATTAATTATTAATAAATTTATTCTAATAATTTATTATTCTATATAATATTTTTAACTTATTTTTATTCTAACTTATCTATTTTTAAATATTTTTCATTATAAATTATGTTAATTTAAATAGTATTTTATATTCTATATAATATTCTAAATTCTACAATTTAAATATATAATATTTTTATCAAAAAAAGAAGAAAATATAAAAAATATAATTTTTTTTTTTTGTAATATAAACTTAAAATGTAAGAAATTTTTTTTTTTTTTTAAATATAAAATTATTAATTATATGAAAAAAATAATTGAATGTAAATTTTCGTACAAAAAAAAATTTCTAAAATCTAAAATTACAAATACAAATCTAAAATACTTATTTATTATTTTAATAATTTAAAACTAGATAATATTTTTTATAATTTACAAAAATATAAAAAAAAACGCGAAAAACAATATCAAACTTTTATTTCGAAAAATGAAGTTATCCGACTAATAAGAATTCTTTTTTTGTTTCCGAAGATGGGGAATTTGCAGCTTCTCTCAATCTCTGTAACAAAAAGAAATCGTTGAATTAAAATTCCGAATTTCTAGTTCTAAATTATTGATTAATATTATTGAAATATTTTTTTTGTAACGAAATATATAATAATACCTAATATAATACAATATTTATAATAATATAATATATAATTACAGAATTTAATAATAATAATAAAATTTAGTAGGTAAATGATGATGAAATAATAACAATAATAATAATAATAATAATAATATAATACATAATAATTTTTATACTAAAAAAAAATTTTTTTTTTTTGCTTTAAATAATTGGTTACTTGACTATTATCAAATAAATATTTACTTGAACCAAATAATATTTATTTAAATGAAATAAATTATATATTTGAATTAAATAAATATTTTTTTTTCAGTGTATTTTATTGAAATATTATTTATATTAATTATATATTTTTATATTTTTTTTTTTATGAAAAAGGGGGAAAAAATTTGGTTTTTTTTCTTTCCAAAACAAAAGGAGAGTGAATAAAAAAAAAAATAATTTTTTTTTTTTTTTTTGAATTTTAGACAGCGGTGTCAGTATGGTGCCATTAATTTTACTTCTCGTTGGTTGTTTAATGGCACTTGGAGTAACTGTATTGTCAGTGATGTTAATGATGTATCGAAGACGTGGTACAACATCGCCAGTACATATTGAACCCTATATGAAACAACCAATAATAACGCCACCTGATTCGAGAAATAATTCAATGCTCGATGTCACACACGGTGATCATACATATTTTGTTGAATATACACTCAAGCAGGTCGCCGATTATGCATTAAATAATCAACCCGATATAATTCAATCGCCTCAAGGTATATAATTTTATAAATTTATTTATAAATTATTGTATTTTGATTTATTATTTTCAATTATTAATTATCATATATATTATTTATTTGAATTTGCGAACTTTTTATTTATGTACATATTTAAAATTATTTTTAAATAGAAAACGAGAGAATGAGAAAAAAAAAAAGGGAAATTGTCTAAAATGGAATTGAATTTTTTAAAATGATTTTTTATTTCTGATATTTATATTTATATTTGAAATGTCTAAAAATTTAGTTGAATTTTTAAAAAACTAGTTTTTTTTTTAGATCACGAGAAAATCAAAAGGGAGCCACAATTATTTTTGCCAGTGAGGCCGGATACTCTATTTGCACCGTATGACATTCACAAACAAGGCCTTCAATCAAACAGATGCAGTGTGAGAAAATTTACTGTATTATCTATTTTTTCTATTTTCTTTTTTTGGTTTTGGATATTTTTATTTTCTAATTACTCTTTCATTTTTTTTTTAAATTGGCTTCTTTAATTATTTTTTACTTTTTCATTTAATTTCAATTGTTTTTTGTATTTACTATTTTTATATTTTATTTACTATTTAAATTATTTTTCTGTTAATTTGATTAATTTTCTATTAAATTTTTGTTGTATTTTTTTTTATTTAATTTTCCATTTATTTTCAATTTTTTTTTTAAATTAGCTTCTTTAATTATTTTTTACTTTTTCATTTAATTTCAATTGTTTTTTGTATTTACTATTTTTATATTTTATTTACTATTTAAATTATTTTTCTGTTAATTTGATTAATTTTCTATTAAATTTTTGTTGTATTTTTTTTTATTTAATTTTCCATTTATTTTCAATTTTTTTTAAAATTAGCTTCTTTAATTATTTTTTACTTTTTCATTTAATTTCAATTGTTTTTCGTATTTACTATTTTTTTGTATTTTATTTATTATTTAAATTATTTTTCTGTTAATTTGATTAATTTTCTATTAAATTGTTGTATTTTTTTTTATTTAATTTTCCATTTATTTTCAATTTTTTTTTTATTATTATTTTTTATTTACTTTTCCGTTTTTTCAATTTTCTGTTTTATTTAATATTCTAAATTAGCTTCTTTAATTATTTCTTACTTTTTCATTTAATTTCAATTATTTTTCGTATTTTATTTACTATTTAAATTATTTTTCTGTTAATTTTATTAATTTTCTATTAAATTGTTGTATTTTTTTAATTTAATTTTCCATTTATTTTCAATTTTTTTTTTATTATTATTTTTTATTTACTTTTCCGTTTTTTCAATTTTCTGTTTTATTTACTATTTTTTTGTATTTTATTTATTTAAATTGCTTTTTTATTTTTAAATACTTTTCAATTATTTTTTTTTGTTATATTTGTGAATAATTTATTATTATAATTTTATTTTTGGAAAATTTTATTTTTTTATTTATTTTATTCAAAAAATTTGATAATCGGAAAAATTGTTATTATTTCATTTACTATTTAAATTATTTTTCTGTTAATTTGATTAATTTTCTATTAAATTTTTGTTGTATTTTTTTTTTATTTAATTTTCCATTTATTTTCAATTTTTTTTTTTTATTATTTTTTATTTACTTTTCCGTTTTTTTCAATTTTTTGTTTTATTTACTATTTTTTTGTATTTTATTTATTTAAATTGCTTTTTGTATCTTTTATCTTTAATTACTTTTCAATTATTTTTTTTTCTATTTGTGAATAATTTATTATTATAATTATTTTATTTTTGGAAAATTTTATTTATTTTTTTTTTTATTCAAAAAATTTGATAATAAAAAAATTGTTATTTGTTTTTTGATAGCAAAAATTGAAAAAAAATGCCTTTTATTTCAGCTGAATCCATTTTCTGCGAAATCGTGGGAACCAATAAGTTTCAAGGCTGATCGCAATCTCATGAAAGAGATCATCATCGCAAATTCCATACCCGGTCCAGAGAGTTGTGTCTAAAAGGAACCGCGCGAATGGAAAAACATTGAAGAAACATATCAGGAAGACTGAACGAGAAATCATCAGTCCCTAGCACAGTAATGAAAAAAAAACAAAAAACAAACAAATCATCATTCAACGCACCCGCGATAAAAAAAAATCATCAACCTCATTTTTTAGACTGTGAAAATTATTATTTTTTTTTCCTTTTTTTTTTGCGAAAAATCGCGTTTAAAACGCGCCTTAACATTACGCAAATGATGGAGGGGGAAAAAAAAAGTAACAATAATATTTTCATCACTCGCGTTAATAATTGTTCGAGTAACAGACTTAAAAGTAAAAAAATAATAATAATTAATAAATAAAAAAAGCAAAAAAAAAAAAAAAATGATCACTTTTGTAAGAAACTTACGCTATAAGAGATAAAAAAAAAAAAAAAAGAAAAGAAAAACATTCGACGAAAGACTAAAAAAATAATTCTCGTAGCATATTCTAACCAAACGCTACAAAACACAATGTATTACTCTGAGTTTAATATATTTTGTGTCAAGTCTTGACAACGAGTTTGTCTATTTTTTTCAATAGCCAGAAACAATTTCTCTCTTTTTTTTTTTTTTTTTTTGCAATTTTTGTCACGTTTGTTTTATTTTTAGGGATTTTGTAATCTTTCGTTTTTTTTATAACGGTAATGCGTTAATTTTTCTTTTTGCTTTTTTTGCAGTTTGCTTTCTTATAAAATTTTCTTTTTCCGTTTATTTAAATTTTTGTCGTGTTTATTATTTTTCGAAATTTTGTCGTCTTGTTTTATTTTTAGGGATTTTGTAATCTTTCGTTTTTTTTATATCGGTAATGCGTTAATTTTTCTTTTTGCTTTTTTTTTTGCTTTCTTTTAAAATTTTCTTTTTCCGTTTATTTAAATTTTTGTCGTGTTTATTATTTTTCGAAATTTTGTCGTCTTGTTTTTTTTTTCTCAATTGTAACGCGTTACTTTTTTCGTTTTAACATTTAGATTTCTATTTATTTGGAATTTCTATTTGTTTTTTTTTTGTTTACTTGTTTTATTTTTTGTTTGTTTATTTATTTTATTGTTTGCTTATTTTATTATTTATTTATTTTATTCTATTTTTTTTTTGTTCTTTAAAGTACAGGTGTTCTTCTTGTATAAGTGAAGAGGCAAGTGCCATTTGAACAAAGTGAAACACCGAGAAGAACGCCATAAACTAAGGCGATCCAAACGAGAAAACCAATGACGAGGGCTGTGAGGAATTTTCCGATCCTCTTGGAAAATTTATAGTAACCATTTACTGATGAATTTGGACGCGATTCAAAGGTATTTTGTTCATCGATGATAAATGGCGTGACCTAAGAAGAAAATTTACAAATTCATTTGAAAATTTTAAGGTAACATACACCAATAACAGTTTTTTTTATAATCAAAAATTAATAGAATGAAAATTTTATTTTCAAAGAAATTTTATTATTTTTTTTTATTATTTTAATTGGAATTTTTTTCAATTTTGCAATTGAAAAATAATGCTCAATTAGAAAATTATAATTATATAGAAAATTATAATTATATAATTTTTATTATAATTATAATTATAATTATAATTTTTCTTTTAATTGAAAATATTATTTTTTAAAAATTATTTAATAAAATAATTTAATTAAAAATAAAATAAATAATAAGAATTGTTAATTTTTGACAAAAAAAAAAACTGTTGGAGGTGAAAAATAATTTTCCTTTTTTTTTTTTGAGAAGAAGCTTTGGATATTAAAATAATTTACTGATCTTGTGACGAGTCTATTTTGAAATTCCACATTTTCCTGATGATTATTGTTATTATTTTGTTGATTTATCGCATTGCTCGCGAGTGTTTCGAAACTTTCTTCACTTATTTTATCGCAAAGTGAAATTAATTCAGGACATGGTTCCGTGAACGCGTCAATTTGTTCGCAAGTGTAATAATTTATCGATTGACACGGTTGACAATGTATTGTAAAGTCCGATTGCTGCAAGAAAAAAAAAAGAGAAAACGAATTTTTGGCAATTTCTTGTAAACTACTTTCTTTAAAAATAATTTTAATTTATTTTTCTCAATATTAATTTAATTTATTATTATTATTATTATTTATTATTTTTTTTTTATTTGTTTTTAAAACATTTGCAATTACTTTTCTATTTTTGAGATTTTGAATTTGTTGACAGACAAGATTCCATATTTGATATTTGGCCTGACAAATTTCACTTTGAAATTCGTCACTAATAAGATGTGCCTCATTGACAATTTCTTCTAAATCGCGAATAAAATTTCCGTGCGCACAAATCATAATAAAAAATATTTCTTTTTTTTCCGTTCAAAACCAAAAAAAAAAAAAATTCACTTATTACTTGTCAAAAATTAATCGACAGGTTATTTTATGATATTTTTTATTTTTAATGGACTGAAATTAATTTAGTGTTTTGTTTTTTAATACTTTTTTTATATTTGATTTTTTATTATTCAATTTTTATTTATTTATTTTTTTATTAAACCTATAAGGCATTTAAAATATTAGAATTTTTAAATTAAATTTTTGTTTTTAATATTTTAAATTAATTTTTTTTCAAATTTAAATAACCGTAGAATTTACTATTTACTATTTAAATTTAAATTTATATTTACTATTTATTTCGTTTTTTATTTCTAATTTATTTAGTTATTCTTATTATTAGTTATTCTTCTTTAGTTCTTTTTTTGAAAAAAAAATTTTCAATTAATTTTCATGAAGCAATTCTTTTATTTCAGAAAAGAACAAATTTTTTTTTATTCTTTATTTTAAGAAATTATTTTTAGCATCGTTGGTAGTTGTTTCAAAATCGTTGAATAATAAAGAAAAGTAAAAAATACAATTTTTCCGAATTATTAAAAATAGTGGAAACGGAAATAAAAATTTTAAAGATTCATTTAAAAAATAAATGTAGAATAAAGAAAGTATTTTTGAATTTAAAAATTTGTTTAAATTTACTAAATTTAAAGAAATACAATATTATTTATCTATAAAAAATTTTTTTTTTTAAATTAATTTACAAGATTATAATTACAAAATTATTCAAAAATTGTATTTTTCTATCATTTATTATTAATTTTATTTCTAATAATATCATTAATTAATTTTATTCCTAATAAATAAAAATTGAAGTTATTATCATACTTTTATATTATGAAATTCGATAAAAGCAAAATTTAATTTATTGGATTTTTGTAAATTAAAATTGAAAAATTGAGAAAACAATTTTTCTTTCTTTCTTTTTTTTTTTACAAAACTCAATGTATTAAGCAAATCAAAAAAAAAAATTTACAATATATTGAGATAATTTTCCACATTAAAAAAAAAGAAAAGAAAGACAGAAAAAAATCTTATATTCTCACAGAAAATAGTGGGGGAAAAAAAAATAAATTAAAAATTAAAAAAAATATTTACACAAAACACTCACACACTTGTTGATTAAAGCTGCATGTAATATTTAATTATTATTGTTATTATTCACTAACTAATCCTTGGCTTCTTCTCCGGTGGTGGTTTCATGTCTTTCTTTTCAGTTTTTACCTCCTGCTTTACTTCGACAGCTGTAAAAAAAAAAAAAAAAATTCTCATTACTAAAATTGAAGAATTTTCAAATAAAAATTCAAATAATTTAATAAACAATATATAAAAAAAAACTTGAAAAATATTCAAACTTCGGAATTAAAGCAATAAGAAAAATATAATGAATATTAAATTAATAAATTTAATTTAATAAATATATTTCAATAATTAAATAACTTAAATAATAAACAATAAAAATAATTATTAATAAATAAAAATTTTATTAGTTATTTTATTTAATGAATTTTAATTTTTCTTTTTTATTCAAAGTTGTTAAAAAAACGTAATTAATTAATATTATAAATTTGAGTTTAATTATTTTATTTTGTGAGTTTAAAATTGATTTTTTTTTCTATTAAAAATTGTGAAAAAGAAAAAAGTGAACATGAAAATAATTCTTACGAGGTTCAATTGCGGGTTGAATTGGTTTTGGAACGGGAATTGGAAATTTTCTTGTCAATTCAGCCAATAACATATCAACTCTCTGCCGTTGAAATAAAGAACTTGGTTCTTCTCTCACAACTGTTTCTTTTTTTTGAGTGACGGTTTTTCCATTTTTAAAATCCCACGAATAACCCTTACTCGGATGATATCGCGAACAGGAACTAACTTCATCGAATGCACTTTGTAAATGATGAATTGTCGTCAACTGTAGAAAAAAGAGAATTTTTATTTCCTTTTTTTTTGCAACATAAAAACATTTTTCAATATTTCAGGCCTCGGATCGACTTTAAGGCACAAGAAAAGTCGTTTTAGTCCGATTTATATTCGAAAAAAAGTCGAAAAAGTCGATTTTTTCAATTTAAAACAAAAATTTAATTGGTTAATGAATATTTTACTTTAAATAACTAATGTTATTAGATATTAAATTTATTTTATTAATTCTATAATGAGAATAATTTTATATAAGAATATTATCAAGAATTTTTAGAAATAATTGAATATCAAAAGATTTTGTTAATTTTCAAAGAATAATTAAATTTTACAGAAATGAAAATAATTTATGTTTTTGGAAAAAAAATGATTTCTCATAGTTAAATTTTCGAAAAATTGAATTACAATTTTCATTTATTACCATTAAAAATTTGTAAAATAATTTAATTTTTAGGATTTCTTTTGAAAATTTGGAAAATAATTGAATTTCAATTGAAACTTTAGAAAACAATTGAATTTTAGTTCATTTTGGATTGAAAATTTTGAAAATAATTGAATTTTAGTTAATTTTAAGTAGAAAATTTTGAAAATAATTTTATTTTAGTTAATTTTAAATAGAAAATTTTGAAAATAATTGAATTTTAATTCAAAATTTTCAAAATAAATGAAATTCAATTGAAATTTTTGAAAATTGAATTTTAATTAATTCAGAATTTTAAATTTTGAAAATAATTGAATTTTAATTAATTTGGAATTGAAAATTTTGAAAATAATAGAATTTTAATTCAAAATTTTCAAAATAAATAAATTTCCATTGAAATTTTTGAAAATAATTGAATTTTCATTGAAAATTTTCAAAATAAATGAAATTCAATTGAAATTTTTGAAAATAATTGAATTTTAATTAATTCAGAATTTAAAATTTTGAAAATAATTGAATTTTAATTGATTTTGAATTGAAAATTTTGAAAATAATTGAATTTTAATTGATTTTGATTTGAAATTTTTAGAAATAATTGAATTTAAAAAAAATTTTAGATGAAAAATTGTAGAAATAATTAAATTTTAGAAGCTTTCAAATTGAAATTTTTGAAAATAATTGAATTTTAAAAGATTGTGTTAAATTTCAGACAATAATAAATTATAATAAGAGAAATTTTTAGTGATTTCTGTTGATGAAGAATTTATTAGAAATCACAAAATAATTGAATTCCAAAAGTTTTTAATTGAAAAAATTGCTTTCAAATAAATGAATTTTTGAATAATTAAATTTCAAGTGATTTTAATTTAAAAATTTTTGGTAATTTTATTTGCTATTTTTTTTTTTTTTTTTTTTTGAAATTATAAACAATCCTTAAATTTCATAAAAATTTGAATTAGAAAATAATTTAAGGTAATTGAATTTGTGAAGAATTTCATTAAAATTATTAAAAATAATTAATTTAGTGAAGAATTTTAGTTAAAAGTTTGTTAAATAATTGAAATAAAAAAGATCTGAAGAAGATCTGCATTGTATACTAAAAAAATGTATTTTGTTTAAAAATTTTTTAAAAAAATGTAAAAAAAAAAGTCGAAAAAGTTGTATTTTATTAAAATAAGTCGAAAAATTGTATTTTAGAAAAAAATTCGGAAAAAGTCGAAAAAGTCGTATAATCCGTGGCCTGAATATTTCAACTGGTACTTAAAACTTTTTTTTTTCAAAATTAATAGATATATTTCATAAATTTAAATATAAATGTTTTTCAAAAAAAAAAAATATTTCTATTTAAATATTTTTCGAGAAATGATTTATATTTAAATATCTTTTAAGAAATGATTATTTAATATAAAAAAATATATATTTTTATTCCCGTGTTTACTAGTAAATAAATGATTATATTTAAAAAAAAAAAAAGTGAAACAAATTTTAATGGCGAAATATTTGTAATTTAAAATTAGATTAGAGTATTAAAATTGAAAAATTTTTTTTTCAGTAAAAGAGTATTTTTTTTTCTTGTAAAATGAAAGTAGAAAAAAATTATTTTCTTTTTTTTTGAGAGAGGAGGAAAATTTTTAAAATTGCAATTTTAAATGGAAAATTATTATTTTTTTTACTATTCAAATTCTTACCAATCGGGAATTAATAACTGAGGATAAATCAGGTGCCTGATAAACAACACCGGCAATAATATAATAATCAGCTAATGGAGTTGCATCAGTTGGATTTGGTGAATGTCGATGTTGCTTTCTAATAACATATAAAATTGGTTCCTGCACGTGTAAAAGAATATACTCGATTCCCGTTAAATTTCTGTAAAATAATAAAAATTTATATTTCAATATTATTTTTTCTTTTCCAAATTAATTTTGAATGGAAAAAAGAAATCTTTTTTTTTTTATCTATTCAGAGTAACTATGACTTAGCTAATATCATTAATCGACTTTGAATTTAAATCAAAACGATTTAAATTCGTTTTAGTGTCGATCTTTGCCAATATGTTAATCATCATTCAATAAAATATAAAAAAAAAAAAATAAATAAAATAAAAAAAATAAAAAATATACAAAATAAACAATATTTAAATTTAAATTAAAAAAAGGTAAAAAAAATGTAATTATTAAATTTAAAAAAAAGGTAAAAAAATTTAATTATTAAATTTAAAAAAAGGTAAAAAAAATTTAATTATTAAATTTAAAAAAAAATGAGGTAAAAAAAATTTAATTAGGTAAATTTATTTTTAAAATAAGATAAACAAATTTAATTATATAAATTAAAAAAAAATTTAATTACATAAATTACAAAAATGAAGTAAATTTAATTATATATAATTTAAAATAAAATGTGTTTAAAAAATTTTTTTTACGAGTATAAAAACTGGAAAATATAGAAAAATTAAAATTCTTTAAAAAACAGTAAAAAAAAAAATAATAATATAAATATTTTTTTTTTTAAATGACTTGTCTTACTTTAAATTCTCGGGACCAAGCCGTTGCATTTTAATGGATTCATTATTACAGGTTCGATCGTAAAACGGATTAGTTCGTTCTGCGAAATAATCCATTATATTTGTTGGATTCAACATTGGAATCCATGCACTGTCGTGCCATGATAAAGCCAAATGATTTTCTAAAAAAAAAAAATAAGAAAATTTCAAAAAGGAAAAAATTAAATCCTACATAAAAAGAAGAATTTTCTATTTTTTTTTAGTTTTGTTTTAGAGTTAAAAAAAATTTTCTTTTATAAATAACAATTTTCCAAAAAGCAAAAAATATAGTTTATCGGAAACGAAAAAAAAACCGAAATTTTCTAAAAAGTTTATTTTCGAAAATAGTTCGAAACGTATAAAATTTAGAAAATTTTTCCATAAAAATTGTAACATGTGACTAACAGATCTAAAAATCAAGCGACTTTAAAAACGATTTTATTTTTGTCTATATATTTTACAATACAAAGAAAAAAAATTCGAAACTTATTTAAAATTATATAACGTATAGATTTAAAAAAGAAATTTCTATACTTTTAATATATATAAATTAATGCGAAACGCCAAAATTTTGAGGTTATGTTACAGAATTCTGATAATTAAAATTATGTTCATAAATTACTATATTATGGCAATAAAAAAAAAAGAAATTATTTACCTGTTACTGGTGGGCGTCCAGGAATCATTTTGAATTAAAAAATAAATACTAAATAAACTAAAATTTATAAAAATTATTAAAATTAGAAGTGAATTGCACTATAGACGTGTTAACACTAACACACAACACAACGATGACAATTGACGCATGCGTGAAAAAACACTCCAAAAACGGAAATAAATATATATTTTCTATTTAAATGATTAATTAACCAATTTATTATACATTGCATTATTATATTTGCATTTTAAAATCATTTTTATTAACTTTTTCTAAAAAAGCTGAAAAGTAACGTACGTATTGCTAAATAGATTATTTTTCTATATTCAAAAAGTTCGCGGAGAAATCATGCCAACGTCATCAAACACAACTGCGCTTGCGCTAGTACACTTCTCTCATTGGTTGAAAAAAAAACTGTATGTACAAAGCCTTAAGTTACCGTATGAACAATATTAAGAAAAATATATAAAAGACGCTTTTATTTTTCAAAATGCTTTAATATAAAAGAAAATATTTTAAAAATAATACTTACGATTTTTTTTCCAATTTTCTTTTTATATTAAAGCATTTTAAATAAAGGCGCCTTTTTCCGCCATTGACAAAGTGTAGCGCAAGCGCAGTTCCCTTTACCGACGGTCGTTGACATTTTTGCGCATGCGCGCTCATCAGCTGTAGCTCCAATTTTCCTCAAAATCGATGTTGATATATATTTTTATTAGAAAAAAAAAACAAAAACGATTTTTTACCAGTTTTAATCAACTCTTATTTGTTTCTTTGCATTTAATTAGAAAGTCATTGATGTGAATTTATATTGTGTGCCAGTAAAATGCGCGTATAAACATATACAACATAACATTTGTTGTTGAATATTTCTTCACATAACCTCAAAAAAGAAATTTCAAGTTCGTGGTGCGCGTATATGAAATATATATATTTTTACGAAAAAAAAAATCGATTGAAAATTAAAAAAGAAAAATGTCAGGAAAAGGTAAACAAAGTTCAAAAAAGGCAGTGATTAAAGTACGTGAAGGTGGAAAATCAGCGCAATCAACATTAAATAATGCTGAGACAAGTCCTGAATCTGAAGATGCATCAACATTTTTGTCAAATTTAAAAATAATTGACAAAGAAAAACAATTGCCCAAATATTGTTCTATTCTTCAGGTAATTTTTATTAATATTTTTATTGTTGAGAATTTTTTTTTGAATTCACTTTTTTTCTTTGTTGTTTTTTTTTATTTCGTTTATTTATTGTTTTCGTATTTATTTCTTTGTGTTTTGCGAAATTTTTTCACAAATTTTAGAAAAGTTTAATAAAAATTGGAATTTTATATTATTATTATTATTATTATTATTATTATATTGTTCTATTCTTTAGGTATAAATAATATTTTTGATGTTAAAAAATTTCTAAATTATAAAAAAAAAAAATTGATTTGGAATTTTTTTTTTTTAATAACATTTGATTAATTATTTTTAGTTTTGTGAAATTTTAATTATTTTCTGAAAATTAACAAAATATTTTGAAGTTTAATTATTTCTAAAAGTTTTCGATTTTTTTTTTTGAAATATAAATCGACTTTTTTTTGTGCCTTGTCGATTGGCGGCTTGTTATTATTTTATAAAATTAATTAGAAAATTTTCATTTTAAAGAATTTTATTAGAAATAATTTTTTTTTTTTTGACGATTTTCTAATTTTTGGTTGAAAATTAAAATTTAATAGATTTTCTTTTCATACGAATTTTTACATAACATTTTTAGCTACCGAATTTTTGTTTAACAAAATTTTTATTTTTTATTATTTTTATTTAAGCGAATTTTAAGTAATTTAAATTTTTAAATGTCGAAAATTCCAATTCACCGAATTTTAATTTGTACGAATTTTTAAGACGCCGAATTTTGTTTTTGAAAATTTATTTACATTAATAAATTTTCAACTAAAATTATCAAAAAAGAAATATTTTCATTTTTAAAACATAAATAATTTTGTAATTATTTGTATTGTAAAATTTTATATTTTGTTTTCTTTCAGCGAACTGTTGATGAGGGAATTGGAATGGAAGATTTAGATGCACTTCAAATGGAACTTGAAATGATGCTCTCATCAGTTGTATTAAGAAGTCGTGCATTACAAGAGGAAATTTCAAGTTTTTCATCAAATGACGAACGACGTGATAGACGATCAAAAAGTGGCAAGGGCCTATCGCAAGTTGATAAAAAAATACGCGACGACAAAACAAAAGCCAAAGAAATGAATATTAAAACACATTCACCGGTGCCGAATAAACTTTTTAAACAACGTATTCCTGGTAGTTCATTAAATCAATTGGTACCAAATCCCCATGAATTGGTACGCGTCGAAGGTAAAGATGTACCAAAATTGATGCCAAAAAATGATACACCCAATAAATTTTGGGCATCAGTTGATCCATATTGTACTGATATTATGCCCGACGATATTAAATTACTCGAGGAACTTATTACATCGCATTCTGATATTTCGGAATTTAAAAAAATTCCCCCACTCGGTAGACATTATAGTTTAATGTGGGCGCACAATGATTTATTACAAGAGGAGGACGCATCAAATTCAAATCGTGAGAAGAAAAAAAGATCTGATGTTTCACTATTATTGGCGAAAGGCGATAGAAAAGCAAATGGAATTGCTGGTATAATTTTCATTTTTCTCTATTTATCCCTAAAAGTCCCCTATTATATATATTAATTTTTCTTTTTCAAAATTTCAGGTCCACTAACTCAAAGACTTGTTTCTGCATTACTTGAGGAAAATGTTTATGTCGCTAATAATAATACGGAAAATAAATTATTTCGCGATGGCGATCCATCGCCAGTGTTACGCGATTTAACAATACAAAATTCAATGAATCTTGAATTAAGAATGCATAAGGAACTTGTCGATCAGGGAATATTAGAGCCTGATACGCATAAAAAAAATTCCGATGACGATGAAATATTGGCGGAAATAAAACGTTGTCAACAAGAATTACAAGCACTATCTAGTCATAATGTTACACAATTAAAGAGACTTTTAAATTTAACACAAGATGAAAGTAAACGGCAAGCATTGAAGAGAAAAATTAAAAGTGTCGATAATGAAGTTGTTGATCATTATAATAAATTGGTATTATCGAAACAAGGAAAAATGCCATTATCACGTAAGGAACAAGAAAAAGCATGGGCATGCCTTAAGGAAAGGGAAAATCTTTTACAACAACTTGATATGTTACCATCGAATAGTATTGGCGAACCAATAAGAGTATCAAATGCAAGTAACACTTCCACGTAATAATAATAATAATGATAATGATAATGATAATGATAATGATAATTGATGCGCTTGTTGGTGATTTTAAATTAACAGACTCTTTTTTTTTCTTCATTTTTAAGTGAGAAAGGTAGATTAAGTTATTATTATATATATATATATATGAAATAAAGTTTAATTATTGATAAGAAATCAAATTTATTTTTGATTTAATTTTTATTTAACGAAATTTTATTTTCAGCAAATGTATTTTTATTGATACAGGTTTAGATGTAAATTTATCTTACCGTCAAATTGGGGAAATTATAAAACAAAAAACGCGATACTTTCAGTGTTTTTTCTTCAACGTAAATTTTGGAAATTTTTAAACAATTTTCTTTTTTAATATATTGTTTTATGTTGGGGAGAGAAAAAAAAGGATATTATATATTTTATATTTAAAATAATGCGCGCGATTAGTATCTTTTTTTTACAGGCCTCGGTTCGACTTTAAGGGGCAAAAAAAGTCGATTTTTTTTCTATTTTAATTAAATTTAATTAGTTAATTAATTTTACTTTAAATAATTAATGTTAAAAACATTTGAGTTTTATTAATAATTAATAATTTACATAAATAATTATTAATAATTTTTTTACATTATTAATAATATATTTATTTTAGATTATTAATATTTTATTGCCTTTTAGTTCTAATTTAATAAAAAAAAAAAACTTTAAACGAAAATTTTTTTGGATATAACACTTCCCCTAATATGTCGGATACCTGCTTACATCGAATATTTTGCCTGGTCCCTTGAAATCTGATATACGTGGGTTTATAAAAACATAAAAAAAAATTACCTAACCAGAAAATAAAAATTACCGACATAGAAATCTACCTTACCGACTAACGATAAAAATATGAAAAATAACCTACTTAGAAATCTACCTTGCCAACTGATGGTAAAACAGTTTTTTAAAAATGAAAAAATAAAAATTACCGACATAAAAATCTACCTTACCGACCTTACCACCAGCCGATAAAGTAGATTCCTATATCGGTAATTTTATTATTTTCGTTTTCCAAGAAACTGTTTTACCATCAGTCGGTAAGGTAGATTCCTATGTCGATAATTTTTCCTTTTTCAAAAAACTGTTTTACTATCAGTCGCTAAGGTAGATTCTTATGTAGATAATTTTTATATTGTCATTTTAAAAAAAGTTTTAGTCAGTAAAGTAGATTTTTGGGTCGGTAAGTTTTATATTTTCATTTGTAAAAAAATTTTACCATCAGTCGGCAAGGTAGATTTCTAAGTAGATTTTTTCATATTTTCGAAAAAAAATTGTTTTACCATCAGTCGGTAATGTAGAATTCTGTGTTGATAATTTTTATATTTCGTGAAAACTTTCTTGCCATCAGTCGGTAAGGTAGATTCCTATGTCGATAATTATTAATATTTAGAAATTTCGGTTAAAATATGAATTTTTGATTTTTTAACTTCCATTAATTCTTTAAATTTAACTCAAATGTATAGGTACTCAAATGTTTATATTATTATATTATTTTTGTATGTTTATTTCAATGTTAATGCATTCTCCACGAGGTAGCAAATTTTTTTTGTTGATCGTAAAAAGGAAGCAAAATGTTCATGTAATGAACATCTGAATTTACAGCTTGTTTTATATTATCATTTTTCCAGAAAACTGTTTTACCATTAGTCGGCAAGGTAGATTTCTAAGTAGGTAATTTTTAATATTTTCATTTTTCAAATAACTTATTTTACCATCAATCGGTAAGGTAAATTCCTATGTCGGTAATTTTTCCTTTTTCAAAAAAAAACTGTTTTACTATCAGTCGGTAAGGTAGATTCCTATGTCGATAATTTTTATATTGTCATTTAAAAAAAGTTTTAGTCAGTCAGTAAAGTAGATTTTTGGATCGGTAAGTTTTATATTTTCATTTGTAAAAAAAATTTTACCATCCGCCGGCAAGGTTGATTTCTAAGTAGATTTTATCATATTTTCGAAAAAAAACTGTTTTACCATCAGTCGGTAATGTAAATTTCTTTGTTGATAATTTTTGTATTTTTATTTTTCGTGAAAACTTTCTTACTATCAGTCGGTAAGGTAGATTCCTATGTCGATAATTTTTATATTGTCATTTTAAAAAGTTTTACCGTCAGTCGTTAAAGTAGATTTTTGGGTCGGTAAGTTGTATATTTTTTGAAAAAAAACTGTTTTACCATTAGTTGGTAATGTAGATTTCTAAGTAGGTAATTTTTCATGTTTATTTTTAAAACTGTTTTACCATCAGTCAGTAATGTAGATTCCGATGTCGATAATTTTTATATTGTCATTTTAAAAAGTTTTACCTTCAGTCGGTAAAGTAGATTTTTGGGTCGGTAAGTTCTATATTATTAGTTTTTGAAGAAAAAACTGTTTTACCATTAGTTGGTAATGTAGATTTCTAAGTAGGTAATTTTTCATGTTTATTTTTTTAAAAAAACTGTTTTACCATCAGTCAGTAATGTAGATTTCGGTGTTGATAAATTTTGTATTTTTCGAAAAAAACTGTTTTGCCATCAGTCGGTAATGTAGATTTTTGTGGTGATAATTTTTGTATTTTTATTTTTCAAAAATAACTGTTTTACCATTAGTCGGTAAGGTAGATTTTTGTGTCGATATTTTTCATATTTTCAGTTTTTAAAAAATTTTAATAAGCGAAATGTTTAATGATTTCTGTTAAAGAATTTATTAGAAATCACATTAAAAAAATTAAATTCCAAAAGTTTTTAAATCGAAAAATGCTTTTAGATGATTGAATTTTCGAAGAATATTTTAAAAATCATTAAAAATAATTAATTTAGTGTAGAATTTTAGTTAATAATTTATTAAATTAGGTATAAAAAATAGTAAAGGTAAAGAAAAAAAGATAAAATTCTCACGACAAAGATGTTTATTCGATATCACTGTACAGATTCCTCGCCAAGAGTTGTCTTTAACAACGTGCGTACGCGACGGCACAACAATGATGATGAATCGCAACGAGTATAACAAAAAGAGTTTAAAAAAAAAAAAAAAAAACAAAAAAGTGAGAAAGTACTCGCAACGTTACTGTGAGCAGATACATGCACAGGATTTTTCCTGTGTGAGAGAAAATGGGAGTTGAAGAAGACAGAGAAAAAAAAAATGAGACTATGAATCAGTGACATTGTGAGAGAGATCCCATTTTCATCTCTAATTATTAAATCAGTGTTTCCTATTTTTTTTTTTCGATACATATTTATAATTCAATGGTTTATTTTTCCCTTTAATCTGTAACTTTTGTCTTTTTTTTTTCTTTTTCTTTAATATTTATATATATAACAATTGTGAATTTAACGCTACACGATTACAGTAGACCATGAAACAATTAAGAAGCTATTTATGTAGGCAATTTATTGTTTGAATGAGGGGAGTGAGATTTTGTTTTTTTTTTTTTTAGGACGGTCTGACGATTTTCAATTTACGTGTACGACCCCTTTTTTTCTAATTGAATTTATTTTTTTTCTTTTGTCATTTAATGTGCAATTTGAAGTTTGTCCATTGTCACACCGTCGCTCCCCCACGGATCAGTGTCATTGGTCTTCCTAATGATCTCATGAACTCCCGCGTACCAGGAACAGCTGTCGTCCCATTTTGTCCCCATTTGGGGGTTGAGAACGCGAGAGACGTCCACGCTGTGCCTTGGCAGTGACGCACTAGAACTATCGGTATTTTTTTTTTTTGGTTATGGATGTTATTTTTCTGATCTTTTCTTTATTTTTCTTTCTGATAGTTTAGAAGGCGAAGAGGAGTAAAAAGGCCATCATAAGACAGAAAAGACCCATGGCCTCAGAAAGGGCAAAGCCCAAAATGGCGTATGAGAACAATTGTTGTTTCAAGGATGGATTCCTCGCGTATCCGATGATCAATGAACCGAATACAGATCCAATTCCAGCACCTGTAAATTTCAGAATTTTTTAATATTAATTTAAAATAATTTAATTAATAGTGCATAAGTACAATAATTATTATTGTATTATTTTTTTTTGCTATGTATCCAAAATGTTACCGACCTTAAAGTTTTCAAAATAAAAGAAATATATTTAACATTTTTTCGATTTTGAAAGATTTTTGACACTTGGTTTATTAATGAAAGGAATTTTTTATCTTTTGTCAAAAATTCTTTTCAAAAATGTCGGACAATTGGAGAGAAAAGAAAGTTGATCCAACTTTATATTTTTGTATTTTTGAAAAAAGAAACAAATTTATATTCTTGTTTTAGAAATAAAAAAAAATTACTTATTTTAATTTAAAATAAAAGTTTACTTTATAAATATGGAGCCCATTAAGAAACAATTAAAATTGCATTTATAAGGGTATAAAAATTTCTAAAACACTAAAAAAAAAAAAGTTTATTTGATCTGCATTTTAATTAAAAATTATTGGTTTTCTTTTAATTTAAAAATCTTGTTTCTTTTTTTTTCTTGTCTTTCCGTTTTTTTTTATTTTTAAATATTTGTAAATACAGTAAAACCTTTTAATTGCAATTAATTTATAGTATTTTCCGAATTTTTTTTAAAAATCTATTTTAATATTTATCTCTTTTAATTACTTTCATTTTAAAAATATTCTTTTTACTATTTCAACAATTAAATATTTTTTACAATTCTAATTTTTTCGACAAAAAAGGTTTTACTGTTAAAAATCTACGAATTATATATTTAAACAACAAAATTGATTATTAACTCAATTCGTAATTTATAATTAAAATTAAAAAATAATTACAAATAAATTTGGAAATTTGTTACGGTTCGATTGTTTTTTTTTTTTATTTAATTTTAATTAATAAAAAATTGAAACGATAATTACAAAAATATATATTATATTACATAATTAGATAATTTAAATAATTTCTTTATAATTAAAATTAAATAAAAATTTGGAACCGTAATAAACTAAAATTTGAAATTAATTCGTCAGTCCTGACGTGGTGAAAGGGACCTTACGCCAAAAAAATTGATTTTTATTTTTTTATACCAATTGAAAGTATTTGAGTTGCTATTTCATTTCCAAAAAATAGAAATTATTTTTTTATTATACACATTTAAACGTAGGCATCTTTCTCGTATTACATTTTCTGAATCATGTTTGAAAGCACTTTCTTTAACGTTAGCTTTTGTCGATTTTAATTTTCTTATATAAAAATTGATAGTTTTTGAGTTGCTGTTTGATTTCCAAAAATCAAAAATTGTCCCCTTGCAATAGTTTTTTTTTTTATAAACATTTAAACATAGGCGGTGCAGTCTACGCCTATTTATTTGCTTCTCTTTGACAGCACGTCATCTACAATTTGCTTTTAAACCGTAAGGTCCCTTTCACCGCGTCAGGACACATATAAATTTGCAATTAAAAATAAATTTGTAATTCAAAAATTTCGAGAATTTGTAATTAAATTGAGAAAAAAATCAAATTAACTACGTAATTTCATCATAAACGATAAAAGGCTACTTTTTTGCGTGCGAGGATCCATCCAAATGAAGATGAGTGATAGGTTCAGAGGCAGGTTTTTTGCTTAGGCAAAGGAGACATGAGTTGGGATTTTTTTTTTTTTTTTTTTTTAAAGGGCAAAGAGCATTATGAAGGCGATCATGATACAAAAAAGACCCATCGCTTCAGATAATGCAAAGCCAAGGATCGCGTAACTGAAGACTTGTGCTTTCAATGAGGGATTTCGTGCGTAACCGATTATTAATGCGCCAAAAACGACTCCAATTCCAACACCTGTGTGAATTATAGATTAAAAAACAATAGATTTTCTTTTTTTTTTCGTTTCAATTGATGATTGTTATAGAAATTTTTTTTTTTCTATTACGTGGACAATGAAACAATATCTGTTTTTTTAAATTATAAAATAAGGATAATTATTTTAAAAAAATGTTTTCTTTCCTTTTTTTCGTATTTTTAGTATTTTTTTTTTTTTTTTTTAATTTTACCTGATCCTGCAACACCAACAGTTGCGGCACCAGCACCAATGAATTTCGCTGCTGTGTCAATATCGCGGCTAATTGCCGAAGTTTGGAAATTGCGCACGATTGGCGACTGAAATATTAAAAATTTTCGTTATTAGGCAATTTTTTAAATTAACAATTAATTTTAATCAACATTTTTTTTCAATTAAATGTTAATTTTAGTTAATATTTTTATAATTAAATGTTAATTTTATTTAATCTACATTTTTTTGGAACTATTTTAATAAATCAAATATTTTTCAATTAATAATTAATTTTAAATAAATAATTTGAATTAATAAATATTTATTTTCTTTTTTAATTTTTTGATAATAAACCTTTGTAATTGAAGGACCGGAAATATTTTTTTTTATCGAAATTTTTTTATTTTAGAAATTAATATTTAATAAAGGACAATTAATTGAATTTATAATTAAAATTTGTTTTCCCTTACAATATATATATAATGGAAATTAATTAAATTAATTTAAATAAATCTGTTAATTGAAAAATTATTTTTTATATTCAAATTTATTGAAATAGTTTTGAATAAATATATAAATTTTTTTTCAAAGTCTTTACCAAGGAGACACTGCTGGGAATCAGCCTTTGATTCTCTTGAACCGATTGGCTTTGATTTAGTTGCGCGACTGCGCTGCTCATCGGTCGAAGGTAATTCTTAGTTCCAGCCACTAACTGCAAAATTTAAACAAATATTTTTAAATAATTATTAATAATAATAATAATAATAATAATAATAATAATAATATTAATTTAATTAAATATTAACAAATATTTTCATTGAAACACAAGATTTTTAGTCAAAAAAAAAATATTTAGTATAAAAAATTACAAATTGATATTTAAAAATTTTAATTGAAACACAAAATTTGTAACAGAAAATAACATTTTTTTAAAAAATTCACTATTAAAAATTGCAAAATTGGTATTCAAAAATTTTTCATTGAAAAACGAAATTTATAGTCGAAAATAAAAAAAAATTATATTTACAGTAATTTTTAGTTAAAATTCGAAAATTTCTAATAGAAGAAAAATTTATTTTTTTTAAATAAAGATTATTTGAAAATTTACGAGAAAAATTGAAATAAACAAATTAGAATTTAAAATATAAGGGAAAATAGAATTCAAAAAGCAAAAAATTTTCATTGTAAATTAAAAAAAGTATTGATTTCTTTTATTAAAAATATAAAATTAAAATATAAAAATAATATACATTTTTAAAAAATTCACTTTTGTAGTTAATTAATTATAATTAAATTAAAAAAATTGGCAATTAAATAAAAATTTTTTTTAACTAAATTAAAGAAAAATTATAACGAAATTTAAAAAAATTATATAACATAATTAAAAAAAATAAAACCCGTGTAAAATAAAAAAAATTAATTAAAAATTTTTAAAGAAATTTTAAAATTATAACTAAATTAAAAAATTGTAACCGAATTTAAAAACATTATAATGAAATTAAAAAATTTGAATAATTACAAAATAATAATAATAATAATAATAATAATAATAAAAAATTATAATTAAAAATAAATGAAAAAAAATTGAAATGTCACCAAAATAAAATAAATCAAATAATAATAATAATAATAATAATAATAATAATAATAATAATTAATTATAATTAAAAATAAATTTAAAAAATTGAAATGTCACTAAAATAAAATAAATCAAGGACAATAATAATTAAATAATTAATTAGTTACTGTATTTCACTTCGAAATGAAAAAAAAAAAAACTTACATGTTTTTTTTTCTATAAAATAGATTTAAAAGCACATTACATAATTTCATTTTACACTCGTTTAAAGTACATTCTATAACCTTAAATATTGTCCTAATCGAACCAAAAAAGAAAAAAAAACTTCCAATTTAAATTAATTTCTTCCGAAAAACAATATTTTTTAGATAGAAACAAAAAAAACAAAAAAAAAATGTAATAAATTAATTTTTTTGTACAATAAAAATAAATTCCATAAAGAAAATGTAAAATTAATTCAAATAAAAAAACTATCGTTAATAAAAATAAAAACCTTGAAAACAATTTAAAAAATGAAAAAAAAAATCATTAAAATCAGATTACATAATTATCAAATTTTCATAAAATTAAAGTACAATAAAACTTGACAGAGAAACAAAATTTACAAAAAATTTAATTATTGACAACTCCAAAATGTCAACAGAAAAAAATAACCAAAAATCAAGAAAAAAAATTATTATATGTCAGGGGGGGGAGGGAGGGGGAATCATTAAAAATTCCGAAACTAGGCCAGAAATATAAATCGATTTAAAAATAATAATAATAATAAAAAAAAAACACATTTCAATACATTAAAATTCGTTAAATATTCACTTTTCTGTATAATTTTAATTTTAACACAAGTTTCAGTGAGAAAAATTAAAAGAAAGGTTATATAAGTTACTTACGGTGGATCTGGCAACCGGTGCAATGAGTCGTGTGCAATACATGATGTAGTTGTTTTAAAGGTCTCTTCACCTCAATTTACCTGTAAATGAAGATTTTTGTTTAAAAGAGCCGATGATAAGATGTTTTCTTTTTTTTCTCTCTCTCTCTCTCCCGAATTCACAGACGAAAAAATCGAACGAGTGTTAAAGAGCAAAGGGGAAGTTACGTAACGTTTGAAAAATTTGACTGGAATAAAAAGTAGAAAGAAAAATTCCCACGAGACACGTAAAACGTGGGTTCACTTACTCCGAAATACGAATCTCTAACACCATCAAATTAAAAAAGAATATTTATTACGAATCCATAGTATATAGGGAAAGGCGAGGTCAATCCAAAAAAGGGGGAAAAATGGCCGAGACTTGAGTTCCGTGTCGCGCGTCACTGGATTCGTGACAAAAAAAAAAGGATTTTCCACAATGAAAAATGGGAAATGTTCAATTGAATTTCGCGCACTTGTATGAAAGGTAAATGTTTGGAATTTTTTTCACGAATTTCGTAATTTGGGAAAAAGACTTACCAGAAAAAATAACGAAGAGAGTTGTGTCGAGACGAAGGGAGATTACACGAAGGCTGGTTAAAAGTAGACGACCCGGCCAGTGGAATGTGGAATCGGCGAGTGAACGAGGATAGCCTATCACGAGGATCGTCGCGAAAATGGAACAGCGCAACTTCCTCTCTATATAACACACACTTCCTTTTATCGACCGACCGAATTTTACCGAGTGAACACGACTTCGTTTTTTTTTTTTTCGTCTGCAATAGTGTAATTGGTGTGACTACGCCCCCGAATAAAAATATATTTTTCACGTTTTGGATATTAAAAAGAAATTGTAAAATTTAATTAGAAGAGAAACAAGAATTCAATACACTTATTGATATTTTGTGGACAATTGTTTAGTGTAGTGATTTTTTGTTTTATTTGATAAATTAAAAAAGAATTGTGAAGTGAAGTTGACTAGAGTAGTACGTGGAGTGCCACCGGGTGTTCGTGCCGGTTAATTTTTTTCTCTCGTCCCCCTTTTTTTTTTAGGTGCTCGCAATTATGGCTGTTTTTATGCTCAACGTTTGTAAATTCAATGATTGTGGTCTTATATTCAAGAATCTTGGACGACTGATACAACATATTGAAGAAAATCATATTGGTAGGCGAATTCAATCAATTTTTATTTTTGAGGTTATGTCTGACAGTTTGGGTTGGGTTTCATAATTATTGCGGGAATTTTTGAAAAATATTGATATTATATTATGTAATATATATAAAAAATTGATTTTTATTATTAATATTCGAGTTTCAAGGTTATTTTAATCTTTTCTTTTTTCTATATGAGTAACATAACCTTATTTTTCATATTTCGAAATTATTTTTCGAAATTTTTTTTTATTGTAAATTTACAGAAATTGTTTTTTTCTTATTTCGAAATTGAAACTATGGAATTTCGAAATAGAATTAAATTTGGATAATTTTGTTTTGTTATATAATATTGTAATGAGAAAAATCTAAATGTAGTTTTATTTCAAAAAAAAAAGAAAGAAAAAAAAATTGGAAAGAGAAATAAGAATTTTTAGAATGGTCTCACGTGCTTAGACTATGATCCCCAAGTCGTGGAGCAGAAGGAGCGACAACAACCCCCGTGTGTTCCTCTCTCGTATGTTCTGCGATTTTTTACCGATGCAGCTAGAAGAGAAATAATGAAGCCTCTTCATAATCGAGCCGATACATGTAATAATTCCTCATCGGAACGAATAAAAAATAGCAGTCCAACAGGTATTAAAAAAAAAAAAAAGAAGAAAAAATTCGAAAAAAAATAATTTTTTTTTCATATTTTTCTCTTTTTTTTTCTTTTTTTGTTTTGCAGAAATCGATGACGATTTTACAAGTGAACCGGAAGATAGTAATGATTCTTGGACCACAACTGAAGATATATCAAATGATTTTACTTTAAAATATCCAAAGTACGATATAAAAAAAAAGAAAACAAAAAAATAATTTCCTATTTGAAAAATAATTTAGATTTTTTTTTGCAATTTTTATCTCACAAATTTAATAATAATAAATTATTGTTATTTTCTTTTCTTTTTTTAGGAACAATCGTAACATAAATGAGAAAATTATTCATAAAAAATTCCCATGTCCTGTGCCTGGATGTAAAAAAAGTTACAAAAACGTGAATGGAATTAAATATCATACAAAAAATGGACATAAAAATGATGGAAAGTACGTAATTTTTTTCTATATTTTTCTATAATAATAACAAAAACCACAGAATTTTTTTTTTTTTTTTAAATAAATAAATAATTATATTAATTATTATTATTATATAAATAAATAATTATATTAACTATTATTATTATATAAATAAATAATTATATTAATTATTATTATTATATAAATAAATAAATTGTATTTATTTCAATTTTGATTAATTTCAATTTTTTATGAATTATTTAAATTTAAAATTTTAGTATATTAAAACTTAAATCAATTAAATGTTAAATAAATCAAAAAATTAAGATAAACTAAAATTCGGATAATTTGAAACTTAAAAAAAAAAAAATCTAAAATCAAATAATTTAAAACTTAAATCAATTCAAATTTGGACAAATTGAAATAATTTGAAAATAAAATCAAAAATATAATTTGGATAATTATGTAAATTATATTTTATTTAAATTATAATTTTTGAATGTTAAATGAAAATTAAACATTTGAAAAAAATATAATTCGGAGAATTTTGAAAATTTAAATCCAATTATAATTAAAATGCGGATAATTTGAAAATTAAATGAAAATATAATTTGGATAATTTTCAACTTAAATGAATTCAAATTTTTGGATAATTAAAAATTAAATTTTTTCGATAAATTGAAACTTAAATGAATTAAAATTTTCGATAATTTAAAATTTTAATCAATATGATTTTGAAAAAAACGAAATTTAGAAAATATAAAACTTAAATCAATTTAACTTTGACAAAAAAAATTCGGAAAATTTAAAAACTTTAACGAATTAAAATTTTAAATTAATTTAAATTGTGATAATTTGAAAATTAAAACAATTAAAATTAGAACAAATTCGAAACTAAAATCAATTAAAATTTTTGATAATTTAAAACGTAAATCAATAAAATTTGAAAAAAAAATATATTTGAAACTAAAATCAATTAAAATTCAGATAAATTAAAATTCGAATAATTTTAAACTTAAGTAAATTAAAATTTTTCGATAAATTGAAACTTAAAGGAATTTAAATTTTCGATAATTAAAAATTTTAATCAATATGATTTTGAAAAAAATACGAAATTTGGAAAATATAAAACTTAAATCAATTTAACTTTGACAAAAAAAATTCGGAAAATTTTAAAATTCCAACCAATTAAAATTTTAAATTAATTAAAATTGGAATAATTTGAAAATTAAAACAATTTAAATTAGAACAAATTCGAAACTAAAATCAATTGAAATTTTTGATAATTTAAAACATAAATCAATAAAATTTGAAAAAAAAATTTAAAACTAATATCAATTAAAATTCAGATAAATTAAATCTCAGATAATTTGAAACTTAAGTAAATTAAAATTTTTCCATAAATTGAAAACTTAAATCAATCAAAACTTTGAACAAATCAAAAAAATTCTGATAATTTGAAACTTAAATCAATTAAAATTTGAACAATTTGAACTTTAGATAATTTTAAACTTAAATCAATTGAAATTCAGTTAATTTTGAAACTAAAATCAATTAAAATTTGAATAATTTAAAAATTAAATCAAACTTTAAATCAATTTTGACTTGTATAATTAAAAACTTAAATTAATTCAAAATTTGAATAAAATAAAATCGATTGAAATTTAAATAAATTAAAATTGTTCAAAATTGAATTTCGTATCAATTATAAATTGAAATTGATAAAAAAATTTACATTAATTCAATTTTGTATCAATTAAAATTTGAATTTGTTTTAAATTTTACTATAAATCGAATTTTAAATTAATTGAAACTTGAATCGATTTGAAATTTAAATAATTTAAAACATAAATCAATTAAACTTTTGAAATAAATTAGAATTCGGATAATTTGGAAACTAAAATCAATTAAATTTTGAAAAAAAATAGAATTCAAATTCAAATCAATTAAATATTTGCGAAAAAAATTGAAATTTTCTGTAATTTGGAAATTGAAATCATTGAAAATTGAAAAATATACAACTTAAATCAATGAAAATTTGGATAAATTAAAATTCACATAATTTTGGAAAAAACGATTAATTTTCAGAAAAAAAAAAAATTTGAAATTTCCTTAATTTTAAATATTGATCGATTGAATTTGCATTTTATTAAAAAAAAAATTTGTTTTGTCCCAATAAAAATTAGAATTGATGTAATTTTTTTCAAATTATTATTTTTAAAAATGATTTTTTTTAAAAAAACAAAAGAATTTAAAAAATAGGAATTTTTAAAAAACAATTAAATTGCAAAATTGTATTTTATAATAATAATTGAATTTTATTAATTACTGAATTAATAAATTGTGAATTTAATTAAAATAATAATTATTAATTTATATTTTTAATAAAAAAAAATAATTATTATTAATTTATATTTTTAATAAAAAAAATAATAATTATTAATTTATATTTTTAATAAAAAAAAATAATAATTATGAATTTATATTTTTAATAAAAAAAAAATAATAATTTTTTTTAAGAATGCAACGAGGATTCAAATGTCCTTGTGGGAAATATTATAAAACAATTTACGGTTTAAAAAATCATGCATCGGTACATCATGGGAATTCAGTGAGTGAAACATTGAAATTTCTCGAAACCGAAATGGAAATTGACGGCATTAATCATCATCATCATCACAATCATTATCATCAAGAAATAAAATTAAATGACGAGATAAAAAATAATTCAGCAATAATGGAGGATCATGTTTATGTGAAGCAAAATCGTTCCCATGAGAGAGATTCAGAGACTTTAGGAATTATAACGCCTGCCTCAACGCCACCATTGTCAACAGCAACAATAACACAGCAAAATGCAGGAAAAATTGAAACAATTCTTTATGATCGGCAAGTACGATATTTTGCCGAGGCAAATTCTGATCATTCTTATAATAACTAAAAAAAAAGTAAAAATAGAAAACAGAAAAACCTAGTCAGTTTGGTGATGGAATTTTCAGAGATTATTATTTTTTACAATTTAAAAAAAAAAAAAGAATAAGCCAGAACTAAAGCAAAAAATTGTTTTTAAATTTAAAAAATAGCAAAATTGTATAAATTTAATTAATTAGAAATATTTGAAAAATTAATTTTTGAAAAATATTTGAAATTTTATTTTTAAGAAACGCAATTTTTAGATTTTTAATTTTCAAATGAAAAATTGGAAAATTTTAAAGTTCGATAAGACTGAAAAAAATAATATTTAAAAGTTGAATGTATCAACTTTTTGAGTTAAAAAGGGAAACAAAAAAAATGCAATATTAAAAAAAAAGAAAAAGAAAATGATCCACGGTTCTGGTTTTTGTAACCTTGCCTTGAATTTTTGTTTTTTCTTTTCTTTCTTTTTTTTTTCTTAAAGAAGCTGTTTAATACACGGCTTGGACTGAATTTAATAATATAAATAATAATAATAATCTTAGGCCAAAGACAAACGCTTTAAAAATTAAAAAAAAAACAAAAATAAAAGCATTGGAAGCCTTTGCCAAGTACCTCAAAAAAAAAATAAAAATAATCTAGTGACTGCTTAGTTGGTTAATTAGTTGTGTGAATCAAATTGTGATATAAAGGACTGTCAAAGTTTTTGTATTAAATAAAAGCAAATGCAAAAAAGAAAAAAAAATATTCTTTTTCTTTCCATTATTTGGTTTTTGCAAAAAAAAAATTATTTTTCCTTTTTCTTTTAATAAAATAAGTTTTTTTTTTGCTAAAAGAAAGAAAAATTATTTTGTTATCTTTATAATATTTTTGTTTTTGCAAAAAGAAAAAAAAAATGAAAAATTCAAATTTGAAAATCTATGATATTTGGTGTTTATTATATATATATTTTTTTTGTTTGTAACTATATATATATACAAATTGCGGAGAAAATATTTCAGAATTAATAAAATTTTCTTTTCTTTTTATTAATAATAAATATTAATTTCTATTAATTTAAAAAAAAAATTCATTTTTTAAACTAAAAACAATTTTTTTTATTTATCGTTATTGCAGAGAAAATTTACCGATTAAATTTTTTATTTTCGTTTTTATTTAACAATTAATTTTTCTTCTAATTTATTAATTTTTCAAATCTAAAAAATCATTTTTTTTTAAACAAATTTTCTTTCGTTGTAAAGAAAATAAAAAATCTTGGAAATTTTTCACTTAATATTTTTCCGTGTTTTTTTTTTTTTAAAGAAAAATTGTTTTGTAGGCAAAAACTAACCATAATAATTATTTATTATTATCATTATATTATTTCTAATAATAATTTACACTAATCACAAAATTGTTCTTAATTTATTATTATTATTATATTATTATAAATTTTTTTTTCTTTACTATTTTATAAATTGAAAAATATTTTCTCCCACAGAAAAAAGTAATATACACGCATTAAGAAGAAAAAAAAAAAAAAGAGTAATAAAATTCTCAATCCCATATATATAATATATATAAGTAAAAAATTGCCACCTTTGATAATATATTTTTCCAAAACGCAAAAACATTGGCATTTTTTTTTTTTTTTTAAAGGTGACGAATTTAATATATATTTCTCGGTTTTTTTTTTTTTTTTTTTCCTTTTTTTTTAAATATACATAAATATAGTCCACTATGATTATATAAATGTCAAGAACTGTGTTAGAAGATTTTTTTTTTGTTTCTTAAAAGGGGGAAGTAGAGAGTGGAGAGGTGTATTTACACACTAATTAATGATTTCTTATTATTTTTTTTTTTTTTTTTTTTTTTTTTTTTTTTGTTCTAAGCCGGAACCTAAAGGCTAGAAATTGAATTCGAAGGATAGTAATCGTAATCATATAATATTATTAAAGTCGACGTTACCTTTAATCGCTTAATATTACTAATATCAATTTTTAATAATTACAAGCATGTTACGTCCTTATTTAGTCAGAATACAAACTTCGCACTGACAACTCTTTTTTTTTTTTATATTATTAAATTGTCACTCATATATATATATATTTTTTTTTTCTTTTAAAATCTTGTATTCGTCATTGCATGTTTGTAAATATATCTATATTACTAAAAAAAAAATCATCGCACATTTTTTCTAAATTAAAAAAAAAAATTTCACGCGCACAAAAAAATTCACTCTCACACCACCGAAAAAAATTTCAAATTGCTTTTATTTCCCTTCATTATTTTTTTTTAAACCTTGTTTCTCATTTTCTAATCCGTCGGTTTGCTCTCTCGCTAGGCAAGATTACTCCGATATTGCGAATATATATCTTAGAAAAATATGCTATGCCTAAAATAGGATGAAGGCCTGAAGGCAATAATCTTTCCATCGATATTATTTATTACTCTTTGATAATAAATCACTGCGTTTTTTTTTTTTTTTTTTTTTTTGTCCGAGTGTGTATGTATGTGTGTGTATGTGAAACATCGCCTTTATTTTATTTTTTTTTTTTATTAATTATTCCCATTTTTCTCTCCCCCGTGTCGAAAAATCTTCATCTTTCTCTTGTAAATAATAATTGAGCGGAAACGACAAAAAAAAAGAAGTGAATATTGTCCCCCTAAAGCTTCGCCTCTAGTCTTCCCGTAAATCTTGTGATTATTTTCAAAAAAAAGAAAAATACCGATTTTTTTTTACAAAAAGAAAGAGAATTTATTTGCAAAAATATATTTTTTGCTTGCAATAAAAAAAAATTGTTTCTTTTTTTTTGGTTTTGAAAATTGAAAATAAGAATTTTTTTTTGCTTGCAATAAAGAAAAAAAATTATTTTCTCTTTTGGAAATTTGCAAATACCGATTTTTTTCCGAAAAAAAAGAATTTATTTGCAATTAGCAAAAATTTGTTTTTTTCTCATTTTGAAATTTGAAAATACCGATTTTTTTACGAAACAGAAAATTATTTATTTGCAATTAGCAAAAATTTGTTTTTTTTTCTCATTTTGAAAATTGAAAATAAGAATTTTTTTTACTTGCAATAAAGAAAAAAAATTATTTTCTCTTTTCGAAATTTGAAAATACCGATTTTTTTACGAAAAAAAAAATTCTTTATTTGCAATTAGCAAAAATTTGTTTTTTTTTCTCATTTTGAAAATTGAAAATAAGAATTTTTTTTACTTGCAATAAAGAAAAAAAATTATTTTCTCTTTTCGAAATTTGAAAATACCGATTTTTTTACGAAAAAAAAAATTCTTTATTTGCAATTAGCAAAAATTTGTTTTTTTTTCTCATTTTGAAATTTGAAAATACCGATTTTTTTACGAAAAAAAAAGAATTTATTTGCAATTAGCAAAAATTTGTTTTTTTTTCTCATTTTGAAATTTGAAAATAAAAATTTCTTACTTGCAATAAAGAAAAAAAATTATTTTCTCTCTTCAAAATTTGAAAATACCGATTTTTTAACGAAAAGAAAAAATTCTTTATTTGCAATTAGCAAAAATTTCTTTTTTTTTCTCATTTTGAAATTTGAAAATAAAAATTCTTTACTTGCAATTAGCAAAAATTTGTTGTTGTTTTTTTTCTCGTTTTTAAATTCGAAAATAAAATTTCAACTTACGGGATTACTGTATAACAATGCCGTGTGCCTTGCGCAAAAATAATACAAAGAAAAAAACTTAGTTAACTCCAATTTCGCTTAGAACGATATTCACACACACAAAAAAAAAAAAAATAAATAAATAAATGCGCGAAAATCGTTCTTAATATGAATTTAACTCTGTTTTTTTTCTTTGTTATATAAAAAATGGGATTTAACGAATTTTTTTTTTTCATAAAAAAAATATTAAAATGAACGATTTTATGAACAATTTTCATGTTTTTTTTTTTTTTTTTTTATTCAACTACTTTTTAAAAAGCAATTAAATCTATAATTATAATTTACAAAAATCGTCGGAAAAAACAATACAAGAGAAATTAAAAAAAAAAAATTTTCCAATTTTTCTAGTTTATAAAGCGTAATTTGTAAATTTCATTATAATTACAAAAAAATCAATAAAATAGTAAATTAAATTTCGATAAAAAAATCTCTTATTTTTCGATTTTTCTATACATTTAAAAAATTTCAATTTTTTTTTTTGGCAAAAATTTTTAATCGATTTTCCCTTAAGGGCATAATAATTTGAATAATTTTTATCCAATTTTCCTTTTATTTTTTTCTAAAGGATTTATTATTTTTTCCTAAATAATTTTTTTATCAAATTATCCTTTTATTTTTTTTCTAAAGGACTTATAATTTATTCTTTCCTTTTTATTTTTTCTAAAGGTTTTATAATTTTTATCAATTTTTTATCAATTTTTCTAAATAATTTTCATCCAATTTTTTTTATTAATATCTAATATAATTTTTATCCAATTTTCCTCCTTCACGTAATTAAAAAGGCAAATTCGCTATAAAATAGTAAATTTAAAAAAAAAAGACTTATAAAATAGTAAATAGTAAAACTTTCAAAAATTGGATTAAAATTAAACGCTCCACTTGTAAGATTAAAGGAAATACATATTTTTATTGACAATTTTCTACATTTTTTTTTCTCTTTATATATATATAATTTTTTTTTTTTTTTTTTTTTGTTAACACTCTATATTTATAGAAAGAGATTTTTTTTACGCCGCTTTTATAAAAAATTTGTTTTTTTTTTAATTTGAGGTTATGTCAGTGGATCATGCCCTTAATGAAGAATTATAATTATTAAAACAATGAAAATCCTTGAAAGAGAAATTTTCTTTTTTTTTTTTAGTTTCCAACAAAATAATTAAACGATGAAAATTCTTTTAAAAAAGAAATTATTTTCTTTCTTTTTTTCGATTTCGAAAAATAATAAATCGAAAACAATAATTAATTAAACAATGAAAATCATTGAAAAAGAAAATATTTTCCTTTTTTTTTTAATTTCTAAATAGAAAACAATAATATAATTAAACGATGAAAATTCCTTAAAAAAGAGAAATTATTTTCTTTCTTTTTTTCAATTCGAAAACAATGAAAATCATTGAAAAAGAAATTTTCTTTTTTTTCGAATTTCCAAATCAAAAATAATAATATATAATTAAATGATGAAAATTCTAAAAAAAGGAAATTTTTTTCTTGAATTTTCAAATTGAAAACAATGAAAATTCAAAAAAAAGAAAATATTTCGTTCTTTTTATTTCCAAATGGAAAACAAATGAAAATATTGTTTTGAATTGTAAATTTTTCTCATTTAATTTTCATGAAAAGAAAAAACAAATTTATTTTCGTTCAAATGTCGAGAATTTTCTTTTTTTAAAAACACCTTTAAAAGCATTAAAAAAGGTATTAATTTTTTGTTAATTTTAAATTTCCAAAGTTAATTATTCTAATAATTTTTATTAAAAATTTAAAAAAGTTTGTTTTTTTTCAATTAAAACTTAATAACTTCATTAATTTTTATTAATTTAAAAATAATGTATTATTATTTTTAAGAAACTTATTTGAATTTTGGAAAAAAAAACGATTTTACTAGAAAAAACTAAACGTATTTTTTTTTTTTTTAAATTTAAATTATTAAAATAAAAACTAAATTCCATTTTCTTTTCTTAAAAAAAAATATTTTTAAAATCAAAAAACTTTTTTAAAAACAAATTTCAAGAATTTAAATTCACAAGTTTTAAATAAAAATTTTCCAATATTTTCATTTTCATTAAAAAAAAAATTTGTTTTCAACTTTAAAAAAAATTCTCTCAAAAAATCGTTCATTTTTAACAGAAAAAAAAAAAAAAAATATTTCAATCTCGCTTTCTTTGTTCTTCAATACCCTTAAAAAAAAAAGAAAAAGAAAAACAAAACAAAATCTTTTTTTTCGCTCTTTTTTCTTTTTTTTTTTTTTAATTTTCCGGCCTCTAATCTTTCCTACTATTAACCATTACTTATATAATATAAAGCTAAAATTGCATTGTCGGAATACCTCGCGCAGTTGGAAAAAATAATAATTTTCTCTCTCTCTCTCTCTCTTTCTTTCTCTCGCACTCACACACAAACACACAAAAAAAAAAGCAGCTGGAAAATTTTCAAATAACCAGCTCAATTTTTTAAAAAAATTTTTTTTTTCTAAAAATTTAATTTCTTTTTGCGGACGGTTAGCGCAAAAAAAAAATGATCAATGTTTCGAAACATAATTTCAAACAGTATTTAATGAGTAATAATGCTCGTTATATATATATATATTTTTTTTTTCTCGGTGAGATTGGACATAAACACACAATACTACTTATACTTTATTGCATTACTTTTTTTTTTAGCTTTTTTTTTTCCTTTTACTTTTCATTCATTTTTTTTATGAATCAATCGGCTAATATATTTTCAGAGGTGTTTTTTTTCTCTCTCTTTCTTCTTTCAAGTATCCTGACGAAAAATAAAAACCAAAAAAAATAAGAACGTTTAACGCTCATTTTAATAAAAAAAAAAAATCTGTGTAAATAATAAATAAATCTTTTTTAAAGATAATAAAATCAGTAAAATTGTTTTTTTTTTTTCAAAAAAATTTTGAATTGATACTTGAAAAATATAAAATAAAAAAAAAACCTCGTAATAATTATTAGACTAATCAAATGTTAAACCTAAAAAAATTGTGATCACCCATCAACGTCAGTCATCGCCTAAATAACACTCCTTTTTTTTCGACGATTATAATAATAATAATATAATAATAATAATAATAATAATAATATAATAATAATATAATAATAATAATATAATAATAATAATAATAATATAATATTAATAATAATGGAAAACAAAAACACTTACGCATCAAAATTGTCTACATCCAATGAATTAACCGCCTTCGTTTTTTTTAACATATTTTGAAATCTGACTGCACCAGGAATTCCGTTTTTTTTAAATTATTTATTTTCATCTACTTAAACAGAAACTTGCATTGTCTCTGGTTGTTTATTTTTTGCGCAAATTTACTTTTTTTTTTAAGTAAATTAAAAGTAATAATAATAGAATAATAATTAATAATAAAACCGTAATAATGAAGATAATAATAATAATAATTAATAGTAGTAGTAAGCTGGCAGCAGTTAGTAACCAGATATTATTTTCCTTTTTTTTTTTTTTTAAAAAAAAAAAACTCTCACTAGATGACAATCTGACATGGCACTGACATTCTCGATTTTTTCTTTCACACACACACACATACACTTTTTCACCGAAAAAATGTTCATTCATTAATTTTTTTTTTTTTAAAGCACACGCGCGCAAATACAGGCTTTCTCTCTCTTTTTTTTCATTTTTGTTTTTACGTCGTCATAGACTTAAAATCTGTTTTTTTTTTCGTCTTTCTATGCTTCTCCTTCCTCCATTATTTTTTTTTTTTTTTTTTTTTTTTTTTTGTTAATAATTATATTTATATATATATATTTATTTATATATCGCCCCGACGACTGAATTCGCTATCGAATTTTTTTTTTTTTTTTTTTTCATTTTCTCCACAAAAAAAAAAAAATTTTCCATACATACAAAATACACGTATACGTTTTACATACACACGCACACGCTTGTATTGTATATATATATGTATATATATATATATTTTTGTTGTTGTTAAATCTTTCACTCGCTACCAAAAAAAAAAAATAAATAAAAAAAAAAAAATCATTCCTCGATGTGTGCAATCAGCTGCCAGATAATTTATCTCCATGATTTTTTTTTTTCAATAAATTTTTTTTTTTTTTTTTATATTGTTATTATTATATATATATAACCATTTTTTCTTTCCCAAAAAAAAAAAAAAAAAAAAAAAAAAATATTAAGAAAAAAAAAAAAAAAAAAAAAAATTACACGATTTCTTCCTTTTTTTTTCTCTAAAACACACTAAAAATTGTTCAAATTTTTTGCACTTTTTCACCAACAACAACTGGATTATTACGTCGAATCTCTTGCGCGCCCATTTCTCTGTAATCAAATTTGCAGTCGTGCTTGTCACTGTATCGATGCACAGCGCAGAAGAGTCCACCACATCGACACTCGAATCCTTTAATAACGAAAGGAGAAAAAACATTTTATTAGTTTTTGGTTTTTTTAAATTGAAATTTTATTTTTCTTTAATTTAATTACCAAAAATTAGGGTTGTGCCGCAAGAATAGATTTTTCTAATTTTTTCCTTTTATATTTTCCAATGATATTAGAAACATTTTTTCTAACAAAATATTTTTTTTGAATTTAATAAATTTTAAAACAAATCTAATATAAATTTGCAAATCGCATTAGAAAAATTTTTCCTAACAAAATATTTTTTTGAATTTAATAAATTTTAAAACAAATCTAATATAAATTTGCAAATCGCATTTTCTTTAACTATTTTTTTTTCTATTAAATTTAAGAAATTTTAATAGAAATCTAATAATTTAAATTTGGAAAAATGAAAAATTTTATTTTTCAGTGTAAAAGTTTTGATTTAATTGATAAATTTTCATCAAATTCTTTCAAGCATTAATTTAATTAATAATTTACATAAATAAAATCAAAAAATTTGAATAAACAACAAAATTCGAAAAAAAATCGAAACTTAAATCAATTCAAATTTTGGACAAATTGAAATAATTTTAAAATTAAACAAAATATAATTTTGAATAATTATATAAATTATATTTTATTTTAATTATAATTTGAAACTTAAACGAAATTTAATTTTGAAAAAAATTGTAATTCGAAGAATTTTAAAACTTAAATCAATTATAATTTTGAATTATAATTAAAATGCGGATAATTTGAAAATTAAATTAAAATATAATTTTGATAATTTGAAACTTAAATGAATTCAAATTTTTGAATAATTAAAAATTTCAATTAATACAATTTTGAAAAAAAAAATTCGGAAAATTTGAAAACTTCAACCAATTAAAATTTTAAATTAATTAAAATTGTGATCAATCAATTAAATGTTAAATAAATCAAAAAATTAAGATAAACTAAAATTCGGAAAATTTGAAACTTAAAAAAAAAAAAAATCAAAATTCAAATAATTTTAAACTTAAATCAATTCAAATTTGGACAAATTGAAATAATTTGAAAATTAAATCAAAATTATAATTTGGATAATTATCTAAATTATATTTTATTTAAATTATAATTTTTAAAAGTTAAATGAAAATTAAACATTTGAAAAAAATATAATTCGGAGAATTTTGAAAATTTAAATCCAATTATAATTTTGAATTATAATTAAAATGCGGATAATTTGAAAATTAAATGAAAATATAATTTGGATAATTTGCAACTTAAATGAATTCAACATTTTTGGATAATTAAAAATTTCAATTAATACAATTTTGAAAAAAAAAAAATTCTAATTTGGAAAAGATAAAATTTAAATCAATTTAACTTTGACAAAGAAAATTCGGAAAATTTTAAAACTTTAATCAATTATAATTTTCAATTAATTTAAATTGTGATAATTTAAAAATTTAAACAATTAAAATTCGAACAAATTCGAAACTAAAATCAATTGAAATTTTTGATAATTTAAAACGTAAATCAATAAAATTTGAAAAAAAAATATATTTGAAACTAAAATCAATTAAAATTCAAATAAATTAAAACTCAGATAATTTGAAACTTAAGTAAATTAAAATTTTTCGATAAATTGAAACTTAAATGAATTTAAATTTTCGATAATTAAAAATTTTAATCAATATGATTTTGAAAAAAAAACGAAATTTGGAAAATATAAAACTTAAATCAATTTAACTTTGACAAAAAAAAAATACGATAAATTTTAAAACTTCAACCAATTAAAATTTTAAATTAATTAAAATTGGAATAATTTGAAAATTAAAACAATTAAAATTCGAACAAATTCGAAACTAAAATCAATTGAAATTTTTGATAATTTAAAAAATAAATCAATAAAATTTGAAAAAAATTTAAAACTAAAAACAAATTAAAATTCAGATAAATTACTTCTCAGATAAATTAAATCTCAGATAATTTGAAACTTAAGTAAATTAAAATTTTTCGATAAATTGAAAACTTAAATCAATCAAAACTTTGAACAAATCAAAAAATTCTGATAATTTGAAACTTAATCCAATTAAAATTTGAACAATTGGAACTTTAGATAATTTTAAACTTAAATCAATTGAAATTCAATAAATTTTGAAACTAAAATCAATTAAAATTTGAATAATTTAAAAATTAAATCAAACTTTAAATCAATTTTGACTTGTATAATTATAAACTTAAATCAATTAAAATTTGAATAAAATAAAATCAATTGAAATTTAAATAAATTAAAATTGTTCAAAATTGAATTTCGTATCAATTATAAATTGAAATTGATAAAAATTTACATTAATTCAATTTTGTATCAATTAAAATTTGAATTGGTTTAAATTTCACTATAAATCGAATTTTAAATTAATTGAAACTTGAATCGATTTGAAATTCAAATAATTTGAAACATAAATCAATTAAACTTTTGAAATAAATTAGAATTCGGATAATTTGAAACTAAAATCAATTAAATTTTGAAAAAAAATAGAATTCAAATTCAAATCAATTAAATATTTGCGAAAAAAATTGAAATTCTCTGTAATTTGAAATTGAAATCATTCAAAAATTGAAAAATATACAACTTAAATCAATGAAAATTTGAATAAATTAAAATTCACATAATTTTGGAAAAATCGATTAATTTTCAGAAAAAAAAAAGAAATTTGAAATTTCCTTAATTTTAAATTTTGATTGATTGAATTTGTATTTGATTAAAAAAAAAATTTAATTACTATAAATTTGTTTTGTCTCAATAAAATATTACTTTAGTAAATTAATTGAATTTTAAAAAAGGTGAAAAAAAATGGTAGGAAATTATCAAAACAGATGGAATAAGGTGACAAAATTTTTAAAGAAAGCAAATAAATTAAAATAAAATCTTGAATTTTAAGAAGCAAAAATTAAAAAAAAAATTTTATACAGAAAGTAAGCAATTGACTTTTTCTGCAAATTTACCAAATTTTCCCGACAAAAACGCTTTTTTTTCGACAAAAAAAAAAATTTCCCTTTCTTGTGGCTACCCTGTTTTTTTTTCTAATTTTTCTAATTTTCTATTCTTAAATTCAATTATTTATGTAAAAAAAAAGAAACAACAAACTAATAATTCTATTTGGTTAAATGAGAAAAAAAATCATTGAATGAACAAATAAATTTATATTTTATTTTCCAGTAAAAAAATTAAAAATATTCTGTTTAACAATTTTACTTTTAAAAAAAACACAAATAATATAAATTTATAAATTCATTTATTATTATTATTTATTAATTAAGCTTCAGCCTTTCGGCCCAGAAGTGGACTTGGTTTAATACAAAATTAAAAAAATATATAAATTCATTTATTTTATTTATAAAAATAAATTCTAAATTTATTAATAATTTAAAAATTTAGATTTATCATAAAATAATGAAAATAAAAATTTGAATATCATAAATACAAATTAATAAAATAAAAAATACGAAAATGTAAATAAATAAAAAAATTGAATTCAGAAATTAGAAGAATTTAAATTGATTACGATTAATAAATAAAAAAAAAATTAATTGCGATTAACTAAAAAATAAATACACACCTGTCAGACCCACTTTCTTGCGACAAACGGCGCAACGGTTTTTCTTCTTTTTGGAGTCTTTATCAGTCTCTTTCCCGTCGAAACAATCGTCGACATCCCCACTGCTAACCGAACCCTCAGTAGCTCCACTACTATTGGCGACCTCATCTTCCTGATCGTCTCTGCTTATCTAAGGAAAAACAATTATCATTATTATTAAATCAAAATTACTCCCCTTGTAATCCAATATTCAAAATTAAAATTAACCAAATAAAAATAAATAAATAAATAATAACTAAATAAATAAACCAAATAAATAAATAATCGAACCAAATAAATCAATTTAAAATAAAAAAAGTCAATAAATAATTTTAATTAAAAAGTGATTTACAGTCAAAACAAAGTATAATATTTAATTTTTAAATAAAATAAAAATAAATTTACTTGAAAATTTAGGGATAAATTTCGTTTCATTATTATTATTATAGCAACTTAAAAATAGTCATTGTTTTTTTCTGTCTTTCTTTTCTTTTTTTTTGTGGTTTAATATAAAAAAGGAGAATTTTTGACAACAGTCCAATCCATAGACATACCGTCATAAATTACGGATTGGCACTTGATATTGTCTGTGTGTTACACATTCACACACAAACATTTATTTATTATTTTTTTTTTTTTCTAATCTAATCGAAAGAAAGCAATTTTTACTCGTCGTTTCTTCACGCGGGCTTTACTGGATGATTCGACATGTTTCGAGGACATTATAATATTCACTAAAAATTTGTCACCATATTTGCCAACAAATAAACAAAAGAAAGAAAAAAATATATGCTACTTTCAATTCGTTACCATAACAACAAAGCAATTCAAAACGAAGAAAAAAAAATTAAATTAAATTTCCATTTTAAATTATATGCAAAATATATTCTATATTTTCACTAAAGAAAATTATTTAATAATTAATTATTAGGTATTAATAATTAATATATAATAATATGAAATAATTAATTATTGTCTACAGAAACGTAATAATAATAAAAATAACAATAAAAAAATGTATTTTTTGTCATTTTCTGTAAAAAAAAAAAAAAGATATTCAATTTATTAAGTAGCAAAAAAAAAATAATAAACAATAAAAAAAATCAAATCTTCCATAAATAACTTCTATTTTTTTTCAAAAATTATATTTTCAAGATTTTTAAAAAAATCTTTTTTTTACCAAAATGTAAATTTCTTTTGTTAATTGTTAGTTATTTTTTTTTTTTTTTTTTATTTACTTATTTAAATTTAACTTATTTATTTAATGTAAATTTGAATAAATCAATAAAAATTTCGTCATTTTAACCATGAAATGTGATTAATTGGAAAAAAAAATTTAGTTTTCTACATGAATAATGTACGATATTTTCAATAAATAATAATAAAATAATTAATTTTTTTAAAATAAAGAATATAATAAACAAATATAAAATTCAAACATCAACTGTCTTTTTTTATGATCACAGTGACTTTTATCAATAAAGAAACAAGTTTAATCGAACAAGAGACAGAAAAAGAGAGACAGAGAGAGAGAGAGTTTTCTCTCTCTTTTTTTTTTATTATCAACACACGTATAGAAGTAAATTTAATCGAAAACGAAACATAAAGTTTTTATCAGTCATTTAACTCAAATCAATTGAATTGCATTTTAAAATTATTGTCAATTTTAAGTGTGTCAATATTTTTCACAGGTATAAATTTCAACAATTAAATATTACATGTGTAGAAAATAAGTAAATTAATTTAATAAAAAAAAAAAAAACAAAAAACAATATTATAACATTTTTCAATTGCAGAATTTTTTTCAAATTTAATTGAACTAAATTAAAAAATTTTAATTGAAAAAAAAAAATTCTCTCTAAAATCAATTAATTTTGTGTCAAATATTTAGAAACGTATCGATTTGAAATATTTTACTATTATTAATAATTACAAAAATTATTGACGTTTTAAAAATGAAAATATTTCTTCTTTAATAATTTTAGTTAAAATTTTTTATATAAATTCTGATAAATTCTAAAATATTATTAATAATTTTTTAAAAATCAACAATTTTAGCATGTTTATACTGTAAATAAATAAAAATTTAAAAACATGAATTGTAGGACAATTTTAATTTTTAATTCAAAAATGTTATTTTCTTTGATAAAAATATAAATATTTATTGATGCTTGCATTATTATTATTATCATTATTATTATTTAATTTATCGTTAAGTAAAAATGAATTTGATTTAAATAAAAATCGTAATTTTTATCATGAAACTAGAAACTTTTTGTACAAAAACAAAAAAGGAAAAAAAATATTTGTATAAACAAAATTTTTGAGATCAATTAAAATTTGAATTGATTGAAATTGGTATAAATTGAATTTAATCAATTTATTTGAATTAAAAATTTTGTCATAGTTTTTAGTTTTGAGGGTCAACAAAAATTTTAGGCAATACTTAATCAAGTTTTACAGATTTTTAAATGAAAATTTTTTTTTTTTTTTGAAATAATAATTTTGGAAGAGTTAAAATTGAAATTTTTAGAAACAATTTAAATTTCAAAAAGATTTTGTTAATTTTCAGACAATAATTAAATTTTACAGAACTAAAAATAATTTATCAAATAATTTTAAATAACATTTTTTAAATTGAAAATTGAATTTTGTAAATTGAATTTTTAACGATTTATAATTGAGATTATTGAAATTAAATGAACTTCAAGTGATTTTTAATTAAAATTTTTTTTTGATGATTTTACTAAAAAAAAAAAATTTATTTGAAATTGCAAAGAAAAATACAATAATTTGAAAACTTTTTAAGTGAAAAATAGTTCAGTTTGAATTTTCCAAGAATATTATAAAAATAAAATAATTGAATTTCAGAAGAGTTATAATTAAAATTATTAAATTTCAAAAATATTTTTAATTGAAAATTTTAGAAATAATTAAATTTTAGAAGCTTTTAAATTGAAATTTTTGAAAATAATTGAATTTCAAACGAAGCTGAAGTACGCAACGTTTATGATAAAAGATTTTTAAAGAAAATAATTTTTTAAAATGAAAAATTCTATAATTTTTGACTAAACAAAATATTTCTTGTAGTTTTCATTAATCAACAAATTATAGAAAAAATATTTTTCAGGCAAAAAATTGTAGAATTTTTTCATTTAAAAAAAAAAAAAAATTTCTTATAAAAATCGTTTATCATAAACGTTGCGTACTTCAGCTTCGTTTTCAAGTGATTTTGAATTAAAATATTAATTTTATTTGCTAATTTTTTTTTTTTTTTTGTTTTGAAATTAGAAAAATAGTTTAAAATAATTAAATTTGTGAAGAATTTCTTTAAGGGGAGGCATCACCCCCAATTTTGACCCACTTTAATTTACATTATTAAACGAGGTACTATTTTTTTTCTTGCATCATTTGGGTCTTAAAAACATACAGGATGATCCAAAAAATGAAATTTTAATTTATGACCATTTTAGAAATTAAAGTCTTAAAAAAATTAATATTTTAAATATCTATCTTTTTTTACAATTTTGACTATTTTTCATTGCCAATTTTTTTCCACGCTTTTTTTTTAATGATTCTTAAGAATCTCTCGCATGGATTTTCAAAAATTTTAATTTTTTCAAAAAAAGAGCGAAAAATATAAGTTAAAATATCATTGCACTCTCCTATTAAATATGTATCTTCTTTCACAATTTTAAGTATTTTTCATCATCAAATTTTTTCCACACTTTTTTAATGATTTGTCAGAATATTAATTTTTTCAAAAAATAAAAATTCTAAAATGGTCAAAAATTAAAATTTTCTTTTTTTGACCACCTTATATGTTTTTAGGACCCAAATGATGCAAGAATAGTATATTATGTGGCAAGCACGTAAAGTAGTACTTTTTAGGTGAGGATGTAATTTTCAGTACGAGCTGTCGTTAGTGCGACGTAGGTGAGACGAAGGCGAGCTGTAGGTGAGATGAAGACGAGCCGAAGGCGAGTCGAGTCGAGCCGAAAGCGAGCCGAGTCGAACCGAAGTCGCACAGACAGCGAGTATTGAAATCATCCGAACCTAAAAATTACTACGTGCGAGCCACATACGCTATTTTTTTCGCCATTGTTATGAAAAAGTGAAACAATTTTAAAGAAAAAAAATAATAAAAATTGATAAATAAAATAAAAGCAAAAAAAAAAATTATGCAAAAATTAACAACTGCCTAAAAAAGACTTTATAGGGCAGTTTACTGCCTAAAAAAGACTTTATACGGCAGTTTGCTGCCTAAAAAAGTCTTTTTTAGGCAGTTGGCCCAAACTGCCTTAAAAAGTGCTACTTTATCTGCCCAAAACAGGCACAAAAAAGACACTTTTTCATGTCAATGGCGAAAAAAAAAAATATAACCTCATTTAATAGTTTAAATTTAAGTGGGTCAAAATTGGGGGTGGTGCCTCCCCTTAAAGTTAATAAAAATAATTAGTTTAATGAAGAATTTTAGTTGAAAATTTGTTAAATAATTGAAATAAAGGTCTCCAAAAAATCTGCTTTGTATACTAAAAAAAAAAAGTATTTTGTTTAAAAATTTTGTAAAAAAAAAAATCGACGCTTCCCGTTCATAAAATCGTATTTCAATTTTCAAAAATAATAAAATCGTATTTTGATCTAAGTTTAAATCGTATATAATCGTATCTCAAATTAAATTTGAATTCACGTAAAAAAAAAATAAAGGAAAAAATTCGTTTGTAATATTGTTTCATATATTTCTAAATGATTAATTAATTATTTATAATTATTAATAAAATAGAAAAAAAATAGAAAGTAATATAAAATTTATAGATATCTTTTAATTTCTTTTATTTATAATTTAATTATTAAAAAGAAGAAAAAAAAGTCGAAAAAGTCGCATTTTATTTAAAATAAGTTCACGGGAAAAAAAAGAAAAGTAATTTTTACTACTTTCGGAGTAAAATGATAACCGTCCAATGTTTCTGTGCATCTCTAGCAACTTTTACTCCAAAAATAATAAAATTTACATTAGAAATAGTAAAAAATTACTCTACGGAAACAGTAAAATTTATTACAGAAATAGTCAATTTTTTTTCTACTATTTTTTGGAGATGCGCAGAAACTTTGGACATTTTCCGTTTTATTCTGAAAGTAGTAAAAATTACTTTTTTTTTCTTTTTTTTCCGTATCGAAAAAAGACGTATTTTTTTTTTGAAAAATAGTCAAAAAAAATTATAATTCGAGGCCTGTAAATTAAATAAATAAAAAATTAGTCTCAAAAATAATTATGAAATACAAAAAAATAATGAGAATGAAAAAAATATCGACGCTTCCCGTTCATAAAATCGTATTTTAATTTTCAAAAATAATAAAATCGTATTTTGATCTCAGTTCAAATTGCATATAATCGTATCTCAAATTAAATTTGAATTCACGTAAAAAAAAAAATTAAAGGAAAAAATTCGTTTGTAATATTGTTTCATATTTTTCTAAATGATTAATTAATTATTTATAATTATTAATAAAATAGAAAAAAAATAGAAAATAAATAGAAAGTAATATAAAATTTATAGATATTTTTTAATTACTTTTATTTATGATTTAATTATTTTAAAAGAAGTCGAAAAAGTCGCATTTTATTAAAATAAGTCCATAGAAAAAAAGAAAAGTAATTTTTACTACTTTCAGAGTAAAATTTCAATTTCAATTTCAATTTCAATTTCAATTTCAATTTCATTTATTAACGGGACATGCCCTTTCGTACAAAAGTACTCCTAAATTCTAATAGTTACGTAAGTAACAATACAAAATATAAAATATTAACTAAATCTAGGTAGGCGCTATAATGGTTAAAGTTCAGTATAAGTTTATACAGTAAAGAATAACATAAATCAAATTACATTATTATCAAAGGAGAAGATTAATTTTTGATAAATTGAATCTGCTTTACCATTATATCAATTAATTTCAAAAATAATTGTTATTGTTCAATAATACTGATTTTCTCTAAATCACAATGTCTACATTTAGTTCTGTATGTATTTCCTTAAATCACTTTCATAGATAGAAATAAAATAAGTTTATCTCAAGGAATGATAACTGTCTAATGTTTCTGTGCATCTCTAGCAACTTTTACTCCAAAAATAGTAAAAATTACTCTTCGGAAACAGTAAAATTTATTACAGAAATAGTCAATTTTTTTTTAACTATTTTTTGGAGATGCGCAGAAACTTTGGACATTTTCCGTTTTATTCTGAAAGTAGTAAAAATTACTTTTTTATTTTTTTCCATATCGAAAAAAGACGTATTTTTTTGAAAAATAGAAAAATTATAATTCGAGGCCTGTAATTTAAATAAATAGAAAATTAATCTCAAAAATAATTATGAAATACAAAAAAAAGAAATAATGAGAATGAAAAAAAAAATAAGATTCTTACTTCTTTTGGACCAGGTAAATCTGTCGTTGTTTGGGGTATGGTGGGAATGGTGGGCTGTGCGGTTGTTCCTGTCGATGCGGGATTACCAAAGCCACTTTGCAACGTGCCAGCGTTACTGGATACAGTCTGCGATGCTGATACAGACGTGGCTGATACGGGGGGTTGTTGTTTCTTTTTTAAATTTTCCTTGAAACATAACGAACAAAGTCCGTCAGTAGCTGGTGAACCATAGAACCCGCAGCCGCTCCGGCATAGAGCTTGCATAGGATTCGACTCGCGTTCCATTACTCTCTTCTATATTAAATCTCCTTTTCTCCTTTTATTTTATTTTTTTTTCTTTTTTGTTGTTGTTTTTTCCTATTACACAACACAAAAAAAAAATGTTTTTTTTTTCCTTTTCTTCCTCTCCACTCAATGGATTATTATTATTATTATTATTATAATTCTTATCGTCGTCGTCAATTAAAAAAAAAAAGAGAAAATTATTTCTATATAAAGATTTATTTTTCGACGTTTTTTGAGTGTAAATATATATATATATATGTATGTATACGTGTTGTCTTGATCACTGTCCTAACAAACAGTGATTATTCACAGTCAGCTCAGTACCGAGTGAGTGACTCTTCGCTTCCTCAATCTTCTTCTCAATTGCACCGTTACTGACGACTGTCACCACGTCTTCACCTACAAAAAATAAAAAAAGATGAAAAAATTATTATTATTATTATTATAATTATTAATTAATTAAACAATTATTCATTGTTTATTGAGTTGATATAATAATTAAAAAAAAAAAAAAAAGGGAACAATTTTAATTGGTATTATTCTTGTCAATTGAGAGATTCATTAATGTAATAGATCAAAAATTGTTTTTTTTTCAATTTAGTTACATTTTCTGGTAATTTTTTCTTTTTATTTTATTTTTAGTTTACTTTTCACGATTCTAAAATTCGAAACAAAAGAAAAGATATATATTTCACAGAGCCAAATAAATATTTATTTGATGGAAATAAATTTTATTTTGATTTAAATAATTTCGTATTACAATAGCAAATAAATTAGTTCTGAGATAAATATATACGTTTATTTAATTCAAATATATTATATTTGGTTGAAAACAAAAAATTCTCTTGGTACAAAAACGTATATGATTAATTGATTATTATTATTACACGCAGAGAAATGATTTATTTGAACCAAATAAAATATATTTGAGTTAAATAAACGTATATTTGTCTCAGAGCCTACTAACTTATTTATTTGGCGTAAATAAAAGTTTTATTTGTCACAAATAAATTTTTCTTTGCCTCAAATAAATTTTTTATTTCAATGAAATAAAATATATTTGCAACAAATAAATGAGTTAGTAGGCTCGGAGACAAATATACCATTTCTCTGAGTGTATTATTATTATTATTATTATTATTATTATTATTATTATTAGAACAGGCCTCGGATCGACTTTAAGGCATTAAAAATAATTTATCAAAAATAATTTTTTTATTACAAAATATTGTTTTAAATATCTAAAAAAGAAGTTATTAATTTAATAATTTTTTAATTTACTGTTTTATTTTACATTGTCGTTATAATTTTTAATAATTTATAGATTGAAAAAAATATTTTGTTCATTTTAAACTTCAAAATTATTGGCTCATCAAAAAGTAATTGAATTTTCAATGATTTATAATTTAGATTTTTGAAATTAATTGAACTTCAAAGTGATGATTTTTAATTTAAAATTTTTTGATGATTTCTGTTACTAAAAAAAAAAATTATTAGAAATTGCAGACAAAAATACAATAATTTGATAAATTTTTAAGTGAAAAATGATTTCAAATAGTTGAATTTTCAAAGAATATTATATATAAAAATACAATAATTGAATATCAGGAGTGTTATAATTGAAATTATTAAATTTCAAAAAATTTTAGATGGAAATTTTTGAAAATAATTAAATTTCAATTGATTTTGAATTGAAATTTTGGAAAATAATTAAATTTCATTTTGATTTTGAATTGAAATTTTGGAAAATAATTAAATTTCAATTTGATTTTGAATTGAAATTTTGGAAAATAAATTAATTTTAGTTGATTTTAAATTGAAAATTTTGAAAATAATTGAATTTCATTAAAAATACTGGAAAATAATTGAATTTTAATTGATTTTGAATTGAAATATTGGAAAATAATTGCATTTTAGTTGATTTTGAATTTAAAATTTTGAAAATAATTAAATTTCTATTGAAATTTTTTGAAAATAACTTAAGAATTTATTAGAAAATAATACAAAAACGTGAATTTTAATTTTTTTTTTTCATTTGCAAAATGCTTTCAGATAATTGAATTATCGAAGAATATTATAAAAAAATTATTAAAAAATAATTATAATTTTTAAAATAATTTAATTTCAAGTGTGTGATTTTGAATTAAACATTTTTGGTAATTTTATTTGCTAATTTTTTTTTTAAATTATAAACAATTATTAAATTTTATAAAAATTTTAATTAAAAAATAATTTAAAAATAATTGAATTTGTGAAGAATTTCATTAAAATTATTAAAAATAATTAATTTAGTGAAGAATTTTAGTTAAAAATTTGTTAAATAATTGAAATAATAAAGATTTGAAGATTTGCATTGTATCTTTAAAAAAAACGTATCTTGTTTTAAAATTTTGTATAAAAAATTTTTTAAAAAATCGAAAAAGTCGCATTTTATTAAAATAAGTCGAAAAAAGTCGGTAAAAGTCGAAAAAGTCGTGTAATCCGAGGCCTATTATTATTATTATTATTATTACTATTTTTATTATTATTATTTTTACTATTATTATTATATTATTATTACTATTAATATTATAATTATTATATACAAAATTATTTTTTGTTAAAATTGTTTGTAAAAATGTTAAAATTGTAAAAAAAATTGTTTTCTTTTAAACAAAAAATTTGAAAAGTTTCTTTTTTTTAGTAATTTTTATTTTCATAAAATCCAAATTTATTTTTCCCAACAAAAGTGAATTTTAATATACTATAACTATTCCCTTAATTTATTATAATTTATAAATTTTTTTTCAATTTTTTTTAAAAATTTAAGCAATTTTTAAATCCTGAAATTAATTAGAATAGATTTAATTATAATTTATATAGTTCATTATAAATAAATTATTGTGTAAATAAATTATAAATAAATAAATGTAAATAAATACAATTCTATTTAAATATGAACCAATTATTTTGCAAATTAATCATAGGTACATTAATTTTAATTAATTGCAAAAAAAAAAAAAATAAATGTAATTCACTCGATTTAATTCATAAAAAAAAAAAAACGAAAACTTAAAAATTTTTCATTCAATTTGATTTACATTCCAATTTTTTTACATAACAATATCTATGTAAATTAGGCAAGCGATATAAGATTTTTTTTTTTTAATGTAAACTTTGAGAATCTCTTTTTCTATACTATATATATATTCTAATCCTTGTTCCTTTGTTTGGTAAAAAAAAAATTATTTTCAAACAATATAATGTAAACACCACAAAAAAAAAGAAAAGAAAAATATTTCACTTTTTTTTTTGGTAAAATTAAATTTTTCTCAAATTACAAATTAAAACTGTCACAAAAAATAAGAGGTTTTAATTTTTTTTCCAACCTCGAATGATTTATCAACGACCTTCAAATCTTTTCCCAAACAAAAGTAAAACAATTTTAATTACTCATCATTAGAAATAATTTTTTTTTACCAATTTTTCATTATAGTTAATGATAATTTTCTTTTTTATTATTATTATTATTATTATTATTACTATTATTATTATTCTTATTATTATTAGTAGAAAACAAAAATTTTCTAGTTTAGACAAAAATATAAAATAATAAAAAAGGTAAATTACCAAAAAAATTAAAAATAATTAATGTACAAAATATACAATTAAAATATTATATAATAGGAAATATTTAAAAATAATATTACGAACAAAATTGTTTTTTAAAAAACTCGGGAAAATAATAATCTAACAATACAACAGAATTTAAAAATACAAAAAAAAAGATTCCAAAAAAATTCTATAAGAACTGCAGAAAAAAATTTATAATAGAAAATAATGAAAAAAATACAAAAAATAAAAAGTTAACCTAAAAATACAAAAAAAAAAACACGAGAAATAAAATTCGATTTTAAAACATTTTTAAAAATTCCAATAATCTACCAATGTGACCAACATCGAAAAAAAATAACTACTTTACCTTTTTATTAAAATTAAAGGTTAAAAAAAAAATAACAAAGATCCAACATCCCAAGAATACAACGAAAAATCAAATTAAAAAATCCAAAAGAAATTCGATTTTTCTCGAATCATTCCAAATTCCTTCGTCTTTCCTGTATTTTAACATGTATATATATATACACAAAAAAGATATTGATGATTCACAAAGTACAAAGTCGTGGTCACTGAACTGAAAACTGACAAGAAAGTGACAAAGCCAAAAAAAACGACAGAGAAAGAGAGAGAGAGAGAAAAAGAATCAAAAGAAATAACGTCATTAAACCCCTGCTCATACCAAAGAAAGAGAGAAAAAATAATGACACTTCGAGAACAATTAAAAAAAAAAAAAAAAAAGTTACTTGAATTCGAAAAAAGACAGAAAATGTTGCTCGGGGTAAGAGGAAGAGCGGGGGGAAAACAGAAGGAAGTGTTGCGTGGCGCGGAGGTTCATCTGGCAATTTCCGTCTCTCTTTCTCTCTATATATGTATTTTTTTTTTTTTTTTTTGGTTTATCGTCTGACAATGGACATAACCTGTCAATTTTCCCCGAGAATTCAGGGCGAGGCGAAAATCATTGAAACCCACACGTAGATTAGATTAGAAAAAAAAAATAAAAAATGATATCACTGATCGCACTCACTTTCCAGCAGGTTTGTGTGTTGCAACCGATGCACAACATGGAGTAAGAGTATCCCTCAGGCATTTAATGATCGGGATTTTTGTTCCTCGATTACGACGTTATTGTCGCTTTATTCTTTCAATAACGAGAAAGACAATATAGAGTCCATAGGAGAGTTTCTTTTTTTTTCCGTCTCGAACGCGCACACACAAATCACTTTATTTTTTCCCCCTCCTCTTGACTAGTAAATATAACACGCGAAATTTAATTAAACTGAGAAATATTAAAAAAAAAACTTTGTTCTCCAACACACACTGACTTGTGGTTTTTCGTCTATTATAACAGCACGCGCAACAATCGTGAAAGGCGAACTCCTTGACTTGAGCGTGACTTGTCTGTGTCTGGAGCAAGAAAGCAGTATAGAGTTAGCGTTGCTTGGCGATTTGAGGTTTTTTTTTTTTCGTATTAAACAAATTTTTTTTTTGTTTTTTCCTAAGCGAGGACGGAAATGTTGGTCAGATAACGACGACGTCGACGACGAACGAATGTTTTCATGATGGCGAAAACCCACGGACTTTGGGCGGACGGACGAGTGCAAAACCCGAAGAAATAAACCGAGTGACAAACGCAGTTCACACTCCCCTTTTTGAGCGATTGGCGAGAATATCACTGTTTTTTTTCAAAGTTTATTTTTCTTTCTTTTCACAAGGGGGTGGTAGTGAAAAATAGGGGGGGAGAGCGTTCAGCGCTTCGCGACTCGATTATAGTTTTCCTTTACCGAAAATTTTTCAACGCCACTCAAAAAAAGCTCTCTCTCTCTCTCTGTCTCTCTTTCTACTCCGCGCAGCGCACACAGCAGTGAAAAATGAGAGCGAACGAACTCACGCCGAGTTGAACCGAACAGTGACTACCGAGTGTTCGCGAGCACCAGTAGTGTAACGAGAAATCATTGGTACCCCTGTCGCGCATTATAGAAAAAAAGGGAGGGAGGGGAAAATCATTTGTTTTCTTTTTACAAAAACAGGATACTTGCTTTGATATTCAGGAATTTAAAAAAAAAAATATTACAAATCGATTAAAAAATAAATAAATAGACAATTTTTTTAAGCAAAATTGATGCGGAATTAATATTTTGACGAGTTTAGAACTTGTTTCTCAGTGAAAATATTACGGACTTGAAAATAAAAAGGTGAGGGATTAATGACAAGTGATTTTTAAAAGCGCAAAGGGAAGATTTTTAACCAAGATTATATAAAGAAAAAAATTAATATCAAAATTGGTTTGATAAATCGATTTTTTTCTTTTTTTTTGAAACAAATTTTTTTTTTAAATTTATCTTTTTTCATTAGAATAGAAAATTTTGAGAAAAAAAAAATTAATAACAAAAGATTATTGTACAAAATAGGAAAAAAAAAATTGAATGAATAAATAAAATTAGAAAAAGTAATTTTCTACGCTTTTTGTAATTCAAAAATATAGAAATGAATTAAAATTTTCTTTTATATAGAAATGTATAAAAATATGTAAATTTTCGTTTAATCGTATGTTTCTTCCCCCTCCCCCACCCTCCACCATTTTCTAACAATAAGCTCTGACCTTTTTACCTTTTTTGAGGTTATGTCAAGGGGTCAAACACCCTTAATAGCTATTCAGGGTCGCATGATACATTAATTATTTGTTTTTCTGCCTTAAAATATTATTAAAGAATCTATGGAAATTTTTTTCAAAATTATAAACAATGAAAAATTAAAAATTGGTGTAAATTATTAGAAAAAAATCCGTCTTTTAAATAATAATAATAATAATAATAATAATAATAATAAAAATAGAAATAATAATAAAGTAACAATAATAATAATAAAAATTGAAATAATAATAATAATAAAGTAATAATAATAAAAAAATAAGAATAAAAATAGAAATAATAATAAAGTAAAAATAATAATAAATTTTTTTTAAAAATATAGAAATTTCTCCAAGGGGGGGGATGTCACCACTTTGAAATCGTGGTTTCAGAGAACCCCCACCCCCCCTAGAATTTTCTCGCGTGGGAATATTCAAAAAAAGGATCTTTTCTCCTAAATGTATTTTGAATCCTTAATCTAATTTTATCTCTCAACTATATATATATATATATATATATACTTAAATGTGAAAGCTTCACGTTTGTGAAGTAAAAGGGAGACATCTGTTCCTAGATTCGTTACTGAAACTTGTAAGGCGTATCCACTATCGCGTATCGTCTCTATCCAGCACTGAATTTAAACCAACACACTCACACACACATACACACTAAAAGACAAACTAATGATGGTGTGTTTTTGAGCCCATGAGGCCAAGTGAAAACACGCACAGAATCCTGTTTTCCCCATTTTCACGTGTTCACCATTCTTCCATTGTATATATATATATATATATATATATATATATATATATATATATTTACGTACATATCAGAAAGACACGTGTTTTTTATTCTTTGCAAAATATATAATAATAAGATAAAAAAATATTTATTATCACGAGAGAAAAAAAAAATTTATAAATACTATATTGCAGTGATAAATTAACAATAAAAAGATACAAGTTACAATGAAATTTCTTAGAAAAAGGAAAATATTTATTTCTCTTTAAAAAAATTTTTTTTTTCTTTATTAAAGAAATGGCAAAAATTAATTTTACTTTTTTTTTCATCCAATTTTTTGGAAATTAAAAAAAATTTAATTATAATTAAAAAATTTATAATTATTATAATATTGATAATTTAAATTGTAACAATTCCTAATTTTTAATTTAATAATAATAATAACAAAAATAATGTATTTCATTTATTTATTAATTAATTAATAATTATTTATTATTATTATTTATTGTTATTATTATTAATAATAATAATAACAACAAAAATAATTTATTTCATTTATTTATTAATTAATAATTATTTATTATTATTATTCATTGTTATTTTTATTATTAATAATAATAATATAATAATAATAATAATAATAATAATAATAATAATAATAATAATAAAAAATGCTAAATAAATTAATAATAATAATTATTTAATTAGTAATAATTAATAATAATATTAATGAATAATTAATTAAATATTTATAGTTAATATTAACTGATAGTTCAAATTGTAAGTAAATTTTTATTTAATAATTATCTAATATTAATAATTATAGAAATTAATAATTAATTAATTATAATTACTTTATTGATTGTAGAACGACATTGTGACGCAAAAATAATTGCGAAAAAAAAAATAATAATGATAAAAATAAAAAAATGCAAATTATTTTTAAAAAAAGAAGGGGAGAGGAGGGGGGGGGAGAAATATTGAGAGCGAAAATGATTGAAAGTGGAAAATGCTCGAATCCTTTGTATTTAGTGAGTAATAAAACGATTAATGACATAAAAGGATGTCAGACGTAATTGCAACGCACTCTTGTTTTTTTTTTTATAATATTTTTTGTTTTGTTTCACGATACGTGTGTGATATCGAAATTCATACTTTGTGTTTAGAAATCTACGTGTGTTCTTGACGACTTTTGTGGTCTCTTGTTATAAATATATATATATATATATATATATATATATGTCCAAGAGAGGAACAGATATACAAAGCGCTCTGCAAGGCTCTCTTTCTCTCTCTCTCTCACTCCTTCAAGAGAGTCATAACTGCGCTGACGCAGTGACGCACTCCTCGTGTGTTTTCAGATAACTTATCACAATCTTTTTTGTCCCCTATTCATCAAGGCCTCATTCACATTTAAATTCACCTTGTTTAGGTGAAAAATCAAAAAAACTATTTTTTAACACAAAAAAAAATAAAAATAAATAGTTTTTCACACAAAAATAGTTTTGCACACAAAAAAAAAATTCTTTTTTATTTTCACTGGATGTATCATTTAAAATTAATTTTATAAATAAAATATTCAATTATTATTATTAGTATTAAATAAATAAAATTAAAAAAAAAATTTAATTTTGTTGCGCGAAGAAATTAAATTGATTTTGACAAAAACGAAATTTTTTTTTGAGGTTAGAAAATATTTTTTTTCTCACACTAAAAAAAAAAGAAATAGAAGGAAATAAAATTTTTTATATAAATATTTACTGTATTTGTCAATTTAGAGATCACTGTTTCTTCTTCAGGAATAATAAATATAAAAGAACAAAAACAACTTTACTTCACCGAGAGAGTAACGTAAAAACAAGTCTGAATTTGACAGTTTGATTTTCAGTGCTGCCAACTATCGAAAACCAAATCGTTATAAAAATCATAAATATCACTATTTTTTTTTTTTATTCTTTCATTGATTCTTGTTCAGAAAATATAAAAATATTAATTTCTTAATAATAATTTATAAAATTTCTTTATTTTTTACGTAAATAATTTTCTTTCTCGTCACTTCAATTCGCAATGAACTTCAGTCAAAGAACATTGCCATCGAAAAAAAGGAGAGTGGGGGGAAAAGCAATAAACTCGAAATGAGTTGATGCTTTTATCGAATAATCGAATGAAATCTGGACTTCCTTGTCTCTCTCTCTCTCTTTCTTTCTCTCTCCGCCCACTGAGAAATTTCAAAGGATCGTAAAAATCACGCAAGAGTCCCATTATTTGGCAAGTGCATCGTCATGCGTGGGAAACCTGATTGCGAGGACAATGACACCCGGTGGTTGCAATGACCCAACAAAATATATAAAAATCCACATTTAAAAAAAAAAAAAAAAAAAACCACATACAAATTCAAAAACTAGAAGAATTTCGCTTGATTCCATTCCAGACGACCTTGAACGTGGGATCTTTTTTGACCTTGATAAGAATTCAACGAATGAATGCGCGATGACAAATCCTTTCATAACCTATAAATTTTTCCAAATAATTTTTTGATGATGATACACAAAAGAAAGTTCGCCGCACTGTATATATATACATATATATGATAAAAATATTGAATGTAAGAAGAAACGACGAAAATCTCGAAGTCAAATGAAATGATGTTTCGATTTCGAGGAAAGAGAATATAAGTGAACGCGAATCGACCTTGCCGAGAACGCTTGCATCGTTTCCGCACGTGGACGAGTCATCGACACGTGACCACGGCCAAAGCACGGAAATACGCGCCTACTTTCCAAGAAATGGCAACGAAAGGATTTCGGTTTCATTCCAATTCCTTTGTCTATATAAAAATCTTTTCTTTTGTATATTTATATATATATACTATAAAATATTGTCTGCAAAAAATAAAAATGCGCCGCACAAATTTATTTTTATTATTAAAGTCACTATTTTTATATTCGTACAAAGAGAAAGAACAGTAAAAGTACTTAATTTTTAATTTTCATTTAATATTTATTACACTTTTAATAATTTTAATTAAAAAAAAAAGTAACTATAAAGGTTTTTAGAAAAAAAAAAAAATGTTGCAAATCCATATTTACGAATAAAAATAAAAAAATTCTGCAAATTTTAGGTTATGTTACTTATCACTAAAATTATCAATTATTTACAAATATTCGCGGAAAAAAAAGAAAAAAAAATTAAAAAATTTTTGAATAAAAGTTAAAAATTTACAATCCACATATTTGCGGATAATAAAAATAAATTCACATATTTTTAGGTTATGTTGCCCGAATCGTCTGCTTGTCACCGAAACTATTAACCAAAGAATTTATAATAATAATAGTAATAATAATAGTTATAATAACAATAATAATTATAATAATAATAATAATTATTATTATTATTATTTATAATATAATATTATTATTATATTTATAATTTACCTTTTTTTTACAAAGAAAAAAAGTTCCGGAAAATTTTATTTATCAATAAAAAAAAAAAAAAATAGAAAAAAAAATCCTTAATACTCTTTCTAAAGTCATTAACCTAATATTTGGAAAAAAAAAATCTCAATTACTGCGTATAAAGAGAAAAATATATCATACAAATATATTTAAATTGAAAAAAAAAATCTATAAATAAATACAAGATATTAATTATAAATTAAAAATCAACTAAAACTCGGAAAAAGAAAGTATACGCATTTCATCACTTTGTTTTTATTTACTTTCTACTTTAAACGCTCGTATTAAGCAATCTCAAGGTCTTTAATATGAATTTAATTTTAAAATTCGTCTATTTTCAAAAATTCACTACACAATATTTCACCTAATGAAAATTAACGAATTACTAAATTTATATTATTAAATCTTTTCTAATAAAATTTGAAGAAAAAAAAAACCGTTTAATTATCAATAAGGACAAATAATTAAAAAAAATTTTTTTTTAAATAATATTAACATATAATGTAATAAAATAAATAAAAAAAATAATTAATAATTAATAATAATAATAATAATAATAATAATAATAATAATAACGAAATAATAAGAATAACAAAATAATAAGAATAATAATAATAATAGTAATATTTAAAATAATTATTAATTAATATAATAATTAAAATTAAAATATTTTATATCGTCAAAATAAAAATAAAATAAAAAAGGAATTAAATAAAAAAGAAAAAGAAATTATTATTTATAAAAAAAAAATAAAAATCTATGTTCTATATCAAATTAAAATCAGAATAACAATATTGTATATTTCCTCTCGCAATAATAAAAGCGATTTTAAAACAAAAACCAAGTGCAAGAGGAGAAACTCACAGTGAAATAATAATAATAATATGATTATATTGCGTGTATATAAGAGAAAAACTTCACAGTGAGTGAATTGATTATTAAATTAATCGCTCCTATGTATTGGCGTATTAACACGTAGTAACCTCAAAATATTTATAAGAAAAATAATTATTAACCAACGAACAAAGAAAAGACGTAAATATCCAACAAGAACTCCATGGTGTAATTTTGCGCAAGAGACGCAAACGTCAAAAAAATAATTTTCAATTTAAAAATTGTAAACAAAAGATGAATAATTCCGTTATAAAAGAAAAAAAAAATGAAAGAAATACACAACTGGTTTCTCTTCTATTCTCAAATGTGTATATGTATGAATTCTAGTTGATTCTCGAGGAATGAAATATATATATAAAGAATCACAAAGGCGGAAAAAGAAGAAAGGCCAACAAAAATTAAATATATGAGGCGTGAGTGAGTTTGAGAAAAAGAAAGAGAGAAACGCATTGTGCGTCGTCCAATCATCCACTAGATGGCGGAATAGGTTTTTATCATAAAAAAAAAGAGGGGAGATAGAAGGGGAGGAAAAAAAAAGGGGAAAAGTATATAACCGCACGGTGTGTACACATGCGGGCAAGCGGGGGTGAAACCATGTGAATGCGTGTGTCATGCAAGTGAATTGCTCTATCTCTATCTCTCTCTCTCTCACACTCGCTCTTCACTGATTCGTTGACTGTGTGTCGTGGTGCGTTACACGTCATAAAGGTTATAAACAACGCAACAATACTGCAAAAAAAAAGTTCCTTCTTTTTGCAATGAAAACGAATAAAATAGAAATTGTGTTTCTACGTCACATAATCAAAATTTGATTCAAACACAGCTTCTAAAAGTCATGACGCACTTCGTTACCAACGGAGAAAAGAAACTTCCCCCCCACTTCCAGAAAAAAAAACTTCCTGGAAAGGATTTTAATGTCAAAATCAATAGTCCCATGACTCACAAAAACAATTTTTCGTTCGAATTTTTATTTTCGTAATAAAAAAAAATACTTTTTATTTAGTACAACAATTCAATAGAAATGATTTCAAAAAAGTAGACAACCTAACCTATATCCAAGATGTTTTTTTTTTTTTCATTCCATTAAGTGAAATTGAAACCCTGTTATCGATTTTAAGAATTTCTCAATTTCTATATTACTAATTTTAAAAATCTTTTAAAGAATTTTACTTTTTAATAGTAATTACAAAATTAAACCTTTTGTAAATAGTTCTTTAAAGTAGAACTTTACGAAATTATGACGTAACGAGAAAAAAAATTTTTTTCAAATAGGTCCTTTTTTGAAAGAACTTTTCGTGAAATAATTATTACTACAGGGAAGGGAGGGGGGGGGATAATAATGAAAAGACGATAATGGTTGTGGCCTCTGTTCCATGGACACGCACTTGGCCCGAAAATTGCGTCGCTTTCTTTGTTGATCGTAGTCCGTGGCCCATTGCGAAGCATTCATACACATATACATACACACAAATATACGCGATGAGAGGCTCTCCTCTCTTTTTTCAAAAGAGATCGCTGGAGTTGCGACAGCAGCGAACGTATAAAAGAAGTGAAGGAGAGAAGATGACAGGAATTGATATAAAAAAGACGCATGGCGTTTATTTAAAAAAAGGAGTTCGAAAATTCGATTAGAACTAAAAATAGTTACATTGGTAGATTTTGCGAGGGCCGATTTTATTAAAGTGATTGCGACACTTACCGAAGGCTGCTGTGGTGTAGCAGGACGCAATATGTCAGCTGACTTGACGTGTGGCTGATCGTAATTCCACGGCAATATCCAACATAATTCCCAAATAGATGAGAAAGATCGGCTGTTATTTAATGTAGAGCTCCCCAAATGCAAAAAAAAAAAAAAAACAACTATGTAATACACTGGTTTTTCTTAATTATATTCACAGCGCACAAATATAGTGCATGGGCTAACTTAGAAAAATTAACTTAAAACACCCCGACCTCTTCTGCACTACCGAACAGGAACCACTAATGTAGTATCCCGATGACTTGTGTAAAATTGTCCCTTCTCCCACTACACTTTTTTTCTCGTTACGTCGTTGCTAGCCAAGTTGATGCGCATGCGTGCGGTGGAAAAAAAATGCAGGGTAATGCCACTAGATGGCAGTACATATATTAAGCTAGTCAATGATCTGTAATATGACGATTTTGCAATATTTTGAACGTTTGACTTTAGGTTCTCGAGATATCGAATTTTACATTACGGATCTTTTAAGTTAACTTTTTGATTTACTGACTATCCATTTCTGGTGCTTTGTATTTCGCGCATGCGTACATTGGGCAATTTCGAAAAATATTGTGAATTCACATTGATGTTTATCATAACCTCAAATCCATCAAATTTTGTTGAAAATATATTTAAAAAAAAGGAAAAATTGTGTTTTTTTTTTAAATAAAAAAAAAAAGAAGTAAATAGTTGTAATAATGGCGTCATCGCGAGAAAGACGTTCAAATGCTGGGAGTAAAATGTCAAAACTCCTCAATGAGGAGGAAGAAGATGATTTCTATAAAACAACTTATGGAGGTTTCGAGGAAACTGAACAGGACAATGATTACTTGTAAGTAAAAATATATTTATAAAAATTTTACGAGCAGTTTATCTCATTTTTTTGTGTAAGAAAATTGAAATTAATTTTAAATAAAATCAAAAGAAAATTCAATATTTTTTTTTAATTAAAAAATTCTATAAAATATAATTAGATCGAGATTTTTTTTTTTTTTGTCAAGGCGAAGGTTTATAATTTAAATTATTTTATTTAAAAAAAATAAAAAAATTCAATAAATATTAATAATAAATAAAATCTATAAATAATAATAATAATAGTAAATTATTAATTATTTAAAGAAAACAAAAATTCAAAAGGTATTTTTAGAAAAAAATAAAATCCATAAATATAATTATAGATCGAGAGAAATTGATTTTTTTGAATTGAAAACAGGTTAAGAGGGTTTTATATAATTGAATCAATTATTTATTATTTTTAAAAAACGGACAAAAAATTTGTTTTTTAAATATTAAAGACGAAGGTTAATAAATTATTAAATAAATGTTAATTATTTTAATAGAACAAAAAAAAAAATTCAATAAATATTTTTAATAAAAATAAAAAATAATAAAAAAAAAAGATCGAGAGAATTTTTTTTATTGAAGAAAAAGGTTAATTATTTTATTATTATTATTATTATTATTATTATTATTAATTATTAATTATTTTAATGAATGAAAAAAATTTAATGAATATTTTTTGAAAATAACTATAAATATTGAAAAATAAATTTATAAATATAATTGAAACGAGAGTAATTAATAAGAAAAGGAAGAAAAAGGTTAATAAATTATTATTTTAATAAATGAAAAAAGTTTAATGAATATTTTTTGAAAATAACTATATAAATATTTAAAAATAAATTTTATAAATATAATTGAAACGAGAGTAATTGATTCGTTTTTTTTTTCTTTTTAGAGTCGAAGACGAAGGTGAAGACGAAGTCGATTCAGATTTTAGTATTGATGAAAATGATGAACCAGTTTCGGATCACGAGCAAGAGGATCCAAAACGAAAACGAAGATTAGTAACGAAAGCATATAAAGAGCCAAAAAATGTAACAACACAATTGCAATCAACGCCAAAGGAAAAAAAGCCAAAAGCACCAAAACACGATCGTATATCAATTGATAGTACTGAGAGAAAATCAATTCGTCGTTCAACATTGGCAAAATCGGCAGCAACACAAAAAAGAATACGCGAACGTAATGAAGATCAAAGGAAAAAAGTGAAAATTGTTAAAAATGACACGTGGAAGCCAACGCAAGAGGAATTATTGGAAGAGGCATTAATTACCGAGAAAGCAAATTTAAAATCACTTGGTAAACAAATTTTTATCGAAAAATATAGAAAAAAAAAAAGAATTAAAACTATTTTTTTTATTTAATTTATTTATTAACTATTATTGAAGAATTTTGTTTTCTTTTTTTGTAGAAAAATATCAAAAATTGGAGAATGAAAAGAAAAATACAAGGGCAGTGCGAAAGACAAATTTAACGCCAATGATTCGTTATCAATCGTTTTCAATGCCAATTATTGTTCTCTCAGAAACAGAAACTGAAACTTGCGAAAAAGAAGATGAAAAAATAAATGTTGAGGGTGATGATGAGAAAATAATTGAGGAAAAATTGATTGTAAAAACGACAAATGAAAAGGAATTGGCGCCAAATTCAAAGGAAACATTGCAAATTAAAACAAATGGTTCATATGAAAGGACATTTATTACATTTGAAAATGAACAATTATTTAATGAGGCTTTTAAGAAAACTCCAGCGCCAAGGCCAACATTAAAATCTTTATGCGCAATCACAAGGTTAATTTTTTTTTGCAAATAATTTTATTTTATTTTGAAAAGGGAAATTAATAAATAAATGTTTTTTTTTAGACTGCCAGCAAAATATATGGATCCAATGACAAATTTACCATTTAGAAATGTACAAACATTTCGTTTATTGCGCGATGTTTATTATCAACAATTGGAAGCGCGTTCCGATATTAATGATTCAAATATAAATCCAAATTTATTACGTTGGCTTGAATGGAGACAAAAGAATAATAATAGTTCGCAGAGAAATCTCATTCGTTTGGAATCAGCATCGGCGCCAATTGCATCTTCATAGCTGCTACTTTTTCTCAAGGTTCAAGATGATGTCTAATTTTTTATAGACAGTATCCTTTTTCAAATTTGATGACAATTTTTCTTTTTTTTCTGTACATTCATTAATCTTGTTAATATATACATAAAAAAAAAGTTACATTTTATATTTCTTGTAAAAAAATCTATTCAAAACTTGTAAATGTACAGAATATTAAAAAAGAAATGAAATATTTCTTTTGAATACGAAGCAGTAAAATTTAAAAGGCGACAATTTACTTTACATTTCTGATAAAATAATATTTAAATAATTAAACAATAAATAAAATAAATAAATAAAGGAAAAAATTATTTTTGAATTTCTTTTTTTATTGAGAAAAAAAGACAAAATTTCATTTGAAAATCAATGTTTTGAATAATAAAAAATGAATTTTTAATTTTTCCTATTTTTTATTAGGAAAATTTATCGTTGGATAAAATTTAAAAGGCGATAATTTTTTTTTATTATAAAATAATAAAAGAAACATTATTTTTCGAAATTTTTTTTTTTTTTTGAAAAAAGAGACAAATTTTTTTGAAAATAAGTAAATTTTTTTCTCGTACATAGTTCTGCAAATTTTTTCGATTTGTAAATATATAAACTATATATTTATTAGGAAAAGGCTTTTGAGAAAATTTGAATACAAATTTAAGAAAATTAAAAATCGAACGTACTTTTAAAATTGTAAAATGTAAATTTATAATAAATAGAAATTTTTTTTTTTTTTATTTTTACGACTTCTAAATAGAATAGATTTTAGAAAAATTTATATTCTAGTTCTTAGATTAAGTTTTACCGTTAATTATCATCGTATATATATAATTATATATAAAAGAGACAAAACATTCTTTTGTAATTTTTCCCATCGAAAATGTATTTAATAAAAACGAATTTTTTAGAAAAAAAAAAACACTATTTATTTTAGATTGAAAAATTTTATCATTATTTCTTATTTTATTCACTTATTTAGTATAATAAAATTATTAATAATTCTATAATAATAAAAATATGGAAAAATTAATAATTATAATAATAAAAATATACAAAAATTAATAATTATAATAATAAAAATATACAAAAATTAATAATTATTATTATTTCAAGTTATTTAAAAATTTGAAATTATTAAAAAAAAAATTTAATTAGCAAATAATTTTTTATCTACAAATTTAAAATTATTAAAACAATTTTAATTAACAAATAATTAATTATCAAAATATATTTTCTATCTACATGAATAGAAAAAAAAAATAATAATTTTGAAGGATTTCAAAGGAAAAAGAAACCAATTAAAATTTTCTTGCATTCTTTAATATAAGTGAAATCACTTTTTCTCCTTTCTTTCTTTTTTTTACTTAAGAATTAAATTAATAATCACTAAAAAAAATAACAAAAAAAAAAATTAGATGATAACAAAAGCCTCCGAGTCAGTGTTAAAAGTTAAAAGACAATCGCTAAGAGAGAGAGAATGAGAGACCCAAAAAATGGCGTGATTTATTCTTTTTTTTTCGCACTATTTAAAAATTTTTTTTTTTTTTTTTTTTTTTTTTACCTAATAAAAACCAAATTTCGTTGAGAGAAAGAAAAAAAAAATTTCGTCGATTTATTTATATAACAATAGAAAAAAAAAAAATTCCACTCTTCTTTTTTTTTCTCTCTTTATCATCAACGGTGTACTTTTTTTTTTTATTATTTATTTATAATTTGTGTCCACATTTTTTTTTTTTTAAAAAAGCATAATTATATGCTTCGCGCGCGCGTGTGTATTTCACTTTGTTTTTTAATCTCTCGTGATTTAGTGCACAAAAAAGCGTAAAACACCTCAAATATTCACAAAATTTATTTCCTAAATTCGCGTTCTTAAACGTATGCTTTTGTTACATATTTGCTTTTTTTGTTTTTTGTTTTTTTTTTTTTTATAATTGCGGTACGACTGAAGGGTGTCTTTTTGTTGTGTATTTGTGTATGTGTAGAAAAAGAAAAAAAAAATTGATCATCAACACTGCTCGCAGAGATTTACTTTTTTTTTTTTTTAAAAATGTTTTTACATTTCTTTTTTTTTTTTATTATAATATATAATATAATTTTATATATTTCCTTAGAAATAAAAAAAGGGCATTCAGAATAGCGTTGAATCGAATTAAACATCTTTATTCGATTACTTTTGTGTTTTTTTTTTCTCTTCATTTTATTATTATTAAAATGTTGTACATATTCTAGACCTCAAAACCTTCCCAAGCATTTTTTTTTTATTTATTATTAATTATTTTCTAATATATAATATCAATTTTTTACTTTCTTGTTTATTTCCCCTTTTTTTTTGTTTTTTTAGTAAAAAAACAAATTTTCTGAATTAAAATTCCTTATATAGAGAATTTATTTAAATTTTTTCCTTTTTTTTGATAAACAAAAACAATTTTTTTAAAAATTAAAATTACTTCTCTTGAAAATTTATTTCAATTATTTTACTTTTTTGTTTTTTTTTTGTAACAAAAACAAATTTTTTTCGAATTAAAATTTCTTCCCTTGAATTTTTTTTTTTAAATTTTCCCTTTTTGTTAACAAAAACAATTTTGAGACAAAAACAACTTTTTTCGAATTAAAATTCCTTCCTTTTGAGAATTTTTTTTGAATTATTATTAAATAATTAAAATAATTTTGGGGTAACAAAAATAATTTTGTGACAAAAATAATTTTTTCGAATTAAAATTTCTTCTCTTGAGAATTTATTTTAATTATTTTACTTTTTTGTTTTTTTTTTTGTAACAAAAACAAATTTTTTCGAATTAAAATTTCTTCCCTTGAATTTTTTTTTTAAATTATTTTCCCTTTTTGTTAACAAAAACAATTTTGAGACAAAAACAATTTTTTTCGAATTAAAATTCCTTCCTTTTGAGAATTTTTTTTGAATTATTATTAAATAATTAAAATAATTTTGTGACAAAAGTAATTTTTTCGAATTAAAATTTCTTCTCTTGAGAATTTATTTTAATTATTTTACTTCTTGTTTTTTTTTTGTAACAAAAATAAAATTGGTAAAAAAGCAATTTTTAAAAAATTAAAATTCCTTCTCTTGAGAATTTATTTAAATTATTATCCCTTTTTTATTTGTCTGATAACAAAAATAAAATTGGTAAAAAAGCAATTTTTGAAAAAATTAAAATTCCTTCCCTTGAGAATTTATGGCTATCGAAATAATAAAATTATTTTTCAAAATTTACATTTAGAAAAAACATTTCTTTTCTCCTTTCTTTTTTTTTTACTAAAAATAAAATGATTTTTTTTTCCTTTTCTCTTATTTTTGAAAATAACTTTTTTTTCTTTTTTGAAAAACTAATTTTTTTTACCCAGAGTTTACAAAAAAAAACTTTTTTTTTCTCTTCAATTTTTGCTTTTTTAAAAAAAGCACTAAATAATTTTTTTTAGACACTTCTCTTTTTTTTCTTTTTTCCTTTTTAAAAGAAATTTATTATTATTTCAATATTTCCTAGATAAAAACAAAAACGTTTGTTTCTGAAAAAAAAATTTCCCAAACGAAAAAAATTTTCCTTCTTTGAAAAAAAAAAAAATCACTCCTTTTTTCAATAGGCAAAAAAAGAATATAAATTTTTTTTTCAGAAAAAAAATATTTCTCAATAATAGAAAAAAGAAGAATTTTTTGTTTTTTAGTAAAAGAAAAAAAAACAAATCTTTTTTTTCTCGTTGAAAAAATTAGTGTTTTTTTTTATAGGAAAAAAAATTTTTTTTTTTGCATAAAAAATTTATTATTCCCCCGTTTTTCTTTTTTTTTTTTATTCATTATGTGTGAAAATAAAAATAAATTGACGTCTATATATATATGTTTTTTTTTTTATATATAATATGTATAAGTTGGCGAATAGTGACATTTCTATATTCGATTCGTAAACCATTCACACTCCTAATTATAAAGAAGCGGCAATACAACATTTAATTATAGTAACAAATTATTTTGTTTTTTTTCCATGTTTGTGTTTCGTGTGTTTTTTTTTTTTTTTTTTTTGAACAAATATATTGCAATTCGTACATGATTATACACATAATTATATGTAGATTTTTCTTTATTAATTAATTTAATAATTAATAGATTTTTTTTTTATTAATTACTTTAATAATTAATAAATTTTTATTTATTAATTTTTTTTTTCACTTTGTTTTTTTGTTTAATGGAGAGGAGGGAGGACATGGGAGGAAATAGAGGAAGAATTAAAATATAAGATGTTTTTTTGTTTATGTTTTTTTTATATATATATATATGTGTGTGTAAATGTGTTTCGATGAGCGATCAAAAAAGATTTTACGACGATCGCTAAAAATCGCATAAGTATTTTTCTTATTTCTTTCTTTCTATTTGCTGTGATTTTTTTTTTATTTAGCAGTCTGCGGCTCCCCCTCACATCGATGGGGTTTTTTTTTCTCCATGTTTGTTGTCTTTTATTAATTAATTAATTAAAAAAAAAAAAAAAAACCCCTAGCGTACGGGATTATAGGCCCCGTACCCATAGTCTTAGTTCTCGTGCGATCACGCACCTGCTATAATTATCGCCGGTCACCACTTCCCTCCTCCCTCCCTCAGTGTAACTGCTTCTGTAAAAACAATTGTCATTCGAACTTCCCGAGTAAATAATAATAATAAAAAAATTTTTTTTTTCTTTGTTTTCTATTTAGAAATTTCATTTTTTCATTGTTGATTCATTTTTAAATTCTTTATTTCTTTCTTTTTCTTATTATAAATTCTTTTGTTTTTAATTTCTTTTCTTATTAAATTCTTTTTTAGTTTTCTTATTCTTTTATTCTTAATTATTTGGAAAAAAAATACTCTAAATTTAAATTTATCAATAAGAATGGAAATCGAATTTCTTTTCTTTTTAATTTCTTCTTTAGTTTTCTTATTCTTTTATTCTTAATTATTTGGAAAAAAATACTCTAAATTTAAATTTATCAATAAGAATGGAAATCGAATTTTTTTTTAATTTTTGTAAAGATTTTGTATAAAAAAAAAATATTAACAAAAAATTTTTCCTTTTTGCAAAATTCGAAAAAATTATTTTATTATTTTTATCCACTTTTTGATTTTATTTATTTATTATTATTATTTGTTATTTTTGAATAAATTGATGTAATTAAAAGGTGAAAAACAAAAAAAATATTAAATATTTACAATAAAAATTTATTTAGTATTTCAATTTTTTAAATAAATTTTTCGATTTCTATCCCCGGATGAATTTTTTCTATAAATGAAAAATAATTTTTCATTGATATTTGTTTTTTTTTTTATTTTTCTATTCAATAAAATCATTGAGATGGCCAAGAAATTAATTTTTTTTTTGTATTATTGCTCTTTTCATTTTTTTACGTACATATATATAATTAAATTAATTAATAATTAATTTATAGATATAAAAATTCAATCCAAGGGAAATGAATTAATGTAATAACGAATTTAATGTTCGAGTTTTTATTTAATTTTAATAAATTTGCAATTTAAATTATGATTTGTAATAAAATATTCTTTTTTCTTTTTGTCATATTAATTTTTGTAATTTTATTAACTTTTCTTAAGTACTTTGTATTACAAAAAGATTTCGCTTCATTCAAGTGTAAATAAATAAATGCTTTATTATTAATAATATTCTATTATTGTTATTAGAAAATATTTCGGTTTTTTAAAAAAAATTTTATCTTTTAATAAATAGTTTTAAGAAAACTGTTTTTTTTTATAAATTTTAAATACTGTGTTTTATGCATTAAAAGACATTTTTCTTTTTCTTTTACAAATATTTTATAAACTCCTACATTGTAATGAATTAAATAAATTTTTAAATAAACAAAACAAAATTGAATCATTTAAAATTTTGCAAATTTAAATAAAAAATATTTTTATTCTCCTCTTATTTTCTTTTTTTGATTGAATTTTCATTTCTATAATTTATATATCTAAATAAATAAAAGGAAGGGTTACAATTACTTCACAAGTAATTAAAAATCCAATTAATTTTTAATCTAGATTAAAACATAATTTTTTATTCGAGTCAGATCTATCGATTCAGATGTATATATAATTATAATCCTCATTTCTTGGCGCGATCTCATTAAATAATAGTGTAATAAAAATAATAGTAATAATGATAATTAATTGTAATAATTGCAATAATAATAATAATAATAATAATGATCTATATATGTAAAAAATAGTATAATACATGATTAATTTTTTTTTTCTTTTTTTTTGATTGTAAAAACATGGGCCTTACAGCTTACGAGCACACTTACATGTTAAAGTGTGAGGAGAGTCACTGGCAGCATTGTTTGCGCATTCCATCTGAACTCATTGTCGGTTTAACGTCGATTGGTTCTACATTCTGTGGTCGGATAGTGTCACCTTCGGGAGGATCTCTTATCTGCTTTTGCGAGACGATTCTATAAATTTCTGTAAACGAAACAAAAATAAGTAAACAAAAACAATATTTCTAAAAAAAAAGAAAAATTTTATCAGCTAAATGAAATGTTTTTTAAAATTAGGTAGAAAATAGCTTTAAATTTTCTTCGCAAATTGTTTTTTGTAGTCACCCTAATTATTATTATTAGATTTTTATATGAATATTATGTAAATATATTATTTTTTTAAGTTTACTTGTTAAATAAATATTATTTCCACTTTTTTTATCCAATAATAAAAAAAAGAAAAAAAAAAGAAAACAATAAAATAAAAATAGAAAAAGAATAGAAATAGATGGAAAAATAAGTAGTATAAAAATAAAGAAATTGATTTATAAATATATGAAAATAAATAGTATAAATTATTACAATTTTTTAAAAGAAAAAAAGAAAAACAAATCGTATATTATTTGCAAATAGTGTTTTTGTTTCATATTTTATATTTTTTAGTAGTAATAAAATAATAGTAATAATAATAATAAAATAATAATATTAATTAATAAAATAATTATAGTAAAATAATAATATTAATTAATAAAATAATTATAGTAAAATAATAATATTAATTAATAAAATAATTTCATAGTGAAATAATAATATAATAAAGAAAGTAGAACAAATTATTATAATTTTTTGTATAATAGATTATTTAGAGAGGGTAATCTTGTTGACTTTTTTTTCTAATTCATTTTCTAAGTTTAAGTCAGAATTACGGACTCTTTTATCTGTTAATATTTTACTAATGATAACAATAACTCAGCCTAATTTTTCTTTTGATTCATTTCTATTGTATTCAAATTTTGTATTGTATTTTTTTTTTTTAGTTTGTACAAAAAAGCTTAGTCCGTTTAATAAATAAATAATAAAAAGAAAAAAAATAATTTTTTTTAGAAACTTTTTTTTTTTAATTACCGGTTAAAATATTTTGAAATGCCGTCTCAACATTAGTCGAGTCTAAGGCAGAGGTCTCGATGAATGAGAGGCCATTTCTTTCGGCAAATACTTTGGCTTCGTCAGTGGGCACAGCTCTCAAATGCCTTAGGTCAGATTTGTTTCCGACCAACATTATTACAATATTCTGATCGGCATGATCTCGCAATTCTCGCAACCATCGTTCAACATTTTCATATGTCAAATGCTTTGCTATATCATAAACCAATAATGCTCCAACTGCACCTCGATAGTAGCTAAAAAGAAAAAAAAAAACAATTTTTATTTTGAATAAATATCAAATATGACTTTTTTTTTAAAAATAAATTTACAGTAATTAAGATTAATAATTTTTAGTAAATTAGTAAATTCTTTTTACTTTAAATTTTAGTAAATTCTTTTTTACCATAAAACAGAGAAATTTAGTCAAAAAATAAAAAATTAAATATACAATTTCAATTCAATATCAAATAGTAAAGAATTTTTTTTAAAAATTAAAATAAAATTATGTACATGAATAATTTTTAGTAATTTAAATTAATAATTTGTAATTTTAATAATTCGATTATTTTAATAATAATAATTTTTAATTAATATTATTTTTACCATGAAACGAAAAAAGAAAATAAATTTACTATTTAAAAATTTTTAAAAACGAAATATATAATAAATTTTATTTCATTTATTACCTAAATTTAAATATTATTCTATTTTCAACAAAAAAAATTAATTAATTAAATTAAAATTAATTTTCAAAAAAAATTTAATTTTAACTTACGCTGACGTAATAGCACGATAACGTTCTTGTCCAGCCGTGTCCCATATTTGGGCCTTAATCGTTTTACTATCAACTTGTATGCTACGAGTGGCAAATTCAACTCCAATCGTTGATTTTGATTCAAGATTGAATTCATTGCGTGTAAATCGTGAGAGAAGATTACTCTTACCAACTCCCGAATCACCAATGAGAACCACTGAAAAAAAAAAAAATGACAAATGCAAAAGTCTCAGATTTCGATGACATGAAACAGAAATATATATATATATATATATTCACACACACACATATATAAAAAAAAAAATATATGTTGTACCATTTAATGTGAATCATGGATTACAAATTGACAATAGGCAACAAAGAGAGAGGGAGAGAGAGAGAGAAATAACACGTGCTTGTGTCACAAGTTCAATTGGTTGTAAGCATTGATCATTTACATAAAAGAAAGAAAAAAAAATCAAGAGAACAACGGTAGATAAGAAAATAAAAAAAATAAAAAAAAAACACAAAAAAATCGCGTGGACCTTAAAAAATGCTCTACTTTTTTTTTACATGATTTTAAATTTTTATTAATTCAATTTAAAAATTTAATTTAAAAAAAAAATAAATAAAAAAAATACTAATAATTGAAATAAAATATTAAAAATTATATAATAGTATAATAATATAATAAATAATAAAAATAATATAATAGTATAATAATATAATAAATAATAAAAATAATAAAAATAATAACAATAATTAGTAATAATAATAATAATAATAATAATAATAAAATTAATAGAAAATAAATAAAATAATTTACAATAATATAAAAGAAGAAATTAAAAGAAAAATAAAATTTCAATATAGATAAGGAACAATTTTTTTTTTTTTTGTTCTTTTAAAAAAAATTAATTCCCTTTTAAAAAATTAATTGTTTCTTTTAAATATCATTTATTCAATTTTCTCCTTTATAATCATTGCATTTTTTTTTCTCGATTTTCAATCTCTTTCTCTCGTCTTTTGCTCCTCTTATCATCCAAGTTTTCTTACATTTATCTTCCGAGTGCTCGGTTATTTTTAAATTTCACATAAATTTATCTTTGATGGTTAGTTTCAAATTCTCTAATTGGCATTTATTATATCTTTATTATTATTATTACTATTCTCCAAATTTATGAATAATTTTTAATCTTTTTTTTGAAAAGTTTATATTCTCATTTTCATTAATTTTCATAGAACTAATAAAATAATAATAATAATAATAATAAAATAATAATAAAATAATAATGATAAAATAATAATAATAATAATAATAAAATAATAATAATAATCATAATAAAAATACTAATAATAAATAAATAAAATAAAAAAGCAAATTAATCTCATCTTCATTATTTATTTTTAAAATTGTAATTAATTTAATTATTAATTTTATTTAGAAGAGAAAAAAAAACATTTATTTTTAAACTGTAATTATTAATTAATTAATTTTATTTAAAAAAAAAAGAAAATTTTCGGTTTTAAATATTTAACCCTAGTTTTCGAATTAAAAAAAAAATTTTTTTTTTTGTAAAATAAAGAAGAAAACAGCAAATTTGTCTAGGATTAAAAAATATATTTTAATAATTATTACTTTCTAATTTATACACAAGGTCGAATGTGACAAAAGAGAGAAAAGAATCAATTATGAATAAAATTGAAAAAAAAAAGAAAAAAAAAGAAAGAAATGTTTAATAAACATTAAAAATTATCTTTAGCTCTTTCATTGCAAAATTAAAACTCAATGACACTGCGAATAAAACCATTTCAATCTATAACATATATATATACATATCTATATCTATATACATAACTATATATCAATAATTCTCGTAAAGAATTGTAAATTGAAAGTATTTAAAAATATTAAACAAATATTTATGATCGTTTTCAAATTTTCTTTTTTTTTTAACGAATTGTAAATAAATAATAATTCAAAAAAGAAAATTTCCGAAAGAAAAAAAAATGATTTTTTTAATTAACAAATTTAATAATACTGATATATATTGTTTTCACAATCGAATTTTTTTCTAGTCCATCATCAACGTCATTTTAGTGTTACACGTGTCACAAGTTTTTGACAGAAAAGGTCAAGCTCGTAATTTCGAAATTATTTTTTTTTCCAAGTCAAAAAAGAAATAATAATAATAATAATAATAATAATAATAATAAAAAAGGGGTTGGTGGTGGGGAGAGACCGATTCGCGAAACCAATAGTTTCCATTAGTGACGAATATTGATGACATCATCAAAATGATTTTTTAAAAGTGAAGTGGGATTTTACGGTGAATGTCATGATGAGAAATGTCAATGACAGGAGAGCGATTTTTTTTTTCCATTTCGAAACAAATCGAAGAGGGATTTCCTCTTTGAGAAGACATCGTCGCGACTAAACGTGAATATTAATTATCTTGATTAGCTTTTTTTTCACAATTATTATACTTGTCGATCTACGCCTTCAATGTCAACGATCTTCGTCAACGACCCAACGATGTATAACAGCAGTTTTTTTTTTTACACAAGTCGAAAAAAAAAATGGTCGAATAAAAAAAAAGGGGGGTTAGGAGCAGAGACATTTAATTACCACTTACCTTTAAATAAATAATCGTATTCGTCGTCTCGAGTGCCCATTTTGGTGATCAGCAAATAACTCCTTGGTTTATAGGGACGTGTTCTTTAGATCGAATATAACGAGATCCGTATACTCTCTCTGTGTATTTATATATATATGTATGTATATATATATATATATATATACAACAAAAAAAGACAAGGAGCCAAATAAAGGCTCCTGTATTTTATTTAGGCAAAAAAAAAATTCACTTTTCTTCACTATTATTTATAATTGAATTAGTACACTAATGAATGACGCGAGAATTGAATAAAAATTTTTAATATTGTCGCAACTTCACAAGGGCACGATAAATTATTTTTCTTTCTTTCAATTTAACTGTACAATATGGCCTCCTTTCCTTTCTACGCCCCTCCAAATAGATTGTTCACTCATGCGCACTATTCATCAGCTGCGCGATTTTAATTTTCCCACTAGAGGCGCAATTGTCGTTTGAACATTGTCTTTAGGGTTCATTCACATGTAAGTGTCATATTTTGGACGTTTTTCTTTCTCAATTTTCAGTTTTATCAAACTGTCACATTTGAGAGGTTTTTCTTTGTATTTTTGTGAGTGAATTTGTCTTTCTCTTTTACTCTTGTACGTTACCATGACAATCTGACAGGGCTGGGTAACTTGTGCAAGAAATAAAAATTAGGACAAATTCAAATCAGGGTGTTTTCCATTTAATACGTACATTTATATTAGGATAACTGAAAGTTAGATGATAAATTCACAATTGTTTCTTTGAAAATTCGAGATTATTAAACTAATATACAATTCCGTTTAAATTAAAATTTGAACAAATAGAATTAAGGAAATTTTTTTTCGAATTAGGCGCCATATTGTCATTGGTTTAAGGCGCTCGCACACCTCCGGCTGCCTGCACAGGTAGCCTCCCACCACGCCGAAAACATACAAGAATAAAGGCGCTCTCACACCTTTTTGGCTGCTTGCAGGTTACCATGGCAACGCATGAGAGTGAGTGTAACAGAAAATTTGGATATTCAAATTTTCTGTCTCACTTTCACCCGTGCGTTGCCATGGTAACCTGCAGCCAGACAGGCAGCCAAAAGGGTGTGAGTGCGCCATAAGAGAGGTGTGCAAGAGCCTTTATTTTACAATTAGTTTAAATTCAAATTTGGACAAATAGAATTAAAGAAATTTTTTTGAATTAGGCGCCATATTGACATTGGTTTATTTTACAATTCGTATAAATTCAAATTTGTAAAAGTTGAATTAGGGACATTTTTTTCAAAATTTTTTTGAATTAGGCGCCATATTGTAAGTGGATTATTTTACAATTCGTTTAAATTCAAATTTGGACAAGTTGAATTAGGGACATTTTTAAAAATTTTTTTTAATTAGGCGCCATATTGACATTGGGTTATTTTAAAATTCGTTTAAATTCAAATTTGAACAAGTTGAATTAAGGCGCTCTCACACCTTTTTGGCTGCCTGCAGGTTACCATGGCAATGCATGAGAGTGAGTGCGACAGAAAATTTAAAAATTTGAATATTCAAATTTTCTGTCTCACTTACACTCGTGCGTTGCCATGGTAACCTGCAGGCAGGCAGGAAGCCAAAAAGGTGTGAGTGCGCCATTAGGTTCATTTTTTTTTTAATTAGGCGCCATCTTGTAATTGGGTTATTTTACAATTCGTTTAAATTCAAAGAACAAGTAGAATTAGGGACATTTTTTTCAAAAAATTTTTTTGAATTAAGCGCCATATTGTCATTGGAATATTTTACAATTATGAAAAAAGTACACGTACCCCGTATTTTTTAAACAGAAACATCTGAAATGTGACAATTTTTTGAAATTACGAAACAGTCCAGTCGTTTGCGAACGAGATGCATGTGTTAGAAAAGGACAGAGAGTAACTGAAAGTGTCACATTTCAGAGGTTTCTCAACAGAAAACCTAATGGTTTTTTTTTTTTAACATTATGATGATCTTTATTTACGGAAACTTTCTTTAATTATACATACAGTAATTTTAGTAATATTTTCAAAAATTACCAAAAATTCCCCAATAAATTTACATAATTTACAGGAATATTAAAACATAACCTAACTTTTTAAATTGTTTTGTAAAATCCCCAATGTAAATTTTTTCTTTTACCAAAATTATTTTACCATAAATAATAATTCTCTTTATTATTCTCCTCAAAAATTTTTAAAAATATTTTAATTTAATATTTAATTCGATTATTCAAAAATTCTCGAAATTTCCCTAGAGATTTTTTTTTTTTTTTTTAGTAATTTCTCGCCCGGTATGTAAGGGATCTTTACCAACTTTTTTTTTTTCTTTACAATGGTGAGTCCCTTGAGAAAAATTTTTCTATATAATTCTCCTTCTCCTCGAATAATAATAATAATAAATGCGTGTATAGTGTGAATATTGTTGGTATTTTGTTTGGAGTCGCGCGTTTGTATATGTGTCTGTATGTGTGTGTGTGTGCGTGCATGCACGGCACGTCTGTACAGGGCGTGACTTTCCGGTGTGATTTAAAACGTGCACACGACGGGAAATAAGACGTGAAAATCTTAAAAGTTATGATCATGGAGTTTTATTGAATTTTATAAGAATTTTTCAATTAGAAACGGTGAAATTTTGTTGTTGTTTTTTTTTTTTTTTTTTTTTTGGTGAAGGGTTTCACATACACACAAGGAAGATAAGAAGGAAGAAGGAAGGAGTATTAGCGCGCATGCTTCTCTACTTGTACATGAGAATCTCGCCATTTTGGAGGTGAATATTTATTATTTCTCGGCGAATTTTCCCGGTGGGGACTGTGCCACAAATCAAATACACACAAACACAAGGGGAGGGGATAACTATTGTGGTGGTTTTTTTTTTGTTTTACAGACGACTGTTTTTTTTTTTTTTTTTTTTTTTTTAAATCATGGTTAAATTTTTCTCTGTTTGTTGAGTGACCCAACCCTCCTTACTTAAAATCTAGCAGTGGACACTCGGAGGCCCGCGATCATCATTCCTTGCTCGGGGGGGAAAATAAAATCAAAATTTTTCCATTGTCTTCGAAAATAGTTAATTGTGACGCGATTTTTGTGAGAAGAAAATAAAAACGAAACGATTTGCATAAAAAAAATAAAAACTCCTTTGATGCGCTCTCGTCTTGTTATTCATTTATTCGTCAGATTGTGTGAGTGTGTGTGTATGTCGCGAGTTTCTCACCAATAATTCTCTTGTTGGGGCCTTCCGCAACGACAAGAAAAATCCGCACGTTGCGGCTTATAAAAGTGTATTATAAAGCAGCAGCCAAGCCTATATAGTGACTTCAAGGTATGTGTCACATTCGTATATAAATGACGTGTGAGCAGTGCGTGACAACAACGCGAACAAAACGATCAAAATCAGTGTTTCTATCTAGGAAGCTGGAAAAATTATTTTTTCCATTTTCTTTTCTCTCTGTAAATTTTTTCTCTCTATCGGTTAACTTTTCTCTGCAAACTTCAATTTTATCCTTTTTCATTCTTTTTTTTTTGTGACATTTTTTTTTGCCCTTTGTTTTCCGAATTTTTTTGACTTCTCTCTCCCCCCCCCCCCTCTAGGCTTTGCTTTTCCCTTTAGGAAAACGATTGAGAAAAGACGGGGGTGAAAAAGTGACTTTTTTTTCACTCTATTGTTGCCGAGGAGGCCAAGTGTGTATAATTTACAAGTCAGTGAAGAGAGGAAGGGGGAAAATTAGCTTTTTGTTGTTTTTTTAATAAAAAAAAAAAGGCACGAATTTTTTATATTCAGAAAATTGATTCAGTGATAAAAAAAAGATTGAAATTTAATTTGTGTGTGTGTGTATATTCTTATTGTGTTATTACGTATGATACAGTGGAATTTCTAGTAAATCTTTTTTAAATTCCGGTAAAAAAAAGAGAAAAAAAAATAAATGCAAAAAAAAAAGAAAAGAAATTATATGAGAGCGCTGAAATCAGGAGCTTTAGATTTCGCATGAATAAGGTTTCCTGTTTACACTTATTTAGACTAAATGAGATATTCAACAAAGCTATGTATATGAGTAAATAGTTTTAGTGTTCTTTTATAGGTTTTCTACATTTGTTTCCATTTTTTTTTACGTAAACATTTTTTTTTTTTTTTGAAAATGTTTTTTTAAAAGAACAATTTGAAATCTCATTTTTGCAAAAAAAATTTCTATATTGATATTAAAAAATTTCGAATTAAATTAATTTAACGAAAAAAAATAATTACTGCTTAAAAATATGAAACAATAATTAATAATCTATTAATTGTTAAAATTACTAATTATTCGATACTAATTACTAATATTTAATTAATATTCATTTATTGACTACTAGTAATTAATTTTCAATAATTAAATAATTAGTTACTAATTTTTAATTAGTTTTTATTAATTTCTATTAATTAAATATTAGTTAAGAAATTTTAATTAATACTTTATTAATTATATAATTTATTTATCGTTTAGTAAATTATTTTTAATTAACTTTTATTAATTAAATACTAGTAGGGTCAGTCGGGGTAAATCTGAACGGGGGGTAAATCCGAACGCTAATTATTTCAGCTTAATTAAAATTTTTAAAAATAAGTTCGGTATGAGAATTTTTACCTCAGATCCTCTTGAAGAGATTCTAAGTATTATCCCATTTTTTGTTTGTTAATTAGCAACAGCATAAACAAAGATAACAAGTATTGCAAAAAAGATTGAAAATCAAAGATGACACTCTTTCAGTATTTTGTTTCGTATTTGAAGAAAAAGAAGCTAAAAATTCATTTTATTATTCATAATTGTTTGTTATGAATACTAGAACAGAAACTATATTTGATTTTTGCCTTCTGTAAAATTTTATTAATAATATCAGACCGTTCGTATTTACCCAAGAAAATTGGAAAACTGGGGTAAATCCGAACGGTATTTTTAATAATTTTTTTTTTACATCAAAGCCACACAAAATTGTTTTTATTTGATTACACTATTATTTTAACATTATAAAAGTACATAGAAAAAAGTTTTTCTTTCTATACGTATCCTCGTTAGTAATTAATAAGCAGAAACTTAATCTCTGTTCTCTCGAAGGAGTGTTTCAATTTTTTTGCCAAATGGTTTGTTGAAAAAAGTTTTTCAGGATCTTAATAAAATTTGGTATTCTACGGTTTTTGGGGTCGCTAATTACCAATTTGAAGTCAGTTTTTCAAAATTCAAAATGGCGGACGAGAATTAAAAAATTCATTGGATTCGCTCGAAAATTGTTACTCGGGGGGTTTCAGGGTTAGCAAATTTGATCATTTTTAAAAATAAGTTTTAGGAAAGTACGCCATTTTGAATTTAAAAAATTTGACTTTTATTTTTGTATTTACATTCAATCACTCCAAAATACTTTCTGTACCAAGTTTTGCAAAAATCCGTTATGATTTGATAAAGTTATTGAAGGTTTTAATTGTGTAATGCATTTTAATTTTTAACCTGTTTGATTTTTGTATTTATATATGATGCATTATTACATAATAGGTTTATTATCGTATTTTTTTTGAGTTTTTATATAAGTTTAACAATTGCAATACTTTAAATTTATTTTCCCTAAGATTTTTCTGAAATACAGTGGCGTTCGTATTTACCCCCATATTTTAGGAAAGTTGCAAAGTATCGAGGTAAATACGAACGCTAAGTTTCCTGCGATTGTAATTTATCAAAAATTTTTTCTACCCCATAAAATTGTTCTATGGAAGTAAAGTAACAACTTCATGCACCAGAATACCGGAAGTATTTTTTTTTAAAGAAAAAACTTATGTTATTGTTGAAACTTACTAAAAGCGTTCGGATTTACCCCGGTTGACCCTAAATAATTTTTTTTATTCATTTTTATTAATTAAATACTAGTTAATATTTTTTTTTTATTAATTTCTATTAATTAAATATTAGTTAAGAAATTTTAATTAATACTGTATTTTATTTATTTATTTTTAATTAATTTTTATTAATTAAATATTAACTTTTATTAATTAAATACTAGTTAATAATTTTTTATTAATTTTTTTCTTAATTAAATATTAGTTAAGAAATTTTAATTAATACTTTATTAATTATATACTTTATTTATCGTTTAGTAAATTATTTTTAATTAATTTTTATTAATTTAATATTAACTTTTATTAATTAAATACTAGTTAATAATTTTTTATTAATTTTTTTCTTAATTAAAAATTAGTTAAGAAATTTTAATTAATTTTTTATTAATTTATATATATATTTTATTTTCCCCTTTTGTAACTAATTTTTAATTAATTTTCAATTAATAAAATACTTAGTTAAGATAATTTTTATTTATTATTTATTATTATAAATTAAATATTAGTAACTAATTTATAATTCTATTTATAAACTCTAATTATTTCTATCTAAAAATTATTATTTTTATTATAAGAAAATTATTTTCATTGTCCATAATTTTTGATTTTTATCAAATTATCGTTTTAGCGAATTTTATTATTTTATCATTTTTAAATTGACGAATTTCACCATTTAAAAATAAAAAAAAAATAATACAATTCAAAAATAGAGTAAAATTAAAGAAAAATTAAGGTTAATGTAAAATTATTGATTAATTTTTTTAATTTAATTCTATTTTATTGATTAAAACATATAAATATAAAAATCAATAAAAAATATCAAAATTTTTTTTTAATTTAATTAATTATTAATGTTTTTTAAATAATAATAATAATAATAATTTAATTAATTTTGAATAATAATTTTTTAAATTAATAATTTTGAATAATAATTTTTTAAATTAATAATAATAAAAATTAATATAAATCTTTATATTTAAATTATAATAAATAAATTTATTTATATTAGAAACTTGTTGTTTCAGTTTAAAAGTGGAATTAATTAAAAATAGTTTCCAAAAATATAAATATAGAATTAAATTAATAAATTATTAAAATTTATTTGTAATATTTTAATTAGGGCCAGGGAAAAAAAAATTTTTAATTCTTATCGATAATCAAGAAAAAACAAAATAAAATTTTTGTGGCGTTAATAATTAAATTAGAAATATAATATTTTTTCGTCGTTTAGTTTTAAACTCTAATTATCGATTTACTTGAATAAATTATTAATTTAAATAATAATACTAATAATAATAATAATAATAATAATATAAATAATAATAATAATTTGAGAATTATTCGTAATAATTACAAAAAAAAAATTGTTTTTTATTTACAGAAAGTAAGAGTAATGATTGTAAGGATGGACTGACAAATGCTGAAGAATCAGCGGTGAGGCAGAAAGAGAGAGAGAGAGAGTGAGAGAGAGGAGGAATTATTTTTGGGGGAAGAACGAGAGAAAGAGTGTGTGAAATAGAGAGAGAGAGAAAAGAGGGGAGGTGTTTGGTGGTGAAGAAGAAGTGCCGTGGACCCGGAGCCTCGAAGCCGAGAATTAACGGCTTCGAAATAAAGAAAAAAAAAAAAAAAACAATATCACTTTTACTATGAGGCCTGGCAGTTTAAAAGATCCTGAGATCGCTGAACTCTTTGAAAAACATGATCCGGAAAAAATATTTGAAGACTTACGGGAAATTGGGCACGGTAGCTTTGGCGCCGTTTATTATGCCCGATGTTTTCTCACCAAAGAAATTGTTGCTATCAAAAAAATGTCATATTTGGGAAAGCAAACAATGGAAAAATGGCAGGATATCCTTAAGGAAATACGTTTTCTTCGACAACTCAATCATCCAAATACAATTGAATACAAGGGTTGCTATCTCAGGGAGCACACTGCCTGGGTAAATATTTTTTTTGAAACTTTTTTAATTTCTCATTCTTTTGTTTTTTTTACCTTCGTATAATTTTTTAATTACAAAGTTGGAAAATCAATTCTGAAATATTTACAAATTTTTGATTTTAAAAAAGCAAATTATCGAAATGAGAATTTAATATCTAATTAAATAAAAAATGTATTTTTTTTAAATTGCACATACAGTTGGTGATGGAATATTGTCTTGGATCAGCGTCCGATATAATTGAAGTCCACAAAAGGCCTCTAAAAGAAGATGAAATTGCGGCAATATGCGATGGTGTATTACGCGGTTTACATTATCTTCATTCCCTAGGAAGAATTCATCGTGATGTTAAAGCAGGAAATATTCTTTTAACTGAGAATGGAACAGTGAAATTGGCAGATTTTGGCTCTGCCAGTATTAAATGTCCTGCCAATAGCTTTGTGGGAACTCCATATTGGATGGCACCTGAAGTTATTTTAGCAATGGACGAAGGCCAGTACGATGGAAAAGTCGATGTTTGGTCATTAGGAATCACTTGCATTGAATTAGGTAACAAAATTCATGTATTTTTCCACTCAAAATTTAAAAACAAAAAAAAAAAATAAAATAAATAAAATTCCCTATCATAATTACAAAATTTTCTCTATTTGATTTAAATTAATTAACAATTTTTATTAAAAATTTGTTGCCTATTTCAGAAATACAATATTTGAATTTATAATATTTACTAGCAATATTAAACGCGCGCAAGCGCGCCAAATTGAGTATTTAATTGTTTGTTATAAAGAAATTAAAGATTAATATTATCAATAATAATTTAAATTTATTAGAATATTATTTCATATTAAATGATAATAATGAAAATTATTATTATATGTTATTAAATTATATATAAAATTGAATTATTTTCCAAAATTTTTCAATTTAAAATTCAATTATTTACCAAGTTTTCAATTTAAAATTAAATAAAATTCAAATATTACCCGAAATTTTAATTCAACATCAACTTAAATTAAATTATTATCCAAAATTTCAATTAAAATTCAATTATTTTCCAAAATTTCGAGTCAAAATTAATTATTATCAAAATTTTCAATCAACAATCAACTAAAATTAATTATTATCAAAATTTTCAATCAATTAAGATTAAATTATTTTCAAAATTTTCAATTTAAAATTCAATTATTAACCAAGTTTTCAATTTAAAATGAAATAAAATTCAATTATTTTTTAAAATTTTTATTCAAAATTAATTATCGAAATTTTCAATTAAAAATGAACTTAAATTAAATTATTATCGAAAATTCAATTAAAATTCAATTATTACCCGAAATTTTAATCCAAAATCAACTTAAATTAAATTATTATCCAAAATTTCAATTAAAATTTAATTATTTTCCAAAATTTCGAGTCAAAATTAATTATTATCAAAATTTTCAATCAGCAATCAACTAAAATTAATTATTTTCAAATTTTCAATCAACAATCAACTAAAATTAAATTATTTTCAAATTTTCAATTTAAAATTCAATTATTTACCAAGTTTTCAATTTAAAATAAAATAAAATTCAATTATTTTTTAAAATTTCTATTCAAAATTAATTATTGAAATTTTCAATTAAAAATGAACTTAAATTAAATTATTATCCAAAATTTCAATTAAAATTTAATTATTTTCCAAAATTTCGAGTCAAAATTAATTATTATCAAAATTTTCAATCAGCAATCAACTAAAATTAATTATTTTCAAATTTTCAATCAACAATCAACTAAAATTAAATTATTTTCAAATTTTCAATTTAAAATTCAATTATTTACCAAGTTTTCAATTTAAAATAAAATAAAATTCAATTATTTTTTAAAATTTCTATTCAAAATTAATTATCGAAATTTTCAATTAAAAATGAACTTAAATTAAATTATTATCGAAAATTTCAATTAAAATTTTATTATTTTCCAAAATTTCGAGTCAAAATTAATTATTATCAAAATTTTCAATCAGCAATCAACTAAAATTAATTATTTTCAAATTTTCAATCAACAATCAACTAAAATTAAATTATTTTCAAATTTTCAATTTAAAATTCAATTATTTACCAAGTTTTCAATTTAAAATAAAATAAAATTCAATTATTTTTTAAAATTTCGATTCAAAATTAATTATCGAAACAATGCCAAAAAAAACATTGAAAAATTTTAACCAACACAAAATAATGTCAAACAATACATTTAAAAAAAACAAAAGACCTATAACAAATACTAACTTCAGGTGTGGACAGAATGAACGAAAGATATTCACGATTATTATATGTAAAATAAAATAATTTAATTATTTATCTAGAAAAAAAAAATTATTCATTTAGTAAAATTAAGAGCTTTTTGTTTAAAATAATTTAATTATTCAATTACTTTGCGATTTCAGTAAATTTTTTCCCCTAATTTAGAAATTAATTTTATTTGAATTTATAATATTTATATAATATAATTAAATTAATTAATTAACGATTTTATCCCCTATTTTAGAAATTGAATTTATAATATTTATATAACATATAATTTAATTTAATTAATTTACGATTTTATTACAATTTTCTTTCATTTTAGAAATTCAATTTATATTTTAATTAACGATTTTAATTAATTATTTAACCTTTTTTTTTTTGTAATTTTGTCACCTATTTTAGAAATTAAATCAGGGTGTCTACTAGTCCTGGAAATGTCCTGGAATGTCCTTGAAAATCCTGGAATTTTAATTTTTGTCCTTGAATTTTTTATATTTTGCTTTTAAATTTTTTTAAAAATTTCTAATTTTGTCAATCAAGTTAAAAAAAATTCATTAAATAAGTAAAATGAAAATTAACTTAATTAATTAATTTTTTATTAATTTCTAAAAACAATAGTAAAACTAAAAATTTTTTTTATTCCTTAAAGTCATCCAATTTAATGTCCTGGAAAAATAAGAAATTTGTCCTAAAAAATCCTGGAATTTTAATTCAGATTTTTAGTAGACACCCTGCAAAATTTTTATTTTTAATTTAACGAATTTTAATTAATTAGTTAACGAAATTGGGGAAAAAAAAAGTGGATTTATTTTGAAGCAAAATTGAAGAAGTTTGCCAATATTTTTTTGAGTAATTGAAATTTTTTCATGAAATACACGTTTTTCTCTAATATTTAAAAGCAGTAAATGAAAAATATATAAATTAAATCGTTTTTTTTTTAATTTTTGATTTACAAAAATTTTTCTTTTTGCGAATTGTTTTTTGTAAAGTTTTACGAGTAATATACAAAAAAAAAAAATATTTTTAAAAATCGATGGAGATGTTAAATTAATTTTTATTTGTTCTGTTTAGCTTAAAATTTCGTGTATTTTAAATAAATTTTTTTTTTTAATAGTTTACGAGTTTAATTAATTTTTTAAATTTTATTTTATTGAAATTAATAGATTGAATTTTAGATGAAAAGAAAATTTTTTAAATGAAAATTAATTTTAATTTTAGTTTATTGAAATAAATAAATTAAATTTTGAATTTAAAAAAAAAAATGTGAATGAAAATTAATTTTAATTTCAGTTTATTGAAATAAATAGATTGAATTTTAGATTAATAAAAAGAAGAAAAAAAAATTGTGAATGAAAATTAATTTTTAATTTTAGTTTATTGAAATAAATAAATTGAATTTTGGATAAATAAAAGAAAAAGGAGAAAAATTGTGAATGAAAATTCATTAGAATTTATTCATGTTTAGCTGAAAGGAAGCCACCCTATTTCAATATGAACGCCATGAGTGCATTGTATCACATTGCACAGAACGATACGCCAACTTTAAATTCTCCCGATTGGACGGATGTTTTTCGTCATTTTGTCGAAGTTTGCCTAACAAAAAGTCCTAGTGACAGGCCAAGTTCCGGAAAATTATTAGCGGTAATTGTTTTTTTCTAATTAATAAATAAAAATAAAATTATTATTTTGTTACTGTTTTTGTACATTTTTATACTTTTTAATACTTTTTTATATACATATATATTTTTTTAATACTATTTAATATTTTTTGAAAATACTTTTTATATTTATTTTTTTTTAAATAATTTTTTATTAATATCAATATTTTTTATTTGCACAGCATCAATTTATAACGAGAACACGTTCGATGCAAGCGTTGATAGATTTGATTCAAAGAACCAAGGCGGCCGTTCGAGAATTGGATAATTTGAATTATCGAAAAATGAAGAAAATTCTCATGATCGATTCCTGTGAGACGGAAAGCACTGTCGGCGATCCGGATGGTAAATAATTTTTTCGACTGAAAAGTCCTTTTTTTTAAAATAGAAAATTTTATTCTTATTTTCTAAATTCAAAATAATAATAAAACAATTTGGAAGGAAAATCTAATTTAAATTCAGGATTCTAAATCTAAAAAAAAAAATAGAAAGATTGAAAAAAAATGTTTTTAAAAATAAAGAGAAAGAGTTTATTTGGTTTTTTTTTAATTTTTTTTTTTTTTGTGGGGGTAAAAGTGGTTTTTATTTATTGTACTTTTGACAGACACTCCTGATGAACAAACAGGTGGCGATAGTAGTAAGAGCAATTCAATAACATCGGAACATTCAATTCATTCAATGGGCGTATCGGCGAGTTCACAAAGTTCATCGACAAATAGTTTACCATTGCCAAATGCCGATTCAAATGATTATTCAACTGGTTCGGTGAGAAATCGTCATAATATATCGGCGGGTGTTACTGCCAATCTTTTGGAGCATGGTGCAAATAATTTTGCAACAATAAGAACAACATCAATTGTCACTAAACAACAAAAGGAACATATGCAAGAGGAAATGCATGAGCAAATGAGCGGCTATAAAAGAATGAGACGAGAGCATCAAGGAGCTTTGGTAATTAATTATTTCTTTTTTCAAAATTTTATTTTTATTTATTTATTTTATTTTTATTTTATTTTATTTTATCGCAATTAATTGAAATTATTTGGGAATAATAAAAAAAATTACAGGTGAAACTCGAGGAGCGTTGCAAATTGGAAATGGAGTCTCATAAACAATTGCTTGACAATGAATACGATACATTGTTACAGCAATTTAGCAAAGAATTGGAGAAATTACAATTAAGGCATTTAAAAGAATTGGAGAGGAAATTTAAACACAATCAAAATGCAGAAAAGAAGCTTCATAAAGAAATATCGAGTAGGCAGGAGGCCGATCGTAAGGCACTTGAGGCACAACAAAAACGAGAATATAAAGTACGTTTCAATTATTTATTTTTATTATTATTAATAATTATTATTAATAATTGTTATATTTGTAAATATTTGTAAATATTTGTTGTAAATATTTTTAAAATTCTTTTTATGTGTATTATTTTTTTGCTAAATATTCGTTTTTTCGCAGGCGTACAAAGAGAGGTGGAAGAAGGAATTATCGCAAGATGAAATGACGCCAAAACGTCAACGAGACGCGACACTTCAGAGTCAGAAGGAAAATTTAAAACAAATGGAAGCGCAAGAGGAGCAACGACTCGCAAGAGGACAACGTGAATATCTTGACCTTGAAATTCGGAAATTCCGTAGAAAAAAATTACTCAACTTCCATACACTCGAACAGGAGCTTCTTCGTGAAGTGAGTTTAATCATTTTTTTTTCTCCTCCAAAATCGAAATTTCTATTTTATTATTTTAATATTTATTTAATTACATATAAATAGAAAAATGAGAAAAAATACGTCTAATATTTGAAAAAGAAAAAGAAAAAAGATGATTGAATATAAAATTTGATGTTTTAATAGGAACTGAACAAAAGACAGCAACAATTGGAGCAAGCGCACGCAATGTTGCTGCGACATCACGAGAAGACCCAAGAATTAGAATATAGACAGCAAAGAGCTGTTCACGCACTTCGTGAGGAACAAGTTCAACGTCAACACAGCACTGAATTGTGTAATCAACAGGATTACATGAATCGAGCTGAACGAGACTTACGTAAAAAGCATGCTCTCGAATTAAAGCAGCAGCCTAAGAGTCTCAAGGTAAATTTTTAATCGCCTAAACAAAAAACAATTTTTATTTTATAGGGTAAGTCCACGTCAGAAATATCAGAATCTGCAAGTGATTCTTCGATTTTAATGATACTTGGTAAAATTATAGCTTTATATAAGAGCCAATGTGTAAGTAAAAGGAATTTTTAAAATATCTAAAATTGTAGGAGTTATATCACTTTTAATTTTGATACTGCATTTTTTTTCTTTCCTTTATATTTCGGTCAATTTTCAACCGATTTTGATGAAATAAAAAACGATTTTTTTCCAGAAAATTACGTATTTTCAGAAAATTTTAAAATAAAAATAAAATTTTACCAAATTAAAATTCCGATAATTTGAAACTTTTATTAATTAATATTTTTACCAAATTAAAATTCAAATTATTTGAAACTTTTATTAATGCAAAATTTTACCAAATTAAAATTCCAATAATTTTAAATTTAAATCGATTAATTTTTAAAACAAAAAGTATTGAAATTTCCTTAATTTTAAAATTCGTTTGATTTAATTTACAAGTGATTAAAATTTTAATAAATAAATTTTTGTTTTGACCAATAAAAATTTTTTAATTCACTGTAACTTGAATCACATGACATTAAAATTAAAATAAACATTTATTAAATTGAAATATAAAATCAATTATAATTTTTGATTTAAAAAAATAAGGTTTTTTGGATTTCATAAATTATTATAATTGCATTTAACATGGAATTTTTTTTTTTTTAACAAACATTTACTCAACGGAATTTTCAAAGTACCGGATTTTTTATTTTACAGAATTTTTATTTTACAAAATTTCTCTTTACCCAACTGTTTTTTGAAAAGAATTCAAATTTAATCTATTTTAAAATTATTAGAATTCTCATTCAGTAGAATTTTAAGTAATTTCGAATTTTTAAATCCTAGAACTTGGAATCAGCTTATATAAAATATTTAGTATATAAAACAATAATTTTAATTAAAAATTTTCAAAAATTCAATTATTTCTAAAATTCTCAACTCGAATTGTTGCAAAATTCAATTATTTATAAAATTTGTATCTAAAAATTTTTGCAAAATTAATAATTTTAATTATTCAAAAATTCAATTAAATAAAATATTTTTTAATTAAAAATTCTCTAAAATTCAATTACTATTTGAAACATTGTTAATAATTTTCAGCAATTCTAGTTAACTAAAATTTCAATTAAAAATCTCCAAAAAATTCAATTATTTCTAAAATTCTTAACTCTAACTTTTCTAAAATAAAATCAATACCAAAATTTGTATCTAAAATTCTTTGCTAAATTAATAATTTCAATCCAATTATTCAAAAATTCAATTAAATATTAAAACATTTTTCAATTAAAAATTCTCTAAAATTCAATTACTGTTTGAAACTTTGTTAATAATTTTCATCAATATTCTAATTTACTGAAATTTTAATTCAAAATCTCCTAAAATTCAATTATTATTAAAAATTTTGATTCAAATTTTTTTGTTTAAATAATTATTTCCAATAACTTTAATCAAGATCTTAGTATTTCAATTATTTAAAACATTTTTCAATTTAAAATACTCTAAAATTCAATTATTGTCTGAATTTTGGTTAAATTAGAATTATTTAAAAAAAAACAGTTGGGTAAAGAGAAATTTTGTAAAATAAAAATTCTGTCAAGAAAAAATTTGCCATATTAAAAATTCTATTGAGTAAAAAATGGTTTAAAGTATTTTAAAACAACAAATTTTAATTAAAAACTTTCAAAAATTCAATTATTTCTAAAAATCTTAACTCGAACTATTTCAAAAATTCAAATTATTTCTAAAATTTGTATCTAAATTAATAATTTAAATAAATTTTCTCCAATTATTCAAAAATTCAATTAAATAAAACATTTTTTATTTAAAAATTCTCTAAAATTCAATTACTGTTTGAAACTTTGTTAATAATTTTCATCAATTCTAACGATTTTTTTCAGAAAATTACGTATTTTCAGAAAATTTTAAAATAAAAATAAAATTTTGTTATTTAAATAGAAAAAAGTAAAAAACAAAATTTCTTTTAGATTTTTTTTCAATTTCGACCTCTTTTTTTTAATTTTTAATTTTTTAATAATATTCCTTTTTATTTTATCTTTAATTTAAAAAAAAAAATTCATCCTGGAGACTTTTTTTAGATCTCGTGATATCGTTCTTTAAATATCCACATCTCAAGAAAACTAGGATCCAGATTTGTGTTTCTACTTTCATTTGTTTTATAATATTATTGTTACAAACTAGAAACTTTCGCGTAATAATGTTTTTATTTTTAAATTACTTGACTAAAACAAGTGAAAATTCAAGCAAATCAATATTTTATTAATAGATTTGAAGCAAAGTTTTTATTTTTTGCAATATTTATAATTTAAAATAAAAATTGTAATAAAACCTTAACAATGCAACCTGAAATTGTAGCTGAAGTTTTTAGCGCTTTCTTTTAGAGGATTCTAAAACAAATAGTTATTCATAATCATAAAAAATTTCAACAAACAAATGAAAGTAATGATAGAAGCAAGTCCTGCGGTTTTCAAATTGATGAAGACTTATAATAATTAAAGGACGATATCACGAGATCTAAAAAAAGTCTCCAGGATGAATTTTTTTTTAAATTAAAGAAAGGAATATTATTAAAAAATTAAAAATTAAAAAAAAGAGGTCGAAATTGAAAAAAAATCTAAAAGAAATTTTGTTTTTTACTTTTTTCTATTTAAATAACAAAATTTTATTTTTATTTTAAAATTTTCTGAAAATACGTAATTTTCTGGAAAAAAATCGTTTTTTATTTCATCAAAATCGGTTGAAAATTGACCGAGATATAAAGGAAAGAAAAAAATGCAGTATCAAAATTAAAAGTGATATAACTCCTACAATTTTAGATATTTTAAAAATTCCTTTTACTTACACATTGGCTCTTATATAAAGCTATAATTTTACCAAGTATCATTAAAATCGAAGAACCACTTGCAGATTCTGATATTTCTGACGTGGACTTACCCTTTAATTTTTAAAATTTTTAATAATTAATAATTTAGAATTAAATCACATTGCCTGGAAATTACAATGAAATAAATTCTCTTCTTTTTTTTGCAGCAAAAAGAAATGCAAATTCGTAAACAATTCAGGGAGACGTGTAAAATACAAACGCGTCAATATAAAGCGTTAAAAGCTCAAATTTTACAAGCAACTCCAAAGGATGAACAAAAAACGGTGATAAAAAAATTAAAGGAGGAACAAAGGCGGAAACTTGCACTTTTGGGCGAGCAATACGATCAGAGTATTGCTGAAATGTTACAGAAGCAAAGTATTCGTTTAGATGAATCGCAAGAGGTTGAATGTCATCATCTTAAGGTTTGTTTTAAATATATTTTCAATTTTTTTTACTCAAAACAAAAATTTGCCAAACGGCGAATAAAATTGAAATTTATATGTTTTTTTTTAGGAGAGACTGAATTACGAGCTAGAGATATTGATGGCGTATCAATCGAAAAATAAAATGCAAGCTGAAGCGCAACGAAATCGTGAACGTCGTGAATTAGAAGAACGTGTCTCGGTGAGACGCGCATTACTTGAACAAAAAATGGAAGCCGAAACACAAGAATTTCTTCAGGAACGAAGCGAAAGAATAAGACTTTTACACGAGAGACAAGAACGTGAATTACAACAATTTGATGATGAAAGCGCAAGAATTGGTTTTAGTGCATTGGCAATTGCCGAAGCATCAAAAGAATCTTATCCAGATGACGATAGTCTTCGTGGTTCAATGTTAAGTCTCGCTCACAGTAATAGCTCGACATCTTTCCCCCCTAATAGTCTATAATCTTAAAACAAACAAAAAAATATATATCATTCATCATTCGTGTTAAAAAAAAAAAACTCTATGTCTGCCTGTAATCTGTGCATAACATTTTAATCCGATTGTCATTTTTTGCTATTTCTCAATCATTGAAAAAAAAAGAAAATAACAAAAAAAAAAAATAAATAATAATAATTAATAAATAATTACAAAAAAAAAGAAAACAAAACAAGTCCAAGGTCCGTCGATTCATCAGAACTGAATGTAATTTAAATAATAATAATATAATAATAATAATAATAATAATAATTACTTCGCGCGATTTTTATTCTCTATTTTGTATATAAATAGATATATACAAAAAAAGAAAGAAAACGATAACTTTTGTGGGTTCGAAAATATATCTGGTAGATTTGTAATTTTATACTTTTGAATCCCTTGTCGAATATTATCGATTCGGTTTTTTTTTTTTTTTTTTATTTTTTTTGATTAACGGACTTTGAAGCACAGACTTGGACAGACTTGCGCTTAGAAACTCAAAAAAAAAAATCGAAGAGATTTTTTCGAAAATGCGTATTGGATAAGAATGCGGGATTTTTTTTTATGAGATAAAATAATAAAAAAAATTATTATTTTTGAATAATAATAACAAATAAAAGTAAACGAAAAAAAATAATAATAATAATAAAGTGTTACTATTATTATTTTTATTATTAATATTAATTTTATTGAATGAAAAAAAAAATTGAAACAATTTTTAATCAATTTTATTTTTTTTCTCGTGAAATCAAAATTAAAATTAATTTTATCGAATGAAAAAAAAATTGAAATAATTTTTAATCAATTTTATTTTTTTTCTCGTGAAATTAAAATTAATTTTATCGAATAAAAAAAAAAATTGAAACAATTTTTAATCCATTTTTTTTCTCGTGAAATGAAAAAAAAAATGAATTAAATTTTATCGAGTGAAAAATAAAATTGAAATGATTTTTAAATCAATTAATTTTTTTTTTCCTCGTGAAATGAAAAAAAAATCAATTAATTTAAATATTTTTAATATTTTTTTTTTCTCGTATGTATTTTTATATTATAGTGAATTGAATTTTTAGTTTTCTATGAAAACAAATTTAAATTTAAAAAAATTTTTAAATTGTGAATTAAAAAGAAAGTAAAAGAATTGAAATTAAAAAAAACGTTTATTAATCAATAAACGAAACAAAAATGAATATTTTCGTATTTTTTTTAAAAAAAAGAAAAAATTGTCCAAGGAAACAATTTTTAATTAAAAATTGTTAATTATTTCTTTTTACTTGAAAAAAATACGAAAATTGATTTTGAAATTTTTTTTTTTGCTTTTATTTTGTCTTAATATTGAGTAGAAATTAATTTTTTTTATTTGATCTAAAAATTTTTTTATGGAAATTTAAATTTAATTAGTTTATTGTTTTTTAAGGGCGGTTTTCATTTTAAGTGTGAAAAAATCTCAGATTTGGAAAAATTAATTTTAAAGAAAAATTTAGCTTCACTTTTTTTTTAGGAAATTTAAATTAAATTTTAAAAAATATTTTAAAATTAATTTCCAACAAATTTTTTAAAATTAGTTTTCAAAATTGGTTTTAAACATTAGTTTTTAAAACTATTTTTAAAAAAATTGGTTTTTAAAATAATTTATCAAAAAAAAAATGGTATCAGCATTTTTTGTCGGAAAAAAACTATTTTTAGTTTATTTTTGAATTTTGAGTTTTCTTTTTTCTTTTCAGGTAAAACTCGAAAAATTTCCTACCTTCTCATCCAGTACACATTTTTTTTTTTTCAATTCCGACGGCAATAGCTCTGTAAAATGCAATTTTCCTTTTCTCGATTTTTTTTTTTTACAAATTTGTTACGTAAATTATAATATCTTATCGATAGATAATCAGTGTCACAAAATATTTGAATGTAAGAAAATCGCAGCGGCTCCTCGAAATTACTCTTGAAAAAAAAAACTAGAGAAAATATTTAGCAAAAAAAAAAGTAAATAAAAAATCGTAAAAAAAAAAATGGTCACAAATAGAATCGACATTTTTTTTTAGATAAAATAAATTTTTTTAGAAATATATTTAGAGTCCTTCGAGAGACTGATGCGATTAATCGAGGCTTTCATAATTTTCACGATAAAGCAATGTACATAAAAAAATGAAAGAAAGAAAGAAAGAAAGAAAGAGAGAAAGTGATAGAGAGAGAATGGATTTTGTTGAAAAGTGTTTTTTCGAAAGTTTGTTAGTGAAAATCTTGCTTGTTGTGTATTTAAAAAAAAAGAGGAGTTTCTCCTTTTGAATTATTTTCCTCGGGACTTAGTGTAAAATGTATCAATTTGTTGAAAATTCGTAACGGGCTCACTGAACAAAAAAAAAAAAAAGTTGCATTTTCAAAATATTTAATTAGAGTAAAAAAAAAATAATTGAATTTTAATTAAATTTATGCCAATAATCGAAAAAAGTGTTTTAAATTTAATCCAAAAAAAAATGTAATTTAAAATCACAAAAAAAAAAATTGAATTTCCATTTACAGAGATTTTAAGTTAGAAAATTTTTTTTTTTTCAATTTTTAACTAAATTAAAATTACGAACAAGAATAGTAAAAATCTAATTTCCCTGCAAAAAGAAATTAATGAAGCAAAAAAAAAAAAAAATTAATTTCGATGCTAAAAGAAAATTTATAAAAATAAGTTGAAAGAAGCAAAAAAAATTAATTTCGCAAAATTTATTAAAAAAAAAAAAAAGTTTAAAGAAGCAAAAAAATGAAAAAAAAAATTAATTTGTTGCAAAATGAAAAAGAATAGAAAATAGAAAACAGTAAAAAAAAATTTTTTATTAAAAAAGGAAATTTAGTAGTTTAAAAAAAAATTATCCTATGAGAAAAAAATTAGAAAAAAAATTTGCAAAACAAAAAAAAATAATTAAAAATTAGAAAATTATTTAGAGTAGAAAATTTTAATTAAAAAGAAAATTTATCAAATTCTTAGCCCAACGAATTGTTTTAGTTGAAAAAAAAGTGTGTATTTTCTTGCATGGTGGCGAATGAATTGTACCAAAACAATATTCTATTTTTTCCCCATTATCTCGACTATACCAATATAATAATAATTAATTAACAGTAATTTTTTAATTACAAAATTTTTCTCAAAAAGCATTTTTTTTTTTTTGTAAATATTTGTTCATTGTGTTTTTAAAATTTCTTTAAAAATTGCGAAACATATATGAATATTAATTATAAACGAATAATTAAAAAAAAATTTGGCTAGAGCTTTGCAGACCAAACTCGTCGATATTCTCCAAAGTTAGAGCCGAACTCTCTCTCTCTCAAAAAAAAAATAAAATAAATAAAAAATCGATGGAATTAGAGAGAAAAGAATTTTCTTTTTTTTTTTTTTTTGCAAATAATAATTTTTACTCTCTTCTCTCTTGCGCCAACGAACTCGGTGTAAATGTAATAACTTCGCAATGTAACGCAATGCAGGTTTTGGCTTTAAGTAGAACGAACTGTAATTTGTTTTTTATTTTTAACTATATATATATATAGCGCTAATCGTTTCTAGCTCAGACAAAAAAAATGTAGTGAATTTTTTTCCCTTTTTTTTATTTTATTTTTATTTACAGCTCTCTTGACTCTCGAGATGTAGGGGGAAAAAAAAATTTTTTTTCTCTCTCTATTTCGAAAAGAAAAATTTCGAAATCGAACACTTTAGCATTGAAAAAAAAAAATCGAAGCCAAAGAGATATATAATAGCGACAAAAATAAAAATGTTGCGTTGAAAAACAAAATGGGAAAAAATAGAGAAAAGAAAAATAAATGAAAAATGTCGAAAGAATTTATCGAATAGCTAATCAATAATATTTAAGATAGATAAATTTTCGGCTAATGAAAATTTCGACTTTACAAAACTACAACGAAAGAAAACAATTTTTTTTTTAAATTCGAAAACAAATGCTGAAGTGTTCCATAAATTTTTTTTTCTACGATGAGTCACGAGCCATTTTTTTAATTATTATTAATAATACGAATGTCTACGAATTAGTGAGCAAAGATCTGTGGTCAATAATAATAAAAATAATTGTGTGCTGCTCACTCGGTAGAAGAAAAAAAAAACCAACTCAATTATTAAAAAAAAAATAAATAAATAAAATAAAGTAAATAGAAACATACGACTATAGATAAATATTCTCTATTATGATAAAGATATATATATATAAATATATATATATTATCAAATTATAAACTAAAAAGCAAAAAAAAACCCGCGAGATACATTTGTAGCAAAAATAATAAAAACGCAACATACGTATCGAGAAATGACTCCTAATCGGTTTTTTTTTTCAAATTAATAATTGAAAATTATTATTTTTTACCTTTTAAGTTTAGGTAGAGCATAAATACATTTTTTAACTAAAGAAAAATGAAAACAAACAAAAAAAAAACTAATGGCTGAAGATGAGCAAATTTTGCACTCGTTTTGCAAATTCGTAACGAGCAGAACTGTTCAAAAAAAAAAAAAAAAAACCTCTATGCTAAATTAGATAATAAAAATTGAAATTATAAAATATTTTATCTTTATTCCACTAAACCTTTTTGGGAAACTAATTAATTTTGTTAGAATTTTCATCTAAATGGAATTTAATTAGAATTTACGAAAATTACAGAATTAGAATTTTCATTGCGGACAGAAAATAATTATTTTACCAAAAAAAAAGAAAGAAAATTTTTTTCATACCCTTAATTTTCATTTGACGGAATTCTTAAAAAAAAAACAACGAATTTTTATTTTATTTATTTAGAAAAATTTCATATATATATATATTTGAAGAAAATTTTCTATTTTATTTATAAATTAATTTATTATTTAATTTTTAAATTAAAAAAGTAAATTGCCAAAAAAATTGCGCTCCCAATATTTTTCTACCTATGAAAGTTTTTGTAAAATAAAAATTTATTTATTTATTTATTTATTTACATATATATATATATATTTGTCTTTTTTTTTTTTTTTAAAGAATTTCGTTAAATGTAAATTTGAATAAATTAAAAAAAGCTACTAAAAATAATTTTTGAAATTTTCAATTCAAAAATTTTTGATTTAAAAAAAAAATTGACTTAATATTTTATAATTGGTAAATCTCAGGAAATAAAATTCATTAGAGTTGGGAAAAAATTTTAATGACTGGAAATCGGAAAACGATTTTTTTTTTTTGCCAAATTTTGAAAATGAAAATAATTTGAAATTTTTCAAAATTAATATTTGAGGAGAAAAAATATATAATTAAAAATAAATTTAAAAAATTTCTACATTAAGAAAATAAATGAAAATTTGCTAATTAATAATCGAGAAAAAAATATAATTAAAAAGAAATTTAAAAAATTTCTACATTAAGAAAATAAATATGAAAATTTGCTAATTAATAATCGAGGAGAAAAAATATATATAATTAAAAAGAAAATTCAAAAAATTTAAACTAGAATAAAGTTTATTTAAAGGAAAAAAATTATTTTCTTTTGTTTATTAATAAAAGAGTAATTTTTTTTTTGTATATATATGTATATTATGTTACATAATTATCCCTCAATGCTTCAATAAGCAACAATTGAGTAGGAAATTCAATTTACATGATTCACTTCATTTAGTGTTTCTAATTTTTTTTTGTTTTTTTTTTTTTTTTGGTTTCCTTTTTTTTATAACTTTTGCAAACTGAATTTTCTCTTTATAAAATTAAAATCAGCCCTAAATTGCTTTTCTTTTTTTTTTCTTTCTTTTTATACAATATTACAGAAATTCATTATAGATTAGTTCTCTGTAATATATTTATACAAATGCAGAGGAAAAAAAAAAAAAAAAAAAATTTTGACCAGAATTAAATAGACTTTTTTTTTGTTTACTTTGTTGGAGAAAATGAAGTTGGATTTAAAATTCGACAATGCATTTCTCGAATTAATGGCACAGTGTATGCTACACATTCATCCCATCCTGGTGAACGCCACGCGCTTTCACGTGTCTCTTTTCGCGATTGTAAATCCTTATAACCTGAAATTTGAAAAAGAAAAAGACAAATTTATCACTTTTTTTTTTATCTCCAAAATAATATTTCTTTTTTCGCTACAGGAAATAAAAAAAAATCATTTGAATTCACATTTTTTTGCAAAATAATAATAATAAATATCAACAAATTTTTTTTTAAAATTAAATAAAAAAAAATGTTCAAATTCAAATGTAAAATAATAATTAAAAAAAATTATGAATTTATAATTATTAAAAAAAAAAAATGAAATTTAAAAATAGGAAAAATTTTTTTTTAGGATTTAAAAGAAAATTAATTTTTTTTAATTTGTTAGAATGGTGACCACAATCAAAAATAAAATTCCAAATTTGTTAATTTGGGGGGAGGGGGGAAATGCGTGCAAGTAAAAAAATCACACTCAGGGATTTGCAAACCTGAGATTTTCTCTTTTTTTTCCCCACCCCTCTTTCATCTCATTGAAAATCTCTCACCTTGTAAACCTATAAAATCGAGGAAATATTCAAAAATGTGGCCACCATCTTTTTCCAAAAAAAAAAAAAAGAAGAAACTATTTTTTTCATCTAAATAATTTTTTATATTTTCTATTAATTTTGTAAAAAAAAAACATTAATTAGAATTTTTATTTTCGAGTATTTAATTAGAAATAATTATTTTTTAGACGAATTTTCAATTTTATTATTATTTTTGATTATTTAATAATAATAATTAAATAGTAAAAAAGAAAAAAAAAAAAAGAAAACTTACACCAAATATGATGGACATTGTAGAGTCGTCCAATTTGTGAGAAAAATCCAGCGAATGCCTCATCATTATTGCGTCTATGATTAATTGCCCTCGCCCAATTATTTCCCCATTCAATCATTGTTCCTGGCTTTAAACTATAACTTCGAATTTCATATTTATTTGATGGATCACGTTTTAAAATTTGTGGCCAATAACTAAATGCAAGAAGATATTGTAAATGTCGTGATCTTAAAAAATTGCCACGTTCCTTCAACAATTGTTGATAGTCCTTGAAAAGAAAAAAAAAATCAATTACAATTTAATCTATAATACAAAAATGGCAAAAAAAATAATAATAACTACACTAAAATTGAAAATATTTAATAAAGAAATAAATTTAATTGAATTCACGAAACAAAACGAAAATAATTATAAAAGTAAAATTTATTAAAATTTTCATTTAATAGAATAGAATTTAATAGTTAAAATAATTATAAAATAAAATTTACAAAAATTTAGATTTAGAAAAATAATAATGAATTAAATTTTGCAAATAATGAGCAAATTTTTTCTATAAAAAATAATAAAAATAGAAAATTAAATATTTTGTAAATATGATAAAATAATTTCTTTTATCCTAATTAATTGAATCTTAATAAATTTTTTATTCGAATTCTAATTAATTTTGATTTTAAATTAAAAAAAAATAAAATGGGGTTTAAAATTAGTTTTTTTTACAGCATCTTGAGAAAAGAAAAGTTGTGCTCGATCAACACGCTCGAAGCCTCCGGTGCATTGCCACAAATGAAGAGCTTGATCAAGATCACCAACTTCAACAGTCCATGAACCAACAAGTTCACAATGTAATTCCGATTTTTTCGAATGAATAAGATTCACATTTTCCTGACTGTAAATTAAAAATTAAAAATTAATTTTTCATATTTAATATATTTTACAATTATTATTTATATTTTTTATTATATATTAATTAAAATATTAATGATAATTAATAATAACAATAATAAATAATTTAATGGTATTTTTTCAACATTACTTTAAACAATAATAAAATATAAAATAATTTAAAAAAGCGGAAAATAAGTGTAAAAAATAATTATCAATAATAAATTATATAATAATAAAATGCTTGGTCTGTCCTTCTATCCTAACTTGAAGTTGGCCTTTACTGATTTCACGTGTTTTTTTGAATAGTAATCTTATGACGTGTCAAATTTTAACAATTCTTTTTCTCATTTTTGCCAAAGTTGTATAATTGTGTTTCCAAATTTCGGAATAAGTTTCTTTAAAATTCCAAATTCGAAAATTCAATTCACGAAGCTGAAGTACACAACGTTTACCAACGAAATTTTTTTTAAACTTGTATATTGATTCAAAAATTGTATAAAAATACAAAAAATTTATGATGAGAAAAAAGATGCGCCAGGAAATTTCGTACAAGATAGTAATTTGAAAAAAATTTATTTTTAAAAATTTATTTTTAAGGTACCAGGGGCCAACGAATACCTATTAAATATTAATTATAAATAAAACAGGCCTCGAATCAACTAAAAGACACAAAAAAGTCGTTTTAGTCGATTTATATTCCAAAAAAAAAGTGGATTTGTTTTTTATTTTAACAAAAATATTTTACAGATTTTTAAATAAAAAATTTTTTTTTAATAATAATCCTTTTCGAAGGGTTAAAGTTGAAATTTTTAGAAATAATTAAATTTCAAAAGATATTGTTAATTTTCAAACAATTATTAAATTTTACAGAACTAAAAATAATTTATCAAACAATTTTTGGAAAACATTTTTTAAATTTAATTGAATTTTCAAAGATTTAAAATTGAGATTTTTGAAATTAATTGAAACTTTAATTTGTAATTAAAATTTTAGATGATTTCACTAAAAATTTATTAGAAAATGCGGACTAAATACAATAATTTGAAAATCATTTTTAATTAAAAAATGGTTTCAGATAGTTGAATTTTCAAAGAATATTATTAAAATAGTTAAAAATAATTGAATTTCCTTAGAGTTATAATTGAAATTATTAAATTTCAAAAAAAAAAAAATTTTCGATGGAAAATTTTAGAAATAATTAAATTTTAGATGCTTTAAAATTCAAATTATTGAAAATTCAATTAATTTTGAATTCAAATTTTCGAGAATAATTAAATTTTATTTGATTTTAAATTTGGAAAATAATTGAATTTCAGTTCATTTTGAATTGAAAATTTTTGGGAAATAATTGAATTTTAATTGAAATTTTGGATAATAATTTAATTTAAGTTCATTTTTGATTGAAAATTTGGATAATTAATTTTGAATAGAAATTTTAGAAAATAATTGAATTTTATTTCATTTTAAATTAAAAACTTGGTAAATAATTAAATTTTAAATTGAAAATTTTGGATAATTATTCGATTTTTAATTGATTTTGAATTAAAATTTCGGGTAATAATTGAATTTTAGTTTATTTTGAATTGAAATTTTTCAAAAAATAATTCAATTTTATTGTGATATTTTTTTTTTTAAATTATAAACAATTGTTAAATTTCATAAAAATTTTAATTGAAAAATAATTTTGATATACCTCATTGAATTTGTGATGTATTTCATTAAAATTATTAAAAATAATTAATTTAGTGAAAAATCATTTTAGTTCAAAATTTGTTAAATAATTGAATTTCAGTTCATTTTCAATTGAAAATTTTGTGAAATAATTGAATTTTAGTTAATTTTAAGTAGAAAATTTTGAGAATAATTGTATTTTAGTTAATTTTAAATAGAAAATTTTGAAAATAATTGAATTTTAATTCAAAATTTTCAAAATAAATAAATTTCCATTGAAATTTTTGAAAATAATTGAATTTTCATTGAAAATTTTCAAAATAAATGAAATTCAATTGAAATTTTTGAAAATAATTGAATTTTAATTAATTCAGTATTTAAAATTTTGAAAATAATTGAATTTTAATTAATTTGGAATTGAAAATTTTCAAAATAATTGAATTTTAATTCAAAATTTTCAAAATATTTAAATTTCAATTGAAATTTTTGAAAATAATTGAATTTGAATTGAAAATTTTCAAAATAATTGAATTTTAATTGATTTTGATTAATAATAATAAAAAAACTTTGTCCAATTTTCGTTACTTTTAAATGGAAAAAAAATTAATTATTAAATTAATTAATTAATAATAATAAATAAAAAATACTTTTTTTTATAATTATTTCATTATTATTCTTTTTTTGTTATAAAATATTTTTTTTTTTATTATTTTATTTTCTTTTCATTTATTTTTTATTGTAAAATAAAATTTATTATAATTATTTGTTTTTTTTATCATTTTTCTAGTTAAATATAAAAATAAACAATTAATTAATCTTATTTTTATTCTAAAATTGTGATTTTTAATACTTTTAATCATTAAAAATTGAATTTCGATAAAAATTTAAAAAAAAAAAAAAACCCGATATATTTAAAAAAAGTAGTTAAATTTTAGGTTATGTTGCTTAAATTTTTTATTAATGTAATATTTATTAAAAATGTTAATTTAATAATATATTTTCTAAAATTAATGGTAACTTTTTGCCTCCCCCTCAAAAAAAAAGAAATAACCAAAAATAAATTATAATTAAAAAATAAATTTTTTATATATATAAAAAATTTTGTAATAATTAAATTATAAATAAATAACTTATAAAAATTATACTAAAATGATTATTATTTATCATTATATTTCAATTGTTGCGGAAAAAATTTTCGTCGTAAAAAATTTAAATAATTGTTTAAAAAGAATATACACAAATTAAAAATAATTTCAATCAAATCGCACATAAAAACAAAAATTGCTTAATATAAAATAAAAATAAATATATAAAAAAACAAATACTATTGAAAAAAAATACTTACTAGTTAGAAAGATACTTGTCAATTGAGTCAGGGCGGATATTGTGCGTATGAAGTGCATAAATCACTTCTTTATCGGACAGCATACGGGAATGTGATTCTTTGGTGGGCTCGATTTTTCTCACAAGAAGTTTGCGAAGCCATCCTTCGCTAATATCTTGTTGTGCTGGTGAACTTGTCACAAATCTATAATCATTTTTTTTTTTAATAATAATAATATAAACAATGAGCGAGCAGTCGACAATTGAGAGCACGTTTACAATTTGTAAACATGTCGCAACTTCATGGTATTAGGGGAAGTGGAGAGGGGGGAATGTTGTTTTTTTTTTCCAAGTCACACAAAAAAGAATAGCCAAGCAATGAAAAATGTTTTCTAATTAGGAAAATGAAATAACAAATAATTTTCAAATTCCCTACCGAGAAATCCTTTGAATGGGAAAACTTCTTGTTTTTGTAAAACACTTGCTTCCCAGTGCGGCGGCCATTCTTATTGGATCTTTATTATGAACTGACCTTCATAATTCTCCATTGGCCAATCACTGATTAACAGTGCTGCCAACTGTATTCTCAAATTGGATATTAAAAAACCATTTTTTTAATCTTTTACATAGTAAATTATTATTGAAAAATTTCTCTATTATTTAATAAATAAAATTTGTTTACTTTTTTTTAAAATGAAAATTGTTAATATCAATTGTAAAAAGAAAAAAAAAAGTTGATAAGCCTGTTTGCAGCTAACTTCATTTTCATTCCAGACGCATTATTTGCCAATTTTGCGTATTCGCTGCTGTAATTTGTTTTTGTAGTGTTTGTACAATAAATTAAAATTCAAGTTGTGCTTTAATTAAAAAAAAAAAAAGAAGAGGAATTTTTCTTGATAATTGATAGATAAAAGTGATTGCGAAAAATTATTCAAGTGGTGGTGATTTCTGTTATTTATATCATAATTTTTTTTTCACAAGTCACTGGTCCGGCGACTCCGAATCAAGCGTAAGTATATTTTATTTTTTTTTACACATATCTATATACCGGCTTCTGAATAAAGAAATATATACATATACATATATATGATAAATAAAAGTATATGTTAATTCCATTTAAAACTGATTGCTATTTTTATCATTCGTTGCGAGAGTTTTTTTTTCAGTGAGGTTAGAATTGTATCACGAGAAAAAAAAAGAATTTTTTTTCTTTTACTTTCTTTTAGGCAGTTTACGAATATTTTGCACATCAAAAAAAAAGGGGGAATATTTTTCTAATTTTTCAGGTATTTTCTAGAATTTTCCGACAAAATTTTTATAAAAATAAGATACGATAGTTTTTATAAAAAAAATTTTCAAATATCGGTAAAAATTTGCAGTTTTTTTTTACTTTTAATAAATTCAGTCTTTTTTTTTAACTTAAAAGTATAAAAAAAAAATTTTGTAATTAATTTATTATTATAGTTATTAAATTTATTACAAAAATTGACATTATTTTTGGAATAATTCAATTAATAATGAATTTTATTTATTTTTTTGAAATTATAATTTTTTTCCTGAATTGAAAAAAAAAAATTGAAAATAAAAATTTTTTCATAAGAATTTTCAGGTATTTTCTAGGATTTTCCAAAAAATTTTCAAAAAAAAAAACGAGAATTTAAAAATAAATTTTCGATATATTAAATTTTTAGTTATTTTTAAGTTTATTAATAAATTCGGTATTTATAAATTGAAAAGTACAAAAAATTATTATTATTATTGTTAATAGTTATTAATTATTAAAAGATATTAAATTTATTACAAAACAAATTGGCAATATTTTTGAATAATTTAATTAATAATGAATTTTATTTATTTTTTTGAAATTATAATTTTTTTCCTGAATTAAAAAAAAAAATTGAAAATAAAAATTTTTTCATAAGAATTTTCAGGTATTTTCTAGGATTTTCCAAAAAATTTTCAAAAAAAAGACGAGAATTTAAAAATAAATTTTTGTTATTAATAATTAATACAAATTTTCAGTTATTTTTAAGTTTATTAATAAATTCGGTATTTATAAATTGAAAAGTACAAAAAGTTATTATTATTATTATTATTATTATTATAGTTATTAATTATTAATTATTATTATTATAGTTATTAATTATTAATAGTTATTAAATTTATTACAAAAAAAATTGGCAATATTTTTGAATAATTCAATTAATTTAAGAAATTTATTTATTTTTTTGAAATTACAATTTTTTTTCCTGAATTAAAAAAAAAATTGAAAATAAAAATTTTTCATAAGAATTTTCAGGTATTTTCTAGGATTTTCCAAAAAATTTTCAAAAAAAAAGACGAGAATTTAAATAAATTTTCGATATATTAATAATTAATACAAATTTTCAGTTATTTTTAAGTTTATTAATAAATTCAGTATTTATAAATTGAAAAGTATAAAATATTATTATTATTATTATTATTATTATTGTAGTTATTAATTATTAATAGTTATTAAATTTATTACAAAAAAAATTAACAATATTTTTGAATAATTTAATTATTAATCAAATTAATTTATTTTTTAATTTATTTTATTGAAATTATACAATTACTTGGATTTTGGAAAGAATTTTTTTTTTTTCGAATTTCAGATTAATTTTACAAGATGTCGCATCCATTTAAAAAAGAGCAATTGATTGAATTGAAATTTTTCACGGAGATGTGCATTAAAGATCCAAATATTTTGAATGTTCCTGAACTTTCATTTATGAAAGATTTTGTAAAACATTTTGGTGGTACAGTACCCGAACCAAAATATGAAAAGAAACCCCAGGAATTTAAAGCAAGTGAACCGGAAATTGAATCCGAACCAGAAAGTGAGGAAAGTGATATTGAATTAGATATGACTGGTGTTATAGGTGAGAATAATTTTTTTTTTTCCCCACTTTTAAATTTAATGTCTCATTAAAATTTAATTTAGTTTAAATTAAATTAAATTTTAAATTTAAAGTCATTAAAATTTAATTTATTTCAAATTAAATTAAATTTAAAGTATTTTTTTTTACATTTTCATCACATGAGAAGGTATTATTTTATTTTTTTAGAAAAATAAGTCCACAATTAAAACCATTTAAGGACACTAAAAAATGAAAATGAAACTTTTTTTTTTATAAAATACAGGCCTCGGATTATACGACTTTTTTCGATTTATTTTTAATAAAATGCGACTTTTTTGCCTTTTTTTATATTTTTTTAAAAAAAATTTCAAACAAAATACGTTTTTTTTTTAAAGTATACAATGCAGATTTTCTTCAGATCTTCTTTATTTTAATTATTAAACAAATTTTTAACTAAAATTCTTCACTAAATTAATTATTTTTAATAATTTGAATGAAATTTTTTCACAAATTCAAAATTATATTAAACTATTTTTCAATTAAAATTTTTATGAAATTTAATTTTTTTTTATAATTTCAAAAAAAAATAATTAGCCAATAAAATTACCAAAAAATTTTTAATTTAAAATCACTTGAAATTTAATTATTTGCAAAAATTTTAATTATTATCTAATGATTTTTATAAATATTCTTCGAAAATTCAATTATCTAAAAGAATTTTTCAATTAAACATGGTTTTTTAAATTATTATATTTTTCTCTGCAATTTATAATAAATTTTTTTAGTAAAATCATCAAAAAATTTTTAATTAAAAATCACTTTGAATTTCAATTAATTTCAAAAATCAAAAATTTTAAATCTTTGAAAATTCAATTAATTTTTAAAAAATGTTATCCAAAAATTATAATTTGATAAATTATTTTTAGTTCTGTAAAATTTAATTATTTATTTTTAAAATTAACTGAAATCATTTGAAATTCAATTATTTTCAGAAAATTTCAACTTTAACTCTTTCAAAATTATTATTTAAAAAAAAAAAATTTTCATTTAAAATTCTGTAAAACTTTGATTAAGTATTGCTTGAAATTTTTTTTCACCATCAAAACTAAAAAACTATGACAAAATTTTTAAATTCGAATAAATTGCTTAAATCACGACTTGAAAAAATTATAAAAATGGAAGTTTCAGAATTTTTTTTTTTTTTTTAGAAATTTGTTTTAGTTAAATAAAATTTTGAAAATTTGTCTTACAATTAGTTCGATTCTAAAATATTCGTAATAAATTTTCTTGATAATATTCATTAGAGAATTATTCTCATTACAGAATTAATAAAATGAATTTAATATCTAATAACATTAATTATTGAAAGTAAAATATTCATTAACGAATTAAATTTTGTTAAAATACAAAAAAAAAAGAAACGACTTTTTTTGGAATATAAATCGAATAAAACGACTTTTTTTGGGCCTTAAAATCGATCCGAGACCTGCAAAATATAATAAAAATATAAACTTAATGAAATTATATAAAATTATTCATTTGAATTATTTAATTTAAATTTAGCTGAATTAATTGTTTAATTAAGCTAAATTTTCTATAATTTTCTTATTTTTTTACATTTTTTTAATTTCAATAGTTTTTTTTTGTTTTTTTCATTTAAATTATTTAATTTAAATTTAGTTGAATTAATTGTTTAATTAAGCTAAATTTTCTTCTCTTTTTTTTACATTTTTTTAATTTCAATAGTTTTTTTTTTTCTATTTTTTTATTTTCAATTTTTTTTGTTCTCAGTGAAAAAAATTTAATTTATTTTCTTTTTCTAAATTAGAACCAGACATGGATGCACCGCAAAAAATGGGTAATCTAACAGTTGAACCAACGGAGGAGGAAATTTCTGAATCGCAAACAAAACGTTCGGATGCGGTGGCAGCGTATGCTGAGAAAGATTTTGAAAAAGCAATAAAACTCTATACCGAGGCAATTGTATTAAATCCACATGCTGCACTTTTATATGCAAAACGTGGACAAGTTTATTTAAATATAAAAAAACCAAATTGCTGCATTCGCGATTGTAATCGTGCATTAGAATTGAATTCGGATAGTGCAGCGGCGCATAAATTTCGTGGACGTGCCTATCAACTTTTGGGCAAATGGGAAGAGGCAGCTAATGATTTGAGATTTGCCTGTCAACTTGATTTTGATGAACAAGCCGACGAATGGCTACGAGAAGTTACGCCAAATGTAAGCATTCGTTTTTCTCTTTTTAATAATGGACATTTTTATTTTCAGATTTAAAAAGAAAATTTGAAAAAAAAAATTTAATTTCCTTTTTTTTTAAATTAAAAAGAAAATTTCACATGAAATACCCAGGAGGGATTGAAAAATAGAAAATTCAATTAATATTTTTGATTTTTAATAAAAAAAATTTATTTTTAATTTCTTTTATTAAAATAAACTATTTCTTTTTATTAAAAAAAATTCTGGATATCTAATATAGCGAAAGGAACGAAATTAGAAAAAATCAATTTGCGGAAAATATACGTTTTTTTTTTTGAATTGTATTTTTGGGAAAGAGTACAAGGTGATGCGTAAATATACGAGCAGCGCTCGCAGCACACTTATTTTTTTTTCGTTTTTTTTTTCTTTTTAAATTTACGAGTCCCTAAGTAACAAACAATCACTAACATCATAGAGGTGTAAAAACCTCAATTAATCCTATAAAGTACAGTCCTTAATTATCATAAGTCGCAGCTTTAGCTTATGATTGAACGATATAGTGACCGAGATTCACACAATATTCATAAATTTTCTTTTTTCTTTTTTTTTTTTTAAATTAAAATTAATAATTACAATACAGCTTAAATGTTAAGTTTTTTTTAAAACTAAATTTTCGTCTATTTTAAATTTAAGTTTGAACAAAGAATTTGATATTAAAATTTAATATTCATTTTTGTCAATAAATTACACAAATAAAATAAATAGAAATATAATTTTAAGAATTGAAATTGAAAATTTTAATATTTACTACAAACTAAATGTGTATATGCGATTAAAAATTAATTTTAATATTAAACTAATAATTGAAAGTTAAATTTTTAAATATAAATACATAATTTAATAAAATTAAAATTATCCTATTACAATCAATCAGCGAACAATATCACGTTTCTAAAAAAAAAAAAAAAGACAACATCTCAGTAATTGAGACGAATTTCAGAAATTGAAATTGTCTTTTAAAGAAAGATGAAAAAGATCTTGAGAACTTTTCCGGAGAATATATATTTTTTTTGTTTGTTAATTATTAGAGGAATTAAAAGCGGATGATTCCTTCAATTCTTTTCTTTTTTCATACAATATACATACAAATAACATTTTTTCGTCTCTCTCACACACACAATGGAAAAAAATGTTTAAATTAGTTATTCTAGATGAAATATATACACGGAAAAAAATAGCATTTAGTTAAAAAAAAAAAAAAAAAAAAAAAAAACCCCAAAATTTCTCAAACAGATCAAAATTAAAAAAATTTGATATTTTTCTGTAATAAAAAATTAATTTATTTCTGTATTTTAAATTTGAAGAGGATTTTTCAAGAAAACCAATTTCTAATTTTACTACAATTATAAAATAAAAAAAAATTGTTAAATTAATTTTCTTCAATTAAGATAATTAGTGAAACAAAATATGAATCAAGAAAAATAATTAATTAAATATATTTGTACATGGATTTTTTTTTGTCAAATACTATTTTTTTTTTCCAGTGTATAATAATGAGAGGGAAACGACAATAATACAGTAATATACTGTAAAATCACCATGTCGCTATTCTCATTCGATTATAAAACAAGAGCTCCAATTTTATTGCAAAAATATTTTTTTTAAACAGATTAATATTTTTTTTTCCGAGTCTAAATTTTTTTTAAATTTCTATTCGGGAAAATTTTTTTTTTATTTAAAATACAATATTGTATTGCTTTCAACAATATGGCAGTGAAAATATTTTCGAGCTCAGAATTTTTTTGCGATAATAAATTAATTTTTATAATTTTTTTTTTTATAACTCCGGATAATTTTAATAATTTTTTTTTTTTTTTTTTGAAGTGAATTCTCAACGTTCAGATTCCTCTGAAATAATTTTTATGGAGTCATTTCTTTGTTTTCTTCTGCGTGAAAATTCTATTTTCGCTTCAACTGGTTGAATTGTCAATTTCATTCTCATGAATAGCGGCATCGGCGGATTTTTTATATTTTCCCACGAGTTCAGGAAGATCGTAGGCAATTGCAACGTCGAGCCTATTAATAGGACAACCACGAAAATAGGTACACGTTGAACTAAGTAGAGGAAAATCGTAGAGCGCATCTAAACGGAAAAAATCTCTATAAACATCAGGATCAGGTAGATCGTAACGTGAAATATTTGTCAATGTACTGAGACCCTCGTAAATATGATAATCCTGTGGATTTTCAATTATTTTATCACTTGTGTCGCGTTTATTGCCAAAAAATGTTTTATGATTGTAATAGGTTGTCAAATAGCAGTCCACCATTTTCGCATGGTTGCGCACTCGCACCTGTGAAAAGGAAAAAGAAAAAATTAATTAACAAAATTTGCCTCGTATCAGGTGAAATCAAAATTTATCAAATCTAATTTTGATTGAAAAACTCACTGCGAATCTTCTGGCGCTAGCAATTTTGTGCTCGACTCTTTTATCAATTGCCGAACGAAGATCTCTAAGTAGAGCACGTTCCTGAGCGTAGAGTAATCTTGTGGGTGCTCCAGCTTCATAGGGCATTGACCAAAGAGACGTCGAGTACATTACCGGTGGTTCTGCACTTGACATTAGTGGAGAAATATTCCAAATCAATGCTCCTTGAACCCTCATTAATTCCTCGGGTTTTACCTGATCAGCTTTATTTAAAATTATCCTCGTCTAAAAAAGCAATTTCAATCATTTCAACACTTCATTTCTCTATCTATTCAGCAGAATTGTAAAAAAAATTTTAATCACTAATTTTTTTCACCTGATATTCACGACCCTTTAGCTGATCGAGAATTGCCTCTGTCTCGGGTCCAACATCCAATTTGGAGGGATCGTAAACGAGAAAGATAATATCTGCCCTATCGATAAACCATTGACAAGCATCGTTAAATGGAAAGAGACGTTGTACTTGTTTGCGAACTTCTAAAATTCCAGGAATCTCGACGATATTTACCTAAAAAATTTTGATATTCATTTCAAAACATGTGCAAAATTTTCCGAGCAGAACATATTGCCTGGAAAATTGCTTTAAAAATAATAAGTGTAAAGCCTTCTATGAGATTTTGTTCACTGCATTTCAAAACAAGTGGAGAATTTTCCGGGCAAAGCATATTGCCTGGAAAATTGTTTGAAAAATAATAAGTATAAAGCCTTTTATGAGATTTTGTTCACTGCATTTCAAAACAAGTGGAGAATTTTCCAGGCAAAGCATATTGCCTGGAAAATTGTTTGAATAATAATCAGTATAAAGCCTTCTATGGCATTGTATTCACTGCATTTCAAAACATGTGCAAATTTTCCGGTCAAAACATATTGCCTGGAAAATTGTTTGAATAATAATCAGTATAAAGCCTTCTATGGGTTTGTTTTCAGTACATTTAATAACAAGTGCAGAATTTTCCAGGCAAAACATATTGTCTGGAAAATTGTTTGAAAAATAATCAGTATAAAGCCTTCTATGAGATTTCGTTCACTGCATTTCAAAACAAGTGGAGAATTTTCCGGGAAAAGCATATTGCCTGGAAAATTGTTTGAAAAATAATCAGTATAAAGCCTTCTATGGGATTGTGTTTACTGCATTTCAAAAAATAATTACAAATTGCCCGGAAAATTGCTTTAAAATGATCAGTATAAAGCCTTCTATGGGTTTGTTTTCAGTGCATTTCATAACAAGTGCAGAATTTTCCGGGCGAAACATATTGCCTGGAAAATTGTTTGAAAAAAAATCAGTATAAAGCCTTCTATGAGATTTTGTTCACTGCATTTCAAAACAAGTGGAGAATTTTCTGGGCAAAGCATATTGCTTGAAAAATTGTTCGATAAATAATCAGTATAAAGCCTTATATGGGTTTGTTTTCAGTGCATTTCATAACAAGTGCAGAATTTTCCGGGCAAAACATATTGCCTGGAAAATTTTTTGAAAAATAATCAGTATAAAGCCTTCTATGGGATTGTGTTTACTGCATTTCAAAAAATAATTACAAATTGCCCGGAAAATTGCTTTAAAATGATCAATATAAAGCCTTCTATGAGATTTTGTTCACTGCATTTCAAAACAATTAGAGAATTTTCCGGGCAAAGCATATTGCCTGGAAAATTGTTTTTTAAAATAATGAGTATAAAGCCTTCTATGTCATTGTTATCACTGCATTTCAAAACGAGTGCAAATTTTCCGGGCAAAACATATATTTTGCCTGGAAAATTGCTTTAAAAATAATCAGTATTTTTTTTTTATTTTTGATCTCACCTTCTCCAGTAATTTATTTTTAAAACGAAGACCCCGAAGACGATCGAGTAGTCCCTGTCCAAATTTCTGTAGACCCGAAAATGTCCAATCGGCTGCTAATTGTGTTCCATCCAAAACTTCTTCCTCCTCACCATGCATCAATATGTTAAAATAAGCTGGAGAAGGTTCAGCCCCTATTTCGATTTTGATTTAATCATCAATAAATAAATAGGGAATAAGAGAAAACAAAAAGTAATCCCATTACCAGGTCCTACAAATATCAGTATCAGTATTTACCTGTTCTTAAAGAAGTCGCCTTATATTCATTGTCCAAAAGATAATTGATAATTGATGATTTTCCACCACTCCAGGGTCCCATAAATAGTACCAGGGGTTTGGAAAATATTTCCGGATCTATAAATGCAAAATAATAATTTTTGTAACAATGTGAAACTATTGGGAGATTTAAATTTTTTTTCTTTACCTCCAAAGTGTCTATTACTGAGATCTCTGTATTTGTATAATGTCTCCAAAGGTTGAATTGCATTATCATAGACTTTCTTTAATTCTTTAAGAATAACTTCGGAGACTTTTTCAATAGCCTTCTCTTTAACTTCATTGTCTTCGTCTAATTTCAATATTTGACTAATATGATCGCGTGGACGTAGATTTTCCGGAATTTCTATTTCTTGAATTAATTCCTCCTCTGGCATGGAATCACCTTCGCTGCTTCCGTCACCTTCTGGAAAATTATTGAAAATTTATTAGCAATGTTTTTTTTTTTTAATTGTGAAAGTGAAACTCACCGCCTTCTTTACTAGTTTCATCGGATTGTTCTGGAACATTTTCAACATCTCGTCGATTTCGTGATTTCACCTCTTGGGAATCTTCTTCCTTTGAGTCCTTGCCCTCTTGTGAATCTGTTTCTTCTTTACTCGTTACATTTACTTCTTTACTGTCAGTTGTATCTTCTTTTGAATCAGTTTCTGATTTTTCCTCAGCTTCTGCTTTTTCTTCTTCTTCTTCTTCTTTGCTTTTTTCTGTCGAACTTGCAGCATCTTCTTGACTTACTGCGGATTCTTCATGAGATTCTTTAGATTTTTCCTCCGAATCGTCTTTTACATCAGCCTCTTTGGAATCATTTTTTTCTTCGGATTCGTCTTCTGTTTTATCTGATTCTACAACATTTGCTTCGGTACTTTCTTTTGAATCCTTATCAGCTTCGTTTGATTCTACACCATCCTCTTTTGAATCTTTAACGTCTTCCTTTGAATCTGTATCGGTATTTTCTACCTTCTCCTTTGAATCTCCTGCTTCTTTTGAATCATCACTATTTTCCTTTGAATCCTTTTCGTCAGTAACTTCCTTTGTCTCCGTATCAGTTTCCTTTGAATCCTTATCAGTTTCCTTTGAATCTTCCTTCGAATCCTTATCAGCATCTTCTTTAGAATTTTCCAAATCCTCTTTAGAGTCTTCAGCAATTACTTCAATTTCCTCGGGTTTCTCTTCGGATTTTTCATCTAGGATAAATATTTCTTTTTAGCGTTTACAATTATCCCAAATACGTTAATAATTAAGGAATACCTTTTTGTTCAACAGTTTCGTTGCTACTGTCCACTTTTTCGGTGGATTCGTTTCTTTCTACTTCTTCCACTAGAACCTCTTCGCTTGCCACTTCCACTGTTTCTCCACCACCACCACTGTCCTGATCAGCTTCCTGAGATCCGTCATTGCTCCCTGGCTCATCGCCCTATAAAGAAGATTTTATCAGCAAAGAAATTAAATAAATTTTCAAAAATAGTATTTAATTGAAGACATCTTACTTGCACGCTTAATTCCTCATTCCGAATGCCTTCCTCCTGATTGTCCCCAGCCTCGACTTCGGCACTGGTCTGCTCGACAGATCCTTCAAATGAAACATTCTAAAGATCGTTGTGCTCCATTCAAGCATTTTGGAAGTACTTCTAGAATTACCTGTGCCAAGATCCTTTAACGCCTTCTCGATGTAGGGTCGACATAAATCTTCCGATGGCACCTGTTCTAGCTCCTCTTCACCTTGCACTCCTGAAATATGTAATTTTAGTTTCCGTCAAATTTAATCATTAGTACATAATCAGTAAATTTTTTTCGCCCCCCAAAAAAAATGGAATTTTTCTGCTTTTATTTTGGAAGCATATAAAATTTGCCAATGATTTTGGCGAGAGAAAATGATGATTTTACTCTCTCTCTCTCTCTCTCTTTCTCTATCCTAGTGGGATCAGAGAAGGGATCGAAATTCTAAGTTTAACTTTTGGGTAGGCGGCTTGTGTGAACCAACCAACACACTTGGAAATATTTATATATTGAGCGAACAAATTTTGTATTTTTATATCGATGGTAAATTAACAAATTGTCGATTTAGAAATGAAGATAAATTGAAAATCATCATCAAAAATGGGTGAATAATCTTTAGTAAGGTTTTTGTATTTTAAAAAACGATCTCTAATCAATGATTTTTTTCTTAACACCAATCCAATGCCAAATGCCCGAGATTCCCGACATGACGAGCAAGTTACGAATTCTTTTTTCTTGTTCTTGTCCGTCATTCGAATCTTTCGTTCACCATACACGCCCTTGAGTCTTGACTTGTCGCTTCGCTATTTTCGTTGGAACATATATATATATATATATATATTTTAAGAGTCTCGATGACCGAAATTTTACGCAAATGCCAAGGTGATGAGACACATGACTTTTGGAAGGACAATCAACGATTAACGGAACTATTGTTGTACCTGTATTGTAGGTAAATTTATCCGGAACATATTGAAGACTAAAGTCTTAAGACCGGTTCCAAGAGTAGATAAGGGTTCCAACTAGAGGTTTACAGATTTTAGTGGGTTGGGTCTGGTAGTACCTGTAACAATTATATCAAATAATGAACAAATTCCAGATTTACAATTATGCTGTGAAAACCGTTGGAATGTTATCGGGGCCAATATGACTGTAACTAACTGCTTCTCCATTTCATTGGACACTCTCTTCTTGCACTCTAGACATCGTCTATCTTTTTTGGGGAAAAAAAAGATGACGTCACAAGGAATTCTATGTCGTAAGAAACGTTTTTCCATTTTCGCTGCTGAAACCGTTACCTTAGGTAACGTTGTTTGGTAACAGTTGCTACGGAAACCGTTCCTATGGTAACCAATTCTTTAGCAACCGTTTCCATAGTAACGATTACTATAGTAACCAGTACCTTATCAGCTATTTCTATAGTAACGGTTCCTTTGGTAATCGGTACCTCAGCAACTATTTCTATAGTAACGATTGTTATGGTAACCAGTTCCTTCGAAACTTTTTTTATAGTAACAGTTGTTTTGGTACCAATATCTTAGCAACCGTTTCTACAGTAACGGTTCCTTTGGTAACCGGTACCTTAGCAATCATTTCCATAGTAACGGTTCCTTTGGTAACCAGTACCTTAGCAACCGTTGCCATAGTAACGGTAGCTATGGTAACCGGCACCTTAGCAACTATTTCTATAGTAACGGTTGTTATGGTAACCAGTACCTTAGAAACTTTTTCTATAGTAACAGATGTTTTGGTACCAATATCTTAGCAACCGTTTCTACAGTAACGGTTCCTTTGGTAACCGGTACCTCAGCAACTATTTCTAAAGTAACGGTTGCTATGGTTACCTATCAAGGTTTTGAGTAGCAGAAGATTAATTTAAAAAAAAACGTAATGAAGTTGCTGCAATTTTCAATACAAATGCAAAAGACGAAATACCAGAGTCTTATGTAAAAGATTACAACAAATCAAAAATGAAAATTTGGATCCCAATGTTGAACCTTGGATTTATTCCATAAATTTTATCTACTTTTATCCTAAATGTTGTTATAAAAAAAATTTTCCCCCTTTTTCTATGGTTATATCGTTAATGCATATTAATTTTGAAAATTAGAGTAAAAATCTAACAAATTATCTTCTTGAGGGGTCGTTACTCGATTGTAGTGTGTGTCTTGCCGATGACGAGAGCTCTCACTCTATTGAAGACCTTACGTAACATTGACCTTGTGCTTGGTCGACGCTCGTTCGTCAGCGACACAAACGTCTCTGATCCGGGGGTGAAGAACTGTTCTAAATTTAAATCACAACCACGCGCTTTTTTTTCCCTCAATTCTTTTTTTTTTGCTTCTTTTTTCTTCTTCCTTCTTTTTTCTCCCTTCCCTAAACACTTTTACGTCGCGCTGCGATATTACCAACATTTTGGCAAAAAAAGTTTACATAACGAATGTGAACGAAATAAAAATAAGCGTGACAAACGCAATGACGTCTTTTTCGGCACCAATATTTTCATATTTTGGTCTCAGGGACAGAAATTTTTTTTGTTTCTTCTTTTTGGATATATTTTTTTTCGATGATGTTAAATACTTTTTTTTTTGAAGATTAGGAAGTTGGAAATAAAGAAGTTGATTTTGAATTTAGGAAAAATAGGTTTGAGGGAACAATTTAGATTAGATTTGTTGCATTTTGGAAATTAATAAGGTGGTTTTGTTTTGGAGTGATTTTCGTTTGTTTTTGGGGGATGATTGGAAAAAACTTACCCTGCAAGGAAATGGCTAGGAGGCCAAGGAAGAGGCCGACGAAGATCGCGGGTCTAAACCGCGAACCCGTCATTTTTTGGTTCACTTAAGCACACTTGTATACGATGAGCCAAGCTGTGTGGCAGCCTCGATCACTCTCGTTACTCTCGTTAGTCGCGGTACTCGGTTTCGACTCGAACTCACGAGAAACTGTCGTTGAAACGACAGCGAGGGCCTCGGGCCAACCCCTCTGGTCCCTCTTCTCTTTTAGTTTTAGTCTATCTCGTCATCAGCGGCGGAGCATCTTCTCTATACCAGATTCTCTTTTTTTCTCTCTTCTACCTATATATATTTCTCTTCTATTTTCCTCTTCTCCTCCAACGAGTCTGATAAGAAGTTCTTCAAATTTTCACTCGAAACTGTTTTCTCTCTTCCTCAAGGCAAAATCTTGACCTTGATAAAAATCACTCAAAATTTAACACTGCTTCTGTTATTTCTTCTTCTATTATGAATTTCAGTATACAGTTAGAAATTAAATTTTTTTTTTAGTTAAATTTATCTATTTCAATGATTTAGTATTTGTGTTTCTAAATTTGTCTTAGCATTCACTCGGAGAATTCCGTGTGACGTTCATAATTTATATTTCGGTCAAGTCTGAAAAATAAAGGAATTTAGATCATGAAGAAATGAATGATAGAATTTTTGGGGATTCCATAATTTCTCTGATTTCGATTTCTAATGGATTTTAGAATTCTAAAATTGAAACTTTTTTCTCAATTTTGGTAATTTGGAATACAAAAAAAAAATTCCGGGCTCGTTATTTCAAATCCACTAGGGAATATAAACTATAGTTAGGCTTTGAATTTAGCAAATCGCGAGTTAAAAATATCCAATGTGACCTGATTCCTAGAAATGCAGAATTCAATCTGCGTGACAAAATTGAAAATAACGGGTCAAAGGTCGTTTTGCAATTTTAATACGTAAAACAGTTTTTTTTTTTGGGAAATTTTTCAAAATACTTTTATTTTTTTTTTTTTGGTAGGATTTTGTTTAATATTTGATTTCCTCAAAATTATTTCTTAAATATTATTTCGCTATTTGTGTAACTGTTTTTTGATTTTTTTTTCGTGTGTTAGAAAATAATTTTCGTGCGCGCGAAGGAAAATCGAACTTTGCCAATATTTAGAAACAAGTGAGGTCGTCCGTTACGACAAAGTTTCAGGAAATTGAAATCTCAGGTAATTGGACGTGAATTTCAAAAGTTTCAAAGCTCTCTGCCAAATAATGATTCTGACGGTAAAGTTTTAACTATTTTGTGTAGATGATGTCAAGTTTTTGAATATAGAAAAAAAAACGGTACAATATACCTTTCCCCTTCTCTCTCTCTCTCTTTTTACAAAATTGCACTTTAATCCTCATGGATAAATTATTTTCATTTGATATTTCGAAATTTTCATTTTAGAAAATATTACCTTGACACTTTGACGCTCTTAAGTTTTGAGGTTATGTTTGCCTTTTGACCTAACCCTTAATTTTTTAAGGTTATGTTTGCCCTTTGACCTAAGCAAGACTTTGAGGTTATATTCCCCTTCTGACCTAAGCTAAGTTTTAAGGTTATCTTTGCCCTTTGACCTAACCTAAGTTTTGAGGTTATGTTTGCCCTTTGACATAACCTAATTTTTGAGGTTATGTTTGCCCTTTGACCAAACATAGATTTGGAAGTTTTATTTACTTTTTGTCCTAACTTAAGTTTTGAGGTTATATTCCCTTTGACCTAACCTAGATTTTGAGGTTATATTCCTCTTTTGCCCTAACCTAGTTTTTTTGGCAAACCTATGTTTGCCCTTTGAACTAAACAAATTTTTGATGTTATGTTCGCCTTTTCACCCAACATAAATTTTGAAGTTATGTTCTTATTTTAACCTTGACACACATGACCTTGAATTTTGAGGTTATGTTTGACCTGTTTTTTCTAAAGACGGCAAAATCTTTTTTTTCTTTAATTTAGAAAAATAAAAAACAAAAAAACTAAAAAAATAATAATATCGTAATCGTAGAAAAACTCTTCCTCGACATTATCTGCCGATAGTTTCTCTTTCACCCACATGTAACTTGAATCTTTTCACAGATGGCTCTTCAATTCATTGAAAATAATATTGATCACGTGATTCCAAATTCAAAAAAAATTTCCCTAAGAATTTTCCAAAAAAAATACACTAAGATAAATTTTTTTTTCCAATTATTATTTATTAGCTTTTAAATATTTTTCGTGTCAATTTTATTTTTTTTAATCTCTAAATGAAAAATTAATTACATTTAGTAAAAAAAAATTATAACAAAAATTAAATTTTTATTAAAAGAAATTTTTTTATTTATTTTTATCTTCCAGGAGTGTAGGGAGAAAAGGGAAGAAAGGGAGGGGGGAGGAATAAACGTTGCTTGATTGGAGATCATTGCACTTTGGGGATTAATTTAAGAGAGACTGCATTTTCCCTCATCTCTGGATGTTTGATGAGATTTTCCGCGAGATTTTGAGTTGAACAGAGGAGAGGATAGGACTGTGTGTCGCGGTGTCGGGCGCCTTTATATTTAGACGTCCGGGCCGCCGCCGTATAAGGTGGCCCCTCGTAGCTTTAATGTATATGTGTGACCCTACCACCCCCCCCCTCTCATCCCCTTTTCAATTTTTGGCGTTGGCTTCTTCTATTCTGTCTTCAAGAGAGACGTTATTAAAATTATATATATAAATAAAAAAAATTTTTCAAAAAAATTTCTTCCCCTTCAAGCTTTTTTTTCGTTATAATTTTATGACGATACCAACATTTTTTAAACTTCCTCAAGATTTTTGCGTTGTTTACTGACCATGAAATTATTTTCAGCTTTTTCAAAATTGAGATTTATTTCTGAATTTTGTGTAAGGTTAGACGGGAAATTAGTTTTTTTACAAAAAATTTTTTTTTCCATCTTATTCTTTACGAAAGATTAATTTTTGTTCTGCTATTATTAAAATTGTGTAAAAAAATAATGAATTTAAAAATTTGTTAATTTCTTTTTATTTTTATGAAAAATTTTTCATTTATTTTAATAAGTTTTTTTATTAATCGAACAATTAAGCATGTGAATGATAAAAGAGAAATTAATAAAAATGCATAAATATCTAGAAATTCGGTTTGATACCAGAGTGGGGAAGGTGTAGGTGATTTTAGTGAATTTGGTCCATTTTTAATTATGTACTCTATCCAATAAATGGCAGTGTCTTTGGCACTTAAGGCACGATCCTTGAAAATTTTTGACCATCGTTGCGTTTGAATTCTGAAAATTTTGATGAAAAAAAATTAATTCACTTGTATTTTATTTTTTATTAACCATTTTATGGTTTTAAAAATAGTAGCGGTTGCTAAGGCACCGGTTACCATAGCAACGGTTTCTAGGGCAACTGTTGCTAAGCTACCGGTTACCATAGCAACCGTTACTATGACAACCGTTGCCATAGCAACCTAAAAGAAATTATTATCCACATTGCACTACATACCGAAACAATTTGACTTTTAAAACAATTGTCAAAGCTTCGCTAATATGACGCTCATTAAGATTTTCGAAATTTATTTCAAAGGCTACAAATTTTTGAACAAGTTCTCGCAAATTTTGAGAATGATCTGACGAAATTGATATTCCTATAATAGGAATTGCAAAATAAAGCGCTTCTTGAATAGCCAAATTTTCTCCTAGCGTTATGAATGCTTTGACATTTTTATGAGCTGAAAAAAATTAAACTTTGTAAAAAAAATAATTTATAGCAATATTCCTAAAATAGAAAATAAGCGGCGAATCTGTGAATGAATTACTAACAAGGTTTTATTAAAAATGATAGCGATAATCTTGAAAACGAAAATAAGCGGAGATTCTCTGAATGATTTGCTAATATGGTGTCATTAAAAATGATAGCGATATTCTTGAAAATTAAAATTAGTGATGATTCGGTAAATATGGCGTTATTAAAAATGATAGCGATATTCTTGAAAACTAAAATTAGTGATGATTCGGTAAATATGGTGTTATTAAAAATGATAGCGATATTCTTAAAACCGAAAAGAAGCGGAGATTCAGGGAATGAATTACTAACATGGCGTCATTAAAAATGATAGCGATATTCTTAAAACCGAAAAGAAGCGGAGATTCACCAACATGGCGTCATTAAAAATGATAGCGATATTCTTGAAAACTAAAATTAGTAATGATTCGGTAAATATGGTGTTATTAAAAATGATAGCGATATTTTTAAAACCGAAAAGAAGCGGAGATTCACCAACATGGCGTCATTAAAAATGATAGCGATATTCTTGAAAACTAAAATTAGTGATGATTCGGTAAATATGGCGTCATTAAAAATGATAGCGATATTTTTGAAAATTAAAATTAGTGGTGATTCGGTAAATATGGCGTTATTAAAAATGATAGCGATATTCTTGAAAACTAAAATTAGTGATGATTCGGTAAATATGGTGTTATTAAAAATGATAGCGATATTCTTGAAAACTAAAATTAGTGATGATTCGGTAAATATGGCGTCATTAAGAATGATAGCGATATTCTTAAAACCGAAAAGAAGCGGAGATTCACCAACATGGCGTCATTAAAAATGATAGCGATATTCTTGAAAACTAAAATTAGTGATGATTCGGTAAATATGGCGTCATTAAAAATGATAGCAATATTCTTGAAAACAAATATTAGTGGTGATTCGCTAAATATGGCGTTATTAAAAATGATAGAATTAAAATGATGATATTAGAATTAAGCTAATTTTAAAATTTTAAGAAAAATTTCTTAATTATTATTATTTTCAATTAAAAATTTTTCAATGAAAATTTAAATAATATTTTATTTTAAGTTGAATAATAATTAAATTTTTAATATAACCTTAAAGAAAATTAATTTCAATTACAATTATTTTTATGATTTTGAAATATTTTTTTAATTTTGAGGTTATGTCAATAGAATCGATATATATTTGAAGTTTGAAAATGAAAATTGATAAAATATCATAATATTTATATAGAAAAATACCTAAGACTTGAATTCTGGATATGTTTGTAAATGTTTTGACATTTCTCGGAAGTTCGAGAGGAAAGTTCTCGATATTTTTGATTTTCATTAAAATACGATAGAATTTTATTTTTCCAAAAGACGCTAAAAAGGCGATAATAATTTTTTTTGGCAAATTTTCCATTAATATTTTTGAGCCCAAATCAAAATAAACAATTCCTTTTGTACTTTTATCCATCCAGCTTTTTAGTTTCTTAAAGAAGCAAAAAAAATTTAATTATTTAATTTTAATTAATTACGCCTAGTTATTAATATTTAATAAATAATTATTTAATAATTAAAGAATAATTAAAGAATAATTAATGTTAAATATGTGTTTAATTATTTATTAATTAAAAAATAATTAAATTTAAATAATTAATTAATTTTTCTGCGGAATTAGGTAAATTTTTTCTTTTAATTTCTTTTAATTTATATTATTTATGAAAAATTAATAATTAAATTTTTTTTTACTAGTGATAATTTGATTTTGTCTTCATTGATGTGTAATCCTCCAATTTGAATAATTTCATTTGTCACAGCTTTCGTTGAATTAAGATTGAAATGTGAATTCAATAAAATTAGAGAAATATTTTTTTCAATTTCTCCAATTTCTGGCATATTTGGATCGAGATATTTTCTCATTATTTCTGTTTGTCTCTGTGTATAATAGTATAATTGATAAGTTTGAAAATATTTTAGTAAATTTTTTTTTAAACGAGTAACAAAATTTCCTATTTCACTCAAGTCCATAAAATTATTTGAAATAAATATTGATTTTGAATTCCCAATTGATTTATCTATCAATGGCAATTGAAAAAAATTTGAAATTGTTATTATTGGCAGTTTCAAAAATTCTCCAAGACCAATGAAACATTTCGCTCCAAAAATCTAGAATAAAAATTTAATTACAAGTATTAAAATTTTTTTTTAATGTATATTATTTATTTACAACTTTAAAAATTAATGATAATAATATTTAATTATTATTAAATTAAAAAATTCAATTAAAATATAATTAATTTATTATTATTATTATTATTATTATTATTATTATTAAACAATTATGGGGAAAAAATGTAAAAACAAAATTAATAAAAACTTACCTCCATTAAAATAACATCATAATGGGAATTTTTTTTGATTTCACGTAAAAGTTTTTGTATTTTTTTATTTCCCATAATATTACAAAGTTCATTGGCATAATTCTTGGACGTATGCCAAATTGAATTAGACGGAATTGTCAAATAATTAAATTCATTTGATAAATAAAAATTTGAATAGTTAAAAATTTTTTCTAAATTAAATAATAATTTATAATTTTCTGATAAAATTAACATTTCAAATGATGTAATAAGATCCACGTGATGTCCTCGTTCTAGTAAAATTTTCACAAGTGCCTTATTAAAAATCTCTTCATTTTTTGAATTTGGAAAAATTGCCAAAATTCTCGATTCCTCACTTAAATGGATAAATAAATAAAAAATGAAAAAAACAAATATTACATATCGTTGAATGAACGTCATGATTGAAACTTGTACAAAAGTGTTGTTATCTGTCTTTTCTTTTCTTTTTATTATGAAACGATGTCGCTATAAGTTTCCTTGATAAGACATGAAAAGATAAAATTTATTTTTATGTGTATTTTTTTTTATTTTCTTAATATTTTTTCCAGGACAAAATAAAGGAAATTCTAATTTTATAATCTCTTGTAGATGGAAATTATTATTTAAATATGTATGTTTTTATTCATTCATTTTAATTATTCATTATTATAATAATTAATACAATATTAATTTATTTATTTTAATTAATAAATAAAAAAACAATATCAATATTTTAATTTTCTTGTATCTGGAAATTATTATTTAATTGTACTATTATTATTTATCCGTTTCACTGATTCATTATTTTAAAAATGAATTTTTTTTTATTTTTTATTAATAATTAATAAAAAAAGAAAACATGTAATATTACACGGAGAAAAATGGAAAAACGAATAAAGTAACTTTTACTACTTTAAAAGTAAAATTGGACCTGTCCGAAGTTTCTGCGCATCTCTGGCAACTTTTACTCGAAAAATAGTAAAATTGACTCTTTCTGTAGTAAATTTTACTGTTTCCGTAGTAATTTTTACTATTTCTGAAGTAAATTTGACTATTTTTGGAGTAAAAGTTGCCAGAGATGCGCAGAAACTTCGGACAGGTCCAATTTTACTTTTAAAGTAGTAAAAGTTACTTTTTCTTTTTTTCCGTGTAAATATATACGAATTTGTGTAATCATAGGCGAGAAAAATTGAGGAACACAAAAGAAAACAGGAGCGCAAAGCATCCGAGAAACAAGAGCAGAAGCGACAAGAGAGATTGCAAAAAGCACGAGAAGCTGCGAAAGATCGCGAAGATAATACACGACCTTCACAAACCGATTCCGCAGGTGGTGCACCGGGAATGAATGATTTTCATGAATTTTTGAGCGATCCCGACGTTCTTGAATCTTTCCAGGTTTGTCCAGATTTATCTTTTTTTTAATACAGAAAGTAAAAAAATTGGTCAAGTACGAGTTACACTCGCTTACATAGGGTTCCGTTCACGATTATATAAATTTATATATTTAAATATAATATTTCAAAAGGGTTAGCTATATTTTTCGTAAAATCTACACATAAAATTAAATATGACTACCAAGTTAAACCATAAGGGTTCCGTTCCGGTTCACTACGTGAACGGAATCCTCAAAATTCAAAAAAATTCAATTTTTCATAGACAGACAATAATTAAGATTACAAATTCTTGCACAAAATACACCTAAAAGTGTAGAAAACAATTGACAGACAAATACGAGTAGAGGAAGACCCCTTTTACCACCAAAAAGCCGTCCAAAATCATAAAAAAGTTCCCAAAAAAATTCAATTTTTCTTAGGCAGACTATTTTATTGCAATTTCTTGCACTAAATACACCTAAAAGTGTAGAAAAAAAATTACACCCTGATCCGAGTAGAGGAAGACACCTGTTACCACCTAAAAGTCATCCAACCCAAAAATCCAAAATCATAAAACAGTTCCCAAAAAAATTCAATTTTTCTTAGGCACACTATTTTATTGTAATTTCTTGCACAAAATACTCCTAAAAGTGTAGAAAAAAATTGACAGCCAAATACGAGTAGAGGAAGACACCTGTTACCACCTAAAAGTCATCCAACCCAAAAATCCAAAATCACCAAAAAGGTCCCAAAAAAATTCAATTTTTCTTAGGCACACTATTTTATTGTAATTTCTTGCACAAAATACTCCTAAAAGTGTAGAAAAAAATTGACAGCCAAATACGAGTAGAGGAAGACACCTGTTACCACCTAAAAGTCATCCAACCCAAAAATCAAAAATCATAAAAAAGTTCCCAAAAAAATTCAATTTTTCTTAGGCACACTATTTTATTGTAATTTCTTGCACAAAATACTCCTAAAAGTGTAGAAAAAAATTGACAGCCAAATACGAGTAGAGGAAGACACCTGTTACCACCTAAAAGTCATCCAACCCAAAAATCCAAAATCACAAAAAAGGTCCCAAAAAAATTCAATTTTTCTTAGGCACACTATTTTATTGTAATTTCTTGCACAAAATACTCCTAAAAGTGTAGAAAAAAATTGACAGCCAAATACGAGTAGAGGAAGACACCTGTTACCACCTAAAAGTCATCCAACCCAAAAATCCAAAATCACAAAAAAGGTCCCAAAAAAATTCAATTTTTCTTAGGCACACTATTTTATTGTAATTTCTTGCACAAAATACTCCTAAAAGTGTAGAAAAAAATTGACAGCCAAATACGAGTAGAGGAAGACACCTGTTACCACCTAAAAGTCATCCAACCTAAAAATCCAAAATCATAAAAAAGTTCCCAAAAAAATTCAATTTTTCTTAGGCACACTATTTTATTGTAATTTCTTGCACAAAATACTCCTAAAAGTGTAGAAAAAAATTGACAGCCAAATACGAGTAGAGGAAGACACCTGTTACCACCTAAAAGTCATCCAACCCAAAAATCCAAAATCATAAAAAAGTTCCCAAAAAAATTCAATTTTTCTTAGGCACACTATTTTATTGTAATTTCTTGCACAAAATACTCCTAAAAGTGTAGAAAAAAATTGACAGCCAAATACGAGTAGAGGAAGACACCTGTTACCACCTAAAAGTCATCCAACCCAAAAATCCAAAATCATAAAAAAGTTCCCAAAAAAATTCAATTTTTCTTAGGCACACTATTTTATTGTAATTTCTTGCACAAAATACTCCTAAAAGTGTAGAAAACAATTGACAGCCAAATACGAGTAGAGGAAGACACCTGTTACCACCTAAAAGTCATCCAACCCAAAAATCCAAAATCATAAAAAAGTTCCCAAAAAAGTTCAATTTTTCTTAGGCACACTATTTTATTGTAATTTCTTGCACAAAATACTCCTAAAAGTGTAGAAAAAAATTGACAGCCAAATACGAGTAGAGGAAGACACCTGTTACCACCTAAAAGTCATCCAACCCAAAAATCCAAAATCATAAAAAAGTTCCCAAAAAAATTCAATTTTTCTTAGGCACACTATTTTATTGTAATTTCTTGCACAAAATACTCCTAAAAGTGTAGAAAAAAATTGACAGCCAAATACGAGTAGAGGAAGACACCTGTTACCACCTAAAAGTCATCCAACCCAAAAATCCAAAATCATAAAAAAGTTCCCAAAAAAATTCAATTTTTCTTAGGCACACTATTTTATTGTAATTTCTTGCACAAAATACTCCTAAAAGTGTAGAAAAAAATTGACAGCCAAATACGAGTAGAGGAAGACACCTGTTACCACCTAAAAGTCATCCAACCCAAAAATCCAAAATCATAAAAAAGTTCCGAAAAAAATTCAATTTTTCTTAGGCACACTATTTTATTGTAATTTCTTGCACAAAATACTCCTAAAAGTGTAGAAAAAAATTGACAGCCAAATACGAGTAGAGGAAGACACCTGTTACCACCTAAAAGTCATCCAACCCAAAAATCCAAAATCATAAAAAAGTTCCCAAAAAAATTCAATTTTTCTTAGGCACACTATTTTATTGTAATTTCTTGCATAAAATACTCCTAAAAGTGTAGAAAAAAATTGACAGCCAAATACGAGTAGAGGAAGACACCTGTTACCACCTAAAAGTCATCCAACCCAAAAATCCAAAATCACAAAAAAGGTCCCAAAAAAATTCAATTTTTCTTAGGCACACTATTTTATTGTAATTTCTTGCACAAAATACTCCTAAAAGTGTAGAAAAAAATTGACAGCCAAATACGAGTAGAGGAAGACACCTGTTACCACCTAAAAGTCATCCAACCCAAAAATCCAAAATCACAAAAAAGGTCCCAAAAAAATTCAATTTTTCTTAGGCACACTATTTTATTGTAATTTCTTGCACAAAATACTCCTAAAAGTGTAGAAAAAAATTGACAGCCAAATACGAGTAGCGGAAGACACCTGTTACCACCTAAAAGTCATCCAACCCAAAAATCCAAAATCATAAAAAAGTTCCCAAAAAAATTCAATTTTTCTTAGGCACACTATTTTATTGTAATTTCTTGCACAAAATACTCCTAAAAGTGTAGAAAAAAATTGACAGCCAAATACGAGTAGAGGAAGACACCTGTTACCACCTAAAAGTCATCCAACCCAAAAATCCAAAATCATAAAAAAGTTCCCAAAAAAATTCAATTTTTCTTAGGCACACTATTTTATTGTAATTTCTTGCACAAAATACTCCTAAAAGTGTAGAAAAAAATTGACAGCCAAATACGAGTAGAGGAAGACACCTGTTACCACCTAAAAGTCATCCAACCCAAAAATCCAAAATCATAAAAAAGTTCCCAAAAAAATTCAATTTTTCTTAGGCACACTATTTTATTGTAATTTCTTGCACAAAATACTCCTAAAAGTGTAGAAAAAAATTGACAGCCATATACGAGTAGAGGAAGACACCTGTTACCACCTAAACGTCATCCAACCCAAAAATCTAAAATCACAAAAAAGGTCCCAAAAAAATTCAATTTTTCTTAGGCACACTATTTTATTGTAATTTCTTGCACAAAATACTCCTAAAAGTGTAGAAAAAAATTGACAGCCAAATACGAGTAGAGGAAGACACCTGTTACCACCTAAAAGTCATCCAACCCAAAAATCCAAAATCATAAAAAAGTTCCCAAAAAAATTCAATTTTTCTTAGGCACACTATTTTATTGTAATTTCTTGCACAAAATACTCCTAAAAGTGTAGAAAAAAATTGACAGCCAAATACGAGTAGAGGAAGACACCTGTTACCACCTAAAAGTCATCCAACCCAAAAATCCAAAATCACAAAAAAGGTCCCAAAAAAATTCAATTTTTCTTAGGCACACTATTTTATTGTAATTTCTTGCACAAAATACTCCTAAAAGTGTAGAAAAAAATTGACAGCCAAATACGAGTAGAGGAAGACACCTGTTACCACCTAAAAGTCATCCAACCCAAAAATCCAAAATCATAAAAAAGTTCCCAAAAAAATTCAATTTTTCTTAGGCACACTATTTTATTGTAATTTCTTGCACAAAATACTCCTAAAAGTGTAGAAAAAAATTGACAGCCATATACGAGTAGAGGAAGACACCTGTTACCACCTAAACGTCATCCAACCCAAAAATCTAAAATCACAAAAAAGGTCCCAAAAAAATTCAATTTTTCTTAGGCACACTATTTTATTGTAATTTCTTGCACAAAATACTCCTAAAAGTGTAGAAAAAAATTGACAGCCAAATACGAGTAGAGGAAGACACCTGTTACCACCTAAAAGTCATCCAACCCAAAAATCCAAAATCATAAAAAAGTTCCCAAAAAAATTCAATTTTTCTTAGGCACACTATTTTATTGTAATTTCTTGCACAAAATACTCCTAAAAGTGTAGAAAAAAATTGACAGCCAAATACGAGTAGAGGAAGACACCTGTTACCACCTAAAAGTCATCCAACCCAAAAATCCAAAATCACAAAAAAGGTCCCAAAAAAATTCAATTTTTCTTAGGCACACTATTTTATTGTAATTTCTTGCACAAAATACTCCTAAAAGTGTAGAAAAAAATTGACAGCCAAATACGAGTAGAGGAAGACACCTGTTACCACCTAAAAGTCATCCAACCCAAAAATCCAAAATCATAAAAAAGTTCCCAAAAAAATTCAATTTTTCTTAGGCACACTATTTTATTGTAATTTCTTGCACAAAATACTCCTAAAAGTGTAGAAAAAAATTGACAGCCATATACGAGTAGAGGAAGACACCTGTTACCACCTAAACGTCATCCAACCCAAAAATCTAAAATCACAAAAAAGGTCCCAAAAAAATTCAATTTTTCTTAGGCACACTATTTTTTTGTAATTTCTTGCACAAAATACTCCTAAAAGTGTAGAAAAAAATTGACAGCCAAATACGAGTAGAGGAAGACACCTGTTACCACCTAAAAGTCATCCAACCCAAAAATCCAAAATCATAAAAAAGTTCCCAAAAAAATTCAATTTTTCTTAGGCACACTATTTTATTGTAATTTCTTGCACAAAATACTCCTAAAAGTGTAGAAAAAAATTGACAGCCAAATACGAGTAGAGGAAGACACCTGTTACCACCTAAAAGTCATCCAACCCAAAAATCCAAAATCATAAAAAAGTTCCGAAAAAAATTCAATTTTTCTTAGGCACACTATTTTATTGTAATTTCTTGCACAAAATACTCCTAAAAGTGTAGAAAAAAATTGACAGCCAAATACGAGTAGAGGAAGACACCTGTTACCACCTAAAAGTCATCCAACCCAAAAATCCAAAATCATAAAAAAGTTCCCAAAAAAATTCAATTTTTCTTAGGCACACTATTTTATTGTAATTTCTTGCATAAAATACTCCTAAAAGTGTAGAAAAAAATTGACAGCCAAATACGAGTAGAGGAAGACACCTGTTACCACCTAAAAGTCATCCAACCCAAAAATCCAAAATCACAAAAAAGGTCCCAAAAAAATTCAATTTTTCTTAGGCACACTATTTTATTGTAATTTCTTGCACAAAATACTCCTAAAAGTGTAGAAAAAAATTGACAGCCAAATACGAGTAGAGGAAGACACCTGTTACCACCTAAAAGTCATCCAACCTAAAAATCCAAAATCATAAAAAAGTTCCCAAAAAAATTCAATTTTTCTTAGGCACACTATTTTATTGTAATTTCTTGCACAAAATACTCCTAAAAGTGTAGAAAAAAATTGACAGCCATATACGAGTAGAGGAAGACACCTGTTACCACCTAAACGTCATCCAACCCAAAAATCTAAAATCACAAAAATGGTCCCAAAAAAATTCAATTTTTCTTAGGCACACTATTTTATTGTAATTTCTTGCACAAAATACTCCTAAAAGTGTAGAAAAAAATTGACAGCCAAATACGAGTAGAGGAAGACACCTGTTACCACCTAAAAGTCATCCAACCCAAAAATCCAAAATCATAAAAAAGTTCCCAAAAAAATTCAATTTTTCTTAGGCACACTATTTTATTGTAATTTCTTGCACAAAATACTCCTAAAAGTGTAGAAAAAAATTGACAGCCATATACGAGTAGAGGAAGACACCTGTTACCACCTAAACGTCATCCAACCCAAAAATCTAAAATCACAAAAAAGGTCCCAAAAAAATTCAATTTTTCTTAGGCACACTATTTTATTGTAATTTCTTGCACAAAATACTCCTAAAAGTGTAGAAAAAAATTGACAGCCAAATACGAGTAGAGGAAGACACCTGTTACCACCTAAAAGTCATCCAACCCAAAAATCCAAAATCATAAAAAAGTTCCCAAAAAAATTCAATTTTTCTTAGGCACACTATTTTATTGTAATTTCTTGCACAAAATACTCCTAAAAGTGTAGAAAAAAATTGACAGCCAAATACGAGTAGAGGAAGACACCTGTTACCACCTAAAAGTCATCCAACCCAAAAATCCAAAATCACAAAAAAGGTCCCAAAAAAATTCAATTTTTCTTAGGCACACTATTTTATTGTAATTTCTTGCACAAAATACTCCTAAAAGTGTAGAAAAAAATTGACAGCCAAATACGAGTAGAGGAAGACACCTGTTACCACCTAAAAGTCATCCAACCCAAAAATCCAAAATCATAAAAAAGTTCCCAAAAAAATTCAATTTTTCTTAGGCACACTATTTTATTGTAATTTCTTGCACAAAATACTCCTAAAAGTGTAGAAAAAAATTGACAGACAAATACGAGTAGAGGAAGACACCTGTTACCACCTAAAAGTCATCCAACCCAAAAATCCAAAATCACAAAAAAGGTCCCAAAAAAATTCAATTTTTCTTAGGCACACTATTTTATTGTAATTTCTTGCACAAAATAGTCCTAAAAGTGTAGAAAAAAATTGACAGCCAAATACGAGTAGAGGAAGACACCTGTTACCACCTAAAAGTCATCCAACCTAAAAATCCAAAATCATAAAAAAGTTCCCAAAAAAATTCAATTTTTCTTAGGCACACTATTTTATTGTAATTTCTTGCACAAAATACTCCTAAAAGTGTAGAAAAAAATTGACAGCCAAATACGAGTAGAGGAAGACACCTGTTACCACCTAAAAGTCATCCAACCCAAAAATCCAAAATCATAAAAAAGTTCCCAAAAAAATTCAATTTTTCTTAGGCACACTATTTTATTGTAATTTCTTGCACAAAATACTCCTAAAAGTGTAGAAAAAAATTGACAGCCATATACGAGTAGAGGAAGACACCTGTTACCACCTAAACGTCATCCAACCCAAAAATCTAAAATCACAAAAAAGGTCCCAAAAAAATTCAATTTTTCTTAGGCACACTATTTTTTTGTAATTTCTTGCACAAAATACTCCTAAAAGTGTAGAAAAAAATTGACAGCCAAATACGAGTAGAGGAAGACACCTGTTACCACCTAAAAGTCATCCAACCCAAAAATCCAAAATCACAAAAAAGGTCCCAAAAAAATTCAATTTTTCTTAGGCACACTATTTTATTGTAATTTCTTGCACAAAATACTCCTAAAAGTGTAGAAAAAAATTGACAGCCAAATACGAGTAGAGGAAGACACCTGTTACCACCTAAAAGTCATCCAACCCAAAAATCCAAAATCATAAAAAAGTTCCCAAAAAAATTCAATTTTTCTTAGGCACACTATTTTATTGTAATTTCTTGCACAAAATACTCCTAAAAGTGTAGAAAAAAATTGACAGCCAAATACGAGTAGAGGAAGACACCTGTTACCACCTAAAAGTCATCCAACCCAAAAATCCAAAATCACAAAAAAGGTCCCAAAAAAATTCAATTTTTCTTAGGCACACTATTTTATTGTAATTTCTTGCACAAAATAGTCCTAAAAGTGTAGAAAAAAATTGACAGCCAAATACGAGTAGAGGAAGACACCTGTTACCACCTAAAAGTCATCCAACCTAAAAATCCAAAATCATAAAAAAGTTCCCAAAAAAATTCAATTTTTCTTAGGCACACTATTTTATTGTAATTTCTTGCACAAAATACTCCTAAAAGTGTAGAAAAAAATTGACAGCCAAATACGAGTAGAGGAAGACACCTGTTACCACCTAAAAGTCATCCAACCCAAAAATCCAAAATCATAAAAAAGTTCCCAAAAAAATTCAATTTTTCTTAGGCACACTATTTTATTGTAATTTCTTGCACAAAATACTCCTAAAAGTGTAGAAAAAAATTGACAGCCATATACGAGTAGAGGAAGACACCTGTTACCACCTAAACGTCATCCAACCCAAAAATCCAAAATCATAAAAAAGTTCCCAAAAAAATTCAATTTTTCTTAGGCACACTATTTTATTGTAATTTCTTGCACAAAATACTCCTAAAAGTGTAGAAAAAAATTGACAGCCAAATACGAGTAGAGGAAGACACCTGTTACCACCTAAAAGTCATCCAACCCAAAAATCCAAAATCACAAAAAAGGTCCCAAAAAAATTCAATTTTTCTTAGGCACACTATTTTATTGTAATTTCTTGCACAAAATAGTCCTAAAAGTGTAGAAAAAAATTGACAGCCAAATACGAGTAGAGGAAGACACCTGTTACCACCTAAAAGTCATCCAACCTAAAAATCCAAAATCATAAAAAAGTTCCCAAAAAAATTCAATTTTTCTTAGGCACACTATTTTATTGTAATTTCTTGCACAAAATACTCCTAAAAGTGTAGAAAAAAATTGACAGCCAAATACGAGTAGAGGAAGACACCTGTTACCACCTAAAAGTCATCCAACCCAAAAATCCAAAATCACAAAAAAGGTCCCAAAAAAATTCAATTTTTCTTAGGCACACTATTTTATTGTAATTTCTTGCACAAAATAGTCCTAAAAGTGTAGAAAAAAATTGACAGCCAAATACGAGTAGAGGAAGACACCTGTTACCACCTAAAAGTCATCCAACCTAAAAATCCAAAATCATAAAAAAGTTCCCAAAAAAATTCAATTTTTCTTAGGCACACTATTTTATTGTAATTTCTTGCACAAAATACTCCTAAAAGTGTAGAAAAAAATTGACAGCCAAATACGAGTAGAGGAAGACACCTGTTACCACCTAAAAGTCATCCAACCCAAAAATCCAAAATCATAAAAAAGTTCCCAAAAAAATTCAATTTTTCTTAGGCACACTATTTTATTGTAATTTCTTGCACAAAATACTCCTAAAAGTGTAGAAAAAAATTGACAGCCATATACGAGTAGAGGAAGACACCTGTTACCACCTAAACGTCATCCAACCCAAAAATCTAAAATCACAAAAAAGGTCCCAAAAAAATTCAATTTTTCTTAGGCACACTATTTTATTGTAATTTCTTGCACAAAATACTCCTAAAAGTGTAGAAAAAAATTGACAGCCAAATACGAGTAGAGGAAGACACCTGTTACCACCTAAAAGTCATCCAACCCATAAATCCAAAATCATAAAAAAGTTCCCAAAAAAATTCAATTTTTCTTAGGCACACTATTTTATTGTAATTTCTTGCACAAAATACTCCTAAAAGTGTAGAAAAAAATTGACAGCCAAATACGAGTAGAGGAAGACACCTGTTACCACCTAAAAGTCATCCAACCCAAAAATCCAAAATCACAAAAAAGGTCCCAAAAAAATTCAATTTTTCTTAGGCACACTATTTTATTGTAATTTCTTGCACAAAATACTCCTAAAAGTGTAGAAAAAAATTGACAGCCAAATACGAGTAGAGGAAGACACCTGTTACCACCTAAAAGTCATCCAACCCAAAAATCCAAAATCATAAAAAAGTTCCCAAAAAAATTCAATTTTTCTTAGGCACACTATTTTATTGTAATTTCTTGCACAAAATACTCCTAAAAGTGTAGAAAAAAATTGACAGCCAAATACGAGTAGAGGAAGACACCTGTTACCACCTAAAAGTCATCCAACCCAAAAATCCAAAATCACAAAAAAGGTCCCAAAAAAATTCAATTTTTCTTAGGCACACTATTTTATTGTAATTTCTTGCACAAAATAGTCCTAAAAGTGTAGAAAAAAATTGACAGCCAAATACGAGTAGAGGAAGACACCTGTTACCACCTAAAAGTCATCCAACCTAAAAATCCAAAATCATAAAAAAGTTCCCAAAAAAATTCAATTTTTCTTAGGCACACTATTTTATTGTAATTTCTTGCACAAAATACTCCTAAAAGTGTAGAAAAAAATTGACAGCCAAATACGAGTAGAGGAAGACACCTGTTACCACCTAAAAGTCATCCAACCCAAAAATCCAAAATCATAAAAAAGTTCCCAAAAAAATTCAATTTTTCTTAGGCACACTATTTTATTGTAATTTCTTGCACAAAATACTCCTAAAAGTGTAGAAAAAAATTGACAGCCATATACGAGTAGAGGAAGACACCTGTTACCACCTAAACGTCATCCAACCCAAAAATCTAAAATCACAAAAAAGGTCCCAAAAAAATTCAATTTTTCTTAGGCACACTATTTTTTTGTAATTTCTTGCACAAAATACTCCTAAAAGTGTAGAAAAAAATTGACAGCCAAATACGAGTAGAGGAAGACACCTGTTACCACCTAAAAGTCATCCAACCCAAAAATCCAAAATCACAAAAAAGGTCCCAAAAAAATTCAATTTTTCTTAGGCACACTATTTTATTGTAATTTCTTGCACAAAATACTCCTAAAAGTGTAGAAAAAAATTGACAGCCAAATACGAGTAGAGGAAGACACCTGTTACCACCTAAAAGTCATCCAACCCAAAAATCCAAAATCATAAAAAAGTTCCCAAAAAAATTCAATTTTTCTTAGGCACACTATTTTATTGTAATTTCTTGCACAAAATACTCCTAAAAGTGTAGAAAAAAATTGACAGCCAAATACGAGTAGAGGAAGACACCTGTTACCACCTAAAAGTCATCCAACCCAAAAATCCAAAATCACAAAAAAGGTCCCAAAAAAATTCAATTTTTCTTAGGCACACTATTTTATTGTAATTTCTTGCACAAAATAGTCCTAAAAGTGTAGAAAAAAATTGACAGCCAAATACGAGTAGAGGAAGACACCTGTTACCACCTAAAAGTCATCCAACCTAAAAATCCAAAATCATAAAAAAGTTCCCAAAAAAATTCAATTTTTCTTAGGCACACTATTTTATTGTAATTTCTTGCACAAAATACTCCTAAAAGTGTAGAAAAAAATTGACAGCCAAATACGAGTAGAGGAAGACACCTGTTACCACCTAAAAGTCATCCAACCCAAAAATCCAAAATCATAAAAAAGTTCCCAAAAAAATTCAATTTTTCTTAGGCACACTATTTTATTGTAATTTCTTGCACAAAATACTCCTAAAAGTGTAGAAAAAAATTGACAGCCATATACGAGTAGAGGAAGACACCTGTTACCACCTAAACGTCATCCAACCCAAAAATCTAAAATCACAAAAAAGGTCCCAAAAAAATTCAATTTTTCTTAGGCACACTATTTTATTGTAATTTCTTGCACAAAATACTCCTAAAAGTGTAGAAAAAAATTGACAGCCAAATACGAGTAGAGGAAGACACCTGTTACCACCTAAAAGTCATCCAACCCAAAAATCCAAAATCATAAAAAAGTTCCCAAAAAAATTCAATTTTTCTTAGGCACACTATTTTATTGTAATTTCTTGCACAAAATACTCCTAAAAGTGTAGAAAAAAATTGACAGCCAAATACGAGTAGAGGAAGACACCTGTTACCACCTAAAAGTCATCCAACCCAAAAATCCAAAATCATAAAAAAGTTCCGAAAAAAATTCAATTTTTCTTAGGCGATATGTACGATATATGTACAGGTATGTACTGAATCTTCACTATATCTCTCTTATTTTGTTGATAACTGTTAATGCCTAGCAGGACGTTAGAAAATATTGTTTTCTTTTTCTCCGTTTATTGGGGATAATTTTATATATAACCCTTGATCTGAAGGGAAATAATAATGTTATTATATATAATAAAATATAATATATAAATACATGGTGTTCCAAAAGTATGGAAACTTGCAAATATTTCGAAAAGTACGGATTTTCGTAAAAAATATTCAAAACAAAGTTGTTCCCAAAAAAATGTACATTTTTGAACCCAAAAAATTGGTCCCGGGACCCAACAGTGAAAAAAGAAGTATCACGAAAATGCGTAGTTTTCGAGATATTTGCAAATTTCAATGCTTTTGGAACACTCTGTATAACTAAAAATTTTATTACATTTTAGTTTTAACAATTAATTTTTTTAATCTTGGCAGAGTCTGATTTTTTGTATTTTTAAATATTGGTTGAATGTTGGGCCAATATTGAAATTGGAGCCTTGGCATTGGTCTCTACACTCCCAGACTTGGACCAATATTATTAAAAATAACTTGTCCAATATTTAGCCAATATTCAGTCTTTGCAATTTCCCACTGGGGACATGAGTGAAACCGTAAGCTTTCCGTTTCGGTTCATTGCGTGAACGGAACCCTAAAAAAATAGTGGAATTAACAAAAAGAAAATTGTAAAATAAAATAAAATAAAAAATAGAAAAAATCGAATAGTTAATTATTAGTAATGAAATTTGTATAAAAATTATTATCCAGGATCCCGAAGTGGCAGAGGCATTTAAGGATATATCCTCGAATCCATTAAATATGATAAAATATCAAAATAATCCGAAGATTATGTCATTAATAACAAAGGTCGCATCAAAATTCGGAGGCGCAGGTGGAATGGGAGGATTTCCTGGTATGATGGGTGGAATGCCAGGATTTCCTGGAACTGGTGCGACACCACCACCAAAGCCATCTGCTCCCAATGATGACGTTGGTCTTGATTAAATTTAAAAAAAAGTAAGTTTTATTTACTTTTTCACTTTTATTTATACACATATTTTCCTTAGAATTATTTTTATTAGTTCGTTTGGAATTTTAATTTTACAATAAAAAAATATATATATATTTTACATCAATTTCGAGTTTTAAAATTAAAAAAACAAAAAAAATATTTTTAATATCGAATATTATTGAAATATCGAATTTTATCGATATATCGAACTCTATCGCTATATCGAATTTTACCGATATATCGAATAAATCTTGATATATTGAATACTATCGAAATATCGTTATTCTATCGGTATATCGAGTAAATCTTGATATATCAAATATTATCGAAATATCGAATGAATCTTGATAATATTGAAAACTATCGATATATTGAAAAAACTTGAGATATTGATATTAAAAATTTTTTCAATAACGAAAAATAAAATTTGGATTATAATTTTTATTTTGAAATAAAATATGTTAATATTTCTTTTTCAAAAAAATAATAATAAAAAAAAATTTCAAAACTAAAGAAATTTTTTTTTTTTCTTTCTTCTCAGAAAACAATCAAGACTCCAGATTTGCAAGTTTTCAATGGACCCTACTTTCTGGCAGAGAGGAAAATTTTTACGTCATTATAATGTTACATTTTATTTTTTAATTTTTTTTACTCTATAGAAAGTTTAATAATTATTCTCATCATCAATTCAATTAATTTAGTTGACAAATATTTTACATGTACTAAATATAATTTAGATTTTTATAATCAAAAAAAAATTTTTTTGTTTTAGGAAAAAAAATAGATTTTCTTTTTTTATACATAGAATTTTGAACACCAAGAGTTGTAAATTGTTGATAATAATCATGTAAAATGAATATTTTACAAAAAAGTGATGAATTTACAATTGAAAAAAACTGCCAAAATTATATGAATAATAAATGTGAGTTGCATTTAATTTTTTTTATACATGTAATAATAATAATAATAATTATTCTTATAAGGAGTGGAAAACGAAGGCAGTTTTTTTTACTTTTTCTAAAAAATAAAACGATTTACAAATCATATTCTAGTTATTGTCTGCATTTATATATATGTGTGTGTAAATACATATATAAATGTAGGAGAATTCAATAAAATCTTAAATTTATTTTTAGTCTATTTATTGTATACTATTACTTAGTTTTTTTTTCTTCATTTTATCGAGTCTTATTCCAATTATTTATATTATTATTATTATTAATAATATCGGTTTTACCTTACCAACAGATGGTAAGATAGTTCTTGAAAAATACAAGAATTACCGACACGGAAATCTACATTACCACCTGATGGTGAGGAAAAGTTTTAAAAAATGAAAATATAAAAAATTACCGACGCAGAAATCTACCATACCGACTGATGGTAAACAGTTTTTTTTTGAAAAATAAAAATATTAAAAATTACCGACACAGAAATTTACCTTACCGACTAAAGGTAAAACAGGTTTTTCGAATAATGAAAATATAAAAATTACCGACCTAGAAATCTACCTTACCGACTGATGGTAAAACAGGTTTTGATATTTTCTCAAATTTTTCAAATATGCTTCACCATCAGTCGACAAGATAGATTTCTAGGTCGGTAATTTTTTATATTTTCATTTTTCAAAAAAAAAACTGTTTACCATCAGTCGGTAAGGTAGATTTCTAGGTCGGTAATTGTTATATTTTCATTTTTTTAAAAAAATGGTTTACTATCAGTCGGTAAGGAAGATTTCTAGGTCGGTAATTTTTATATTTTCATTTTTCAAAAAACTGTTTACCATCAGTCGGTAAGGTAGATTGTGGTCGGTAATTTTTTATATTTTCATTTTTAAAAAACTGTTTTACTATCAGTCGGTAAGGTAGATTACTGTGTCGGTAATTTTTATATTACTATTTTTCAAAAAAAAAAATTTTGTACCATCAGTCGGTAAGGTAGATTTTTAGGTCGGTAATTTTCTATATTTTTTACCATTTTGTTAATTTTTTAACCATCTACATATATTTTAAAAAATATTGTTTTTTTAAAAAAAAGTATTATTTTTATTATTTTTATTAACTATAGAAAAATATTATTAAAATGTAAGATAAAATATATTTTACGAAACTTTATGTTTGTTACTGAAAAATTGCTTTTTAAATCGAAGAAATGTGCGAAGAATAATTTTGATAATTAACAAAAGTAAATAAATTGTTAGAAAAATGATAATTAATAAAAATAAATATACATCTATCAATGATACTTGCCACCAATGCAAATGAATTGCAGGTGATTTTAGTGAATCGCCACCATTTCTCAAAATGTATTCAATCCAAAATATTGCCATTTCCATTGGCGGGAATGGTCGATCTTTAAAAATTCTCGACTCATTCTTTGCAGCTTCTCTAAAAAAAGAAAAGAAAAAAATTTTTTTTTTTACATTTTCATTCTAATTAAAAAATATTCAATTTTTTTTTTAATTTTCTTTAACTAAACTCGTTATAATAACAAAAATAATGATAATTTAAAATAGTTTTTCTTTTCATATTTTCATTTAAAATAAAAAGAAAATTTTGTTTTATTTTTAATTGTAAATAAAATTGAATTTTTCTTTTTTTTTTAAATTTTCAATTATTTTACCGATAGGAAGAATTGTTTAAAATTCTCTCTAAAGCATTGTCTAAACTTTTTTCTCCAATATCTCCATAGTTGATGCGAATTCCCATTTTTTTCTTGACGAAAATTTGCACATTTCGAAATTGATCCGTGTGAAGAGGAATGCCAATGATTGGAACTCCGAAATAAAGGGATTCCTGAAGTCCTAAGAGTCCACAGTGAGTTATAAAAACTCGGGTGTTATTGTGTTCTGCACAAAAAAAAGAGAAAAAAAAAGAAATAAGAAATAAGTTCGTAATTCAAATAAAAAAAAAAATTGAATAAATAAATTCAATTTAATTAGAAATTAAAAAAAACAAATTAAAACTTTTTTTTACAACTAGAAAGAAATAAAAACTACTTTTTTTCACTAAAAACAAATCAAAACTATTTTTATTTAAAACTAAAAATAGTTTTTATTTATTTTTAGTGGAAAAAAATATTTTTTTATTTATTTTTAGTGATAAAAATAGTTTTTTCTACTAAAAACAATTTTTAAATTTTGTTTTTTAGTAGAAACAAAAAAAATTTTTTTTTTGTTTTTAGTGAAAAAATAGTTTTTCTTTTTTTTGTTTTAAAAGGAAAAAAAATTTAATTTTCTAAAAACCTAGAACTCGAATTTGTGGCGTCCAGGATAAAATTTTCACATTATCAGGAAGACCCGGTGGAAGAAGATTTTTATCTTTGATTTTTATTAGAACTCTCACTGGTGCAATTTTGGCAAATGATGAATAAAATGCAAATATTGTCTTCTTTGGTAATGTTTCAACACGAATTGCAGTTCCAAATGAAAAATAAACAACTCCATTTTTACTTTGGTCCATCCATGCTTTTAATTTCTAAAAAAATAAAAATTGTTCTCTTTAAAATTAAAAAAGAAATTTTGAGAAAAAAATATTTCTTTTGCTTCTAATTTATTTTTAAATTTTGTTTAATAAATTATTATTTTTTATGTATATATATTTATATATTCATTATAAATAAATATTAATAATAATTTAATAATTTATTTATTTATTTTTCTAATTTTCTAATTTTTTAACGAAATGAAATCGCCAACATACGGGAGTAAATTTCTCTTCATTTTGACTAATGTGAATTCCTCCAACTTCAATGAGATCGGGTGTCATCGGTCGAATTCCATATAAAGAATGAAAATTATTTGTTATAAGAAGAGCAATTTTTTTTTCCACATTTCTAATTGATGGCATATCAGATTTAAGATATTTTCTCATTGCTTTAGTTTGTGATTTTTCAGTCATCCAATAAAATGCCAATAGCGATGTGAATTTGAATAAAGTATTTTTTAAACGATCAACAAATGTTTCAATATCACCGATATCCATCATTGTACTTGGATAGAATGCCGTTGAAAATGGAAGGCCCATTGAATTCATTGCCCAAATTGGTTCGGGAATTGAAGTCACTGCCACAATTGGAACTTGTAGAAAATTACCAATTCCAAAGAAGCAAGTCGCTCCAAAAAACTGAAAAGTAAATTTTATATTATTTTCTTACGCAGACAATTTTTGATATGATAGAATTTTTAGTTTAGAAAAATTTTTAATTTGGCGAATTTTTAGTTATTGCTTAAAACAAAAAATTTTTAGGTACCAAAATTTTTACTTAACACAATAATTTTTATTTTACAAAATTTTTTATAATTATAGAATTTTTATTTTTTTGTTAAATAAAAATTCTGTAAAATATATAAAAATTCTGCCACATCAAAAATCTGCCAAATAAAAATTATGTTAAATTAAAAATTCTGCCAAATAAAAATTCGGTCAAATAACAAATCTGCCAAATAAAAATTCGGTCAAATAAAAATTATGCCAAATAAAAATTCGGTCAAATAAAAAATCTGCCAAATAAAAATTCTGCCTAAATAAAAATTCGGTCAAATAAAAATTCTGCCAAATAACAAATCTGCCAAATAAAAATTCGGTCAAATAAAAATTATGCCAAATAAAAATTCGGTCAAATAAAAAATCTGCCAAATAAAAATTCTGCCTAAATAAAAATTCGGTCAAATAAAAATTCTGCCAAATAAAAATTCGGTCAAATAAAAATTATGCCAAATAAAAATTCGGTCAAATAAAAAATCTGCCAAATAAAAATTCTGCCTAAATAAAAATTCGGTCAAATAAAAATTCTGCCAAATAAAAATTCGGTCAAATAAAAAATCTGCCAAATAAAAATTGTGCCAAATAAAAATTCGGTCAAATAAAAAATCTGCCAAATAAAAATTATGTTAAATTAAAACTTCTGCCAAATAAAAATTCGGTCAAATAAAAATTATGTTAAATTAAAAATTCTGCCAAATAAAAATTCGGTCAAATAAAAAATCTGCCAAATAAAAATTGTGCCAAATAAAAATTCGGTCAAATAAAAAATCTGTCAAATAAAAATTATGTTAATTTAAAAATTCTGCCAAATAGAAATTATGTTAAATTAAAATTTCTGCCAAATAAAAATTCGGTCAAATAAAAAATCTGCCAAATAAAAATTCGGTCAAATAAAAAATCTGCCAAATAAAAATTATGTTAAATTAAAACTTCTGCCAAATAAAAATTCGGTCAAATAAAAAATCTGCCAAATAAAAATTATGTTAAATTAAAAATTCTGCCAAATAAAAATTCGGTCAAATAAAAAATCTGCCAAATAAAAATTTGGTAATTAAAAAAAAAATTTTTATTCTATCAAATAATTAAATAATTAAAAAATAAATAAATAAACAAAACAAAAAAACTCACCTCACTGATAACAAGATCGTAGGAACGTTCTTTAAATGAATTTTTTAAAATATTTTGCATTTTTTCTGTACCCATTAATTCACAAAGATCATTTCCATATTTAGTGGCAATATATTTAAGACTATTTTTATTAAAATTAAATGCCATTTCAATTTCATTATCAGTCACATGTTGATTTTGTAATTTACTTAAATCGACAATTCGCGTGTAATTTTTTGTTCCATTTTGTGGTTCATAATGTGAAATCACATCAACTTTATGTCCAGCATTTGATAAACCTTTCATTAGTGCTTCGAAAAAAATATTATGACTTTTTGCAGCAAATGGAAAAATGCCGAGAATTCGATATCCTTCAATTTGGAAAAAATAAAAAATAATAAATATCATGAAATAGCGAATAATTTCCATTTTTTTTTAAATTATTAATTAACGACAAATAGTTTCACTATTCATAATTTTTTTTTCCTTTTTGTTAAAAAGTTTAGAAATTTTTTTTTTTCGTTAATTTATTTGCTTCATTATTTTATTATTATTTATTTAAATTATTTTATTAAATAAAAAGAAGAGCAAAAAAAAAAATTGAAAATTTCAAATGAATTACAATCAGACAATTAATAGAAACTGTTCTGCAAATTTTTTTTTTTTTTATCTAATTTTAGTGTTTACGTTTATCATATTATAAATCATATCATCATTATATCTAAAATTGATAAGCATTTATGGTAAAAAAAAAGAATTCTAATCAAGTAATGTACGAAAACATTATTTGCTAATTAATTTTTGGAAAAGAATTTATTACATCCTCAATTTTATAAATTGATATTTGCAATTTTTTTTTACAGAAAAAAGATTTTAATTTTCTAAATTATAATTGTTTTTTATTCTCATTAAATGTTACATTTAATAATAATAATTTAAAAAAATAAACAATTATCAAAATTTAATTAGTTTTTTTCTTCTTGATAATGTTTTTATTTTTGAAATTAAAAATTATTCGCAAAATTTTAACGATAATATAGAGAATCAATAGAAATAAAAGTAACAAAAATCCATAAATATCTAAAAGTTCATTTTGAGTCCAGTGCAAATTTATTGCGGGAGATTTTAAAATTCCTCCATTTCTCAGAACATATTCAATCCAATAAGTTGTTGATTCCTCGGCACTTATTGGCCGATCTTTGAAATAAATCGAAGCCTTTTTTGCAGCTTCTCTAAACAAAAAACAAAAAAAAAAAATTCAAAAAATTTTATTTTCAGTAAAAATATAAATTTTTTAAATTATTACTACAATTTTTTTTTAATCCTTTCGAAAAACTGACATCAAATTCGTAATCAGCGACCTAGAAAACCCCCTGAGTAACAAGTTTCACGTAAATCCGAACGATTTTTAATTTCCGCCCGCCATATTGGATCCGCCATTTTGAATTTTGAAAATCTGATATTGGATTCGTAATCAGCGACCCCAAAAACCCCCGAGTGACAAGTTTCAAGAAAATCCGAACAAATTTTAAATTTTTGACCGCCATTTTGGTTCCGACATTTTGAATTTTGAAAAACTGACCTCAGATTCGTAATCAGCGACCCCAAAAACCCCCGAGTAACAAGTTTCACGTAAATCCGAACGATTTTTAATTTCCGCCCGCCATATTGGATCCGCCATTTTGAATTTTGAAAAACTGAACTCAAATCACATTTACCTGTATGTAGAATTATTTAAAATTCGCATCAAAGCATCAAATAAAATTTCCTCTGTAATATTATTGATATTTAATTTTATGCCCATATTTCTTTTAACTAATTTGTCCATATTAAAAAATTGATCAGCAGCCACTGGAATTCCAATAACAGGAATTCCAAAATAAAAAGCTTCCATTGAACTCAAAAGTCCACAATGTGAAATGAAAGCTTTTGTATTTTTATGTCCTATTTTCAATAATGATAAATTACATTATATATATTGTTATTTATTTCTTTTTTGTTTTAAATAATTAAACAAAATTAAAATTAATTTAATTAGTAAAAAAATTAATTATAAATACTTAATACTGGAATTTGTGGTATCCAGGGGAGAATCATAAGATTTGTTGGACTTCCAGGAAATAATTGTTTTGCATTTTTAGCTCGTATTAAAAATCTAATAGGCTTTAATTTTTGAATTAATGAATAAAATGCAAGAATTATCTCTTTCTGCAATGAATCAACGAGAATTATTGTTCCCATTGAAAAGTAGACAACTCCATTTACACTTTCGTCCATCCATTTTTGTAATTTCTTAAAAAAAAAAAAATGATAACAAAATAAATTCGTTAATTATTTCCTGTATTTCATTTTGTGAAGCTTTAAAAAAAACGAATTCTGCGTTTCTAATTGGATTGTAATATTTCCGGACATATTACCGTCCAATAGAAAGCGTGGAACTGTTTTTGTAAACGCCACTACCCTACCCTGAATTAATTTAGTTGGTTTCCATTGTCCCCACTCGCCAATTGTCATAAATCTCTTCAACTACCGCACCCTGCTCTAGTGAAATTTAATAACAATAATAACAATTTAATAATAATATCTTAATAATAATAATAATAATAATAATAATAATAATAATAACAATAATAATTTAATAATTTTAACAATATAGTTACTAAATTTTTACTAGAGCAGGGTGCGGTAGTTGACGAGAATTATGACAAATGGAGAGTGGGGACAATGAAAACCAACCATTCTAACCTCCCTCGCAATAATTTTCCTACCGCACCCTGCTCCAGTGAAAATTTAGTAACATTCTAGTTGAAATTAAAAATTACTATAAAGTCACTAAATCACTAGAGCAGGGGGCCATTTGCCATAATTCTCGTCAAATACCATTTCCACCATTTTGAGATGTTTCCCTGTTCCCTCATGTATTTTCCCCAGTTATTCATTATCTAGTATGAAACATTTGCTTTCAGCCACTGAATCCAATACGACACTAATCTCGCTCATTAAATTTCTTCTCCTTAATTTTATTTTTTGGGCAATATTCTCGTCTGCTATCGCACCCTTCTCTAGTAAAAATTTTTAGTGACTATATAGTTAAAATAAAAATTTACTATAAAGTCACTAAATCACTAGAGCAGGGTGCGGTAGCTCACTGAGAATTATGACACAGGAGTGTAGGAACCAATTCCCACGCCACTGGTTCAATTGCATTTTTAGGTTATGTTTCTAAATCATCAAAATATTCGATTTAATTTTTATAAAATGAAAATCATTTCAATTTCAAAAATTAATTAAAAAATTGTCTCACCGGCGTAAATTTGGTGTCATCTTGTAAAATATGTAATCCACCGACTTCAATTAATGCCGGTGTCATAGGTTTAATTCCATTGAAACTAAAGTGAGTGTTAATTAATGTTAAAATTGAATTTTTTGTTAATTCTTCAACATTTGGTAGATCGGCACTTATATATTTTCTTATTAATTCAGTTTGTATTTTATCCGTGTAGTAGTGGAATTTATAAATCAATACATGTTTCTCTATTATATTTTGCAAACGATCCCAAAAGGAATTTATTTCCACTAATGATGATATAATATTTGGATGTGTTGCCGCTGTTGATGGATTTCCAATTGTATTTTCCACCCAGGGATATAAAGTTTGTGCCGATAGTGTTATCACTGGAATATTCAAAAAATGTCCTATTGCCATAAAACAATTCATTCCAAAAGCCTGAAAAAAAAATTTTTTTTCGTTAATGATCAGTTATTGTAGAATATAAATTGGGGAAACAAATATTTTTTGGAATATTGAAAAAAGTAAAAGTAGCAGGTAAGAGAGGTTAGAAGTATTGTGTACTAAGTAGAAGGGAGGGGGTAGCAGGGCTGTGTAGCTGTAAATTGAAACTTCTTTTTCGTTTCCACTTTCTGCCTTTTTGGTTACCCAACCCTGCTTTATGAATTATTTCTAACCTTACTTTTTGTAAGTAAAAATAGTTAATTAAAATTATTATTAAAAATAAAATTAATTAATTCTACAATAAAATTGTACCTCAGTAATTAATACATCGTAATTTGAGTCAATTTTAAGTTTTTTGATTATTTCCTGTATTTCTCCATTGGCGAGTATTGAACAAAGAAAATTTCCAAATTCATTGGATATCATTTTTATAGGATCACGTTTATAAATATTTAATACTTTATCAATTGTAATATCATATGTAATATTTGGTGTAATTTTTATTGTATTATAGAGAACTTTATAATTTTTTGGTGAATTTTCTAATTCACGAGCAACAATAACGTCAACATGATGACCTTGTTTTAATAATGCTTTAATCACTGAATGACAAAAAATATCATGACTTTTTATTGTTAATGGAAATATTCCCAAAATTTTATATCCCACTGCACTATTAATTAAAATATCAAAAAAAATCACAATTGTCAACAATTTTGATAAAAATTTCATTTTGCAAGTGTAAAACAATTTTTAACATTTAACTTGTAGACGTATTATTTTGTTTCACCTATTGTTAAACTTTTAAGTGTAAAATAATTTATATATATAAATATATACAAATTTGTACGCCTCTTTCTTATCTGTAACCTGCTTATTCATATCAATGAGTCTCTTTTTTTATGACCATGAATAGTTTTAGTTTTTTTTTTTAACCTTCTTTGTATGGTAGATGTTTTATAAAATAATTTTTAATTTCCTTTAATTAAAAAATAACATATTTTTTATTTACTGTAATAATTATGTTTTTATCATTAACATATTATATTTATTTAATTATATTTTATTCAGAATTAATAAAAAAAAATTTTCAATCTAAAAGAAATAAATTTGAAAAATATTGTTTGTTCCAAATAAACATTTGTTTGATTTAAAGAAACATTTGTTTAATTCAAATAAATGTTCGGTTTATTTAAATTTTTCAAACGAGGAACAGATTTTTTTATAAAACCAAATGAATTTTCTTGTTGATTTAACCAAAAAATTTTTGAATTAAATTTTTAATTAACTTTTTTCTTCTTAATTATTTTAGATTTGCTCTTGCTTTTATTATAGGCAATGATAATTACTCGAATAATATTTCTAATAATATAAAAATTAATGTAAAAAATTAAAATAAATGAAATTAGCAAAAATCCATAAACATCTAAAAGTTCTTTTTGTGCCCAGTGTAAATTTACAGCAGGAGATTTTAAAATTCCTCCATTTCTCAAAACATATTCAATCCAATAAATTGTCGCCTTCTCCACATTTATTGGACGATCTTTGAAGAGAATCGATGCATTTTTTGCAGCTTCTCTATAAAATTAAAAAAAAAAAAATTTTTTAAATTTTTAACAAATAAAAAAAAGGTTTATCTTTAAAAATTAGACACCCCTTTTAATGATATTTAAATACCTGTACGTAGAATTATTTAAAATAACCATTAAAGTATCGAAAAGAATAGTTTCGGTAATATTTCTGAAATTTAATTTTATTCCCATATTTTTTTTGTTCAATTGATTATTATTAATGAATTGATCAGCAGCAACTGGCATTCCTATAATTGGAATACCAAAATAAATGGCCTCCAATGAACTTAAAAGTCCACAATGTGTTATAAAAGCTTTGGTATTTTTGTGATCTGTGAAATAAAATTGAAATTTATTTTATTTTTTTGAAATAAATTTCGTTGAAGAAAATAAAAATATTAAGAAAAGTTTAATTTATTACTTAAAACTGGAATTTGTGGTATCCATGGAAGAATTTTGATATTTTCTAATAAATTTTCATCATTGGGAAAAAGTTTTTCGATATTTTTAGCTCGTATTAAAAATCGAATTGGTTTTAATTTTCTAATAACTGAATTGAGAGCAAAAATAAAATCCTCTGGTAACGATTCAACGAGAATTATTGTTCCCATTGAAAAATAAATAACTCCATTTTCACTTTCGTCCATCCATTTTTGTAATTGCTTAAAAAAAATGATAACAAATTTATTTATTTTCTTTTTTATTTTGTGAAGCTTGAAAAAATGAGTTCTACATTTCTGATTGGATTGTAATATTTCTGGAAATATAACCGTCCAATAGAAAACGTGGAACTGTTTTTGCAAACGCCACTACCCAATCCTGTCCTGAATTAATTTTAACCTCTCTCTTGCAATAGTTTTGGATTTAACTACCGCACCCTGCTCCAGTGGAAATTTAATGATATTCGAGTTAAAATTAAAAGTTACTATAAAGTCACTAAATCACTAGAACAGGGTGTGGTTGCTGACCGAGAATTATGAAAAATGGCGGGAAAAATATAAATTTTTACACTAGGCAAAATTTCCATTCACTAATTGTCATAATTCTCGTCAAATACCATTACCACCATTTTGAGATGTTTCCCTGTGCCCTTATGTATTTTCCCCAATTATTCATTATCTAGTATGAAACATTTGCTTTCAGCCACTGAATCCAATACGACAATAATATCGCTAATTAAATTTCTTCTTCTTCCTAATCTTATTTTCAGGACAATATTCTCGTCTGCTATCGCACCCTTCAATAGTAAAATTTTTTAGTAACTATATAGTTAAAATAAAAAGTTACTATAAAGTCACTAAATCACTAGAGCAGGGTGCGGTAGCTCACCGAGAATTATGACACAGGGATGTAGGAACCAATTCCCACGCCACTGGTTCAATTGCATTTTTAGGTTATGTTTCTAAATCATCAAATTATATTCAATTTAATTTATAAAAAAAAATTAAAATCATTTTCAATCTAATGATAAAAATAAATGAAAAAAATTTTCTTACAGGCGTTAATTTGGTGTCATCTTGTAAAATGTGTAATCCACCGACTTCAATTAATGCCGGTGTCACAGGTTTAATTCCATTGACACTAAAGTGAGTGTTACTTAATGTTAAAATTGAATTTTTTGTTAATTCTTCAACATTTGGTAGATCGGCACTTATATATTTTCTTATCAATTCAGTTTGTATTTTATCCGTATAGTAGTGGAATTTATAATTTATCAAATGTTTTTCAATTGTATTTTGTAAACGTTCCCAAAATGAATTTATTTCCACTAATTTTGTTAAAATTGTTGGATGTGTTGCAACTGTTGTTGGAATTCCAATTGCTTCTTCTACCCAGGGAAATAAATTTTGTGCTGATAGTGTTATCATGGGAATATTTAAAAATTTCGCTAAACCCATAAAACAATTCATTGTAAATGCCTAAAAATATTTATTTTAATTTTTATTTAGTTTTTAAAATAAAAAAAATATTATTTTTTTTAATATATTTATATAAATAAATATATTTAAAAAAAAAATTTTTTTAATCTGCTTCCACGATATTTTTAGGACGGGACGATGCGCGCGCATCCATTGCCAACTGTCGCCAAAAAAAATTAATTCCTACAATTTCTGCTTGTAAATATTATTGAAATTATAAAAAAAATTGTTCTGTTAAAGAAATTAAATATATTACGTCATCTAGGTTAAATAATTTTTTTTATTCTTTGTACACTTTTATTAAAATTATTTATTCATAATATAATTTATTTAATTTTATTTGTCGATAGTTGGCAATGGATGCGCGCGCATTGTCTCGTTCTAAAAACATCGTATTCAAGATCATTCAATTTAGCTATTGTAGAATCAGCCTTAAAAAATATCCCATTCGCCATTAGTATAATTCTCTTCATCTACCGCACCCTGCTCTAGTCAAACTTTAGTGCCTTTATTGTTAAAAATTAAAAGTTACTATAAAGTAACTAAATTTTAACTAGAGCAGGGAGCGGTAGTTGACCGAGAATTATGAATACAGGGTTGAGTTGCTAAATTATTAAGTAAAACGTCCCAAATATCCCACTCGCCATTAGTATAATTCTCTTCATCTACCGCACCCTGCTCTAGTCAAACTTTAGTGCCTTTATTGTTAAAATTAAAAGTTACTATAAAGTAACTAAATTTTAATTAAAGCAGGGAGCGGTAGTTGACCGAGAATTATGAATACATGGGTTGAGTTGCTAAATTATTAAGTAAAACGTCCCAAATGTAAAATTTCACATTTGGAACGTTTATAATTTTGGCAGTTGAAATTTAATTTATATTATTTATAAATTATATAAATATAAATTAGAAAAAATAAATAAAAATAAATTACCTCAACAATTAAAACATCATAGTAATTTGAATTGGCTTTGAGTTTTTGAATTATATTTTGTAATGCCACATTGCCAAGCAATTGACAGGGATAATTTCCAGCAATTTCTGATATAAATTTAACAGGATCACCCGATGCATTTGAAAGAAATTTCTCTAATTTTAAATCTTTAATTGTATTATTTGATAAAAGTTCCATTAGATTATAAATAATTGTAATTTTTTCGGGATAAGAATTTTTTATATCACTAGCAACAATAACGTCCACTTGATGACCATGTTTTGCCAAAGTTTTTATCACTGATTGACAAAAAATTTCGTGACTTTTTATAGTTAAGGGAAATATGGCTAAAATTTTATATCCCATTGCACTATTAATTAATGTAACAAGATACACAAGTGTTAAGAATTTTGATAAAAATTCCATTTCTTTTTTTTTTTTGTTTTATTGTATATGTAAAAATAGTTAACAATTTCCTATGTAAAGCGGAATATTTACTCCTTTTTAATTGCAAAAATTATAAAAATTTAAAATTATAACTTTTTTTATCTGTTCTCTTTTTTTTTCTTTTAACTAGCTTACTATTGTGATAAAGAAAATTCCAGTTTTTAAATATATTAATAACTTATAATATTATATATTTATATTAATAATATGTTATATTATAATATATAATAATGATAATAATATAGTTGCCTAATAAATGTTAATGGAAACCTTTAGAAATATAATACTAATAAAAATAAACCTACTTAAATTTTTTTTTTTGTAATTTAAATTATTAATAAAAAGAACGGAAGAAATTTCGTATTTTTTTTTTTTATTTCTGAAATCAACAAAAACGAGTCAAGGCAAAAAAATTACATGACTTTTTCTTTCATTTTTATTATCGTGTGATTGAAATTTAATTGTAATCAAGATTTGTCGCGCTAATTTGATGTTTTTAAACGAATATATATGTACTTTAGATAGTAAAAGATTTTTTTAATGTCAACGGAGAAGTATACGTACTTTAATTAATTATTTTATACCTATATAAATCACGTTACAATGTTATCGTGAGAAACGAAGAAATTATGAGGATTTGCAATGTTTTTCTATTCTTTACTTTATTATTGGTTACTAAAATACTACTGTATTTTTCTATATATAAAAAATAATTTAATAATTTTTTTTTTTTTTTTTGATATCCACATAATTATAATATGTTAATCGATACTTCTATAATTATTCGATTTTTAGTCTATATTTCGATAAATAATCGATTTTTAATCAATATTTCGATAAATAATCGATTTCTAATCGATAGTTCGATAAATATTCGATAGTTCGATAAATATTCGATAGTTCGATAAATATTCGATAGTATAATCGATAGATCGACATATGTTAATCGATACTTCGATAATAATTCGATTTTTAATCCATATTTCGATAAATAATCGATTTTTAATCAATATTTCGATAAATAATCGATTTTTAATCAATATATCGATAAATAATCGATTTCTAATCGATAGTTCGATAAATATTCGATAGTATAATCGACATATATCGACATATGTTAATCGATACTTAGATAATAATTCGATTTTTAATACATATTTCGATAAATAATCGATTTTTAATCAATATTTCGATAAATAATCGATTTTTAATCGATAGTTCGATAAATATTCGTTAGTATAATCAATAGATCGACATATGTTAATCGATACTTAGATAATAATTCGATTTTTAATACATATTTCGATAAATAATCGATTTTTAATCAATATTTCGATAAATAATCGATTTCTAATCGATAGTTCGATAAATATTCGATAGTACAATCGATAGATCGACATATGTTAATCGATACTTCGATAATAATTCGATATTTTAATCGATAGTTCGATATATTAATCGATTTTTAATCAATATTTCGATAAATGATCGATTTCTAATCTATAGTTCGATAAATATTCGATAGTACAATCGATAGATTGACATATATTAATCGATACTTCGATAATAATTCGATATTTTAATCGATAGTTCGATAAGTTAATCGATTTTTAATCAATATTTCGATAAATTATCGATTTCTAATCGATAGTTCGATAAATAATCGATTTCTAATCGATAGTTCGATAAATATTCGATACTTCGATAAATATTCAATAGTATAATCGATAGATCGACATATGTTAATCGATACTTCGATAATAATTCGATATTTTAATCGATAGTTCGATAAGTTAATCGATACTTCGATAATTATTCGATTATCAAATCGATATTTCGATAAATATTCGATTTTTTAAATCGATATTTCGTTTTATGGATCATAAATCAATATATATATCGAAAATGTATCGATAATATAATAAAAATTATAAAGAAATATAATGAAAATAAGAACAATCTATATAGTTATTTTGCAAGACAATTTTTTTTTCAAAAAAAATTATAACGCCACATTCTGACATGAATGAACTATTTTTTTTTTGAATGAATGATGAAAATTGGGTGCATAAAAAAAATGTGCCACGAGTAAAAGGAAAGATTGTACTTGATGGTCGAAAGACCGTGGCCGATTTTTCTAACGGTGTTTCGAGGATTTCAATGTCCTTGCAATCGCGTTCACAGAATCCCTCTGTGTGTACAGGTAAATGGCCGGAAGAATTATGGTGGGGAAAAGAGGCTTGAATATAGTATAATCGGAAATAAACACGAGTTGATTTGTAAATCGTCTCCAACTCTCGACGTGTTAATATAAGGGTCGCGTGCGGGAACGATTTTCCAAATTTTCTATTTTTTTCTTAAAAAAGAAAAATAAAACAAAATGAAATTTTTTTTTCAAGTTCTTCTTCTTTTTCTCTCATTTAGCTTTTATCTACAATTTGGCTGTACAAATTTCGAGATACATCCTGATGTTGAACTCAAAACTGTGAGTTTATTTTTTCATTTTGAAAAAAAATTAATTTCTTTTTAAATTATTAAATCGTTTTTTAATTTTTGATTTTTTAAATTAAAAATTTTTTATTAATTAAGTTGCCTTTAATTGAAATGTACCAATATTTAAAAAAATTTTTTTTTTAAATTTGTTTTTTTTTTTTTGATAAAGAAAAAGAAGGAGAATAAATGAAAAAAATTCTTTTAGCCAGATCTCATAAGGAAATACGGATATCCTCTGGAGATTCATAATATTGTGACGAGAGATGGATACATTTTGGAGCTTCATCGAATTCCAAATAGTCGATTCAATAAAAACAGACGTCAATTAAAAAAACCAGTTCTTCTGCAACATGGTTTGGCCGGAAGTTCTGCAGATTGGGTTTTAATGGGTCCGGGAAAATCACTAGGTGAGTTTAAAAAAAAAAAATTGCACGAAATTGAATTTTTCCTGCTTTTCAAAAAAATGTAACTAAAAACCGTTTTTTTTATTAAATATAAATATAACTTTTTGGGGGAAAAAAAATAAAAAATTTTCCAGAGGACAAAATTTTTAATTAATAATTAATTAAAAAAATTAATTACTTAAAAAATAGCAAAAAATGTTAATTAAAAAAACCGTATTTTTATAAAAGAAAAAAATTTAAAATTTTATGAACGAAAGATCTCCTTTCGCAGAGATGGGACACAATATAAAAACAATTCCTTTTTTGCAATCGAATAGAGAAAGGAAAAGTGCGAAGATTGATTTAGTATATATACAGAGGAGAGTCATAGTGAGTGAAGAAAAACTTAAATAAAAATTGAAATTGTGGTCTTAGAGGAGAGCGTTCTACTTTCAATCGACAAAAGAGAAAAATAAAAAAAAAAAAAACTAAATTCGATCCCCTCACGTGCGTACAATTTATACTGTTTATAAAAATTTCAGTGTTCGTTCATGTATAAGTCTTTTTAAAGGATTTTATAATATATGTTTTGTAAAGAACTCAATAAATTTTCAAACTCTCGCCAAAGCCGGAATGGTACATTAAGCAATATCATAAATGCCAGTTCAGCTATAATAGCGATTCAAAGATAGTTTTTAATTAATAATCGGTTATTACAATTAATTACCTTCTTTGCAACAAAAATTGTGTAAACTGTAAATACAGTTCATTATGAACCAAAAAAAAAAAAGAAAAGAAAAAAAAATCTCTCATGCAAACAGTTTCTTACTTAATTTTTTTTTTATTGAAATTTTTTGTTTCTTATTTTACAATTCTTAGCTAATTTTATAATTTGCATTTTTTAAAAAATTGTTTTAATTAAAAATTAAAGTTTTAGATGTAGTTTTTTTTGGTAATCTTTGGCAAATTGAAATTTAGAAAAGAGAATGTTTATTGTATGGTGCACATGGAATTGATTAACCGCATGCTTCTTAAGCGACGTTTTGCGGTCACTTTTGAACGGCATTTGTTAATGATCTCATGCGCAATCCCTTAGAAAACAACTCATTGATGACCTTCGGTAAGGAATCATCTTTTTTTAGCAATTGGAAGGTTAAATTTCAAAATGATTTTCACTTTACTAAATCTAATAAAATAGTTTTTTCTCTCCTCTGTTTTTTTTTGTTAAAATAATTATACAAATGATAAATTGAAAAGACAAATTGTCATTACAACTTTTTACAAAAAGCAAAATAATAATTTAAATTTTTTACATTTAATTTTAAATAACAAAAATTATTTTACTTTCAATCACATAAAATTATGTCATTTTTTGGCCAAAAATGTATTTTTAAAAAATTGCATACATAAAATTTTACGAGAGAAGTGATTTTGCTAAAAAAAAATTTTAGGTTATGTTTGTAATTTTCAGAGTGATCAATTTAGTGTAAATACTTCGTTATATTAAAAATCAAAATTTGTGAAAAAAATTAAAAGTTACCCCCTATTAAAAATTTGGAGATTAATTAAAATTTATAAATAACACCATTTTAAGATTTTTCCCTGTTCCCTTGTGTATTTTTCCCAATTTATTCATGATCTAGTATGAAACACTTGCTATCAGCCACTGAATCCAATATGACACTAATCTCACGCCATGAACTAATAAAATTATTATAGAAGTGTCACGACTTTTCAAAATTCCGCCAAACCGGTGTGAAGTTGTTGCGCAAGTGTATTAATCATTAAGGTTAATTCACAAGTAGGAATTCATTTTTCCAAACTACGAGATTGCCACTATTATTATTAATTAATTATGAAATATTCATTATTATAAATAAATTATTATTACTATATAAATTATTATTTATTATTACAGATGATTATTATAATTATAATCACTATGAAAAATTTTAATTAATAATTCTTAAATGCAAAGAAAATAATTATTTTTTTTTTGTTAAAGGATTTTTTCTCCCTAACGCAGGATTTGACGTATAGCTAGGAAATAATCGAGGGAATTATACAAATGATAAATTGAAAAGACAAATTCCCATTACAACTTTTTACAAAAAGCAAAATAATAATTTAAATTTTTAAAATTTAGTTTTAAATAACAAAAATTATTTTACTTTTAATCAGATAAAATTATGTCATTTTTTGGCCAAAAATGTATTTTTTAAAAATTGCATACGTAAAATTTTACGAGAAATGATTTTACTAAAAAAAAAATTTTAGGTTATGTTTGTAATTTTTAGAGTGATCAATTTTTATTTGATGTATCAACTATCAAACTAAAATCATTCTCTGACAGAGGTGTAAATACTTCCTTATATTAAAAATCAAAATTTGTGAAAGAAAATTAAAAGTTACCCCCTATTAAAAATTTGGAGATTAATTAAAATTTATAAATAACACATGTGATTTTTCCCCGTTCCCTTGTGTATTTTCCCCAATTATTATTCATGATCTAGTATGAAACACTTGCTTTCAGCCAATGAATCCAATACGACACTAATCTCACGCCATGAACTAATAAAATTATTATAGAAGTGTCACGACGTTTTAAAAATTCCGCCAAACCGGTGTGAAGTTGTTGCGCAAGTGTATTAATCATTAAGGTTAATTCACAAGTAGGAATTCATTTTGCTAAACTACGAGACTACCACTATTATTATTAATTATGAAATATTCATTATTATAAATGAATTATTATTACTATATAAATTATTATTTATTATAACAGATGATTATTATAATTATAATCACTATGAAAAATTTTAATTAATAATTCTTAAATGCAAAAAAAAAAAATAATTAATTTTTTTTTTGTTAAAGGATTTTTTCTCGCTGACGCAGGATTTGACGTATGGCTAGGAAATAATCGAGGGAATATTTACTCGAGAAATCATACATTCATGACACCGAACGATCGTTATTTCTGGGACTTCAGGTGATATAAAAAAAAATTGTCAATGACAATTTTTCAAAAATTTAAATAATTTCAATGATTTTTCTTTTGTGTTATTATATATAAAAAGAGCAGAGAATGAAGTAAATATGCATAACAAAAGAGAGAAAAAAAATTTTTAGTTTTCATCAACTTGGAATGGAGGATTTACCGGCAATGATTGATTATATTTTGGCGCGTACAGGAAATGAGAAAATTTTCTTCGTGGGACATTCACAAGGAACGACCCAATTTTGGGTGATGGCTTCTGAAAGACCCGAGTATAATTCGAGGGTCATTTTAACTGTCGGCCTTGCGCCCGCAGCCTTCACCGGCAATCTACGCGGTCCGGTTAGAAAACTAACTAAGCTGACATACTTTGGTGTGGTAGGTCGCGACGTCAACCAATTCCAAGTGTCAAATAATCGAGAGCTATTGCCAATAAATATATATGTACACAATCAACGGGAGATAAGCAATTTTTTTTTCTCGACAAGTGCATTGATAGTTACCCTCATCATTTGTGACAATTTTTTTTTTCCTTCCTCGTCTTTCATTCACTGTAAACTAGTTTCATTTTTTAACTTTTTTATGATTAGAAATATTTAAAAAAAAAAAAATTTTTTTTTTATTTTATTACTTGATTTGAATATTTTTTTTATAGGTTATGAAAGAGAGACACTTAAAAAGACATAATGTTGGTAAATAATTGTTAGGTTGGTGAGAATCGATTTTGAAATTGCATTCTTGTAATTTTTTTTTCTACCGAAATTGTTGAGTAGAAAAAGAAAATTCTATTAGACTATTTTTTATTATTATTAATAATAAATATACAAATTTCAAACAGTAAACAAGGTTGGGTCGAAAATCGCTTTTTATTGGTTGGTTATATTTCCGGTAATGTTACCAGCCAATGAACAGAGTATACAATATTTGGCGCATCAGTGACCCAACCCTGACTGCTACTCAATGAACAGACCAACCTATGTTGTTAACCTCTTTTTTTTGTAAAGAGTTTTTTTCTGTTTTTTTTTTCGTTAAAATATTTTTTAAAAAAATTGTTAATAGAAAAATTGAAAAGACAAATTCTGCTTTTTACATATAAAAAGTCGAATAATTTTTATTGTAATTAAATTCACCCAGTGAATTTTTTTAATTCTAAATCGCAATAGGAGAGAACTTGGGTAAAAGTGATCGTGTGTCGTAATTGAAAGTCTAAATTCGGAAGTCATACATGGAGAACGCTCGTCGTCCTTGATTTCTTATTTCAAATAAACACTTGCAAAATTATTATCGCTCTATATATGTACATTTTGATAAGAAAAAAAAAATTCAGATTAATCATTTTTTATTATTATTAAAAATTTTTATTTATATATACCTCGTACTTTGACACTCGGAAATTGTATATTTGAAAAAAACTATTTTTGTTCTAAACAAATTTTTATAATTTTTCTAGTGGGTTGGTGAAAATTTCGGTTATCCAGAATTTAAATCTCGTTCCGCTTGGGGAAAGTTCGTGTCCAATTTAGTTTGCGATAGTAAAGCACCAACACAATTTATTTGCAGCAATTTGTTATTTTTAGTCGCGGGTTTCAGTCGAGGCGAATTAAATATGGTAAAATTGTTTATACTTTATTTAAATTTTAATATGGATAAAAAATTTTGAATTTTCTAAATATTAAAATAATTAATTTACATTTTTAATTAACTTTAAAAATTTATTGATTAAGAGAATTTATTTTTTTTGAAATAAAAAAAAAATAATTATTCCACTTTAGGAGAATTTGACTGTCATTATTGGTCACGTACCAGCTGGAGCATCATGGAAATGTTTTATTCATTTTGGACAAGGATTCATTCATCCAGGTTTAAATTTTAAATAAATAAATATTAATTAAATAAATTAATTCATGAAATATTTGTTTAATTAATTAAACAGGAAATGACAAAATTTAAAAATTTGTTAATTTTGTATTAAAAAATATTTTTGAGTAAAAAAAAATATTTAAAAAAGTCAAAAAAATATATATTTATTAATTTAATTAAATAAATAAAATTAATATTTAATATATTTTTTTTTAATATTTTTTTTACTCAAAAATAGTTTTGTGAACAAATTAACAAATTTTTAAATTTTACATTTCCTGTTTAGGACATTTTAGACAATTTGATTATGGAAACACTCAACTTAATATGAAAGTTTATGGATCTCCTTTTCCTCCAAAGTATTCTTTGGAAAATGTGACGACTCCAGTTGCTTTATTTAGCAGTGCAAATGATTGGCTTGCAATGCCTTCAGTAAGAATTTGAGAAAATTTTAAATACATAAAGAAAATTAATAAACAAAATAGAAAATTTTAAAAAATTCAATTAATATTTAAAAAAAGAATTAAAATTGTTTTTTAATTTAAAAAAATTAAAAAATAATTTAAAAAAATGTTTTTAAAGAAAAAAAATTTTCTAATAATAATAAAATTTTATTTTCAGGACGTGGAACTACTTCGAAATGGATTAAGCAATGTTATTCTCAATCATATGATACCAATGAATAATTTCAATCACTATGATTTCATTTGGGGAAGAACTGCGCCGCAAATGATTTTCGAACCAGTTGTTCGATTACTTCGAAGTTATGAATAGAAAAAAAAAACAATTTTTATTATAATACCAAAGTATTGAAAAACCAAAAAAGTTCAAAGCATTTTTTTTAGGGATAGTAAAAAGTTACCATTTTTTTTACATAGAAAAATAATAATACTTTTCAATCTAGTCAATTGAGATAATAGAATTTTCTCAATTATTTTTTCTCTTTTTTTTAAAACAAATATTTTGTTTCACGGAAAATTTTTTTTATTTTTACCAAAGAAAAAATTTTTAAAAATAAATTCTAAATGGACTTAAAAATATAAATATATAAATTCATTATCATATCAATGTCTTCTGTATTTTTTTAAATTTGTTAAATTAAAAAAATTCTAGAAGCTTTAAATATGAAAAAAAATTTGTCATTGTTATCTTTTTCTTTTTTTTGATAAAAATCGATTTTTTGCCAATAAGAAAGATGCGGAAACATTGAAAAGGAATTTTGATAGAATCACCCCAGCGCGCACTATTGTTTACCTGATGTTATTATCTGTTTTCGAAATACCTAAATTTCTCAGTTCTTTCCAATAATATTATATAGAGATAAAATTAATAGCTCTTAAGATTGTTTTTTCTTTTTTTTTTTTATTTTTATCGAAACAAAAATCGATGTCATAATAATTTTTATTATCAACTATATATATTGGATTTAATTACAAATCAAAGAATTCTGAATGGATTAGTGTTTCGTCAGTTTTAAAGAGATAATTTTTGTAAACATCAATTTTTATCAAATCACTATAGATCTATGTTACAATATATAATATGTGATTCAAATCTGACAAATTTTCACTAAGAAAAACGAAATGAGAAAATTAACAATCTATTTTATTATATAGGTCAAGGAACTCGCCGGCTTTTGTTTTAGTATAGAATAAATTTTTATTCATTAACATAAAATTTAATTTCATTTAAATTAAATTTTATTAAATTTTGATATAATTTAATCTAAATTAAATTTCATTAAATTTTATTAAATTTTAATCGAATTTAATTTAAATTTCATTAAATTTTATTAAATTTTAACATAATTTAATCTAAATTAAATTTCATTAAATTTTAATCGAATATAATTTAAATTTCATTAAATTTTAATCGAATTTAATTTAAATTTCATTAAATTTTATTAAATTTTAGTATAATTTAATCTAAATTAAATTTTATTAAATTTTAATCGAATTTAATTTAAATTTCATTAAATTTTAATCGAATTTAATTTAAATTTCATTAAATTTTATTAAATTTTAGTATAATTTAATATAAATTAAATTTCATTAAATTTTATTAAATTTTAGTATAATTTAATCTAAATTAAATTTCATTAAATTTTAATCGAATTTAATTTAAATTTCATTAAATTTTATTAAATTTTAATCTAATTTAATTTAAATTTCATTAAATTTTAATTTAATTTCATGTAATTGAAATTTTTTAAATTTTAATTAATTTCATTAAAATTTTATTAAATTTTAATTAATTTAATTTAAATTTCATTAAATTTTATTAAATTTTAGTATATTTTAATCTAAATTAAATTTTAATAAATTTTAGTATAATTTAATCTAAATTAAATTTTATTAAATTTTAATCGAATTTAATTTAAATTTCATTAAATTTTATTAAATTTTAGTATAATTTAATCTAAATTAAATTTCATTAAATTTTAATCGAATTTAATTTAAATTTCATTAAATTTTAATTTAATTTCATGTAATTAAAATTTTTTAAATTTTAATTAATTTCATTAAAATTTTATTAAATTTTAATTAATTTAATTTAAATTTAATTTAAATTTAATTGATTTGAATTTCATTTATTAAAATCTAAATAATTTAAATATGAAAAAAAAACTATTCGTTAATTAAATTTTAATTTAATTTACAATTTTTTATATTGAATTTCTATTTTTAGAATAAAACACATATTTCTGTAATAATTGTACTTGTTCCTACATTAAAATTTTTTATAAATTGTTGGATACGATAAAAAAAAAAATTATCAAATGCGCATCTGTTTTAACCTTCACGTTAACATTTCAAAGATCCCAAAATGTCATTCTTGATCCGGATCTATATTAATCTGGATGCAACAAATCCTTTATATCTGATGATTAATTTTTTTTTGAAATATATTTATAGGTGTATACATAAGGGAATTTGTTCATGTGTAATTATACTCTTTTAATTACAATATCTCCCGATTTCCTAACAATTTAATGTTACATAAAATTCATAAAAAATTTGTTAAGTGAAAGTTGCAATTAATTTCCAAGCAAAAAAATTTTTTTTTTCAATTTAGATTTTAATTCAATTTTACAAAATAAAAATAATTTGTTTGAAAAAAAGAAAATTCAAAATTGAAATAGTTATAATTTAATTGACTGTACGATATAAATTTGGAAAATTTTAACAATTATTTTTTTCATATTTTTTCTTATTTAAATTGCAATAAATTAATTCGAATAATACAATTTAATAATAATAATAATAATAATAATAATAATAATAATAATAAAAATAATATATTATGATATAATAATAATTATAATATAACAAAATTATTAATTATTAAATAAAATAATAATAATAATTTATGATTAAAGTCCGCAGAATATATTTAATTGTTAATTAAAATGGATTACAAGGAATTATAATTATTTTTAATTTCATGTAATTATTGATGTTTCGAATTTATCAATTGATGATAATAATATAATAAATGGAATAAAAATTATAAAATTAACATTATGCCGAGCCCCTTATCAGTCATGATGATAAAATAAGGTTGAAAGATTAGAAATCAAAAATATTTTCAGATTAGATGAAATATTGTTTGATGACAATCATTTAACAAGGAGTATAAATTTAATTGACAATTGTTTGTTACACTTAGTATAATTTTTTTTTTTTTATTTCATTTCATTTTTTTTTTTTTTTTTCAACAATGTTGAGACACGGTAAACTATTTCCGGTTACCGGCGTTCTCATCCTCGTCATTATGACGGGGGCATCAGTGTTACCGGAAATAGAAAATTTTTCATTTTTCAATGACATTGACGAGAATTCATTCGCCGATGCTATGAAAAATCCAAGTGAAGACGCTTATCTCTCCACTGTAAGATTAATTTGTATTTTTATAATTAAATTTCATTTATTTAAAAAAAAAAAAATTTTTTTTTTAAATTTATTTATTAAATTTTTTTTAAAACAATTTTTGTTTTGAATAATAAATATTAATTTTATTTAAATAAATGTTTTTTGCAAGAAAAAAGGGTAAGAGAAAATTATTATTATTTTTTTTATTTATAGGTTGAATTAATTGAGAAATATGGCTATAATGCCGAATCGCATCCAGTTGCAACTTACGATGAATATATTTTGGAAATGCATAGGATAACTGGACCAAAAATTAATCCTGATCCAAAAGGAAAACCAGCAATATTATTGATGCATGGAATTGTTATGAGTTCATCTGATTGGATAATTTTGGGTCCGGAAAATGCTCTCGGTTAGGATGAATCAGTTATTTAATATAATAAATTTTTATTTATATATATTTTTTTTATTATAATTTTTATTTTTTATAATTTTTATTTATTGTAATTTTTATTTTTTATAATTTTTATTTATTGCAATTTTTATTTTTTATAATTTTTATTTATTGCAATTTTTATTTTTTATAATTTTTATTTATTGCAATTTTTATTTTTTATAATTTTTATTTATTGCAATTTTTATTTTTTATAATTTTTATTTATTGCAATTTTTATTTTTTATAATTTTTATTTATTGCAATTTTTATTTATTATAATAATTATTATTTGTTCTTATTATTTCACTATCTATTTATTATTTATTTAATTCTTATTTTGTTTTTTTTAATTTATTATAACGTAACAAATTAGTAAAAAAAATATTTTCAAAAAAAAAAGTAATTACTGTAAGTAAATAATTTTTTTTATAGGTTATATATTAGCGGATGCTGGATACGACGTTTGGATGGGAAACGTAAGAGGAAACACTTACTCACGAAAGCATATGAGTTCGTCTGTGGTTGACAATGCTTACTGGCAATTTAGGTCAATGAAAATTAATTTTAATCTATTTTTTAAAATTATTCCAACGGTTTTTCATAGAAATTATTGTCATAGCAACGGTTGCTATAGGAACTGTTACCATAGCAACCGTTGCTATAGTAACAATTACCATGGCAACCGTTGCTAAGGTAGAAGTTATTATAGTAACGGTTACCATGGCAACGGTTGCTATAGAAACTGTTACCATAGCAACCGTTGCTAAGGTAGAAGTTATTATAGTAACGGTTACCATGGCAACGCTTACCCTGACAACGGTTGCTATAGGAACTGTTACCATAGCAACCGTTGCTAAGGTAGAAGTTATTATAGTAACGGTTACCATAGCAACCGTTGCCATGGTAACCGTTGCTATAGTAACTATTACCATGGCAACCGTTGCTAAGGTAGAAGTTATTATAGTAACGGTTACCATGGCAACGCTTACCCTGACAACGGTTGCTATAGGAACTGTTACCATAGCAACCGTTGCCATGGTAACCGTTGCCATAGTAACTATTACCATGGCAACCGTTGCTAAGGTAGAAGTTATTATAGTAACGGTTACCATGGCAACGCTTACCCTGACAACGGTTGCTATAGGAACTGTTACCATAGCAACCGTTGCTAAGGTAGAAGTTATTATAGTAACGGTTACCATAGCAACCGTTGCCATGGTAACCGTTGCTATAGTAACTATTACCATGGCAACCGTTGCTAAGGTAGAAGTTATTATAGTAACGATTACCATGACAACGGTTGCTATAGGAACTATTACCATAGCAATTGTTGTCAAGGCAAGCGTTGCCATGGTAACCGTTGCTATAATAAATGTTGCCATAGCAACAAATAATTTCTATTAATTAATATATTTTTATTGCAACAATTTTTTTTTTTTTTTTTAATATTGTGAAAGAAAAATATTGTTATAAACATTATTTTGACGTGACAATATTATTTAAAAAATTTAAAAAAAAAATTTTTTTTCTTCTTTTTCATTTAACAGTTGGCACGAGATTGGTTTGAGAGATTTACCGGCAATGATTGATAAAATTCTTTCAAATACTGGTCTTAAAAAAATTTCCTACATTGGACATAGTCAAGGGACAACAATATTTTTTGCAATGGCAGCAGAATTACCGGAATATGCTGAGAAAATTGTATCAATGCATGCACTTGCACCTGTTGCATTTTGCAAACACATGAAAAGTCCCCTTCTAAAACTTATGTCAAAATTTAGGACATCTTTTACGGTGGGTTAATTTTCTTTTTTTTAATTAATTTTGAACGAAATGAATAAAGAAATTATTTTATTTAATTAATTTTTAATTAAATAATTTATTAATGAATTATCTATGAATAAATAAGAAAAAATAATTAAATAGTATTATTTAAAATTTTATTATTAGTATTTTTTTTTTTTTGATTTATTTAAAATGCTAAATATATTTTCTACTAATTTTTTTTTTTAGGCATTAACTAAATTCTTTGGTATCAATGAACTTCGTTTAACGCAATCATTTTATGATAAATTTACATCTAAGGTTTGTGACGAGAATTCAATTCTTCAGCCATTGTGCAGTAATTTATTATTTTTGATTACTGGATTCAGTCCAAATCAATTAAACATGGTAATTATTTAATTAATAGTAATTATTATTTCTGCTTTATATTAATTTTTTTTATTAATTTCATTATAATAATTCCACAATTGCCATTTTTATGATTGCAAATAATTTAATTAAAATTAATTGAAATTTTCTAATTTAGACAATGCTTCCCATAATTTTGGGACATGTGCCAGCTGGTGCGTCTGTTAGACAAGCTGTTCATTATTCACAACTTATGAACAATGGTAAAAAAAAGTTTTTTTAATATTAATCTTTAATTAATTAATAATTCTTTAATATTCATACATAATAATTAATTAATTATTTTTAATTCATAATAATTTGTTAATGAGTTTCAAATAAGTAATTAATAGGTAACAATTAATAATAATTAATTTATATTAAGTAAATTAAATTAACTAACCCCACTTGGAAAGATTCCCTGGAAAGTGACCTCAGGAGATTCTATCAGAATTCCGCCGGAAGTTCCAACGTAATTCCGTCGGAATTCTATCGGAGTTCCAAAGAATTTCCTATGGGATTCCGACGGAATTCCGATTAATTTTTATCAACCTTTTTAGAGTCCTAATTCCGTCGGAATCCCATCGGAAATTCTTTGGAACTCCGATGGAATTCCAACGTAATTCCGTCGGAATTACATCGGAGTACCAAAGAATTTCCGATGGGATTCCGACGGAATTCCGATTAATTTTTTTCAAAATTTTTAGAGTCCTAATTCCGTCGGAATTCCTTCGGAATCCAATCGGAAATTCTTTGGAACTCCGATGGAATTACGTTGAAAGTTCCGGTGGAATTCTGATAGAACCTCCAGGGGGCACTTTTCTATCAGAATTCCGCCGGAACTTCCAACGTAATTCCGTCGGAATTCCATCGGAGTTCCAAAGAATTTCCGATGGGATTCCGACGGAATTCCGATTTATTTTTTCAACATTTTTAGAGTCCTAATTTCGTCGAAAATCCGTCGGAATCGCATCGGAAATTTTTTGGAACTCCGATGGAATTCCGACGGAATTACGTTAGAAGTTCCGGCGGAATTCTGATAGAACCTCCAGGGGGCACTTTCCAGGGAATCTTTCCAAGTGGAACAATTGTTTAAAATATAAATATAATAACTCAACAATAATTAAATTTGACAAAAAAATTTGTAAATAATAATTTTTTTTTTTTTGGTTGCAAAGATAAAAATAAAATATTATTTTCTCAAATTACAGATTACTTTCGACAGTATGATCATGGATTTTTCCAAAATTATCGAACATATGGCAAATTTTCTCCTCCGGATTATGATTTAGGCCGAATAAAAACACCTGTATCACTTCATTACAGTGTCAATGATTGGCTAACACATACAAATGTATGTATAATTATTTTGCAAAAATTAATTTATTTTCTTTATTTTTTTTTATTAATTTATTTATTTTTGTTAAAAAAGCAATTTTAGATTAGGAAATTTTTTTTTTTTTGCATATAATGTCAAAATAAATTTTTTTTTTAGGACGTTCAAAAGCTATACAGTAAATTAGGCAATCCAATTGGAAAATTTCGTGTCCCATTAGATGAATTTAATCATTTGGATTTCCTTTGGGGAAAAGATGCAAATACTTTGCTTTATGATAAAATTTTAAGTCTTCTGACACGCTACAAAGAAGACGCATTAAAAAGATGAAAATAAATATATCAGTATATTGTAATTTATTTTATATATATATATACATTTATTTGAAAATAGACTGAATTTTTATTCTTCTTTCTATTTAATAATTTTTTTTATCTCCTATCCTTTTATTTGTAATATTTTTTCCGTCTCTATTTTAATGTTAAAGAAACAAAATTATGTTTCAAATAAAATTAGAGATATTTCACAAATTTATAATAATTGACGTTATTATTACAATATTATTATTTAATTAATTAATTAATAATTAATATCTAATAGAGGATAAAATTAAATAAAGTGATTGTACAATATTTGCCCCTACAAAATTATATGTATCCTTCTGTGTAAGTCCGGTTGCATATGTGCAGTAAAGTAAAAAAATTAATTAGGGATTTTTTCTTACTTATTAGGAAAAACATTGTTTTTTATTTTCATGCAAGATCCTATATAGAATAATTTGTTATTAATATTAATTATTTATTATTATTAATTAATTAAATTATGTATCAGTAGGAGAGCAATTAGATAATTAATGAATTATTCATTATTATTAACTGATTAATTAATATTATAATGAGTAATTAATTCACTAATTAATTAAAAAATAATTTATTAATTTATTCACTAATTAATTAATAATTAATTTATTAATTAATTCTACACAATTAATGACCGAAAAGCGACCTGAAACCGAAATTAACAGACCTAATAACAATTTAATTAATGAAGAATTTAATTTTCTTAAAAATCGCCTAAGTGGATTTGCAGTTTTGTTTTTAGTAAATAAATCTAACAAAAGCGAAAAAACGTCACCTTAGATGCTCGTCTTCTTTCCTTTAACTTCAAATAACTATAATTCTGAAAATATAATTAAAATATTTGTCATCATTTAAAGCATAACAATTAGGAACAATAATTATAAATTTTATATTAAATTAGGCAAAAGAAGAATTTGATTTTTATCAAACAATCAAAATGGAATCAAAAATTTAAAGCAGAATTTAGAATCGAAATTATCTAAATACAACAGTGGATTGAAACCAAAAAATTGCAATGTTAAAATTATTGCTTTACTTCTTTAGGAAGAATTGACAAATCACTAAAATTATATATTAATTATACCTTCTTTGCCACTTCCTCCAAAAACCATAGCCTAGTTCAACAAGAAATGAAAGAAATGCTATCAAATAACCAACAATTAATAATCCTATCAATAGGGATTGTATCTTCCATTCCTGTTCATCATCATCTCCTTTATCTTCCGATGTAATACCCAATTGATGATATCTAGTTGCATTCGGTAAATTCTGCATTTGCCATCTTCCCAATAATGCATATTCCTTTAATTTTCTATAAATTTCTTGATATTTCTCAACATATGGAGATCCAGGTTCCGAAATAAATCCACTACCCACAGACATAATATACTCGGGAACAAATTTCACGAGATTTCGTTTTCTATAAAATCCAGCGAACCATTCGGCTAATGACAATTTCATAACACATGTTACATTCTTATGATCCAAAAGATAATCAACGCATTCTTCTAATGTGGTTTCACGACTATTTTTCACCCATTCCTTAACACCATTCTCATGTACCACAAAGGGAAATAAATTTAATATATTTAATTCAGAACTTAATTGAAGACCACTTTCTACTAAATCCCTCATTGTATTTATTTCCTTTTCTTTTTCGTCACGAAAATTAAAATCAGTCAACGATGCCATCATATTGCAGGAATAATAAAAATTCACCAATAAAAATGAGAGAAAAATTATTCTTTCCTTCAATTCCCACGGTTGATGTTCCAATGACATACTAAATAAAATTTGAATAACCGCAATCCAATTCCAAATTCTTTCATCAAATTTAAATAATTTCATAATTATCCAACCGGTTATTGTAATTAGTACAGTCAACACAATTGAATAGTAAAATGTATTACCAACAATAATTGACAAATTTTTTGTCTTTAATGTAGGAACAATTGCAACAATGTGATCAAGTTCAAAACTAGCTTCCTCAAATACATCTCTTGGGCAAATATTTCTTGCTGATATAGTTGTCACACCAATGTATTGAATTCTATTTTGTACAAGTGCCAAAACAAAACCTGATAATTGACTTACATTACAATAAAAATGACCAAATTCTTCATCACGACTTGGTACAAAAACTTGTTGGAAATTTAGCAATTCGGCAAAAATTTTTCCAGCTTCAGCATCTGGACCCGAAATATTAACAGGATGATTTGTCGAATTACGTTGTAAATTTACATAAGGTGCCCGATTTAGGTATGCAATATTTAATGGATATCGATGAAGATTTCGAAGTTTATCAGGAAACAATACAGTCCTTTTGAAAAATGGTTTTGATTTGTACGGAACAAATGGATTTAGCTGATGAATCGTGAGATTTTCATTATTAACATCCAAAATAGCGACGTCCAAAAATAAATTTCGCCATAATTTTGCCATTAATTCTTCATAATTTGATGTTTCATTTGTATTTAAAAAACGAAGAATAAGACATTTTGGTCGAATACGAACAGTTGATAATTCTTTAACAAATTCCATCATATCCTCTGTCCATTGTGTATTATTTTTTCCTGGTGATTCGAGAACAATGAACAAAGTAGTATCCCTTGAATTAGACAATGAATTCCATTTTTCAAAATAATGGATTTCTTGTTTTGAATAAAAATCATTGAAATATAGAGTCGGTAGACTTTTTTGTAGATCTTTAATTATTTTACAATGCTCAAAATTTTCATAATTTGTTATCAGCATAATCTGATAAATTCTGGGATCTTTTTTTATTTTTCCAACCACTGTTTCTGACCATTCACTATCATGTTTCTTTTGAATTATTTCTGATCTTGTCACATAATTCTTTTGACTAATTTCCAAATCGGCAACAACGATGAAAAGCAGGAAACTAATTTTTAGCTTCATTATCTGTATGTGAAAATTAATTCCTTTAGAACCAATATTTTGCTTCGGGAAAAATGTTTTCGGGAAATCGTCTTATTATTTCCCGATTATACAAACACTTTCGCTACAAATTCCATTCTGGATAGAAATTTTGTTAGCCGATTTGTTTAATGGTGACTTGGCAACGACGAATCCAAACAAATAAAATTATGTTTATGTATTGATTTATCAGAGGTCAAATTTGATGATAGGTATTTAAAAGTAATGGAATTTTTTTTATTTCTATGAATTAACTTTCTTTCTTATTTCCTAATGGGATATGAAAGCAATAAAATTTCTAATTAATTCCATTGAACTGTGACTCATGTCACAGACATTCCAGACTGATTTCGGTATTTGTCTTTTTGGTCTAAATTTTAGATAACTTTTTCTTTAATCCCCCAATTATGTTTAGAAATAAATCTCCCTAACTTTGGAATTAAAATACAGGAACTGAATCTTAATGATAAAAATAATTAATTAAGTGAATATAATTAATTTAATTTTCTTTAATCCCCCAATTATGTTTAGAAATAAATCTCCCTAACTTTGGAATTAAAATACAGGAACTGAATCTTAATGATAAAAATAATTAATTAAGTGAATATAATTAATTTAATTTTCTTTAATCCCCCCAATTATGTTTATAAATAAATCTCCCTAACTTTGGAATTAAAATACAGGAACTAAATCTTAATGATAAAAATAATTAATTAATTAAGTGAATATAATTAATTTAATTTTCCTTAATCCCCCAATTATGTTTAGAAATAAATCTCCCTAACTTTGGAATTAAAATACAGGAACTGAATCTTAATGATAAAAATAATTAATTAATTAAGTGAATATAATTAATTTAATTTTCCTTAATCCCCCAATTATGTTTAGAAATAAATCTCCCTAACTTTGGAATTAAAATACAGGAACTGAATCTTAATGATAAAAATAATTAATTAATGAAGTGAATATAATTAATTTAATTTTCTTTAATCCTCCAATTATGTTTAGAAATAAATCTCCCTAACTTTGGAATTAAAATACAGTTACTGAATCTTAATGATAAAAATAATTAATTAATGAAGTGAATATAATTAATTTAATTTTCTTTAATCCCTTAATTATGTTTAGAATTAAATCTTCCTAACTTTGGAATTAAAATATAGGAACTGAATCTTAATGATAAAAATAATTAATTAATTAATTTAATTTTCTTTAATCCCCCAATTATGTTTAGAAATAAATCTCCCTAACTTTGGAATTAAAATACAGGAACTGAATCTTAATGATAAAAATAATTAATTAATGAAGTGAATATAATTAATTTAATTTTCTTTAATCCTCCAATTATGTTTAGAAATAAATCTCCCTAACTTTGGAATTAAAATACAGGAACTGAATCTTAATGATAAAAATAATTAATTAATGAAGTGAATATAATTAATTTAATTTTCTTTAATCCTCCAATTATGTTTAGAAATAAATCTCCCTAACTTTGGAATTAAAATACAGTTACTGAATCTTAATGATAAAAATAATTAATGAATTAAGTGAATATAATTAATTCAATTTTCTTTAATCCCACAATTATGTTTAGAAATAAATCTCCCTAACTTTGGAATTGAAATACAGGAACTGAATCTTAATGATAAAAATAATTAATTAATTAAGTGAATCTAATTAATTTAATTAATATATATATATATATATATATATTTTTTTTTTATATAAAAAAAAACTAGCAAAAGTATTACAATGTCAATTTATAAAATAATTCCCATTTAGATAAAGAAAAATACTTTGACCATTAAGATCTAGTGCGTTTCAATGAATTATATTTCTTTTTCAATATATATGTAGATTTATGATTGATGAAAATCTTTTGACAATGATAATTAACTGTGATTTTTTATTCCACCTGATCGATTTGTATATTATTTACAATAAATCCATTGTAACATGACTATTGACATATGAATAATCCGTCTCCCCTCTTTCTGACTACGCTCCCCTTTCTATAAATTCTTTAAGACTGAAGTCAAGGCCTAAAAGGTAAAAGGGAACTAAATTTACAAATATTTCAATTCTGTCAAATTATAAATTATATTGACTTCGAAAATTTATTTATATAATAATTAAACAAATAAATAATTATCTAATGAAATGATTAAATAATAATATAATCCTTAGTTAATTGTAAATATTCAATTAATTATTAATTAGGTATTAATTATTTTGTACTGAAATTAGCATCAATCAGTGAATTAGATTATTAATTTATTTGTCAATATACTAGTACTTAATAATTTATATTTAATTAGAAAATTATTTTCACTTATTTTATTTAATAAATTAATGTTACATATACAATATTAACATATTAATTAGCAATTAAGATTGTAATTTAATATTTACATTATATATTTATAACAATTAATTTAATTTTTTTTTATCGATAATGCAATAAGATATATATCTTTAACACCTGTTGGAAAAATTTATCAATCATTTTCTATCGATAATTATCTAAATTAATGATAAATTAAATGAACATCTCTTCAGATTTGTCTCATTTTTTCGTAACAAAGTTGAAATTTTTTTTTTTTCTTTAATTGCCAATTAAAATTGTATTTATTTTTTAATATGAAAATAATGTTTATAAAACATTATAAATATAAAGGAATTTATTTTCAAGAAAACAAAATTTAATTGAAATATTTGAACAAGAAGAAAATATAAACAAAAGGAAGCAAGTCATCAAGATAAAGGTCCGGATTTCTCCCGCTCCTTTTATTTTCTCTGTAACTTTTTTTCATTTCTTTTTGCGATAAAAATGAAGTCATCATTGTTTCCACGGATTATAAACAGACATATGAGTATAACATCTTGTCGGATTAATTAATTTGTCATTTATAATAAAAGGAAATCACAACGTACATTGACACAGTGTAATTTCAAAAGTATAATTTGATTGTGAAACTTGAAACTTAAATTTTTTGGGAAAAAATGTTAAAAATTGATAGAAAATTTGTATTTTTAATTTTTTTATATATCATTAACGTTGATGGAATAAAATTCAATTCTCCCGATTATTTAGATGGAATTGATTTAGAAGCAATTGCCAAAGCAATGAAGAAATATAATCCCGACGCTTATTTATCAATTGTAAGAATAAATTTTTTTTTGTTAATTTATATTTTTATTATTATTATATTAAATTAATTATCAATTATAATAATTTAATTATTATTTCTAAGCGAGGACAAAAAAAAATTAATATATAAATATTGTTTAATCATAGACAGAGTTAATAAAAAAATATAACTACAATGTGGAGACGCATAAAGTAGTGACAATGGACGAATATATTTTAGAAATGCATCGAATAACTGGACCAAAAAATAATTCGGATCCCAAAGGAAAACCGGCGGTATTCCTGATGCATGGACTTTTAATGAGTTCCACGGATTGGATTATATCTGGTCCAGGTCGAGCATTAGGTAAATCATTTTTTAATTTGTTTTCAAAAATTAGAAATAATAATAATAAAAATTTAAATATTACGTTCGAGTAACGCAACGCTTAAGAGTTAAATTTTCGCTAGGAATGGAACCTAGCGGTCATCATCTGGAGGATACACTCATAGAGTTTTGTGTCGATTTTTTTTTTAAATTTTTATTGCTTGAAAATGTTTTCGATGAATTTTGTTTTCAAAATGCAATCTGCTACCACTTAAGGTTTAGTATTTCATTATTGATTCTAAAAGGAAGAGATAAACAATTTATACTAATAATAATAATAATTATTATAATAGATCTACTTACAGTTGATGTTAAAATATAATTTTCCTAATGACAATAGTTGATAAATTTTTAAATTACACAAAACACAACAACGCAGGAATTAAGACTGAAAACTAACCTATTTTGCAACCGGCGTCGTATCGTGGAGAGTGGCGTTACTACGTCATGTCACGTGATCGTCAGGGGCGTCTCATACTTAATTCGATCCCCTTTGAATATTAAAATTTTTGAAATTAACTAATTGCTTTCTTTTTTTAAGCTTATATTCTATCTGACGAGGGTTACGACGTTTGGATAGGAAATGCAAGAGGAAATACATTTGGTCGTAATCATAACAAATATCCCGTAACTACAAAAAAATTTTGGAGTTTTAGGTATAGAAAAAACAAAATGCAATTTAAAAATTGTTGGACAAAAAAATTAATTTCAAAAAATAATAAATTAGTAACTTATTATTTTTAAAATTATTGATAATAATTATTTTTTTTTTGTTAGAAATTATTTTTTTTTTTGGTTAGACATTATAAAATTTAATTTTCTAATTTTTTTTTTTTTTTTTAGTTGGCATGAAATTGGAAGATACGATCTACCAGCAATGATTGATTTGATTTTAGAAAAAACAGGACATAAAAAAATTACCTACATTGGACACAGTCAGGGTACAACGAGTTTTTTTGTAATGGCATCAACATTACCTGAATATAATAATAAAATTAAATCAATGCACGCTCTTGCTCCAGTCGCTTATTGTAGACATATGATTAGTCCACCATTTCGATTTCTTTCTCTAATCGTTAAAAAAATACAGGTTTGATTCATAATTTTTTTTTTTTTTTGTTGATTTAAAAATAATTTGTTCAAAAATTTATTTTTTTCGCCATTGACATGAAAAAGTGTCTTTTTTGTGCCTGTTTTGGGCAGATAAAGTAGCACTTTTTAAGGCAGTTTGGGCCAACTGCCTAAAAAAGACTTTTTTAGGCAGCAAACTGCCGTATAAAGTCTTTTTTAGGCAGTAAACTGCCCTATAAAGTCTTTTTTAGGCAGTTGTTAATTTTTGCATAATTTTTTTTTTTGCTTTTATTTTATTTATCAATTTTTATTATTTTTTTTCTTTAAAATTGTTTCACTTTTTCATAACAATGGCGAAAAAAATACCGTATGTGGCTCGCACGTAGTAATTTTTAGGTTCGGATGATTTCAATACTCGCTGTCTGTGCGACTTCGGTTCGACTCGGCTCGCTTTCGGCTCGACTCGACTCGCCTTCGGCTCGTCTTCATCTCACCTACAGCTCGCCTTCGTCTCACCTACGTCGCACTAACGACAGCTCGTACTGAAAATTACATCCTCACCTAAAAAGTACTACTTTACGTGCTTGCCACATAATATACTATTTTTTTCAAATAATGGACGATTAATAATTTTTAGAAAGTAATGGAATTCTTTGGACACTATGAAGTTACATTGTCATCAGAATTTTATAAAAAATTTACATCAAAATTATGTGGAACTGATTCTGCTTTACAATCATTTTGCAGTAATTTTTTGTTTATGTTTGCTGGTTTTAGTCAGAGTCAAATGAACATGGTATAATTGTAAAAAAATACTAATTTCCCTTTCTTTTTTTTATTTTTAATCATTTTTTAAAAAAATTTTTCGTTAATTCGATTTGTTTTTTAATAGACAGAATTACCTATACTATTAGGCCATACACCAGCGGGCGCATCAATTTTTCAATTGATGCATTACGGTCAACTTATTAATAACAGTAAATGAAAATTTTTTACTCATTTAAATAAATTAGTGAAAACAACTAGAAAATTGGTCAATTAAGGAATAATTAAGATTTTTTTTTTTAAATTAAAATTTTTCTATTTATTTCATTTTATCTACAGCAATGCAATATAAATTACAATAGTTTTTGTATTTTTTAAAAATTAGCATAATTTATTATAAATAATTTCAAGTACACGCAAAGTAGAGTGCAAATTTTTTTTTTCAGATTACTTCAGACAATTTGATCATGGAATTGTTGAGAACTTAAAAATATATAAACAATTCACACCTCCGCAATATGATTTGAGTTTAATTACAACGAAAACTATTTTTTATTACACATACAATGATTGGCTGGCAAACGTAAAGGTTCGTAACAATTTTTTTTTTTTTAATAATCAATTTTAATTTTTAAAAATAAAATTTTGCAGGACGTTGACAGAGCTTACAGTGAAATAAAAAATCCAATAGCAAGAATTCGTGTTCCTTTAAAGGATTTTAATCATTTGGACTTTGTTTGGGGTAAAGATGCCCATAGTTTACTTTATGACAAAATTTTAAGTTTTATATCTCGTTACGAGAAAGAGAGTGTAAATTAAGAAAAAACATAAATTTTTTTTTATTTAGATAAAAAGTTTAAAATTAGTTATTACTATTGTGATTATTATTTTACTTCTAAATATGTGACTATATATATTAGTGTTTTGTACTATTTTCAATAAAAAGAATTTTATCTAATTTTTTTGTAATATTATTATCAAATTATTGCCGCCATTTTGAATTTTGAAAATCTGACTTTAAATTCGTAATTAACGACCCCAAAAACCCCCGAGTAATGATTTTAAAAATGAATCAAATTAATTTTTGAAAATTTTCCCGCCATTTTGAATTTAAATTTTCAATGATAAACCTTTAAAATCCCTAATTACGAAATTTAGAAAAAATGAAATCAGTGGAATACATTTAAGCTTTAAAGGATTCAATTAACCAAACATTTCGCAACCGACGTCGTCTCTTGGAGAGTGACCTTGAGTCATATCACGTGATCGTCAGGGCCGTCTCATTCATGATACGATCCCTGTTGTCAAATTTTTTTAAATTTTTAGTAATGATGAAACGTAATTAACTTTTCTCTTATAATGATGTTATCAACAAATATTGTAATCAATAAATGATCAATCAATCAATCAATCAATTAATCAATAAACCAATTAAATTCAATTTACCAAATCATTGAGATTTCTGCCTCCGCTTCCATTTGCCAATAGCCAGCTCAACAATAAATGAAAGAATCGATATTAAATAACCAACCATCAGCAATCCAATCAATAAGGATTGAATCTTCCATTCATCATCATCATTCTCATCCAATTGCTGTGCTTTCTCCTCTGATGCGACATTCAATTGATGATGTCTAGTTGCATTAGGTAATTTCTTCATTTGCCATCTTTCCAATAATGCAAATTCCATTAATTTTCTGTACATTTGTTCAAATTTTTCAACATACGGAGAACCAGGTTCAACAATTAAACCACTTCCTGCAGTAGAAAGAAATTCTGGCAAATATTTGACGATTTTTTGTTTTCTATAAAATCCAGCAAACCATTCCATATGTGATAATTTTGCAATACAAGTTACATTCTGAGAATACAAAAGATTTTCAAGACATACATCCTGTGATGATGTTTGACCATTTTTTATCCAAATTCTAACATCATTTTCATTTAGAACTGCAAGCATTGCCATTGCAACATTATTTTCAGAGCTGAATCGAAGACCACTTTTTATTAAATCATTCAGGGTATTTATTTCTTTTTCTTCTTGTAATCGAAAATTAAAATCAGTCAACGAAGCCAAAAAACTGTTGGAATAATAAAAATTCAAGATCAAGAAGCAACTGAAAATGATCCGTTCTCTTAAATTTATAGGTTCATTTTCTATACCAACTCCAAATAATACTTTAATAATCATTACCCAATTCCAAATTTTTTCGTCAAATTTAAAAGCTTTCACAATTATCCAGCTTGTTATTATCATCAAAATTGTCAACAAAATCGAATAGTAAAATGTCATTCCAATTACTATAATTGAAAAATTATTAGTCATCAATATAGGAGTAACTGCAATCATCTGATCTAGAGCAAAAATTGGAGTCTCGACAATTTCATTCCTGCACAAATATCTTGGTGATATTGTCGTCACACCAATAAACTGAATTTTATTCTTTTGAGTTGATGAGATAAATCCTGTTAATTCATCCACATTGCAAGAAAATTGACCAAAATACTCATCAACCGATGGAACTAATACTTGTTTGTAATTCATCATTTTAGCGAAAATTTTTCCCATTTCAGCATCTGGACCCGAGACATTAACAGGATGATTCGTCGAATTTCGTTTTAATGTCACAAATGGTGGTCGATTAAAGATCGCAACATTTATTGGATATCCGTTTAGATTTCGTAACTTGTCAGGAAACAATGGCGTTTTTTTCGAAAACTGTTTTGATTTGTAGGAAACAAATGGATTTAGCTGATGAATCGTAACGTGATGTTCTTTAACAACATCAAGAACAGTGACGTCAAGGAATAAATTTTGCCACATTTTTTGTAGAAATTTACCATAATCGGATGTTTCATCAGAATTCAAAAACCGAATAATTAGACATTTTGGTCGAATACGAACGGTTGACAATTTTTTAACGAATTCCATCACTTCTTCAATCCATTGAGTGTTTTTTTTGCCTGGAGATTCGATAATGAGAAACAAAGTAGTGTCTCGTGGATTTTTCAAAGAATTCCATTTCTGAAGATGCTGAATTTTTCGTTTTGAATAAGAACCATTGAAATACAAAATCGGCAGATTTTCTTGCAGATTTTGAATTATTTCGCAATGCTCACGATTTGTATCGGTTATCAACATGATCTGGTAGATTTTTGGATCTTTTTTTATTTTCCTTACGACTCTTTGAGACCATTTTGAATGCCTTTGTTGTTTCTTTTGTATTATTTCGGAACTATTCACATAATTCTTTTGGATAATTTCAAAAACTAACAGAACAATGAATAGTAGAAAATTAATTTCTAGCTTCATGATCTGTTGCTGAAAAAAGGTAAAAATAACATTAAATCAAAAAAAGCTATAGAGGATTTAATTTTTTAAATCAATGTTTCTTATTTTTGAAAACTGGAAAAACCAAAAAATATATTGTCAAATCACCTTTTATTTAGCATTTTTTCCTTGTCGCCTTACTGTTTCACGTTTGTACAAACATTGTTTCTTCAAAGTTGTATTTTGGTTATTTCTTTTTCTGTGTTTTTTTTTCTTGGTTGCTTAGCGGCGACAATTAGAAAAAAATTTTTTTTTTCTTTATCTATTGATTTATCAGAGGTCAAGTTTGATGTTAGGCGCAGATATATGCACTCTTTTTGATAAAAATGTGTTTCTTAACAACAAAATTTTAACTTTATTTTAAAATCCTTCGTATTTGCTGTTCCACTAAATTTGTAGAATTTATTAATCATACATTTTAATTCATTAAGATTCTTATTCACAGCTTCTAATTGCCAAATTTCTGCTCAGTTATGCTAGTTGATGATATATGGTAGGATTCGGTATCATCTTCAATTGTCATCTTTCCAATAATGCAAATTCCTTAAATGATTAGTTTTTAAAATTTATCAACAGGAGATCCAAATTGCAAAACCTGGCACGAATTTTACGAAATAGTAGACCAGTTAATTTATCAACAAGTACAACAATAATTACCAAATTCTTTATAACTTGATTGTACGAATAATTAATTTATTAATTAATTCTACACAATTAATGACCGAAAAGCGAGTGAAATGCAACCAAAACAGTTCCAAAAAAAAACCGAAAAAAACATAACCTTAGTTGTTCGAATCCTTTCCTTTAACTTCAAACTACAATAGGTCTGAAAATAATGAAAATATTTGTAAACGTTTAAAGCATAACAGTTAGAAAGAATAATTATAAATTTTATAAATTAGGCAAAAGAAGAATTTGATTTTTATCAAACAATCAAAATGGAATCAAAAATTTAAAGCAGAATTTAGAACGGAAATTATCTAAACAAAGCAGTAGATTGAAACCCAACAAATAGCAATTTTAAAATTATTGCAAAGCTCTTTAAGAATTTACAATTCACTAAAATTTATATATTAATTATACCTTTTTTGCCACTTTCTCCAAAAACCATAGCCTAGTTCAACAAGAAATGAAAGAAACGCTATCGAATAACCAATAATCAATAATCCAATCAATAGAGATTGAATCTTCCATTCCTCTTCATCATCATCTCCTTTATCATCTGATGTAATACCCAATTGCTGATATCTAGTTGCATTCGGTAAATTCTTCATTTGCCATCTTTTCAATAATGCAAATTCAGTTAATTTTCGATGAATTTCTTGAAATTTCTCAACATATGGAGATCCAGCTGCCATAAAAAATCCACTACCCACAGACATAATATACTCGGGAACAAATTTCACGAGATTTCGTTCTCTATAAAATCCAGCGAACCATTCGGCTAATGACAATTTCATAACACATGTTACATTTTTATATTCCAAAAGATAATCAATGCATTCCTCTAATGTGGTTGCACGACTATTTTTCACCCATTCTGTTACACCATTCTCAAAAATAACATCGGGAACTCTTAATAAAACATTTATTTCAGAACTTAATTGAAGACCACTTTCTATTAAATCTGTCATTGTATTTATCTCTTTTTCTTCCTCGCCACGAAAATTAAAATCAGTTAACGATGCCATCATATTGCAGGAATAATAAAAATTCACCACTAAAAATGAGAGAAAAATTATTCTTTCCTTCAATTCCCTCGGTAGATTTTCCAATGACATACTAAATAAAACTTGTATAACTGCAATCCAATTCCAAATTCCTTCTTCAAATTTAAATAATTTCATAATTATCCAACCGGTTATTGTAATCAATACGGTTAACAGAATTGAATAGTAAAATGTATTTCCAACAATAATTGATAGATTTTTTGTCTTTAATGTGGGAACAATTGCAATAATGTAATCGAGATTAAAAAATGCCTCCTCAGTCATACCATCTGGACAAAAACGTCTCATTGATACAGTTGTCACACCCATGTACTGAACTCTATTTTCATAGAGTGCCAAAAGAAAACCTGATAATTCACTTACATTACAACTGAAATGACCAAATTCATTTTCAGGATTTGATACATGAACTGGATGAAAATTTAATAATTCAGCAAATAATTTTCCAACTTCAACATCTGGACCCGAGACATTAACAGGATGATTTGTCGAATTTCGTTGTAAACTTACATAAGGTATTCGATTTAGATATGCAATATTTATTGGATATCCATGAAGATTTCGTAGTTTATTAGGAAACAATACAGTCCTTTTGGAAAATAATTTTGATTTGTACGGAACAAATGGATTTAGCTGATGAATTGTGAGATTTTCATTATTAACATCCAAAATAGCAACGTCCAAAAATAAATTTCCCCATAATTTTGCCATTAATTCTTCATAATTCGATATTTCATTTGTCATCAAAAAACGAAGAATAAGACATTTTGGTCGAATACGAACAGTTGATAATTCTTTAACAAATTCCATCATATCCTCTGTCCATTGTGTATTATTTTTTCCTGGTGATTCGAGAACAAAGAACAATGTAGTATCCCTTGGATTAATCAATGAATT